AAGTGAAATTTCATACAGAAGAGCAGAAGTTGAAGACGCTACTGGCACACTCAAAATCGCCAATGGTATTCTCAAGACCTCAAATATCTTATTGACTAAAACTTAAGCAACACTTGGAGAAACTGAAAATATATTAAATTCTGTATCCCTCCATATTGATCTTATCAATGATGTCAGAAAAGAAGATACATAATCTTACAACAGAGGAGCTGTTACATTCAACGATGCTATAAATGCTATCGATGACGCAATTGATCTTGGTGTTGTTTTGGTCAAGGGTGAAGCTAGCTTAATCCAAGTAGCTGATATGACAACCAAATTGATGATGGCTTCAGTCGCCACTAAAATGAACAAGGCTTTCATGGCCCCATTGGCTGCTTTGGCTTAAATCACATAAGAAGAAGATGCTGCAGGTGCTGCTGAAAGACTTGTCTAATTATTATAAACTTTAAGATCCAATGTTGAAGAAGCTTGGGCATCATACACCGCTGAAAACACCAATGCTTTGGCTCTTTTCACTCAATAAAAGGATTTATATCTTGCTACTTAAGGAAGACTTTCAGATTCCAAAGATAAATTGGTTAATAAGGCTGAAAACTTATAAGGCGTCATCTCAGTTCAAACTGCCGTTGCTTAAGCCGCCACAAACAAGAAGCAAAGAAATCAAACCTTATGGGATGATGCTGCTGATTTGTGCCACAGCTTCGACGTTGAATATGAGGCTGTTACAGCAGGAAGAAGATAAGAATTAATTTTGGTCTAAGAACTAGAAAGAGCTGTTGAGAGAAGAGCTGCTGAATAAATATGAGATATAAAATAATTTAGATATTACAATTTTTTATGTATCTTTTCAACTATATATATATATGTGTTGAATACTAAGAAAATGCATTTGGAAAAATTAAAATGTTCTATATGGTTTTATTGAGTGAACTTGAGGATTGTTAAAAACAAAATAACCAATTTTTTACTAGAATTATATCTTTTTCAAATGAATACTTTTAACAGAAATATTATAATACTTAAAAAGTGTTAAATCTGCAACAAAAAAAAGTGTAGGTACTTAATCATATTTGTTTTACCTTTTTTAAATAGAAGTTCACAAATTTAATAATAATTCAATTCAATTATTTTCAATTTTATTAATATTACAAATGAATTATGAAAATTGAAAAATACAATATTAAGTATTTATTTTACAATTGATAATTGCATTACAACAAACCTGTTGTTTTTTTTCAAAAACAATTTTCTATATAAAATTATTTATTATCAAGGTATTTTAAAACTAACGAATAAACCTTCCTTAATTGTTCTATGTTTTGAAAGGAAATTTATAATAAAAATCTCAATTGAGATTACTAATTATTCAATCATTAATTTTATTCAAACTATCATATGGAAAATATATTTACTTCTATTTTAGAAGCTAAATTTAAATCTCCCTTATGCAAGTTGTGTTATTCAAACGCCATTGAAAAACAATAATTTGAAGAAATTTTTAAATAACTCGTTATATACAGTTATTATAGAATAATATTAAATGACTTAATAAAAAAATTCGATACCCGTTTTTCAATAGATACACTATTTGGGCCTATAAAAAGCAAATTAGAGTTGACTAGCAATAAATAATTTTAATGAAAGTCACAATTACATTGTTAGTTGTCTTAGCTCTTGCTAACGCTGGTATGGTGCAAAAGTTCCCACTTACATATGGTGGCAAAAGAAGCATCATGAACATCATGGTTGAAGTCGAAAACAAGATTAAAGCACACTCCCCACTTGATACAATCAAGGGAGTTCTTGATAACTTCAAATCTGCAGTTGCCTAAGAATAAGGAACACACGATGAAGTCTATGGAGCTTAAAAGGCTGAATGCGAAAGCGAAATTGCCTACAGAAGAGCTGAAGTTGAAGATGCTACTGGCACACTCAAAATTGCCAATGGTATTCTCAAGACCTCAAATATCTTATTAAAGAAGACTTAAGCCACAATTGGAGAAACCGAAAATATCTTGAACACTGTTTCATTACACATTGGACTCATTAACGATGCCAGAAAGGAAGACACATAATCATACAACAGAGGTGCCGTTACATTCAATGATGCTATTAACGCCATCGATGACTCACTTGATTTGGCTGCCGCATTAGCTAAAGGAAAGGCCAGTTTGATCTAAGTTGCTGAAATGACAACCAAATTGATGAAGGCTTCAGTTGCCACTAAAATGAACAAGGCTTTCATGACCCCATTGGCTGCTTTGGCTTAAATCACATAAGAAGACGATGCTGCAGGTGCTGCTGAAAGACTTGCCTAATTATTATAAACCTTAAGAACTAACGTTGAAGAAGCTTGGGCATCATACACCGCTGAAAACACCAATGCTTTGGCTCTTTTCACCTAATAAAAGGATTTATATCTTGCCTCATAAGCCAGACTTGATTCCTCAAAGGGAAGATTAACAAATAAGGCTGAAAACTTATAAGGAGTCATCTCAGTCCAAACCGCCGTTGCTTAAGCCGCCACAAACAAGAAGCAAAGAAACCAAACCTTATGGGACGATGCTGCTGATTTGTGCCACAGCTTCGACGTTGAATATGAGGCTGTTACAGCAGGAAGAAGATAAGAATTAGTCTTGGTCTAAGAATTGGAAAGATTAGCTGAAAGAAGAGCTGCTGAATAATAATGAGATATTATTAAAATATTTCCAAATTAAATTCAATTTCAAATTCCTAAAGACTCTTCTGACAGATTTAGCTTCTGTACATTATTCAAATCATTCCTTATAATATATCCCAATCAAAATAGATGAATTATTTTTTTCTGGATCAATCTAAATTTATGGATCAATTTTTTGGTTACCTTTCACTATTAGATATTAACTTATAGGGCACTATAAATTAACATTTTGAGGGTCTGTTTCAATTCAACTCATCATGACTTTGTTTAATATATATTAATATATATTCTTTTCTATAAAATAAATGACATTTAATGAACTGATAATCTAACTTAATAGCCAAGTTGAAAATAGAAACAAATAAGATTAAATGGATCATAAATATGATAAAATACCATTATTTTAAATAATAAGTATATTATCAGGAAAATTCAAGGCTATCGTTAGTTGTGGATGATAATTTTTAGTCTTCTCTGAGCATTTTTTCTAATTTCATTATTCTCTAAAGAATCACTTCATTTTTCTAGAATAGTGATGACTATATACTTATTAAGATATCTAAAGCTCTTATCGGGATTTATGAATTTCAATTATTAGCATCATGTTTACATTTTAAATCTCTGCCTGTTATACTTTCATTTATTCTAATTCTTTTTCCAACCTTTAAATTTGAAGACTCTGGCTATGTGTATGTCTTATTGGTTGTTTGTTGGCTTGCTGTTGTTGACTACCGCATTTTCTGTGTTTTGGTTTCGCATCCTTGGTGGAAGGTGTAGCTATCAGCTTAAATACAAGTAATACAGCTGCATTCGGTAATTGTACTAAGATCTAATGATTATTTTGGTTTAAATTTCATCTAACCAAAATTAAACATTGCATTGAATAACCCATAATTTTGATCATCCAGTTTTTCAACTATCTAATGATGGAGAATTGGTTGTTGCTAAATTTTTTTAATGATTTCCTTTGTTTCGTTGGTGTCATTGTCGTCATCTTAAACTAGAAATTCTGTTTATATGGGAAAGTAGTTGCCACTAGATTTTGTTCTTCGATGATGGTTGTTTTTCATATTATTTAGTATAAATAATTTAAAATTTAATCTGTCAATTTAATAATGCGAATACATTTGTTGGATCCTCAATTAGATCAATGGTTTGATGGTTTGCTTTTAACTTCTTGACACTATTATTACTGAAAAATAATATATATAAATTATATTTAGATAAGGAATGTTATTAAATTAAATATTAAATGATTGATTTCGATCCATCTACATTTGGCTTGGCTCACACCTATTAAAAGGAAGACAAGGATGAAATCAACACATTAGCTTTGCCATCTGCACCATAAGTAATTTATAAAACTTTGAATGGCCCAACTTAAATAAGTGGAGGAAATAAATTAAATAATTTCAAACATGGAACAACAACCTTAGGATTTGTATTTAAGGAGGGAATCTTATTGGCTGTAGATTCAAGAGCTAGCATGGGAAGTTTCTTGAGCAGTGAATAAGTAAGAAAAGTAATTGAAATTAATGAATACTTATTGGGTATTTTAGAAATTTAACATTCTTTAAGGTACTATGGCTGGCGGTGCAGCTGATTGTCAATATTGGCTTGCCTATTTAGCAAATCATTGCAGAACATATGAATTAAAAAATGGTAGTAAATTGAGTGTTGCTGCAGCTTCGAAATTCTTATAAGGAATATTGATAGGTTACAGAAACTCTGGTCTTTCTATGGGATGTATGATCGCAGGAACTGATACAACTGGGTAGCATTTATATTACATTGATAATGATGGCATGAGATTAAAAGGTGACATCTTTTCTGTGGGTAGTGGTAGCACATATGCTTATGGTGTTTTGGATAATCATTATAGATACGATTTATCTTTGGATGAGGCTGTAGAATTAGGAATTAGAGCAATCTATCATGCTACTCATAGAGACACAGCATCTGGTGGAGTAGTTAGAGGTATTAAGTCCTTTATTTACATAGTTTATCATATTCATCAGGATGGATGGACCAAAGTTCACGATGGCATTGATGTTGTAGATCTACATTATAGATTTGCTTAATAGAAAGGACTTGTAGGAGATGGAGATGAGGCAAAATAGAGATTGTTTTGATATTAAATACATAATATTAATATTAATAATTGATGAGTAACTTCTAAGTAAGAGAATAAACAAAAAGTCTAAGACTAAAACTATGATTTAGATATTAAAATTTAATCAATTACAATTACTATTAAATTTATAATGAAATGGAAATCGAAATGTCTACAATATATTAAATGAATTAACAAATATTAAAAAAAATGGGGATAACAGAATTTGATTTGCAACCTCTTAAATAAATCAAAGTGCCAGCTGAGTATGAGAACGATGTATAATTTTACACTGAAGCAATAATGAGGTAGCATGAAAAAAAGAGACAAAGATTATTACTCGAATACAATGAATTATTAAATTTCAAATAAGTTGAAAGCCCTAAAGACCCAAAATCTACAGTCTAAAATGAGAAATAATTGGATGTTGAGAGTTCTAAAATAAATGAGAAGTTGATTAAGGTAAAAAAGATATCTCAAGAGAAACGTGAACAATAATTGTTATTATACTCTCAAAAAGAATAACTAATAGAATCTCGTCGAAAATAAATTAGTAGTGAAAGAGAGTTTAGAGCATACCAAAAAGAAATTTTAGAAACATCTCGAATGGAATAAGTTTATCGAAATAGAGCGTAGATATAAAGAAAAGCTTAAGATTAATAAGAAAAGCGCAAAATGAGTTATGATGCCAGAATATAAAAGTTGTAATTATATAAACAAGCTCATTAAACAACTCCCAGAAAAACCAGGTTTTATGAAACAATTGCTCGATATTAAAAAAGTGTTGAGGATAGAAAATTATAAGATAAGGAAAGGTTAAGAAAATTGGAAGAAAGTTTAGAAAAAGCCAATTCAAAGAAATCCTCAAATATCATAGAAATAAAAAGAAAAGGTTTGCTTGAATAACTAAAACTTGAAGATGTACTATTCAATAGAGAAAGATAATGGCATGCAAAATAAAGTCGATTGCTAGAAAAATTACAAATAAAAACTGAGGTAATGAGGCTTAATTAGAGCGAACCTAAAAAAAAACCATATCCCTTTCCAAAATTTCTCTCTCATAAGGATCAAAGAAAAGAAAACTCTATTTTAATAGCTCGTTTTGCCTCCGAAATTGTTGATTAAGTTGAAAAAGTTAGTATCCATGACTTGGAGAGTAAACTACTAGAGTTGAGCTCGGCCTAAGACAAAATACAAACAGATTAATTTGTTAAAACTAATTATTTGTTTTTATATAACTGATATGGATTATCTCACATAAGATGAAGTAGGAGGTATCGTTGCCAAAGGTCTAGCAGCTCTCTATTTAGAAAGGCCGTAATTTCCTATTGATTATCTTGCCAAGTGGCTTCTCACATATTCTGAATTACTTAAAAAATAAAAGACAAGAGAAGAAAGAGTAATGAATATTATTTCATGATTCTTAGTAACATGTAAAAGAAACAAAGATTAAGGAATTTAAAGTTCTAACTGAACAATTAGCATACTTATAAGAAGAGAGTCTAAGACTTGAAAATTAGTAAAAGGAGAAACATGAATAATTTTTGGAATCAATTAAATAGGCAAAATATCATGATGAATTCTTAGGTGATGTATTTTGTGATTATGTTGCAAAGCGATTTGTAAATAAAATATCTAATAAAAGAGAGTGAATTCGTATGTTTGCGAACTTGATTTTCCAAAAAAGGAAATTGATTTAAATTAGGAAGATGATGAAAATGCTCACATCAATTTAGAAGGAACGAAACTATTGACTTATATTTATGCTGATCAAAATTCAAAATTCCTTATAGGTTAAAATTTGCTCCCAGAAACAGGAGTTACATATGATGCATTGAAAGAGCCACAACCAGATGAAAATGGTGAAGTAAATTAAACTAATGGCATCTATGTACAAAATGTTGTCAAGGAGCCTAGAATCGTGTTTCATAAATGGCCTAAATTGGGTGCTTACTATGCAATTCCTCTTACCTATTAGAGTTGTCTATATGAGCAATCATTTGATTAGGGTATCGAGTAGAGACAGCAATATTTAATACTTAAAGAGAATTAAGACAAGGAAAGATCAGCAAAAGAAGCAGAATTTGAGGAAAGACTTGAATCTGAAGATCCAGCAATTATTGAATAGGAGAAATAAGCATATTTGGCTAGTTTAGAACCTCTCTTAGAGCCTTCATTCGCCTAATAAAAAAAGGAGTATGTCTTTTGTATAGATACTTTGGGTTAGGATAGAGAAATACCTGAAAATCATAGACAAGAAATTTTCGATTTAGTTAATTTGTTAATTAAACAATGGGAACTCTAAGAAATTTGGTCAATGAAGGCTGATGTTGAATTATAATTGCACTATTAATCAAATTTAGGTGCTCCATTCAAGGAAGTATTAGAAAACTGGGCAATTGAAGAAGAATAATATATTGATAGTCATTCAGAGAAATTAGCAGAATTAAAAGAAAATGAAAAATTATTAGCTTATGAGACTGATTGTTTGAGATTGGAAAGATTAAGGGAGAAGTTAAGTGATAAGGAATTTATTTAACCTCTGTTAAATCTAAGTAATTGTAGAATTATAAAATTCAATACAATCCTCTAAGCAGGTCTATATTTAATTGGAGCTAATAAATCTGATATTAATTTGCCTGATACTAATAGATTAAATATAAGAAAGTTGGTTCTTGATGAGAATCTCATTTAATAGATAGTGGCATATAACCATAAAGGACCTAAACCAGAACCTTAATACAAGTGGTGTTATGTAGATCGAGTTTAGAAAAGAGTTGAAAAAATCGAATAAGAATAAGTGGATGCTTACAATTTAATTTTGGGAAGATTGCTTAAATTTTTATAGTTGACATGCAAACTAAGAAAACTAGATATCGAAATCAGAAGAGAAAATATTGCTAATAAAAGAAAGTAAATTGAATAATTGAAAGAAGAAGCCCAAAAGTTGTTAGAACAAAAGGAGTTAGCATTAAAAGAACATAAAGAATAGGTAAATTAGTTATTTATCAAAGTTATCTCCTGAAGAATTAGAAGAATTTAATTAAGAAGAGTGGGATGCTAATTTTGATAGTGAGCATCCAATACCAGAAATACCAGAAAATCCGGTTGACGAAATTGATGATGATTACATGATGGAGCCACCTCCACAATGAATTAATATTCAAAATAATATCAATTAAATTATATTTACAATTGTAATATTATGTAAAAAATGAACATATGTTAAAATTTTTGTCATGTTTATAATATGAATTATCACAGCATTTATAGAAGAAAGGAATAATGAAAACTTATTAAATAAATATTAATGGCAACAATCGACATATAACCTCAGTCTCAATTCTTTAGCAACAATTATTGGAGAAAATTAAGATAAGTATAGATTTGTAAGAAGGATGAAGAAGAATCAATCACTGAAACAGTAATGGGAAAAGTTAAATGTGATATCGATTAGAAATTTTAACATTCAAAAAGTGTAATTTGCGCTAAATATTGTAAATCGAAAGCCATTTTGGCAACAACAAGCATAGATAAAATTGTGAGAATTTTTACATTAGATGGTTCACTAAAGCATCAATTCTAAAATTTATCAGACTATGATAAGACACTATCATTTAGCCATAGTGGATAGTTTTTAGCTTGTGCAGGTGCATATGATAAAATAATAAGAATTTGGAATATAGATAGTTAGGAGGTATAATTCGAACTTAAAGGCCTCAAAAGCAAAATTTTAAAGGCCATCTTCTTTAATAATAGGGATGACAGATTAGTTTCTATAACACAAGATAACTAAATTTAGATTTGGGACATCAAATCTCAAACCATAATACAAACTTTGACTGGTTAACAAAGTTTGATTACATCAATTTAAATATCAAATGACGATTTTCGTTGTGTAACTGGATCATTAGATGGTATGATAATAGAATGGGATCTAAAGAATTATAAGATAAAAAATTAATGGAAAGGTCATTAGAAGGGATGTTTTGCCTTGAAGTATGCAAATGGAGGACATACTCTGGTGAGTGGTGGTGCAGATAAAAAAATCAAGTTATGGAATATGGATAAATATAAGCTATTCAAACAATTTAATGGTCATAGTAGTCCCATTTATGCTATAGAGGTTGAAAAGGATACGATAATAAGTTGCCAATTTAATTAAACTTTGATGTGGAACATGAAATCCTTATCAATAGTTCAACAGATCTCAAGTACTTAATTGGATTATTGCTTTGTCGAAATAATGAAAGATTCATTCGTAATCGGATATAATGGAAATGGAATCAAAGTTTGTGATTTTCAATGATTTATTTTACTTCTCTAAAACGAATTTAATTATTATTAAATGTTTGGCAATGTGATTTTCCTGATTGTATCCGTATTAAGTCTGCTACTTACTTATAATTTCATGAGGACATCACTTACATATAAAAACAAGCAGGAAGTTGATTAAATATTGAGCTACTTGAACAAATATTTGACTCAGACTTATTTTGCTCCAGGAGCAACTAAAACTTAAGTAATAGCTCAATATTGATTAAGTACCGCAGTATAACTCAATATTGGTCAAGCCTGAAATAGATTATTGCAAACGTTCAGATTTATACAAATTTTATCATCCTGATATTGTGATGAAAGATACTTATACTTTTAGAGAAGCAAGAGGAGTTATAAGAGAAACACTAAGATCCTCTTATTATGATTGCATTCCTTAAATGACATACAAATTAAAAAATACTTAATGTAATAGCAAATATTAGTCTATGTTAGATTTACCAAGACACGTATTACCGATACAGTTAACTGTTCCTTTTACTTATTATGACTAATTAGTGCATAAATTCTAAGTCGGCTAAGGTATAATAACCAAAATAATACTTAGAATCATTATGTTTATTCTAAAAATACAATCACTTAGTAACTAGGCATGTGCTTTCACATAAAGATAATCTAATGAATAATTAGTACTAATATTTAGACACTATGAGAAAAAGCGGACTTGATCAAGATTGCATAAACAATGCAACATTCATTCCTAAGACTTATAGATTATTTAATAAGCTAGATTGCGAAGAGTTTTTCTCTTATTTGGATTCAGCTGAATATAAAACCTTAATAGAAAGAGATGGCCCATAATTTATAACTAAAGTTGGTTTAGAAGTTCATAGAGGAAGGGGAATTAAGGTTCTCTTTCCAGATGAAACTAAATTCTTACAAGATACTTATAAACATGGCAAAAGATGTGGAATTGATAGATCATTGCTTGTTGCATAGAAATATATTGGAAATCCTTTGTTATTTAATGATCATAAAATAGAATTTAGAGTTTATTGGGTTCTTGCCTCTACAAATCCCATTATAGCTTATGCATATGATAAAACTTTGATTAGAAGATGCATATCCCCCTTCGATAAATTTTCTTTGGATAAGGAAGCTCATGTTTGCAATACTGCTATAGTGTAAAGTACTTTGTAGAAAAAGGGATCTAACTTATTTATGAATGATGAGAATTCGGATGAGTCAGAGTTATACATAGACTGGAAATTAGATTATCTTTAGGATCTTTTATTAAAATAAGGTAAGATCAAAGACAATAAATGGCTTTAAAACTATTTACATCCCACAATTGACAGAATGATCATACATGCAATTAGATCGGCATAACAAAAATTTAATAGAGATAGTAGATTAGCTGAATTTTTTGCAGCCGATTTCATACTAACAGATGATTTACAAATATATATTATGGAAATGAATTACAATCCATAGACATTGAAAACAACTTTGGCTAGGTAAAAACAACATGCCAAAATGACCCAAGATATGATTGAAATACAAAATGCCTATCTTAGAAGCAAATATTTAAGATTTTAAAAAATGATTTCAAGGTTGGCTACTAAAATGAACAAAGAGAAAAGACCTCTCGATTCACTATTAACTAACAAAACTATCGAAGAAATTAATGATGCTTATGTTGATAAACTAGACTAAGGAATAAAAATAAGTGAAGACAATCTATTTAGATTGGTAATGGATGAAAATTTGCCTGGAACAAAATAGTACAAAGATCTGATTTAATAAAAGTGTATTTGATATTTGATGATTAATGTTTTCATAAATATATAATTTCATTTTGCATATCTTTAAATTCTTTGTAAATGCTATTTCTTAATATTTGAGGACCACAAACAAATATCTGCTTGGTATCAAATTTGAATTACTTTTCAATAAAATCTCTAGTGAATCTATTTCTAGTAGTCTCACATTTTTCCATTTATTTTCTACATTTTAAGATTAGAGAGAAGTTTTATTTCTTTAAATGATTTTATATTTCCCTTAATTTTAAAAATATTGAATCTCCCAACAATTCTTCCTCTGCTGTCACTGAATAAAACAATGTGATATATCGATTAAGACTTGCAACTTTTATCAGATTTGGGTGTTAAATTAATTCATTATAACACATCAATAGATGATAATTCAGCAAATCCAAAAAGGGTAAGATTCCTGTTCCTCCACAAATCAAAATAATTTATCCTTCTATTAAATAATCTTTGAACATTGTTTGGTAAGGTCCTTGTAAATCAATCATTTCAGGATTTTATTTTGTGATGTACTTACTAAAGCCATGAGGAGTGTTATAGTACTTTATTAGAAAGGAAAGAGATGTAGATTTAAAATTATTAGTAAATCTAACATTCTCTATTTTATCATACAAATCACTAAGACTTTGCATATATTCTAAAGCTGGTTTTTACATACATTAAATATAGGTGTATAGACGTGTAGGAACCTTTTTATCAGTTATAGACTTAAACACAAAATGATTGGGTGTTATTTTCTTAAGATTTATTTCAAATTCTATTTCTGGATGTTAGAATTAAAAATAGCTTACCGTATCTGTTACTTTATTTTAATTCTTCAACTCCCATTTTGTATTTGGATTATTTGGAAAAGTAATCTAATTACATAAGGTTCCATAATAATGTCCATTAAATTATTCTTTAGCATACTTTGAATGATAGTGAAGTATATTTGTACCAGGAAGTTGTGTGATTCCATAAAAATATTAGCTTATCTCTATATGTTTAATGTGTTTCCATATGATTTAGCCTCCAGGATGAATGTAATTTTAATCCAAACAATACACTTAATTTTAAAATATAAACCATTATTTGTTTTCTAGATTCTCAGATAAACTCTCATACGTGATTAATTTTTATTATTCCTCAGAAATATCTTCAATCTTAGTTGATTTAAAAGCAGGAATTACCCATTCAAAGGCGATTCGACAAAGAATCACAACCAAATAAGTTATGCAAATGTAAATGAACCAATCTTAAGTTCTGTATGACATAAACATTCCGATAAATGATTCCAATTTTGCTATCAAATACGTTATTTACCCAAGGGCAGAATGTATTTTTTTATAATAAATTACATTTTTATTTCCTTCTGAATTTCCTAATTAATATTTGACAAAATAACCAAATGATGACAATACAATCATCATTAGCATCAGGGCTGTTCCAATTACCAAATGAATCTATTTATAGTCGTTTAGTTTTGAATAATTATCATAGGAATAATTGTATGGCTTTAAATAGCAGTATGCTAATGAGGCCAAGAAACTATTTATGACTACAAACGTCATTATATTTCCATGTATGTTTGTTCTTCTTTGACATTTGTTACATGAAGCATATATTATTCCTACATCAACCAAAATTCCCCAAAGAATAAAATTGCCCCATCTGTGATAAAGTTTAATCGGATATGGGGACATATAAATATAAAACAAATTATCTAATTAGAATAAATGTTTAATTATTTAAAAGATAAATATATCATAAGACTCAAGAATGATTCCTGCTAATTATGAAAAGAGCAAAATCTTCACTTAACAATTATAGACTAGACTCTTTAAGCAACTTTATTATTAAAATATTAATTATAAGTTATGATTTAGTATTTTTCACAATAAATGAAACATCAACACTAGTAACCTCTTTAAAAATTGATTTTATATACCCAATAAGCATTAGGATTTTGTGATATTTTAATTATTTAACTCTACTTTAATATGCTATACGAAATCTATTTTATGATTATCACGTCAACTCTTTTATAAATATCGAGTGAACATCAAGCTAAATTTATTTCAATTAATAAAAGCATAAAAATTAATCATCTAGTGTTTTTGAAAAACCACATAAATATTATTTTATTTTAGCAATCTTATTATAATCTTAGCTGTTTAAGTGTATTCTCTTTATTGAAATCATTATTTCAATAAGATTCCCAATCTTATTATAAACTTAAATTTAGAATTTTTTAATAATTTCTAGTTATTGATGCTTAACCGAATATTGATGTATTATATAATTTCAATGATTTTGTTAATTACTAATAGATAAATTTGCTAAATAAATAATATCTATAAAACCTAATGAAATACATTAAAACTTAAAATTGAAAAAATTGATTGACTTTGATTTATCATTTATTAATATTTAATAATAGGAATTACTTTGATAAAATGTTTATAATTGTATTGGTTGTCCTTGCATTAACAGAAGCGAAATCGATCACCCAAACATTTACAATGAAGTAGCTTCAGAAATAATAATATATACCAATTAATAGATTCGGTAGTAGAGGAATAGTAAATTATAAAATATCGTAAATTGAATTTTGTATTCTAGCACTCGTATCATAAAGCCTCCTAAGGATTATGAAAATAAATAGTTTGATATATCTTTTGAATTTTTTTAGTAAGATCGTTGGCAGTAGGCTTTGAAAAAAGATGAATGTCGTAGATAGGATGATGCAAACAAAATTGTGCATCAAACAATAGAAGTCAGTTAGGATTAGAAAGTGTCAACTTAAGAGGGATAATTGATTTTTGGATAATATCATAATGTTTGGCTAGCAGTCTTTAATAATTGTTAACATGCAATTGACAAAGTTATTAAGATCAATAATAAAAACACAAAATTAGAAGTCACAGTTTGGTTTTATGAAGAGGGAGGACAAGAATTCTCTTTAGAAGAGCAAGGACTATTAACTGTAGTGAGCATTTTAACAGTTTTTACAATTATAGGATTTATCTATAATTACAGAATATTTAGATCAGAGTAATAAAAGTATGGAGAATGGGATTATGCTTATTTATTTATTCTTGTTGTAATTGGTTTAGAGGCATTACAAAGCTTACTAAATTTTATGCACTTAACAGTTTATTATGTAAATGGTAAAGGAATTGGAGCATTTTCAGCTATTTCAGAAATCATCTAAGTAGTTGATAATTTCCTTCTCATGATTTTATTAATACTGTTAGCATGGGGATGGTCAATAGAATTTATGGATATGGAAGATTGGGATATTTATGTGCCATTAGCATTTTTGATAGCTTTTGCTTAGGCATTAATTATTGGATTGGGAAGGTTGGTTAGCAGTCAAACAGATAACCATCTATATGAAGGGTGGGTAGGATACACAATCAGTTTAATATATATTAGTCTTGCCCTCTATTTTTATTATTCAGCAAATTAGAGAAAGAAGAAAGGAGATGCAGTGGATAACTTTTATTTCCAATTGAAAATTTATGGCATGTTATTTTTTCTAGCTTTTCCATTTTTTTTATTTGTTTCAAAATTAGTAGATCCCTACAAAGCTTACAAAATAATCAGCATCGGCAATATGTTTGTACGTATGTTAAACATAGTTTTAATGGCAAGATTGTTTACTGGTAAGTCTTCGGATTATCAAAAAATCTGTATTAAAGGGAAATCCTTCTTGGATAGAGGAAAGTTTTTATGAGTATATTATTCAATTATATCTATTTATAATAATGGTTCAAAGAAGTTATCTATTCTTAAGAATTATAAGTTTAATTCTAATAAATTATAAATGACAATTTAATGATCGCTGAAATCAATTTATTTAGATCAGAAATGCTATGGATATCATCTTCTTCTAAAGAGAATATTTATAATGAATATTAGTAATTCTAAAGAATCAAAATGTGACTAATAGAAATTACCAAAATAATTAATAGAGAATTCTAGAACATTTAAAATTACCTACGATTTTTAAAAATATTTTCAATATAAATAATCCCCAACCTAAAATGACAGAAGAAAATAAGTATGATGGTCTATTTATGACAATTATGTAGTAAACAAAGGATATTAATGTATTCTTTGATGCATCATTTGGATTTTTAAGGTAATTTCTATTCTATTGATCATAGACGTCACACTGACTTCTTTTTGGATTAAAAACAAGCAGAAAAAGTTATTACTGAATCTTGTGCTAAAAATTTCCTCAAATTTTAATCAGAAAAAGCAGACAAGGACAAGAAGGATGAGCAACGAAAGTAAAGAGAAGAGTAAAGAAAAAGGGAAAAGGAAGCTGCTGAAAAGGCTAAGAAGGAAGCAGAACAACTATAATAACAATAATTATTACAATAATAAAAAGAGAAATTAGAATAACAAAAATAACAATAATAATAGCAATAACAATAGTAATAATAATAAGAACCATTGGATCCATCAATTCCATTATACTAACCAGTTTTGAAAGTTCCAGAGTAAAAGCCAAAAGAACCTGAAAAGAAAGAAGCTGAAGAAAAAGAAGGAGAGAAAAAAGATGGAGAAAAAAAGGATGACAACGAAAAGCCACCCTTAGGTAACGGAGGAAGAACAGAGAGATATATTTGGACCTAAACTCTAGAAGAAGTCTAAGTTTATATCCCTATCCCCTCTTCTGTTACAAGTAAATAACTAACTGTGAAAATTGAAGCCTGCTCATTATTAGTTGGGCTTAAAGGTATTAATTTAAATTAATTTACTCTAGGCTAACCTCCTATCGTTAATGGATAATTGTTTGAAAAAATATAATCTGATGAATCAACTTGGTTATTGACTGATGGAGAGATTTAGGATTACAAAGGAAAGTACATTCACCTATCAATTACAAAATACTCTGGTTAAATGAATTGGTGGTCATGTGTCATTAAAGGTACTTCTAATTATTAGAATATAGGCGATCTTGAAATCAATACTCAAAAGATCAGTCCAGAACCATCATAATTGTCTGATTTAGATGGAGACACTAGAGGAACTGTTGAAAAGATGATGTTTGATATGAGACAAAAACAAATGGGCAAACCTACTAGTGATGAGCTTTAAAAGTAGAATAAATTATCTGAATTCATGAAAGCCCACCCAGAAATGGATTTTTCAAAATGCAAGTTCAGTTGATTTATAAATAAGAAGTTAAATATTATTTTATGAATCTTTTGGGTAGTATTCTATGCATAAGCAATTTATTTGATCTTATTTACGATTTATTAAACAAATTAAGACTTGATGTAGTATTTTAATGTTATTGTGTTCATTTTACATAATTATTTATTTAATTATAATAAGAAAAATAAACTAATTTTTTGGCCTTCAATAATCTAATGAAAAGTGCAAGATGTATGGAGTATTTAATTGATCAATTTCATCTTGATGACGTTATCCAATATAAGGAATAGAATGCTCTTATAAGCTCAAATGAAGATGCTACTGTTATTGTTATCTTTCAAAAACTGTAGATTGAACATTATGAGGATGTTGATGGTCGAATGCAATTAATTTTTCAACAAGAACTTTACTAGTTTAAAAATACATTATTTAATCGCAAATACGATATTCCCACAAGATTGGCTTTGAACTAAAAGGGAGATATATTATTAATTGAAATTCACAAAACAAAATTTAATTTATATTACAAAAAGGCTTAGTTGCAGTAATGGACACATTTTTACAGTAATTGTACCGTTTAGAACATATCAAATTATAGATTTAATAGCATATTAAAATCTTTTAACTCACAATTTTCTTGCTTTCTTTTGTAGATATAATCAACTCCTAAAACCATTGTCTTAAGTATTATAAATACCCCTTAGACCAAGAAATTAATTCAATCATTAATCTAAGTAACTGATTGTATATTAAACGAAGACAATAATATAATTCTTGGAAGAGAATCCAACTAACTTCACTTTTATAAATAGAAAAAAGTGATACCATTTCAAAAAATAAATCTACCAAATGGTCTTCTTTATGCAAAGTTTGACTAATTAAATAACCTAATATTATTGACTAAGGCTCATCTAGAAATTTATTTTCAATAATTAGGATAAACCTATCAAAAAATTGCAGGAATACCAATAATTAATAATAATTAAATTTGTAACATTGTTCCTATCGATGCCTATATCATAATTTAGAGAACCTACTTAGGTGCAGAATTTGCCTAAGTTTGTTAAATTGAGGAAGGCGCCATATAACTTGTAGGGAAAATTATATGTCGATAAATAATTACTTCATCAAGTCGTTCATTCTACTTAGTAATCAAAGACAAATAAATTGAAATTTATAGACACAATTGAATATTGGTATCAATTTTATATAATATCGATTCCACTTCTTAGAATTTCATATTCATAAATAGTTGAATCAAATAAGAAATTTATTTTTTAGTTATGAGAATTATTCAATAGATAATTTATCAGCTTTTAGGTGAGAAATGAAAATAATAAATAAGCACGTTTTCAATATTTTTCAACTTTAGGTTATTGCTTTTTGCTAGCTCTATTAGTTTGCATTTCCATCATTTCTTACATTTCCGCCATTTATTGCTATTATTATTATTACATCCTTTTCATTTCTTCTCTCATTTGCATCTTTAACATTCCTACTTCTGCCAATTATATAAATCCTAAAATGATGCCACCAAAAATTGCATTTCTCACGGCAATTCTTGTTCCAGCTATACATGATTTGAAAGTGAATACCTCTAATAGCTAAGAAGCCTCCAGTGAATGCTCCTGCAACAATTGGATTAATAAAATCTTATTGATTTCTCAAATGCATTAGAGTACAATCAGTGATGCTGAATAACCCACCCCATAAAGCAAAAGATCCTCCTAAAATAGGAGCTCTTCTTTTTAATAATTGGATTCCTCCAAAAAATCTTTCTTTTTTTGGAGCAAATGACATTCCTTTTAAGAAGTAAAAAATGCATCCAGCGAAACATCCCATAGAGAAGGCTCCTCCAAAATCATCTATGATTCTGTATGGACAAGGTTATTCACGCATAGCCATCTTAATTCTGGTAAATATTTATTAATTTAATGATATACATCTAGATAACTCGAATGGAAAATGATTAATTTTATATCAATCCCAAAAATATTATAATATAATTTTATATCTATATTGATATGAATATAATAAATTTCAATATCTATGTTTTTTATTGAATTGCTATTCTTCCATGTCACTATCATTGTTAAGGCCTGAATCTCTAGTAGACCAATCAATCTAAGGATTCTTTTTGGTAAATGCTGGCTATCCTCCTTACTAGATAATATGCTTCATTCTAATTCTGGTAATGAACCAATCAGATTAACCCTAATAATTGTGTCTCACATGATCTTCGCAAAAGAATCTGAATTTTTATTCGTGATCCAATTATAATCCCATTAATCTAACTTGTTTAAGACAGTTAAAATGATAATGAACATGGCATTCTGCTTTATTGCATTTCAAAGATGCTCCAATTGATCCACAATATCTACACATTTAAGCTTATGCAAATTAGACAGCCTAAATCAAAGTAGCAATATCCACTAACATAGTATTGTAATCAACTTAAACCCTATTAGACCATAGCAAGCACATTTCATGAGAACATATTTCTCTCCCTTCTTTATCTTTAAATAAACACAGCTTTCCAAATCTTGATACCAGATCAAATCTAAAATAGAATTACACGAATGATCTAATTTTTAATAGTCTACAAAAAGCACATCTGATTGGAAACTTCAATTCTCCTTATTGCATTTTCTTCAAAGGTACTCCTCTTAATATTGGTTCTGGCAATATTGAATCACACATCAAAGTATTGTAAAATATCAGATAGTTACACAATTTGAACATTTGTTTCTTGATTCCCTAAGGAGGTTGTCCTTAATCTAACTTTGGAATACCACATTTTTCAACAGCCCCTATTTAATATTCTCTGCCAATGCTCATTTCTTCATCATCTTCATGTTTTACTTTGCCTTTAACTTAACCTTTTACTTTCTTTTTATTTTTCTCAGTCTTTTCTGTGTCTTATTTATAATAAGAATTATAAAGTGCTCTCTTTCCAAATTCAGCATTTCTATTCTCTTCTGTTTCATTGGCCTTAGGCACTAAAAATTGTTTATTCTCCTTAAGTAAATCTCCCATTTCTTTCAAGAATTTCTAAAAGTGTTGTTCATGTTCTTCTACTGTTTTTCTTAATAATGATGTGAAATCTGCTTTTTTATCTAAAATATTCTTGATTCTCAATTGTGAAATGCTTGATGGCTTGATAGATACTTCATGATTTTATGAGTCTAGATTAATATCCATCAATAGTCTGAATTAATTTAAGTAATCATTTAGTGTGTTTACATCTACTCCTGTTTCTTTCTTATCCATGTTATAAAGTATTGTATATGCAATATCTACCTCTTCTCCTATCTCTTACAAGCTTAATAGAGTTTCATTTAGATTTTCCATGAATTGACTTAATTTATTTAACTTTTAGGCTTATTTGTATATACTCTGTGATGTCTCTTCTAAATAGTTCTACATTCTTGCATAACTCAATTATCCTTCCTTGGTTAGATCTTATTGTGTTCTTGATGAATCTATTGATCAAATTAATAATATTACTAACAAATTTAATGAGAGCAGCCTTTAACTTAGCATATCCAAATGATGGGTGACCTTCATGCGCTCCTTCATGCACACACTTAGAACAAATGAATCCATCTTTATTGCATTCTGGATTATTGCATACTCTAGTTACCTATTCTTCAGGATGATGTTTGCAGTATATTACATCATTATTTTATTTCTACTATGATTCAGTTGGATCACTCATTGTATTAATTTATTTTCATTTTATCTGAATCATCAATATCACATAAAAGAATAAAATATTAAAATGCTTTTTTAATTACCTTACTATATTTTGTAAAACAACCTAAATTAATTAATTTTACATAACAATATCAATTTGCTTTAATAATTAGTCAACTATGGTAAATTTGGTTTATATACACTTTTATGAAGTGAACAGATTAATGATGGACATAGTACAAAAACAAACAATTTTTTTACATATAAGTACAAATTAGATAATTTAATATAATACATAACAAATTTAAGACATATTTTAATCAAATTAGCAAGCAAGCTATAAATTTGATAGGTCTACCTTACAATTCAGCGTTTTATTTATCCTTTTTTTCTTTCTCTTCTTTCTCTTCTTTCTCTTGATTAAATTATGTTTGCAAGGATCTGTTTATAAAATTTAAAACTTGCTTTAAACTAAGTATAGTATCAGCAACGAGGAAAAACACGATCACGAATAAAAAGATGAAAATGTGAAACCATCCTAAAATCAATTTTGTACTATATTAAAAGTTGAATATATCTAAATCCCAGTAAATTGGTGTAGTAAGTAAAAAGATTAATAGAGTGACCTATAAAATCAAGGTTTGATAATATTCAAAAGTATTGATAAAAGCTTTTAAGTAGATCCAAGATAGTAAATAAAGTGAATTAGCTAAGCAAATCAAAATAAACTGCAACACATAGTTGCTTTAATATATCACTAGAGAATACATTATGAAACACTTTTTTAAATTAAGAAATAACTAAAGCTTATCCCTCCAATATTATTAAATACTCTAAAATAGAGTTTTTCCACTGAAAAATGATGTTATATATAATAAGCTTGCGAACAAAGTAGTTAGGGCTATGGTTTGATTGACAACTAATTGATTAAATTATTTAACACTCAATTACAAAAATACCATAAAAAATATGTCCCAGCAACTAGCAGAGAATAGTTTTTTGAGTCCGTATTTCCTTATAGAATATTTATTTTTGAAAGATCTAAATTTAAGTTTGTTGTACAATGATGAAAGAAATGCATTATTATCACAGTATCTCTTGTTTTGAAGTATTGTTAAGCATTTTTCAGCTTTGTATGACAAGATATAGACGACTATCAGAATAATAAAGCTAAAAACTAAACTTTTGATATTCTCTGCTATGTTGGCATTGACTTAATAAAATTCAAATTTTTCTTTTGATTCGAAATATCTAAACTAATAAAAGGAGGGCAGCTCTTAATAATTAAAGGAATTGTATATCGGCCTTAAGGATATGATTCCTGATGCTTCAAAATATATCATTAAATTTTGAGGATATACAATATTGAGATATTTAAAATATGATTACTCTTAGAGTACCTCCAAAGCAGCCCAAAATGCTAATCCATTGCCACTGATTAATAAAAAGCATGCAAGGGCTCCTAACGAATAGATAGATTTTTCACTATAGGCTAATAAATTTTTGGAAATTTCAATGTCCTCTTTACTTAGATAGTTAGGTATTTTGATTTGTAAAATCGATATTTGATTTGTCAACCTAATGTCGAATTCATTATATAGAGGTTCTAATAATGAAATATTGAGATAAGGGGGATCATTTAACTCTTAATCAATATAAATTTCAATTGCATAAATAACCCAAGAAAGAGTTGTAGAAGCATTAGACACAGGAATGATCGAAATATTATATTTACTTTAATCCAATGATATAATTGTAGCAGAGACAAAATTGGAGTAATCAACTTGAGTGTCGGTTAATCTTTTAAGTTATTAAGTGAATTCTATTTGAACATATTAGTATTGGTTTTTTTAGAATACATAATTGGTTAATAATTCTGGGTACTTATAATAGATGCATTCTTCATTATTAATGCAAATCCAATCTTATTCAATCATACAGACACTTGAGCATCCATCCCCAGAATTAGTATTACTGTCATCGCATTATTCGGTTTCAGATGTTAATATGCCATCACCACATACTGATTAACAAGAAAATGTAGAATTATCGTAATAAAAGTGTAAATGACATTCTAAACACTTTCCTTCATCACAAATAGAGCAATACAAAGGACAAGAATATTCACATAAATAACAACCATCGAATTAAATATCATTATTATCTTCACATTATTCATTTTCTTCAATAATCTAATTACCACAATATGATTAGCATTGGCCATTGACCTTTGCCATGCCATTTTTACAATAATCCGTACAAATTCCTTTTTCGCAAGTATTACAAGATTATTAACATTAATATACACATTAAAAACACCCATCATTAGGTATGTCATTTTTATCATCACATTCCTCTACTCCAATTGTTACTAAACCATCTCCGCAAATTACCAAGCACTTTTCATCCATCAATGTATAGGTATCAATGCATTGTTTGCACATACCAAAACTACACAATTCACAATTTTAATCGCAAAAACAATTAGGATATTAAAAAATAGAAATAGCTGATATTCCACAAATTTCTTAACATTCCCCAGCCAGTAAATTGTAACCTTGCTAGCACTCTAAACATATATCTTAATAACATAAGATGCAATTTATAGAACACTTTTGATGCCAGACTTCTCCTTAATTTATGCAACCTATATCATTGATGCATTCTTAAACCTATTCCTCCAAAACGATTCGTTAGCAGTTCTTTGTTGCAATCTAATAATACCATTCTTCATAGCAATTTAAACAAATTCCCTTGACACAATTTGAACATCCTTCCGCACATTCATATTAACAATTATTACAGCCATCAAATGGGGTTGTATTTCCATCATCGCACTCTTCGGTTGATTAAACTATTTAGTCTCCACAAAATTAGGAACATTATTAACTAGGTGAATCTCCAAATTAACAATCTAATAATTTTTATATTTATTACATAAATAAATCCTAAAATCTCTAATACCAAAGGTTTCATCATTAAAGCCCTGATCTAAATTATTTTTAAATTCAAATGTAATTAGTTGTTCTGCGTGACCTACATCAAAATCATAAATTTCAGAAAGATCATTAAATCTGCTTTGTCCACATAGACTATAATTTCTTAAATTCGAAAGGAATTGAAATTATGAATCCAATTTCAGTTCATCATTAACGTATAAATATGCATGCTCAGAGTCCCAACTATCAATATAATAAAATCGAAATCGGATTTTCAATTTAAAATGAGGTGGAAGTGTTTACTCGTACTTAATGATGCTATCAATTCCACAAAGATATGGCCCACAAATCATAGGAAGCGCTAGATTAATGATATACTCTCATTTACATTAACACTCTGATAAATATTATTCTAGTCCATTTTGAACATTCCATCCATCATAATTAAAGTGTTCTAGCATAGTTTCTGTTAGCGATGAGACATATAATGTCCATTTAAGACAATCGAATCTTGAATCAGTGTCCTAACATAATAAACATCCAGCTGGACAGAGTTAAATGAAAAGTCTGAAATTCTTAATTCCCCAAAACCCCTACATAAGTACAACAACTACCTGAATTACTCCTTACAAGGCTATATTTGCTGTAACAATTACTTATAAACTTTCAAAATTATGAGAGATCATTTCATCTAATGATAAAACGTAATCATCTCCTCCACAAATATTCGATCCTGAGGGTAGTAAGCTCACTGCTTGTTAAACAATTCTATTTCCATCCAAATGTAGATAGATTGTTTCGTTGTTTGCCCAATTGGAAAGTCTATGATATTGAGGTAATGATGGTACTTCCAAAAGTGCAATTTAACTTATATTTTTGAATGTGGTGGAAGAGTGAAGAATTTGGATATCAGTGTCATTTTGCCAAAGTTTGATATCCCACCAAATATTCGATCAGTTCCGCATACTTGATATATGTTACTTGATAATCCATTGGTTATATACCAATCTTTAAAGGATAAAATTTAAAGCCATACCATCAGTATCTGTAAAACTATTTGAGTCAAATGAACTTGAGAGGAGAATAAATTATTGATAAGCTTGCAATTTTAAACAGCACAGTAATAAAAATTGGATCATATAATGGAATTACAACTTTATGAAAATTTATTTATTCCCCTAATAAATTGTATGATAAATCATAATTAGGAATAAAAATTATATTTCATAATTTGGGGTTGTTTTAAAAAGAAAGAAATAGCAGGCAAGATCAGATAAGTACATTATGATTAAAAATTTTATAATTCTTAGCTGTAAAAATAATAGTTTAAAAAATCAACATTAATTTAGAGTTAATGTATAAACTTGAAACTAGTTGAATTGGAATATTATAATTATAGTTAGTCATATATTTAATTAGATTGAGTATTTACTATTAATTGATGATGTCAAATTTATTCTCCTTCTATTTGTTTAGCATATTTGAAAAATTCATGATTTACAAATTCTTAAATAGTAATCCGATTATATTCATCAGCCAATCCGCCCTCAATTAGATCTTTGAGGTTTTCAAGTAATTATTTAGGAGTGTGTTCTCTCATTAATTGTGAGTCTACTTTCTGAATGAAATCTAATTGCCAAAACAAATCTGGTTGGTTGATCAATAGTTGATAATATTAATCATCCACAGTTGGAAACTAACCCATTATGGGTGGTCTCTTGTACACAGCCAAAAATAGTGCAGTGGTTAAGGCATAAACATCAGAGGCAAATAAACAGAATTCGTCATACTCTCCATCAACTACATTTAACCTAAAATTAACAATTTCAGGACTGGAATATGATGTGAGAGTTCTAGGTAACCATTTGGACAGTAAGTCTTCATAGGAAGGTCTATAGCTGAATCCAAAGTCAGCTAATTTGATAACGTTTCTGTCAATCACGAGCATGTTCTCTAATTTGATGTCATTGTGTGCTATATATTAGGAATGTAAATATTCGACAGCAATTGAAATTTAAGTAAAGTACTTGATTATAATTTTGAAGGATGTTTCATTTGATTTGCAGAGAGTATGAAGATCACAAGAAGCATTTTCAAGGAATAAGCTGCAACATTGGAGGTTCCCTCCTGCCGGGTCAAGCTAATGATTGGGAATAAATTATGAAGTTTTGATTATGTTTGGATGATTCAGCTAACTGAGTATTTTCCATTCATTCTAGAGATCTTGGCATTCTCTCTAATGAACGGAGTGACATGCACTGTCATCTTCCATAAATAGTTAAGCATGGAACACAGATTTTATAACCACAGTCTAGTGAACTAATAATTGAAGAGTACATCTGATGCTCCCAGCTGTCGGTGTATGTAAGAGTTGTTGCCTTATTGAATTAAATACAGATGATCAGCGATCTAATTGATTTGCTACATGTATATATTTATATATTATAATTGTATGTTCATTCTTCCTCCTTTTTTTCTTCTTTAGGTCCTTAAACTACTATCAACAAGAACTCTTTATCTGGTGCCACCATGATCTCATTATTCTTTGACTTAATACGCAAGAAAGTTAACTCGTTGTTTGGATCTAAATCACGCACTGTCGATCTTGTTAATCCATTACAATCTTTAATACTTGGCCTTGGCAGCTAAGGTTGGTATTGTTCTGGCAATATTCTCTCCCTCCTTGCTTTCTGTTCCATAGGTACTCCTTATTATTTAACCATCGTTATTGCAAATCACTATTCCTTGAACGGACTTGTGAGTCTTGATTCTATTGATTGTTTCTTCAATATCCGACATTAATAATAATTAAATGAGAGCAACCTTATTTTAGTAGTTAACAAAAATAAGGGCTGAATCGGCTAAATCAGGCACAAATCGAAACAAACCTATCCTTGACACCTCAGATCTTCTTCCTAGATCGAGTTTCCATAGAAAAAGAAAGTAAGAGGAACACAACAATTCTTTTAATGAATATTCATCCTCATTCAGATTTCCTGATAAGGAAAGATACGAATAGGAAATCAAGTCATTGAAAAATAGCATGCATTCTTTGGAAAATGAAAATCTGAGACTCAAAACCAGAATTCATTAGATGGAAGGTATAATTCATCAAATTCGAATCTAGACAACTAACTGAAACAGGAGAAAATCATATAAGAATTAGATCGCATAGGTCCTGTCAAAGCTCCTCTGCTCTAGGCATTGAATTTTTCAAGTGCTTAAACTGCGTTAAAAAAAGAAATTCTTAATATGAGGTAAGAGTTGCAAAAAAAGGACAAGGAGCTTCAAAATTTGAAAAAAACCCAAAGACTCTCTTAAATAACTGAGTTGCAAATTGAAAGAGCTGCCTTTTAAGAAGAAACAATCAGGTTAAGATAATAAATAGATTCGTTATTTAAAGCAAGTTTATATAATCTACAATAGAATAATGTAGAATAAATTATTTAAGAGAGGATATTTGCTTTGGTAGCCTAAATTTAATAACATTTAATGCAGCAAAGAGAATTGGAAAAAGTGATTGATAGGTTAAAAAAAGAATGTCTAAAATATAGGGTATTAATCATTATAATTATATATAGTCATAATAGATAGATGCAGAATACAGAAGCAAAAGAGAAATCAAGAAACTGATCGCCTAATTAAAAGAGGAAACTTCAAACAATTAAAAAGAGAACAATAAAGAATTAAAATAAAATCCAACCAAGGCTGATGAATTATAAAATTTAACTGATTTGATGTTTGCAAAATAAGAAATTAAAACTAAAGATAGTGAAATTGAAAGATTAAATTAAATCATCTTTGATTTAGAGGTACAAATCAAAGAAATGCAACTATCTTCTAATTTAGATGCATAAGACCCCTAGAATTAATCATAATAATTAGATGCAACTTCTAAATCAAAGCAAATTAAAATATCTTCCCCTGTCTTTGCAACTGAAATTTTACAAGAAATTGCTTTGCCTATTAAAAAATCAATTGTTATTTAAGAACCACAGGCGGTAATTAAGTAACCTCCTAAAAGAAGAATAATACCTGTAAAATTTGAGGATATCAAAATCATCGGAGAAACTCTTAAGTATAGATTAATGGCAATGGACATAGGAGTTTAATAAATAGATGACTATTTATATGAAGGAGAATCCATGACGATAAAAGAGTTAAAAGATAAACTACGATTATACCCTTTTAACTTGGCTAAAGATGAAAGTCTAATATTAGCAAGGTATATAATGGAAGGAGAGAATGATATTTATGAATTAGAAGATATGGCTTAGAATCCAGCTCCATACATTCGCTCAGTTTTTAGGAAAGTATTGTTTAATTATAAATTGGAAATTGTAAAAAGCTAATTCGAATATTCAGAGAAAATAAAAGATGTATTAACCAGATTCAAACCGTTCATAATCAGTAACATAAAATAATTGTATGGAAAAGATTGCATAAGAGTTAGTAAGAGTTAATTTATTGATGCTTTGACTTCATTAAACATCGAATTGAATTAATTTGAGATTGACTATTTGATTGTATAAGGAATATTGGAAAGTCGGAGTGTGGAATCTTTAAATTATGAAGAAATGTTGAAATATGAACCAATTAAAATAGAAGATTAACAGCTTTCGTTTTTGTTGACTGAAATTGCCAATGAAAATAAGTAAAAGGCTGAAATGTCTGTGATAATGGAATGTCCTGAGAAAGTGTCAGAAATTGAATAATAAGAATAAGCTAATGATAGCAATGCTAATTTTAATGAAGAGTAATAGTTAGATATTGAAAATTAATATATTACTGTAGATTAATACGTAAAGTAGTAATTTGATTAGGAAAATGAAAAATTCAAATAAGAGTCATCATCAGATTATAATTTAGACTAGTGAACAAAAAGTTGAATTATTTGATATTAAAGTACTAATAAAATTTATTTGTTAAATAAAAAATGAGCTTTAGAGTAGAAGAGTCTCCTCAATTTAAGGAAGAAGAGTTAAATCTATCCAAAATTTACTAATACAGAGAATCCCATTTCTCTGGTTTCTCTTTCCCAAGCAGCGTCAGACATTAAAAAAGATAGACTTTTTAGGCTTCTGTAGAAACCAAGACCCCAACTCCTAATCAAACCAATATTGAAAATTCTCCATGTGAACTGAGCTATGAAATCGAAAGAATGATAAAAGAAAGAGAACAATTATTTACGGATGTGCAATTTTATGAACCTAAGGTTACCTTCAATGTAGATGAATCGCCACAAAGAATTAGAATTCAAAGAAATAGTGCTCCCATGCCCAATACTTAATTATATCACTTGAATCAATAGATAATAGATGCCGAGCATACTTATAATTAGTACTGCTATTAATTAATATGATTATATTGACAATTATTATTATAAAATTTTTTGGAATCTAATTAAAGACTGTTTAGATTTTATTTGAAATATAGTATCAATTATTGTCATTATACTCCTAATGCAACAGGGAAGCTCTGGAAACTTATTAAGTTAAGTCGATTCTAGCTTAACTCAGTTCAGACGCCTATTTTATAATTATAAAAGAATTACTAATTTACTGCCATTCTATAATGATGAATAATCAAGTAGATTGCTATACATCCCTACAGCCATAGTCGTTAATCTTTTAAAACTTCCCATCATTTTTTTCTTACTTTCTTAACTAGTAAAATTGCTGCAGAGACTATTAGATGATTATGGTTTCTGCTATGTATACGATGATTATCTCATTGGAGTATCAAAATCTTTATGAGTGTTAAAGCTGGCTTATCTCTGTCCTTGAGGACTTGTAAGCTAATTTAAAGGGTTGGCAAACATTGCTCCGTCTCCTTTGAGATTTTCTATTTCTTCTCTCAATTGTTAAATAGTTTGTTCTTGTCTCCTATGGTCTTCTTTCATTTTCATCATTGATTAATGGATTGTAGACTATGTTTCATTTTATTTCTAAAGTTAACAATTTAATTCTTAAATTATCTTGGTTTTCTCTAGTAATTTTTTGTGCAATTATTTCTTCTCTCTTTCGAAGGCATCCCTCAAAAGAACATCAGAATTTTTTTATAATGCCTAAATTTAGCTCAAAAGCTACTGTTCTAAATTAATTGGGATTATTGCTATACCTTAATTCTTGAGTTACGAGTTTTATTCTTACAACTCACTCATTTGCATTTCAACATGATGTAATTATTTCAATGCGTGATCGCAATGCTCTTTCATTTCAACATAGTTTTGAACTTCCATTTCCAATTAAGCCTTATTTAATTGCAGATCCTCAATTTCTCTATTTTTTTAAGTTATCTCTTCTTAATACTAAAATATCACACCACACAATTTATCGATTTATTCATCTACATATAAAACTCATGTACCTTTTTAATTTAATTTCTATTCTTTTTCTTATAGATCTAATTGCAAAGCCTCAATTTAAGCTTAGAGTGTTTTTTCTGGTTTCATCTCGGAAATACCTCCTTTATTAATCATATCTAGTAAGATTTATTTCTTTCTGGGATCTGGATGGAGAGTTTATTATTTCATAATTAATTTATGCTTAATTTATTATTAAAATGGTTAGCTTTCCACAAATAAACGAGGTCGACTATTACAAACAAATAAAATCACAATAAAATTACTGAGTTTATTACTATTTATATTTGAAATATACAAGTTAAAAGTAAAGGTCCTTTTTTTACATATAATTGACTAGGTTTCATTAAATATTGGACCAATCTCAATGCTATTCCATCTCGGCAAGTCATGTAATTGAAATTTGTGATTATTTGTTTACAAATAGACAATTTTATTAGAGATAATTTATTAAATTTTATATTTTCTTTTTAAGTATAATGTTACGTTATGCCTGGATTCACTTGGAAGAAAGTTCGAATGAGTTTGTGGCATAATTGCACTAAATCTATTGCATGTAGAATTGATATGGAGGGAGACATCGAAATAGAAATAAAACTGAAGAGAATGTATTGATAGTGGAATTGAAATTAAAAACTTAAATCTACAAGTCCTTTCGTAAATTTAACAAAATGAGATTACAGAGATTTAATTTCATTTAAATATATCATTCTTATTATAAAATTCAATTTATTTAAAAGAGCTCCTCAATGCTCACAATAGAAAATATTTCTTGAAAATAAATGTTAGCAAATTTCTTTTGTGAATTTGGTTAATTAAGATTCATAATGACATTGTTTAATGAGTTTTATAAAGACGTATATTGAAATGAATTGTTGTTTATTTTTTTGATTCCAGGTATCACATTCTTGATTCTGTGAAGAGAAGACTATTAGTAATGATAAGAAATAGTATGTGCAGGGACAGATGCTGAAAACTGCAGCGCTTTTAAGAAAGTACTAGTAATTAGATAGTAATAAAACATAGAGTAACTGGAATGAAGTTTAGAAATGAACAAAATTATAGTCAAATTCATTTGAGTAATAGATCCTCTATCTCTTACTTTAAATTTCCATTCCTTAATTCCTGGAGCAGGGATTTTGTGTCAGGGTAAGCCTCCATTATAAGTGTCATGTCTTTGTCATCTACATTCAGCATTTCTCTAATTTCTAAATCTAATTGCTTAGCGATTGTCTTACATTAGGATTGTTCGCTACGTCTGCGTGTTTACATTAAAGGCGCATCTTACTAATCTAGAAGTCTACGTTTTCTCTTTAAATTGATAAATTGGCGATCTCCACTTTGCTTTTTGATTTCGTCATAATCCAGTACACTGTCCTCTTCTTAGGGTATGTCCTTTATCATTTTGAGGTTTAACTTCACCTTGGTGCCCTTTACCTAGACAGGCAAGTTCTAATCTGTTTTTGGTTAAGCTGGGATAGGAGGCTAAATTGGAAAAGGCATAACCATCTGAGAAAGAGGTTGTATTTGAGTCTATGAAGGCATCAATGGCATGCGCAGAGCACCCATAGAAGCCATGGGTGGAATTTATTACATTTACTGCATTTGTTGTAATTGTTGCATCATAAAGTATTAGGGCATATAGTTGATGCAAGGTTGCCTAGATTTTCATAATAGCATAAGCAATAATGTATAGAAGGTATAAGAATGTGGGTAAATTATGTTGTTACATACATATATTAGGGATTTGGGTAAATCATTTGAGTCTATGGAGTGGGCTACATTTGAGGGTACACTTGGGGCTTAGCTTTGAGCATTGCTAGGTAATCTTAGTTAGGAAAACTCATTTTTCAGATATTTAAATATATCTCTAAGAATAAAACACAGATTTGATATTTAGATTTACAAAAGATATTATGCCATTTCAAAGGGGCTTATTTCATTCTCGTACTTTAGAATTTACGTGTCCAATCCTCAATAAATGGCAATCCAAGATTAATTAAGCCAATAAATACTCATGAATCGCAGAAACTCTATTTCACAAATCGTTCCTTAGTGAATTATCCAACAAAAAATCACTCTACGGGTAAATTCATAATGTAAAAGCAACCACAAGAAGTACACTACCTTCAATAACTTATATTCATATTTATTTATCAAAAGAAGAGCGATAGATTTTCATTTTAATCTTTGTGAAGCAGAATAAGAATTAAAAATTTAAATATTATTATTGGACAACTAAGACATGATATAATTGCTCTCTTGATACTAATTGATATTTAGTACAACCTTAAAACTATTCAATATATTCAATTTCAATATAAGTATAAGTATATCAATTTAATTTAACATAAATGAAATTTGTCTTCAAGAAGTTTAAATCTGTTAGATAAAAATTTATAATTCCTATTAAAGTATTACAATAAGAATTGAAACTGCTTTGAAAAATAAAACTAGATAGATTAACTTAAGTAAATTAAGGAATTTGTTTCAAGTACCAATTAACTCTTTATCAGTAAGAATTTTTTGAGATATTGGAAGATTAGATGATTACTTTAATAGTATTGAATGGTGAAGTCAGTGATTACATTGATTATTATTATAATTAATAAATGAAAAATTACAATCTATAAGTCTATATGAATAAGTCATCTAATTCTCATTTCAAACAGCTTAAAGAAACAATTATTTAAATGCCTCCTGATAATTTTGAAGACTATTTAAATTCAATTCAGCCTCATAAGGAATTTAATCTTTGAGAATTTAATTATAATTTTTAATGAACATCTTCTACTCTTTCACTTTCAACTAAGGGAGACTGCCTTTTATCTAATAAGGGAAAAATGATATTCATACATATTTTTTAGTAAATTCATATGACATTTAATTGCATTTGTGGCTATGAACAATGAAGATAAAATGGAGATTAAATTTTATATACCGAATATTGTATCAGGAATGAGTAAAATATATAGCTGAAGAAGAATAAAAATACTTATTATGGACTAGAAAAATGAAAAAAATTAGAGACTAGAAACATTTTGGCAAAATTGATGGAATATTTAAAACGAATATTAGAAAACTGAAAATTTGGTAATTTGTACTAATTTATGAGAAATAGAATTGAACATATTTTAAATTTATTATTTAATTCCATAATTCAATTTTATAGAGTTTATATCATCCAATTAGTGGGTCGACTCTTCTATTATAAAACTTTTAATAGGCGAAATATCCACCAACTCCGAGTAGAGCCACTCCAAATATTACTATTAATGTAATCCACCACCATTTAGAGCTTGGAATATGAAAGAAATTATACCTTGAATTATCATCATCAGGATTAGGAGGGTTAGGAGATCCATCAATCGATAAATAAGCATGTCCGACTGTTTCAGTGAAGTCATTTAGGAGTTAAAGGGTAATAGGGACTTCATCATCTAAGTTTGATGATTTCTTTAGAATCAATACTGGATCGGCTCTTAAATCATACTTTTCAATCAAATATTCTTCTGATTGGGAATCATAGTTTATGTTTACGTAGACACTAGGCTAGAGGATTAAAGATATATATTACATAACTAGCTCCAGAATCTTTTATTAATAATAATGCAAAATCGATTGGCAAAACCTTTTGGTAATTAGCACCAATGTAGTGATTAAACTTAATGGATTTAACAGCGGTTGGTCTATCAGAAGGAAGATCATAAATTCCGATAACAACAGTAGTGTCATCAGTGTAAGGAATGGCGACATGTCCATCGACATAAGCCAATTTATCAATAGATGGCCAAGTGCCATATGGAGTTAAAATGTATAATAATTTGGTATTTTGTTTGATAATTGAAATTTAAGTAGTGGCTTTGGATGCATCTAAATCAAAAGCAATGACATAATGAGCAGTGTTGCTTGTTGTGACGAGGATGTTGAGTTAAAGTGTGGTACCAGAAACAGTATTTGAAATAATTCTCACTTGATAAAACTTGGTATCTTCATTAAAGAAGAATTGTTCATCTTAGAGGGTTTGAAGTTTAAACAATTCAGAAGTAGTTTTTGAAAAAGCTCCTGCTGCATCATAAGCGAAGTGGCAAAAGTATAGACCTTAATTGATATCGGTAAAGACAATGGTATGGTAAGTAACACTATTGACTGAATATTTGGCGATATCAAAATCACCAATTTACAAGAACTTACTTCCAACATATTAGTCATTTATAAGGTATTTATTTGAAATAGAAAAGGTTTTCTCATCAGAAGTAAATGTTGCAACAACGATCATGTTATCCAAAGAACTAAAGTTTTCAGGGTCTGTATTTAAAATGATGAGATTCTTTTTATCTGCCAATTAAATTTTGGAGATCTTTTTGATACCACCTATGGTTTAAGTTCCTTGTCTAAATTATTGGCATTATTGTTGTTAGCAGAGAGTAACATATATACCAACTTCATTTTTAGTGTTCGACCAACTTGAGAAAATATAGGTTTAATCATCTGACACAGTAAGCAATTCACAGCTTTCTGTTCCCAATTTCATATTAAATTTTGATGAAAAATTACCTTTTTTATCTTAGAATATCAATTCATTTCTAGTTTAATACACTTATCCATATGTTCCAAAAGCAGCTCCATCAGAAATGTCATATGGCAAATCTTTTCCATCTTTCACTCTTTCTATGTTCTGTTTGATAGTCAAATTTGGACCACATTTCTAACATATAACATGAAAACTCGTGACTTATCCGTAGTACCAATCAGTTCCCATCGGAATGACCTATTCGGCTTCTTATTTCACAAATTTAAACACTTTTTACATGTTATCGAATTATACTTATTTAATAATGACTGTGCTTTGAGAATTGAGTATCTTTATGTTGTTTTATAATCTGTAGGGCGTATTTCCTGGGAAATTAGTAATTTCAATTCCTGCAATAGTCTCTGTGACAAATTGTGAGGAATCCAAAAATGGAGTGGCATACAATTCAGCATCAGCCAATATACTTATAAATCTATGAATGGTGTTATTATTAAAGTATGCAAACATCTATTTGCTACCATCAACAGCCATATCGAAAGTCTAGCCATCCAAATCCAATGCCTTGGTTTCTAACACTTTGTGTAGACAAATATGCGATACAACTCCAGGCTCATAAATCAAGACTACAGTTTGTTTTTGATCTTTCGCTCTTAAAAAGAGCCAGCCTGTCTGAGAGGAATAGTCTACAGTTAAAGGCTTTTACAATTTGTAATTGTATAAAGGCAAGACCTTTGTTTTATATATTCTTTAGATATGTTTATAGTTGTATTCTTCGATCACATCCAGGTCATCTTATTTCTGAACTATGAAAAAGTTTTCAGGTCCAATGGCAACTTCAACCTGTGCTCCAGGGAGAATTGATATTTCTTTATATAAGATAAAGGATGATATTTTGTCATTAGAGAAGGTACCAATAAATAATGAGGAAAGAGTCTAAATGAAAATCAATGAGGATTTAGCTTTGGTATTTGCAAACACTCTTTATGGACTGAAATTACCTTTCACATTAAATTAAGCCAATTTACTGTCATTTATTTCGTAGAGTAATTAGAAAGGCGAGTATTTAGAATAAATGAGTACTTTTTTTATTTTAGATTAAACCAAATAAATTTCATCTTCCAAAAAGGTTACTGAATCAATCTTATTATCTGTTGAACCATCATCCACTTTGATTGTATCAATATGTTAGACATCTCCACCTGCACTTGCGTATATTTAAATTGTGTAATCAGTATCTTAATACATATAGGTAATATAAAGAGTGTAGATCCACCAAGCAAAGGAGTGCTTAGTTTTATCAATAATGTGATCCAATTTAAATTTATCGTAGTTCTTGCAGTCAGCTTCCTCATGATTTGTTAATTTGTGTAAGCATCTGTAAACAAAGATCTCTTTAGTTGGGATTTGGAGCAACAAATAAAATACACCTGAATTCTCATTGACCAATACATCTGAATATTCAACATCTTTGGCATCTGGTAAGGTAATGCCATTCAATTGTAAGTTCCATGCAGATTTAACAGTTAAGACTACTTTGTTATTGCCCCTTGAGTTTTGATTTGCTGCTACAGACATATATTATAGATTTGGTCCTGATGCTATTAAATCGATTCCGATAGGAGGAGAAGGGAGTGTCAAAGTTGCTGGAAAAGGATGACTACTTTATTGTCTAATGGTAGTGTCACTCTATTTCAACACTTGTACATTAAGAAGAACCTAACATTGCTAAGATGGGTTGTCTAAAGAAATGGCTCTTAATGTATATGGCATCAATCCATCATTAACACTGTCTAGATACTTTAAACGAAGTAAGCCATTGCTGATTAAGAATCTGTGAGCAGAATTCTCGTTCACTCCCACCAAATCAGGTTCGTAAGGATTGATGATAACTTAATCAAACAAGTTCTGTGTAAATGTATAAAGCTTGGATCCTGTGTCTGAATGATAAATGTAAAGGTATGTGTCTATCTTCAAAACCAAAAACAATTAACTCATTTACACCGATAAATTTCTGTAGGATGTAACGTTAGGTGTCTTGATTGAGAATTTTTGTAAGTCATTTTCATAGAAGTTGACGGAATTTTCAAACACCAATACCAAATGCTAAGTAACATTTCCTTCAGCTCCTATTAAATAATTAAAATCAAATCCATAACATGGTGTCAGGTATGGAGGTCTTATGTGAGTCTTCAGTTTCCACTCCAATTGGGCTGATTCGAAATACAAAACATAGACACCGTTAAATGCATCTAAAACATAAATGTCTCCATTAGGTTCTAATTAGAAATCAATTAAATAAAATTTTTATGTTGTCTCTGAAGTACCTAACAATTTTGCCAATACTGTCTTAGTCAATACAGCCACAGGAGCTGGATTTGACAATTGGAATTTGTTATCAAAGCGGTAAACTTCCAATTCACAATCGTCATCCAATTTATTTTATATCAAATCTGCATGCTCAGTTGCCCATGCAGGTTCCCCTCTGAATAGTAAGGCTTATCTATCCCGATTCGAATATGTATAATTGTGGAAAAGTATTTTTCGGTATTCTGTGTAATTGTAATTATATCCTTAAGGATGCTCATTCGGGAAAAGAGCATACTCATCTGGACTTGCAATATCTACCACTATGAATCCATTGGTATAGCCCTTTGTCTAATCATCCAAGTCTTGTTGATAGCAATCTACTACAATCTTATTATTGGTCAAAAAATCTAAGTCGAAACATACGAAATTCCTTGTTTTATTCCTGGCATTAATTTAGCCCTTAAATGCGGGAACTCTATCCATTTTTTGTGGATCTCTTTATAACATAATTATATATACATACCCATAAGAATAGAATACGTCAACATCTGACTTATTTTACTCTAAGAAAATAAAGTCATTCAGCCACGCTCCGTTTTCAAATGATCTGTAAGGTTTGAGACTTCTAATTAAACCAATTGATGCTAAAAATAAGATTACATTCTTACGATCTCCGTGACTGATAGACTCTCCTATTTCAGCAAAAGGATCGATTGTCTCAAAATAAGGACAATCCTCTGTGACTTTAAATTTTAGATTGTCTCCTGTGAAAAAGTACTTTCTCATATCCCACTCCTAAGTTTCGCCCACAGTAGCATATACATTGTACTACTATTGAATAGTGTCTAATCATAAAACTTGATATATACCGCAAACTTAGGCTACAGAAGTAAATACCATTACATTTAGCAACATCAAAAATTTCCTCATCAGGTAAAGAAATCTTAATTAATTAAATAACTTAAATATTCTATAAATCTCATTTTATATTTATAATACAAAAGAATAGGAGTATTATCAAAAGCCACAAAACTAAAACAAAAACTTACCATCTGAGAATCACAATTTCCAAAACATCTCAAGCATACTAACAACCAATTCCCTCAAATACTATAACATTACTATGATGTATTATATATATATATATCAATTAACGGGTTTCTTTTGATTCCATTCTTACATCCACTTAATTTCATATAAACCTTGCAAAAAATCCCTATAAAATTGTAATTTTAATTTTTATAACAAAATTACAAGTTTTACCTGGAAATCTTTTTTTTGTTTTTACAAACTTTCTGTACTTTGTAATCTAAAAATAATTTCTTTCCCAAAATGCTATGATTTGTGAAATAACTAAAAGTAATCTTCAATATTATTACTTAAAATATTTATGGAGAGTTATCCACTACTTTAGGAGCAATCAATTTTGTCCCAATAGTGCAGAGTTCATTTATTGGAATGTCAATGTTAAACTACGTTATTTACATATTTATACAAACAGTTTTTAGTTCAAATATTCACCTTAAATGCACATTAAATAAACATCCTTCTTTAACCACTTCACATTGCTAATATTTCTCAAACAAATACTCCATAAAAATTATTTCCCTGGTATTACATTTATTTTTTATAGAGAGTATTCAATAGCCATTTTGAACAGAGGCTATGTTTTTGTCTGTATTAAGCCATGTTATTCCAATCTCTCATCAACAAATTATTTGACTAGCTATTCAATATTGCATAATTAATTCTATTCATTAGATTTTTTATCAATAATTTCAAAGTTCTTGTATCCTTCCTGTAATTATTCTAATATTATTTAAATAATTTACAATCTGAGTCTTTATATTGAATCAAGATACTCTAATTTAAAGCTTGAATCTCTTCTTACTCTAGACTGTCTTCATAGGATTTCTTTATAATGAATTTTAATTTCAAGTGTCCATAAAATGATTTTAGCTCATTAAAATGGTCTTCATCATCGATTTTAAAGGGAGTTTATTCTAATTTACTTTAAAATATAAACTTGGAAGAACTTAAGTGTATATCTCAAAATTTTTCCTTAATTTGTTTGGATAAAGAAGTCTTATATTTTCTATTATTTAACTATATGTATTCACTGAAGAGGGTAGCTTATGTATTTTGTTTTCAAAGACAACTTTAATGTTCATTTTTTTAATTATTTCTTTTATAATATCGCTTTATTATTAGGATTTATTACAATAGTTTTTATATTATAAATCATTCTATATTCAAATAATACAATTAGACAATAATTTAAGTTTATAAGTGAAAACACTGCATAGAATTACAATTCAGATATTATTGAAATTATTGTAAAATAATATTCGTTATATTGTTAAATTTAATGTTAATTTTATAATTTATTGCCTTAATTTTATTTATTATTTTTGTATATATTAGGAATAGAGTAGATGGACTGTTTATTTTTTTTTTGAATTCTTTAATTTGTTGGATTTTAAATTTCTAGGACTTTTTAATTAATTGGCTATGTTATTTGCGAGACTAGTTGCTTGATAAAAGAATATTCAACTAATATTTCAGAGATGACATCAAGACATGGTTAAATAAGAAATAGATGACAATTTAAATTAAATAACTAGATGAACTTATTTATTATTTCATTAGTTCATCAATGATACTTTTGCACTAGAGGGAACTTGTGAGCTCGTTTTAAAGAACTTTTTATAAACAAAAAAGGCTCCACCTATTAAAGCAAGTCCACCTAAAATTCCTAATAATATCCAAAGCCAAACGAGGGAACTAGAGTATAATAATTAGAGAATACCTTCCACTATCACCATCATCGGGAGGAGGAGGAGGATTATTATTATTAATAATTTCAAAGGCTCCTAATGCAGAACTGTAATCATTTTCAATTTACAATTCTATAATCTAAGTTTGTACTTTGTCTCCTGAAACTATTTTAATTTTAGGAACATCATGGATAGTATATTTCTTGACGACATAATTATAGGTTTTGCTATCTTATTCTATGTTAGTGTAAATTGAGGGCTAATAGATTTATAATGTTAAATACTTCAGTTTAATTTGTCGGTTTTTAGATAACAAGGGCGAATTAAGCATTTGAAGCAATGTGTCTGACAATTTCTGCTCCAGAGATTGTTATCATTTTAGCTGTTGCATCAGCACTTAAGGCTGTCAGTTATGGTAATTAATAAACGCTAATCATTAGATGGGATGAATTATAATAAGGGACAGCGGCATGATTTTATCCAATAACAAATTTATTCAAGGTTTGCATGGTTCCATAATGATTCAATAAAAATGGAACACTAGAGTCTTTTAATGGTGAACCCTTATTAAGAGGGTCACTGATGTCAAATGAAAATGTGATGGCGTATTGAGCAACATTGTTAGTAGTTACTATCACAGTTGCATCTAATGTATTTGTATTTGTAACACTCTTATATGCCCTTATTTAGTAGAAATTCGTATCCTCTTTGACTGCATAATCTTTATTCAAAAATGAGACTAGATTAAAAACTGACTAATGATTGTCTTTTATTAAACCACCATCATTGTACATTTAAACAAAGTAAGTCTACCCAATAGCTGTTTAGATCATAATTTTCTAATAAAATGTATTTCCTTATTGGAATTATACAACATCAAAATCAGTGATATAGTAATCATTAACAACTGGTAGTTTGAAGTATTTTTCATCTAACACCTTTTCATTCTTAACACTCCACTTCTGATCTAAGGTTAATTAATAGACGTGAAGAACTCCTTTATTAGTAAGTGGATGATCTTGATCAGCATCCAAAATGTAAAGGTATGAATTTAAATACAAAACTTTAGATACTAGACTGAACTTTCCAATATTAGGAGCGTCTGATTGAATAGGTGTGCATGTTAATTTGGCAATATCACAATTAACGATGTATAATAGAGTCTCTGCGTTGTTAATACAAGTTACTAATATGTACTCGTTATAAGTAGATAATTGAGTGCAATGAGTGCCAGGTTCTATCTTATGGACAAATTTGACTGTGTCATCATCGCTATTTTAAAATACCAATGATTTAGGATCTGCCAAATAAACAACTGAATCCTTGAAGGCAGCACCAGTAATAATTTCATAATTGGCAAATTAGGTTCCTTCACTACTTGGAGTTAAAGGATTGAGGATGCTTATAAGTTGGCCATCACATTATTTGCAAATGATCTTGAATTTTGTAACATGACCAAAATACAATCCATCATTAGTGAAATTCAAGTATTGGGTCTTTTCAGTAGAATCAAAATGGAAAACTGTTTTGGACAAAAGAGTAATGTTAATTCTAACAATGGATTGAGTGTTAATAAACTTAACTGGATATATCACACTTGTTTTTGAATCTGACAATGTATTAGAAATGCCTACAGCTGCTTTCATTGATGTTGTATAAGCATCACTTAAGTGACTTGGTACCAATTCCATCAATGAATCCTTTAAGAATACTACAACCCTTTAGGTTTTCAAATCATTAAAATAAACAAACATTTATTCTTATCCTGAAGCAGCAGTTTCTAACAATTACCCGTCAGGAATCAATTCATGTGTTTTTAATACTTTGTGTAATGAATTTCTGTATAAGATGTTGGATTCATAGATTAAAATTACAGTCTCTTTCTCAATAGAATCATAGGCTCTTACGAAAAGGAATCCAGTTTCAAAAACAAAGTCTATTGTAAGTGGAGTTTACAAAGAATATCTTCCATACAATGGCATTGATTTCATCGGATAAATATCATTTAAGTTTTCATAGTTGAATTCTTTGATGATATCCTTTTTCCCCTTGGAAATGATATAGAATGTCTTTTCACCCACTGCAACTTCAATTTCAGCATCAGTTTCAATAGCAATGGCCTTTAATAACACAAAATGAGTTCTTAATTCACCCATTATCACACAATCATCAGTCAAAACGAAGATGAATTCACTGTTTGTAAATGAATTTCCAAATACTCTTTTTGGAGTCCAACTGCAACCTGTTTAATATTCATCAATGAGATATGCATCAATGGAATACTTGATTAGAGTTGGATAAACTCCGAAAATGACATCTACCTCTTTTTAACCATGTTAAACGATATATATATTCTATTTCAATGCTGTGAATGAAGTAATTTTAAATTCTGGTTTTGCTTCATAAGTAACGTTTCCTAATTTCTGATGATCGCCATTATAATTACTATAAAAAACGATTTCATAATCGTTCACTTAGAATTAGAAAGTCACTACTTCTTATTCAAATGTATTCCAATCAAATTATGAGTTTGTTCTGCTTAATTGGACTGGTAAATCAAATTGATCCTACTTTTCACAATTAGTGTGATTATCTTTGTAACTATATGATTAACAATCCCAAATAATAACAGTTTTATTTTTATGCTATAGAAATAGATAAAACTTATTATTGTTATGATGATGAGGGTCAACTAAGAGATCAGCATAAGCAACATCTTTGGCATCGAACAAACTGACATTCCTGAGTTCTATTTCCCATAGAAAATGCACTTGAACCTCAACATGATCCTAATGAAAATCTGGAGTGATGTATTATAGATTTGGTCCAGAGGCTAGATCTTAAAGTAAGAATGGCTCAGCTGGATATGTAATCATATTAGGGAAAGGATCATGACCCAAATCATAAATATTAGCATCTTCAACAGGCAACACTTAGTAGTTAATTTCGCTGCTGCATATTTTGGTGCCATCAGTTCCATAAAATTTGATTGTTGACTTCTCAATTTGCACTGAATTCTCTGATGCCAGATATCCATCACTCAATTCATACCTTCTGGTTAAAGTGGAAGACACTACAATAACATCAGGAGCGAAAGGATTGACTAGAATAGTTGAAGAAATCAACATTTCTGAGTGGAGTAAATAGGGCAGTTTCATATTATACAAGTATAACTGTTATTAATGCACTACAACCACATACTTATCACTGAAGGAAACTGAAACTGGGAAGGATGCTTTGAATGGTAAGTTATATCCATTCCTTTAAGCTGATGCCACAGTGATTAACAGATTGGATTCATACAAAACAGTTAAGGCCAATTCTGAAAACCCGTCCTCATTCAACATCTCAACTACATCAAAAGCATATGCCTTCTAATTAAGAGTCTAGATTGTTTTAACGTAAACCCATTGTCCATCCTCTGTCACTTGATATACATATATTCCCTAATCAGCATCCAAAATGTAGACATCGCCATTGGGTTGCACTTTGAAATCAATCAAAGTGAAATTAACAGTTTGTTTAGTGTCTGCACTGATTTTAGTTTTGTCTAAAACACTAGTGTCTTTCATAGTTCCATTATCTAATCTAATTAATAAATCGATCGAGCAGTCCGTGTCCAACACTGTGTAGTTGCCTGTTTCAGAATTGAAGGCTTATTGTCCTCTAAGCAACATTCGAATAGGACTGGGAGGTTGCGGACGATCAACTCCAACTCCGATTTCTTCTCCTGTTCCTCTTTTATAATAAACATGATATTATATTTTCCTTCCTTTCACTTATTTGTATTATTTGTGATTGGCCACTTCTTATCTTTTGTTACCAGCAGTACCAGGAGTGTCTAATTAGTCGACCTGATAAAGATAATTTTTCATTGGTTATGTAGGATTGGCAGCATTCCTTTCAGCACAATCGACTATCCATAAGTCAGGATTGATATATTCAATATCAAAACAATCTATAACTGCATTGGTATCTGTCAATTGCACCTTGTAATAAAATGAAGGAGTCTTAGCCATATCCAATACATTTCTATATAGATTAATTCCTATTTATTACCCTTATTAATAATATATGTCGTATATGTTTTTTTTGTCATCCAATTCCAAAAATGCAAAAGAGTTTGTCCACGCTCCAGAACTTGCTGTGTCATAAGCTCTTATCGCACCTGTCTAAATTAAGGCTATGAAGACTAATCAATTGATCATACTTCCAAAATGAGGCTCTTCCTCAGATATTTAATCAAAGGCAGGATGATATCTCATAATAGTTGAGTTTGGTATCAAAGAGAATTGAAGTCCGTTTCCTGTTATTAATGAATCTGCCCTCCATCTAATCTGTTCACCTTTCGATGTGTAAAATGTAACATTCTACTGCTTAGTCTCTACAATTGACAAATAGCATACCACACCATTGATAAGAAGATTCAATTAGCAAAATCAGTGAGATAATTCCACAAAGCATTTTTTATATTAATTAAAATTTTCTTAAGAAACCAGAATATTATCAATAGTGGCATTTATTCAAACAACATATATTGATATTTTTTTAACATTGTTCCACAATCCAAGCTAATAATTCCAAAATAAACAACTAGGAAACCAAAGCAATGATTCCTCCTTCACCACATTTAATCTAAGTTTAAATACTAATTTGAATCATATTTTTTTTAATCAAAAGGTAATTGATGAATTTAGAAAATTTTCACCTGAAAAACACAAAATCCCTAGTGTTTAGAATATAATGATGTTATGAAATATACATTAAGAATTTAGATGAATATTTTAATACTATCTAGAAATAAAATATCTATTTTCATTCAGAAGGGTGGAGGCAAAAAAGTTAAAGTTAAATTTAATAAATTCTCTTTATTGAGCATATCTTATGGGGTTTATTTCAATTTTTCTTATTGCATTAAGATATTTTAAGATATTTTTATATTTTCATAAATAACAGGATTTTATTCAAAACTAATTACTGTAGATGAGCAAAGATTTTACTCATTGTGCTTACAACTTTTACCTAAAATTATGCAAAACTGTTTTGAATTGAATAAAAGATAGCATCTAAAGAAGTAAATTTATTAAAAAAATTGAAAAACTATATATTAACATAATTTAATTTAAATAATGATACTTTAAGAAATTGCAGTGAATCATAGAAAAATATGAGGCTCAAACAATGAAGTTATTTGAATAAATAGATATATCGATGTAGCCAAAACTTCAACTTATAATTGCTTATTCTATAGCAGATTTATCAATTTTACATAAAACGCATATTTCACTCATAAAATAGACTGGATAAAAAGAGATTTTTAACATAAAATAGATTGCTTAATGGATTTTTCTGGTCATATCTGATTCAAATATAAAAGTTAGTTAATTGATTGGAGAAATTTATGAAAATAATTTATTAATTGAAAAATGTTTAGAAAATCTGATAAGGATATAAAAAATGAGGCTATACAAAGGGCTGTACCAGAGGAAAAATTTAGAAAGCCAAGTCCATTAGGAGGGAATAAATGGGATGAGGAGGATTTCTTATAATTTTATGGAGTCTAAAAAGATCAATAAATTAAGCTTCACACTTACAGATGCAAAACAACATCATTCGACCCAAAATCTGTAACTGTATTCTTTCATGGGCTCAATGAGCATCTTGGATTATATGCTCATATTGCTTAGGCTGTCAGTAAATAGGCGAATAGTGTAGTAGTTGGATTTGATTTTAGAGGATTTGGCAAAAGTTAAGGATTAAGAGGATGGGTGGAATCTAGAGAATAACTAATGAATGATTGTTCAAGATTCATCTTATAGATTAGAACAATGTATCCAAGATTGCCACTATTTACTCTTGGTTAGTCTATGGGTGGAATGGCATCTTACTTAATGGGATAAAATGACTTGTGTGAAGGAACTGTGTTGATTACACCTGCGATAATGGATAATTATTACAATGAACCCTTTATGAAAAAATTGGGATTGTGCTTTGGTGCATGTTTTCCAACTTGGAATCCATTCCCACCTGTTGTGGTGACAGGATCAAGAAATCCATAAATATTAGAAGATAATTTAAAGGATCCCTATTGTACTTAGGTAGCAGTGTTACCAGGAACAGGCAGAGTACTTGTGTCAACAATGAGATCCCTTCCATAAACATTCACTTAATATAAGAAACCATTTTTAGTGATATCAGCAGGGATGGATTAAATTGTAGATCCCGATGTTGGTCATGAGCTCATGAAGCAAAGTCCTTCTCAAGATAAGCAACTAATCCATTATGAGAACATGTGGCATGATTGTGTTTAGGAGTAGGAAATACTTGAAATCATACCCAAAATTGTAGACTGGATATCATAAAGATCAATTAAGTGATTTATAATTATTTGTTTTTAAATATGGTTCCAAAATTGAAGTCTAAAATCGAATCTCATAGTAATTTAAATCCTTTGTTAAATATAAACATTCATATTCAATTAATGTTTTTTGTTCTTCCTACATTAAGCATTTCCTTAAAATGTTCATAAAAGAAAAAATATATAGCTTTCGAAGGCATTCCCTTAAGCACAGAAGCCGTGATCCCTTTATAAAATCCTCTAAAGCCTTCATGTTCTAAGATTTTATTGGCAATATCAAAGTTATTTTTATACTTCGGATTTTCTGTTCCTATATATTAATTTTATATTATTCTAGTTTTAATTGTGGTCATTGGATAAGTGCAACAAATTGCAAATCCTTTAGAAAATCCTCCAGCTACAAAGGCATTGAAATCTTTATGCTGCTCAAGTTGATTCAAAAGAGATAGGCACCATTCATAGCAATTTATTTGAATCATCCCATGACATGAAGTGAATAAGGCCATTTTTAGACCTCTATAAAAACCCAACACTCCATGTTGATTATAGATTTGCCGAATAGTAAATTTGACATTTTCGAAACCCTTGAATGAGCATTTAATTATTACATTCATTTTTCCAACATTTAATTGCAGTCTCGTTAGTGTAACCCACAGAGGCTATGTCATTAATTGAGCAAGAAGGGAGGCATATATAGAGGCAATCAGAATTCCTTTTTTAGAACCATTTCCAAAATAGGAATTACATTCTTCTTTTTTGCTCTCATAACTATATACTAAGAGGCACAAAATACAAAACGAAAAATAGAACTCTTGCTATGCTGTTGGCACACAAGGACCAAAATATCCCTTTGGTAAATCCTTTGAGACCTTCTTCTTTATATATTTATTTAATTGCATTTGATATACTGCCATATTTAGGTACTAAATTTTTGTGTGTCTGACCATCGTGACCTTTTTTAAAAATTGAAAAGGTTAGTTACTTTGCATTCTTGTCTTGATGACATCGAGTGGGTGGAGGAATTGCACGCAAATAGTGGCTCCTTGGGAGGCTATAGCAAATCTTAGATCATTTTATTTCATTTTAATAATGAGGAACATAAACTCGGAATATTAAGTTGGAAGAATGATTTCATGCGGAACATTTGGTTAAGTATTTGAAGGCATACATATCTAAAAAAAAACTAAAGTTGTGATTAAAAGAGAAATTGGTAATAGGCAAACGCTGAAGTAGGAGAAAAAAATTCTTAAATCGTTATAAGGAATCAAGGGAGTGCCTAAATTCCATTTTTCTGGCCAGCTCAATGGAGCAGACATTATTATTCTTGAAAATTTGGAAAGCGATCTGGCTGTTTAGAAGAGAGCTCACGGCAAATTATCTTTAAAAACTGTTTTACAAATTGCCCTCCAATCTATAGGGATTCTTAAGTAGATTCATGGCCGAAGAATCATACACCGAGATTTAAAACCGGAGAATATTATGATAGGTGGACAATATAAAGGACAGATTTATATTATTGATTATGGCATCAGTAAATTTTACATGAACAAGGGTTAATAGATTCCATTCAGAAAAGATAAATATTTTGTAGGCACGATCAAATATGCTTCAATATCTTCTCATTTAGGGCACGAACAGTCCCCAAAAGATGATATAGAATCATTATTGTATGTGTTGGTGGAATTATTTAATGGAGAGTTGCCATGGGAAGCCTATTAAAATGCAGAAGTGACTGGCAGACTCAAGTAGTAAATTACGGATACTCAATTATTTAAAGGATTGCCGCAATAATTTAATTAAATATATTTGTAATGCGATATTAATATTTTCAGGTACATTAGAAAATTACCCTATCATTAAAATCCAAATTATGACAACATTTTGAAAGTTCTTGAAAGCATCGCCGCTGATCTGGACATCAAAATTGATGAGCACTTTGAGTGGAATAAATTCGATACACATCTATTAGAAACCTTTAACATTCTTAAATCCTAAATTGTCTCTACTTCCCCATGGATAAATGACAGCCAAGTGAATTATGAATCAGAAGATGATGAAGAAGAAGAAACTTTAGAATAGAAATTGTCTAAAATCAACAACTTATTAGAGTTTGATAACCCTTTAATATGAACTTTTTATTATTTATCAAAATTCAATTGGTTTCCATCCATGAACTTCCCAATCGTTCCAATACCACAAATTTAATACAATTACAAATCCTAAGTTAAATCCAGTATGCGCTAAAATGGCTGTCAATACACCAGAGTTACGAATATATGAAAACTTTCTACTGAAAATTACGAAAGGTATTCCACAGAATATGGCATACATGAATTTACTATGTCATTATATTAACTCATATACCTTGTCACTACTGCAAAAATGAATACATATAATAATCCATAATGAATTGCAACTATCCAAATAATCCATTCTTTGGGATTCGTGTACGTCAATCCTCCTGCTAAACCACTCTACAAGAATTATCTCCAAAAGAATTCCTCTAAAAATGGATCTAAAAGCAGCATTAAAACTGAAATCTAAACATATATGTAATCTCTACCACTATAATTTCAGTATTAGCCATATAAAAGAAATTGACTCTATGAAATGACCAGAACTGAACATAACTGAGTGAAATGAAGAATGACAAAAAGGAAATTGCTAAGCAAATACCAAACCAAACCATGCCTCGGTTTATTTACTCGCTTTTTTCAAAAGCAATCTTAGCAAAACTTGAAGATAGCCTTGTAACATGGGTAGAAAACTTATCCACACTATTTGTCAACTAAAAAACATTACTATAACAACAATCCTGGTATGATTAGATAGCAAAAGAGTAAAATTATTAATAAAGCTATCATTGGATATCCGTATTTCCAAAAGACTACTCCTGTTACAACTGAAGGTAGCAACATTGAAACCTCTAAATAAATAAATTTCCATGGAGGTAACTCACCCGTGGCGTCCATTATTTAATTTTATTATCAACTTTTTTGAACTATGCAAGAAGATTTAATCAACACATTATTTTAATCGTGAAAAAACATAAATTATTAATATAATTCCCTCATTAATTTTTTTTCATGAAATTACACTTCTAAACTTTCGATCTAAACCAAAATATTGATGATTTGAACTCGAGAAAATTACATTACTTCTCAATATTATCAATGAACATTGTAAGGAATTAAAATAATGAATTTCAGACTACAATCTTAGTGCAATTATTGTACTAAATTTTACTATTTTTTTAAAAAATAAAATTATTAAAATGTTTGAAATATCAAATTGCATTTCATTGAAAAGAGAACATTTAAGAGTTTCAATTAGAAGATAAAAAAATGAAGAAATTTTTTCTAAAAGTAGGAAGGTTATCTAAACTGATAATGCCGCATTAATGAATTATTTAATTATGAGAAATGAAGATGATGTAATCTTCAATCTCAGAGAATTCATTGAAAATAGAAGTTAACATATTTATGAATCTCAATAAATTTTAAAGTGGTTGTTAGAATATGATAAATTGAATTAATCAAACTAAGCACAACAACTAACATTATTTTTTTTGCATTAAGTTTCCCTCAATATAGAAGTAAATTTTTACTTAAAAATCAGGTAAAATATATTAAATTAGCAGCATCCCTATTGAAGTAACTATGCTTCTAGGATGAGGAGGCATTGATTCTAACTACCAGACTCAGTCACAAATCCACTATGCGTTCATAAATTTTGTACTTTTGATTTTAACAGTAGTATCAATGAATTATCAAATGAAGAGTTTATAATTGATCTCATGGGAAGCCAACTCAATACTCTTGAATTAATATGTAACATAATGTCTGATGAATAATTCATTTACTTAATGTTTGGTAAGCATCCCTACTTTTTGGACTTTTTTGTTGCTAAATTACATGATTTAAGATCTTGCCAAATGGCAATAGACCTATTGTACGATATGGCCAACTCAGAAAAGCTTTGCCCAATCATCGCAAATAAAAAATTGATTCAAGATTTAGTATTGTTGATCCCATCATAAAGGATACTAGAAATTTTAATATTAATACACCAAAATTCATATAATGCTGAATTATTAGAAGACACTATCCTCATTAAATATTATATTGAACTTCTGGATTAAAAAATATTTTTAGGAGAGGTCTTATTTTTATTAAACTTTATGTTAGATACAAAGCTAAATCAATTTCTTTTGAATTAACTATTAGTCCGAAAGAAGCACATTTAAGATTTATGCTACTCTTTAAATCAATAAGTTAATTAATTAGCAGCAAATATTGTGGATAAATACTTATGATTTATATGTTATTAAATTTATCATGAAAAAAATAGTTAATTTGATCGTTTTTTAGGTTAAGATGAAAATGCTCTGAGCTCTGTCTTCAAAGTTTTTATTTCATTTGATAACTCAGAATACATTTTATTCCAAATAGTCCTCTATTATTTCAAATCTTATTGGGTCTAAAATAGTTAATAATTATATAGGTACTTATTATCTGAGTTACTTTTCTTGAACTAACTATTCTTATAATACATTTATGGTAGATTCTCTGTCTTTTATTTATTTTTCAAGAACCTCTATTTTTTAATAATTATTATTATTATTATTATTATTCCAATTTTCTTTATCTTGAAAGAATAGAGATCTATCTTATTTTTCTTTTTGGAGCCCCTCAATTTTTCCTCTAAGAGATTAAATATCTTGAATGTAGTCAGTTGAAATTTAACTCAATTAATTATGGGTCTGAGAAATTGAAGGTCGGCATCTATAGGATCTATTAGTTTCATTAAAATCGAGTCTAGGTGGTTTTGCATTTGTACTGACAATAAATTCAGGTGAAATACCCAACTAAATATTTTTAATCTAATTTTATGCTTTGATTCTTTCTACTTCCAATTTATTTAGATTTTTTGGTTTCTATTATTTTTTATAGTTTTCCAATCGTTTTTTCTTGTAAAGCAATGACTTCTGCTAATTGTTTGACCTTTTTAGACATAATTGACTGTTAATTTCAAATTTAATAAATAATTAATGAACTTTGAATTTAATGTTGTGTTTAGAGTACATATTATTGAGTGTTGCAAAAATCCTTAAAACATGGTTATTTTTTTTAGATTCAATTTAATTTCTTGAGATTCACAACAACCTAACCAAACACTTCATTATTTTAATATATATAAAGGATATATTTAATAAATGAAATTAGTTCTGTTTGCAAAATATAAAATACAATAATAGTAAAGGATAAATTATACAATGGAATAACATATAAATATAGATTTTGCTTATAAAGATTTAAAAGATGAGTAATGGAAATTTAAGTAAACAATAAGTTGCATAAAATAGTAAACACTAAAATTTATAGATAATAGGATATTAACATTTATTTACCGAAATCAGATATCAATTCAGAGTAAGAATAACCAGATTAATATATTAATTATTCTTGAATTGGAACTTATTTTGTTTAGAAACTTAAAATTTACTATTATTGGTTTAGATTATAATTTCAAAATTGGTTCAATTAATTTAATAATCATTAAAATGCATAAAATTATCATTTATTACTCAACATAATTCCTAGCAAATTAGGAATAATTAAATTTAAATTTATAGGAAAAAGGTAAATGAATAAACTATTCATCAGATATTATGAATAATTACTTAATAGAATACTATATTTTCTAAATTATAATTGGAATTGTTAAATGAAACATATATATATAAATATATTTATTTAAGAAACAATTAAAAGTATCCCAAAAATCCTAAAATAATTCTTAGTTGAAAATTGATAGAATAACTTTATATGATACTAAATATCAATCTTAAGGAATCTAAATTTTTAGGTTTTTCTTCTTGATTCCAACAGATTATTTATACCCATTCTAGATTCCCTAGTCATCTTTTTCATTATTATTTGGAGAATATGATTGTTATTAGTTTATGATTTCCCTCTCTAACTTATCCATATCATCATAATATTTTTTCCCATTTTTTTTAGTTTGATCCTCTTAATCTTATTAATCAATGGGGTGAGTTTTTGTAAATGAACTTGATTAATTTTGTAATTAGGGTTATGTATTGATATTATCCCCCCGACTCTCAAGCTTTCTATCACAAGAATTCACATATTATTGTAGTTTATGTATTTCTTCTTCAAGCTTTTTACTTTTATTTTTTCTTCTGAATCGTTGTAAAATTAAAAACGCTATCAAACCTGCGAAAAAAGACACTAGAATGCATACGATTATCCATATTTCCGTTTCATTTGAATCGTCGCCCATTATAATACCAGGGTGAAAAATTAGACAATATAATTATTATCAATTTTATTGTTTAAAAAAAAGAAAAATAGAATGTATTAGTTTGAATTTCAAATATATTACATGAAATTATTGCTAGATCATGAATATCATTTTTAAAATTGTATAACAGTAGCAGCTCAATTATCCATGTTTTATATATATATAAATTATATTTGTATAAGAATACGAAAAACTTTCTATTTTAAAGATTATCTTTATTAAGAAATTCCGAAGCTAAGAGATGAAAATCTTTAAATATGAGGTGTATTGTTACTGTAAATTATTTTATGAATATATTTTTTAAGACTCAAGCATAAAGCTTAATAGTTCCATCTTTAAAGCCAATTATCACAGCATTTTTATTTTTTGAAACGCTAGCAGTACTGATTCTTTATTCAAACTCGATTGTTTCTGAAATCTTAATTTCTTTTTTGTCGAATTTCCATAAATTCAAATATTTTGAAAATCCTATCTCTATGAATGAATTTCCTCCATCCAAAAATAGAATTTAAGAGAGAAAAGAACCTTAATCTTAAGTCTCTCCCAAACATTTCAAATCACCTTTTTCTAAATCAACTTCATATTGCTTATACTTCTTATTTGATCCAAGTATCAAAATTCTATCAAATGATCCAAAAATAGAATAAATTGTGATGTTGTTTGTAAATATTTTAAAAAATTCATATCTTTTCAAATTTTGGTTGAATTTGAACATCTAAATTTAAACACTTTAATTGGAGCAAATCAAAAAAGATTCAAAAAGTATAATATTGAGCCATTCATTCTAATTTGCATCACAAATTTATTAAAATTATTAAAACAATCCTTTGGAATTATGGTAAACAGTTAAAGAGCCATCAGATTTAGAACCTAATTCAACATAAATAATTACAAGCAAAATGATTCAATTATTAATTAACATTACTCAATCTAGTAAAGTGGATAGATGATATGATATATTATATTCTCAAAATTTTCCAATTTCTTGTTTCAACTCTGTATATTATGAGTACTCCAGGTTCCCAACATGTCACAATTGTACTAATATCTTCACAAACTTATATTCCTAAATTGCATTCGCATCGACAAAAAATGAATAACTTTGAACATCTAGTCCTTAAATCATATATTTTCAATTTATGATGTTCACCTAAACCATAGATATATTCCCCTTTTTAATCAAAATATAAAGCACTGATGCCGATAATGCATTATTAATAAATATTAATGCTTTGTATTTCTTGAAGTTTGAATTCTTTTTGAGAAAATTAAGTCATCCTTACTTAATTTAATACTTAATAATTAAATAATCAATTCAATTATCAACTAAATATATGTTGATATTTAAATTCAATGATTAATTGGTTATAAAGGAGAGGGATGATTAAATTTATAATAATAATTTATTCGAAATGTAATTGAATATCCCATAAAATTAGACACATTAGCACAATGCAATGATCTTAACACTTCTTCACCTTCCTTAACAAGGAAGTAGAAATAGTTAACATATTATCAATCATAGAAGAAATTGATTTTGAAAAAAAAGAGAAAAAGTACATGATTATTCCTAGAAATAAATAATTAATAATTCTTTAATTGAAAGCTTGAATTGATCAAGTATTTTTTTTTTAATTTTAGATTTTTAGCTAATATAAATTCTTTGAAATGATGAAAAAAAATTTCGAATTTAGAAATCAGTACTACACTAAGAAGAAAACTGCTTAGAATATGAAATTATTTTTGATATAATCCTTTAGATGAAATAAACTGATAATCCTAATTAGCAATAAAATAATGGTAATGATAACATATAATTATTTAATTTATTGAAGAAAAAAAGAATTCGCTGATCAAGTACCTTTTTCTAGCTCTTCTAAATTATTGTAAGTACCAATCAATATGCTATAAGAAAGAAGGTCAATTTTAGTAAAGTTCGAATCAATTTGTCTAAAGAAAAAAGCCAACTGGAAATTCGAACTTTGAAAGTCAGGTTGATGTTGGATATATTAATTAATAAACCTAATTTCAATTAACATATAGAATATACTATTATAAAATATATCAAATTAATGAGTGAGTTAATCTAATTAAATGCAGGATGGAATTCAAATGAGATAAGTCTGAAATATTTAAAAAAACTAATACAAGATCACCATTTATCACAATAACAAATAGACAATAGAGAAAATAAGGAATAATTTTAATAGAGAATATCAACTTGTTTTGAAGAGCATGAGAAGTATAGAAGTTTTAGAGGAGTATTCTTAGATGAATAACAATGTAAGATTAGATTTAAATTTAACAGCTATGGATTAAATTCTGACTATGTAAGATTAAGAGTTTATAGATCCTAATTACATGATTGGTAAAAATGTATATTTGGGTGGTACTTATTATCAAGGGAAAAATATATTTGCTCAAGTATATTAACAAGAATTTGAAGATAAGTTAAGATAAATATATGAGAACTCAGATCATTTGTTTGGTTGCAATCTTATACATTCACTTTCTGATAAATTTTGTGGAATATCAATGCAATTAATTCGATTTTTGGATAGTAATTAATTTTTTAGTTCCACATCAATATTCCCAAATTTATAATCTTGTTCAGCAATTGAAATTTATAATACAATCCTTTCACTCAACTAATTGATACTTAATTGTAATTATTGTATGGTCTATGATTACGACTCTTTGAGCAGGAGAGTTTAAGAATAATGTCAATATCCAAGTCAGTCAAATTGCCATGACATTGTTGCTGAAACATTACTTTAAAATAACTGTTCAATGAGATTTCCTGGTTATTAAAATGGTGATCTAAGAAAGTTGGCTGTCAATTTAATTTCATTTCCAAGGATGCATTTTTTATCAAATGCTTTCGGTGTTATAAGTCCACATAAGATTTTGAGTGATTAGATTTACAAGTTAACAGAGCCAGCAAATTAGAATTTCACATTCTAAGGGGATGCCAAAAACTTTTATAGAATGCAGGCAACTGTGAGTAGAACAAAAGATTTGTATTATGAAATATAAGAGTCTACATCCAAATGTAAAAATACGACAGCCTGGGTTAAGCATGGTTTTTGTAATATCAATTGCAAGGTTCAACACTATGAATTGGGTGATACTGTTTTGTATATAGGTCATCACAATTATTTTGGGATGTATTGTAGATAGTTATGTTTAAAATTTTTATAATTATGGAGAAAAAAGGCTTACTTCCATTATTATGCATGTGAAGGAGCAGACGAATTAGATTTCGTTGAAGCTGAATCAACAGTGTCAGATCTATTCTCTGAATATATTACTTATGACATAGTAGACTAGGAACTTGATTGATTTGGATTGATTAATCTGATAGCTAATTTTGCATGTCACTATATGAATATTATAACCATTTTTGGATTTTGATAATTTCATAACCAAAGAATCTGATTGGGTAGAAAAGGGTTTACCATTAGTCGAAATGGGAAAATGACATCTAAATGTTCGTGTGTAGAAAGTAGCTATTTTTATAACAATTATACTATATATGTCTTTTCAGACGTCATTAATCAATTATTATAATCATAAGCAGTGATGCAAAAGTTAAATGAATATCAAGAATACCATTTACCTGAATAGTTTGATGAAGATTAAGCGAGGGGGAGATTTCTTATGCCATCATTTCTGCCTTATAGTTTATCAAAACAGGATGTTAAACTAGAGGAGAGATCCATGGTTTAGATTGATTCCCAGGCTTCATTAAAAGATGAAGCCATCGGATTACAGAACATTAAGGGACACGTGAAGAATGCCTATATCAAAAAGATACATTCTCTCCTTAGCGTTGAGGGAGAGAATGAGAAGATTGTCAAGAAAATTTAAAAGGAGCCGAGTTCATCCAGTAAACAGTTGGAAAATGAAGATCAAAAGATGATAAGAAACAGGGAAAGTGCAAGAAATTCCAGATAACGAAAAAAGTTATATATCAACCTATTGGAAAAGAAGGTTGAAGACTTAAATTAAGCAATCGAACAACTCAGAAAATCAACAGAGTCAACTTTTCAGAGCATACACTCTGTGTTAGAACAGAATTCGAGCATCTATGACATGATTGTCGAATAGACTTCATTGTTCGAGTAACTCAAGATAAAGGAATAAGAATTTAATGAATTGTAATAATTGCTTACAGAATCATACAAGCTCAAGTTCAATGCTACAGGCACCAAGCGCAAATAATATATGCGATATTGCTTCTAAAATATTGCAAGGCTCCTCTTAGATGGAAACTATGGCACCTTGCTATTTGGACAAAGTTACTTCTCAAAGACATGTAATCGTTTCTCATATAACCAATTATAGATACAATGCATGATGAAGAGGAATTGAAAGATTACTTGAAAAATCTTAGAGATGCCACAGGGATCTGTGATGATACAGTGTTTCTAAACTTATACGCCATTGTCAGGAGAGTGATTGATCATAAAAAAAATTTCTCTTTGTATTCATTTTCTATAACATAGTCTCATTAAACAAATCAAACTTAAACAAAAGGAACTGAGAATCTGCTAGTAATAAATTGATGATCAAATCGATGATATCCAGTTGAATGGGATTTAATTTGCAAATCTTATTCATTAGGTAAATAAAGATCAACAAAATCAAACCCAAGTTTCACAACCCCTTGAAATTCCTAAATAAAACTAAATGATATTAAAAATGGTGCCTAAATACCCCTTTGAACTCATGAATAACCCATTTTTACTCCCCAACAGCTTAATGATCGATCCACTTTAAATTGACCTTCTTACCAAAAATTTAAGATAGCCTTGAAATCTTAATATGATATTAATTTATACCTAATTAGTATATTTATATTATTAAATTTATGTGAATTCATTTAAGACATCTTAGAGCAAAGTATATTAGATCTTAAATTAAATTAATCATCATCATTTCCTATGAATTAAATAAATGGATGTATATCATATTTTGAGAGTAAATAAGGGAAAGGTATTGAGTACAACTTGAGTGTAATTGATACGATTTAAAGAGAAACTGAATTTTATGAAAGAACAACTTAATGCATTAATTAATTAATAATTACACTATTGTACACTGAAGTGAAATTGTTCGATTTTAAATATCATAAGGTTGATTAGCATTTTAACTTTACGAATGTATAATCTACATATGCTTTGATGGAAAAATAATATAAATAGATTTAACAAATAAAATTGCTTTGTTGTTAGAAGCGTAAAACGTATGTAGACACAATTTGTAGTTTCATGTCCAAATTTTAAAAACCCTAACATTTTAGATGTTATATGAAGAATTCATAGGTAATTCGGAAATCTACCTTACTTGGTACAGTTTGAAAAATACTGAGTTTGAAGAGAGAAAAATCCAATTCTTTTCGAAGTTATATTAAAACATTTTCTTGGTAATATAAAGTAATTAAAGAATAAATTAATTGCTCTTGATTATTCTACAGATAGGCACATACGCAAATAAGGAACTAATAGAACATCAAAAAATGGTGGTATCATGATATCGCGAAAAAAGAATAAATTGAAAAATTATTAAATGAAGATTGAAGAGATGATTATAATATAATTTGATAGTTAATTTAGTGATTTCTAAACTCATAGATTAACAGTTCTTAATTTAATTAACAATCTATTTCTATTGGTAATAAATAAATTACAATTATAGAAATTCACTGAAAAATCCAAAGAATAAATTTTATTATAATAATATTTTATCAATCAAATGAATTTAATAATAATATATAATTATATAGTGATCAATTTAATTTTTAGTTTTGGTTTGAGTAACTTTGTATAATTTTTAATATCATTAGATATTTACTATAGGTTTCATTATTCAATTATTTATCCAAACTGATTAGCTCCTTATCTAGATAATTCTTTTGCATAAGTAATAGTAAAATATCAAAATTGAATGCTTTTATTTAATATTCTTGTCAAAAATTAATTTTAGATCAGAATTAATAGTCGGAAGGTTTACCTTTTAAATAGGATTAGATTCAGAGATTGTTTTTAAATTACTTTTATCAGAAAATGATAGGCAATTTTAATTAAAACAGGATAATAAAGTTGATAAGAAATTATTACTTAATTGAATGGTTAACATTTGCTTGATATGTGATTTTTTCTATCCTTGTTTAGGCGGTGTGGAAATGCATATCTTTTAGCTTGGCTTATGTATTAAAGATTTGGTATTTTAGGTTTAATCGAAAGAGGGCACAAAGTTATAATAATAACACATAAATATCAAGGAAGATCTGGAGTTCGATATATGACGAATGGATTGAAAGTTTATTACTGTCCATTCATCCCTGCCATTTAGACGGTTGTGTTATTTACATATGTGGGCACACTTCCAATATTTAGATAAATACTATTGAGGGAAGAAATACACGTCGTTCATTCTCATGCAGCTACATCGTATTTAGGAGGAGAATTACTACTACATGCAAAATCAATGGGGTTTAAAACAGTATTTACTGATCATTCGTTGTTTGCATTCAATGATGCAGCATCTTTTCATGTGAATAAAATTCTCAAATATATTTTGTGTGAAATTGATCATTCAATATCTGTATCACATGTGAGCAAAGAGAATTTATCAATGAGAGCATCATTGGATCCCAGGAATATTTCTGTAATTCCAAATGCAGTTGATTGTAGTAGATTTACTCCAAATCCTTCAAAAAGATATCCTCTTAATACAATTAACATTGTGGTTATATGTCGAATGACATTTAGAAAGGGGGTGGATTTACTTGTGGATGTCTTGTAAGTAATTTGTAAATAGCATCCAGAGATATACTTTATAATAGGCGGTGATGGACCAAAGAAAAAGATTCTCGAAGAGACCATACAAAGATATAATCTATAGAATTAAACTGAATTGGTAAATGTTGTTAATAATAATAGTTAGGAAGTGTTCCAGGTCATTAAGTCAAAGATGTACTCAATAGAGGTCACATATTTCTAAATACATCTTTGACAGAGGCCTTTTGTATAGCAATCGTTGAGGCTGCATCATGTGGATTGTGTGTTGTTTCAACTAATGTGGGAGGTATTAGTGAGGTATTGCCAAAAAATATGGTTTTGTATGCAGATCCAACTCCTGAAGATATATGTCATAAAATAACATAGGCAATTCCGATTGCTAAAAACTTTTAAGTCTATTAATAGCATGAGCTTGTAAAGAAAATGTATAGTTGGGAATAAGTGGCAGAGAGAACCGAAAAGGTATATTACAATATACTGTAAACTTAAAATTAAACAATATTAAAACGGTTTAAGGATTGTTATAGCAATGGATAGATATATGGATTGTATTTAATGATTCTCTTAATATTCGACTTGATTTTTTTAATGATTCTAGATTTCCTTCAACCACATAAGGGAATTCAAAAACCTGGAATTTTCAATCAAATTTATAAAAATCAAAAAGAAAAGTTTGGGGATCATCTATTTAAAGCTGATTAGTAAAATTGATATTGTTTTGACGTACTCAAATATTTAGATATAATAAATTCAGAGTTTCATATATATCATAAGGTTAATGTATATTAATATGGAAAATTAATAAAATGTTATCATATTATTTTTAATAATGATGTCATTAATTTTTTATGGTCTTCTCCCTTTGGCTTTGTCCCAATTGAGCAGTGTGAATTGCTTGTTTGAATAGTAGTTTGATATCGATACTTATGAGGATCTAGTTGACAAGGCAAAGTTTGGAAATGGGTCGATTGATGTGATACAAACAACTAAGAAACTGATATTATTGGATTCAGATCTCAACATTCTCAACTCCACACTTGGCCCCAAAACTACTGGCTATTCTTGTAATAGAGTGATGGGTTATCCATTGGGAAATATCTTTTTTGTTGGTTGTCAATAGAATGGATCCGTGGCCTACTTGCAAGGCTATTAATGCAATGGATTGAACTGCAATTCCTTTGGAGACATAGTGTATATTCCTCTTGGAGTCTAATTGTTTGACAAGGCTGTAGTGATTGGAAACACCCTAGTAATGTTATAAACTGACAGAGTCATATTCTACACCGTAGTAGTTCAAGCTACGTCGTGGTATTTAAGGACGACATCTTATGTTTTTGATAAATCCTACTTTAATAAAACTAGTTTGTACTTAACAGATTTTGATATCAAATCATATTACATGGACTCCTAGTTAGTCTACAGGATATTGATGACGGATAGAAATGATGGTGTTCTCTGGGTCGATTCGATTTTCAGAACAAACAACTTGGTTCCTTATAGTTAAGGCTCTATTTTGTTAAGACAAACAATCACAAATCTCAAAACAACAACAAAATTTAAAAGTGCAGCTATTTTGAATGCCAGTGAAAATTCAACTGAGTTTGTTGTGTCAACAGACTTGGAGGATAATTACTAGTTATTTTATCAATCAAATAAGACAATCTTAGAATCTGTGTTGAATAGGTACAAAGATTGGACTCCAATAAGTTATATTACTCTAAAGGGAAATGCCGTGGCCATTCCATATTAAAATTCTTAAGGGACAATCGTTACTCCTCTCTACAAGGTTAAGTAATTCTCCGAATCAAGTGATTTGATTTAACTCTAATAAGAATACACAGATTTGCTCTTTTCTAGTTCATTAAAACACTTTTTGATTTATTTTGTGGAAGGTGACTACGTTATCTACAAAAGCGACACTGATTCCTTTACAAAATGTAAGTTGGGCCAGTATAATAATATCAATTAGTGATTATTATTAAGTTGTAACATCAAAAATCATATAAACAATTTTTAAACTTTTTTCTTTGACTTATGATCAAGTTCAAATCTCCAACTCTTTTGTTCTCTTGTAATTGTTCATTATTGTATGTAGTGCCAATATGAATTGCTGGAATAACAGCCTGAATAGTCTGGGGATTATTTGAATTCTATATTTAATGAGGGAAGAGCTTGGTTACTGAGCGATAATTGATTTGGAAGTTGTGGAATAGAATTTAAAAGTCAGAATTTGAGTTATAATAAAATGATTTGATTATCTTGATAAATAATAAAATATTAGAGCGAATTCAGCCTTAAATAAATTAAATTAAATGAGTTTGGGTTTCAAGTTATACAATAATAACGGGAATAATGAGGTAATCAACAAGAGAAGGAAGTTAAGTATTGGAAGTGAGGGGAGTGAATCAACTGGAGAGAAACTAAACGAAAGCTTTAATAGATTGAATTTGAGTGGGGGCAATCCTTCCAGCTCATTTTAGCCCTATGTTAAGATAGCCATCCCTCAAGTCCCTCAAACGGAGAGATCTCTTCCTAAACCACCTTAATTGGTTTTGGGAATCTAAAAGTATCTCAAATTGGGAGAAGATTTAGATGTCTCAGATCTCTTAACCAAGCCTTTTAATGATCTGCAACAGATACAAAACAATCTAGCTCAAACCTAATAGAGATTACACTTCATCCCCTTTGGAATGCCTGCCAATTATGAAAAATTAATGGCCGAAGCCTAGTAAGTTCTCAAAACAGAAATAAGAGTTGAAGAAGAAAGACAGAAAAGATCTATGGATGACTTTCTCATCGAATAGAAACTATTGAATCCCGGATAGAAACTAAGTAAAGAAGAAAGAGCTGCTAAAGTTGCTGCCTATTTGGAGAAGAAACACAATAGACAGTGGAAACAAGTCAGGTAATTCTATTGTTGTATATGTTTATAGATACCCTGTAAGAAAGAATCTGGCAGAATACCGGTAAAGAGAATAGGGAAGATTCACTAGAACTGATAAACCCCGTTTCAACCAGAGTCTGATCATGTTAGATAAGGAGGAGAGGAAAATGGAAACATTGGCTAATTCATATTCTTTATTCATAATTAATATTATTATTATTATTTAGATTATTATGAGTGACTAAGAAATATTATTAGTTAAAATATTTAGAAAATACTTTTTAAATGCTTACAAGCTAATCTTTTCATTGGACTAAAAGTAAGCAGATAGATTCAAAGAAAAAAATACCTATTATTACACCTAATAGCATAAGGATTGTCATCATGAACATAAAGATGATGATAGGAATTGTTGTGGATCCTTCTTTGCTAAAGTCTACATACCTGAAAAAGAAAGAAGTGCCCTAGAACAAATTGTATTTGAATAATTGTCTAAGAACAATATTCGAGCCAAATTGCCATAGATTTTGGATTATTTGTAATAGCGATTTAATAGCATTAAGAAATCTGGAAAGAAGGACAATTTACAATGGGATGTAGAAACTGAAGTTTACATCTTGAATGAAGTCATGAGAGAAGGATTGCAATTCTATTTCCTAAAGGAGATTAGATTGGAAATGTAGAAGGAATAATACATAGATTCCAAATAACAAATGCTTGTTGCCACTCCTCAGACTTGGATTAATAAATATCCCAAAATTGAATTAAATTTCTTATCTGCAGACTTCATGTATGATTTGATGAACACGGGATGGAGTGTTATGAATAAATTCATTAATAACAATGACTATTGTCATGCCTTATTTAAAGAATTAGATTTTCTAGAAAGAGATGGTCGATTCGAAGAGGTTCAAACTGAACTCCAAAGAGATGACAAGACATTTTGGTTGACTCTCAGTTAAATGGATAAGGATTCCTTTAAAAATCTCTATTTCATCTCTCACATCCTCAGTGCCTTACCTTATGAGTTGAATTCCAAGAACAAAGATCTACTAGTTTAGATTAGCGAATCATACCAAATAAGTTTCTTTGGAGGAAAGGATAAAAAACATAAGAAGCATTTTGATTCTTCCTTCGATAAAAAGGCTGATACAGGAAAAAAGTTCACTTTTCTTTACGTTGTTAATCCTGTTACCATTGAAATTGAAGAACAAAAAATCACTTTGCAGCCAGATAATATTGTTGGTCTCATGAGCAGGAAAATACCATATGCACTATACTCAAATGATGGCAGAGCCTTTTTAATAAGATATTTTATAGATGGACCTGTGACCAATATTTGTTGAAGGATATATCATTTATATAGATTATATTTAGATGAACTTCAAGATTGCTTGAGTATATTATTAAAAGGTCTCTTTCTATCAGGATTTCTTTGTTCACCTCATAAATTATGGATTTCACAAATTTCTAGATAATAAGTGAACATTTTATTTCTGATTGATTATATTATATATATATAATTAAAGCTATGGAATACGAGATTATGCTGTTGTGCAATACATTAGGAATTGGAATTGTTGTGATGATTATCCTTTATCATTTGATTGGTACAAAAGCAGATAAGAAAACATATTGATAAATATTCATATTTCGTGTTGCAAATCCTTATCTAAATGATGAAATTTTGTTGTCAATCCTTATATAAATTCAAAGCCTCCATTATTTCTATGAATTAAAATGATATTCAGTTTATGAAGTTATATCACTCATATCTTTCCTTAGATAAATTGCTTCATCTTTCTATTTAATATCAACTATCTGTTTTTTCAAAATAAATAGTATCCTCAATAGAAAGATGCCAGCATTCAATTTTTTCTACATTTAATCTACCCAAAAAGAACATTCAAACATGCTAAAGAAATTTTAAGATTTCTATTTATATGCTATATTTTATTTAACTATAATTAGTTATTTTTCATTCTGAAATTTCAGATCATTGAGCATAATTATACACTTTACTTTCTAATACTATTCTAATTGTAAGTTGGATTCTGCATTAATTAAATGCAAATTTTTCTACAAAAAATTGAATAACAGATATATTCAAATTGCTTGAGTAATCATAAACCTACTTAATAAATTATACGTAAATAGAATAAATAATGAATGTTACACATAATTATAACTATATTATATATATCAGATAACTATTTTTTTGCTATCTGTAGTGAATACTCTTAGATATTGAAGGTAATCAATGACACTAGCAAGTACAAAAGGATCATTGATCCCGTCTAATTGCATTGCTGTATCTAAAAACATTTTTTCAGGATTTTATAGAAATTCCCATAACTTTTTTCTGTTCCAAATGAATTTTTAACAAGAATTTAAATCTCCTCCTCCGTATTCCATAGACCAATTGGTTCTGAATCTCCTTAGGTACACAGTTCTTAATGAAGGCCCTAGGTTGGTATCCACGTCTGAGAAATAGTGATGACAACCATACCCAAATGATGGCAGGAAGCACAATTAGTTTTATAATAGGTTCTTCCTTCAGCCAAATCTCCGTTTGGGATATCCAATTGAATGTCATTTGGGTTCTCAACTTGGGGTTTTCTCTTGAATTTGGGATGGCTCTAACCTCTTATCTCAAAACCAACTTGGCCATCTTGAACTTTGCGAGTTCTCATTATTTAATTATAATGTTTATAATTAATCATTTTTACTATTGTTATGTGAGATCTTTGAGACTACTTGAAATTTTTAGTTTAAATATTCATCGTTGTACAAAAAACAGCAAAATACAAATTACCAAATTAATTTTTTCATTATGTAGTAGAATGCAATTAAGATCCATATTAATTGTGGGGTAGTTTAATAAGAATTTAAACGACAAAATTAATACATAAATGTTATTGATTGCAATGTATAAATTCAATAATAATTAGAATGGATGAATATGATGAGTTTTCTGATAACTCCATTGAAATTACAATAAATGAGTATTAGGGAAAGGAATCGCACATCACAGAGAAAAGTATAATTCGATACCTAAAAAACTTGGGTCTCAAAATGAAAACCAATCCTATGATTAAACAAATACAATATGAAAGGTCCAACAATTAAATCATTGATGTTCTAACTTCAAAAGCCCTGTCTTCTTAGGGAAATATTTTGAAGGAAACAGAAACAGATTATAACACCTTATTCTAAAAAAATCCATTCTGGAAAAGAATTAGAAAACAAAGCTCCTCTTTAAAAGTATTGCATCATACATGAGGTTTATTTAATTTCATACTAAATTGAGAATTATTAATGACATTTTTTTGAGGGTCCCCCAAACCTTATTTTTGTCAATATCTTTTTTATAATTCAGTTTTTTCACATTATAAAAATCTTGATACTGAATAAACTCCAATATGCTATTGAAAATGCTATAGATAAAAAATATGAAATTGCGATTTGACATTTCCATATTTTAATAAATTATAGAAAATGCCTCCCAAGACTCAAAAACAAAAAGAGGAAGAAGCCGCTCGATTGGCCGAAGAATAAAGACTGAGAGAAGAAGAGGAAGAAAGACAGAGAAAAGAATTAGAGAAATATTAAATAAGTAAACTAAATACTACTAAGTAATTCAATATCTTTAACATCAGCCTGCCCTTGCCCATTACAAAATACTACATTGAATATGTATATCCACACCCAGAACCCCACAAAGCAACAATAGAATATTTGCATAAAGTAATTGAAAATATATATAATAAGTTAGCTCAAATTAGTAACTGCAACGATCAACTAAGAGATATCGATTTTTAAGTAGCTGCAGATATCCTGATAAACGATCTGATATTTGCTAAATCATTGAAAGGTTTAAATGATGAAAGTGTATAAGTATTGGTAAACATCTTATTTTTATCATTTACAAATAATAACAGTAAATTTGGTCAGGAGATGAGATACAACAATACACTTCAGCAAAAGAATAAAATTACAGATGCAGAGTTATTTAACAATTTATTGAAGATACATGCAGAAGCAGGATATTTTCGATCTATGCATATTTTACCAATTAAGGATCATTTTTAAATCTACATAAATCACTTAGATTTGATTAATTAGGCCTTTAAATCAGATCAAAGAACTTTGGAACTACATATGGATCTTCAGATGGACTTGCCCTTGTAGCCATTGCCCCTTGATGAAGCCTTGATTTATCGCCCCTTTGAACAAAAGACTGAGGATGATGGATAAATTGAAACGGTTGATTAAGAAGATCAACAGGCACCACCAGAACCAACTGATGAGGAATTATTGGATCCAATTATAATGGAAGCAATACAAAGAAAATTAGATTTAGCTAAATAAGAATTAGAAGACAAATTAGTAGCAAGATAAAAGGATATGGAAGAAAAGTTATTGAATATGGCTACAAAAAAGAAATGAAAGGATGACATTATTACACTATTATATTTAGAATAGACCATATATATCTCATCTAAAATATGAACTTATTTTTGATGCTCTATTTAGATTTTTGATAGTTTTTAGAATAACTAAAATTTTGACATAACAATTAATAATCAAATCCATCTATTAGTTATGGCATCATAATTTAGATGAGATTTTCCTCCTTGTAATTTAACAGGTCTTTTAGGTAAAGCTAAGACTGGACACGTATCATCAATATTTTATTTCTCAACATAGTCCATTTGATAAGTTGAATTTCCTGTTTATCCAGGATCTCCATATAAATTTCTTTAATGGGGATCTCTGTATTTATCTTGTTTGCAAGTAGGCATTGGAATATATGCAGTTCTATAAGTACTTGAACCAAAATCAGTGCCGCAATTTGGACCATCCTTTACTGTTGGTTTAAATTACTCTTTCTCTCCAATTGGCTTTGGTATGTAATCCACACCATAGGTAGTATCCCACGGGACTTACCTTGGAGCAGATTTATACTATTTTTTTGTAACTGGGGGTTTTAAAGGTAATGGAAATCTTGATAGACACAGAGAATTACCTTTAATAGTTGGTCTAATAATCGGATTAACTAGTGAATGGTTACGAGGATGGAATCTTTGGTAATTCTCTAATTTCTTTATCGGGAAGTGGTCTCTTGATATACTCACTTTGATAGGAGCTGAGCAAGGTAGATGGATCATAGGCATGCTTTTAAGGTTACCTTTCATAGTTAAAGGGTTTCTATTTGCAGGATTTCCAAGGAAGATAATCATGTCTAATATTAATAAGTAATTGTACTGGAATGTAGACTGAAAGTCGCCATGCATATTATCGGAATGAATGGGACAATGATGCTTTCCACATTTACATATTTCACATACACACCTATTATGAAATTAATTAGATGAAGGTATTGACTTAGAGGAATGGAAAAGGGATTTGATTGTATTATTAATCATAAAATAATCATTGTTATTGCTTTGATTCTTTTATTAAATTACGTAATTCTTCTGATTGTTTTTTCCAATTAGGATCCAAAGGAGCCTTCCCTTATTTCTTTTATAATTGTTTTTCCTTAATCTGTCCTTATCGTTATAGTTTTTATTGATCATTAGTAACAACTCTTGCTTACTTTGAATTGAATTCTTGTCTTTTCTATTGGAACACTTGTTTACAGACCTTTACGTGCTTTTCCAAGGCATCTGATTTAAATTATCTTCCGCACCCTTCAGGACATAGGACTAATTCTAGTTCTTCAATAGGTTCTGCTTCCTCTATATGTATTATCACATAAAATACCAAGCTATTATAATACTCTCTCTTGGTTCGCGACTGCTAATTTGTTTTCCAATGGATTTTTGGATCCCAATAAGGCAGCCTCTCTTTTGTTAGATTGTTATCCAATAGATGGCATGTAATATTCTCCTTAAATCGTCTTTACAGATTAAACTTCCTTTTTCTCCTGAGGTTATTGTGTCTCTTTCTTCTCTACCTGTATTTATTTCCTAAACAGCTCCTCTTAACCAGGTAGATAAAGTCCTTTGGAAACTGGAGCTGTATTTTTCTTTTCGTCTGATCGTTAGATCCTATCTTTAAGCGGGATTTTTTCTTAGAATGTTCCTGTTTTAAAGAAATCATCTTTCGTATTTGTTAACTATGGTTCCTATTCTTAAGGTTGAGGAGAACGGTTGCGAATGTTGAAAGCTGGTTTGCAAGCAAAATTTGGTTTTATACTGATCCCATTATATTCTGACTTTTGAGTACTTTCGAGAGACAAGGTCTACTCCTGCTTTTTAAACGAGCCAGAAGTACTATCCATCTTCAGGTTCGGTTTATAATTCATTTTTTATTATTTTTATATTTAATAATTTATAATAACAACCTCAGATGAATTGGGCATTCATTTTTGTATTCTGATCATCCTCCCATTCATTTGAGTGATATTCAAATAAATATTACTAAATGATTTTTATAATAAACATTGAAAATAACAATTACAAAATAAAATAATCTTAGGATTAACTTAAAACATTTGTTCAATCATTTAAGATTTAGAATTAAAATCCTTTATTTGAGGTTTTAAGTAAAAGTATCAAATGTCAAGAATAAGTTGGAGAACCACATTTTGAATATAAAAATGAATATCTTACTAATTTTGGCATTAAGTGAAGGGAAAAGATTATGAAGGAACTTGAATTGGTAAAGTATCAAATAATATGCTTTTGACATCAACTCTAATTATTTAGATTAAATGAAAGAATGTTTGGAAATGATAGAATTGAAACTCAATCAAACTCATAAATTAAATTCTGATCAATATAATTACTTATGTATCTTAGGGTAATACTCAATTTTGCATAAAAAAATATATTAAATTATAGTTTTTAGAAATTAGAGGTATCTTTAAAACGCGTAATAATTTAGTTAATAAATCCTTCAGTAAGACTCTTATAGAATTGAAAAAATATAAACATAATTAGTAATAAATTTTATTGACTGTGTAAGTCTATATATTAGTTTATATTGTGTTTTATTGGTAATGCATACGTATTCTACACAGATGCTTAAGATTTGAGATTAGTGAGAAAGAGCAAGAGCAAGAGCAAGAGCAAGAGCAAGAGCAAGAGCAAGAGCAAGAGCAAGAGCAAGAGCAAGAGCAAGAGCAAGAGCAAGAGCGATAAATATATTTAAATTGTGTCATAAATAAATAATGAACTTAGTCTAATAAGTAATATTAGTTCAGATGAGCAAGGATATTTATGATTCTGGATAGGTAGACTTTAGGGCTAAACGAGTTATAAAATTGGAAGATTTGGTAGTTTGGAATTAGAGGATTGGCTATAAATGTGTGCGAAAGAAATAAACAAGAATTTAAGACCTATTTTTTTCATCAGCTTGACATGATGATTCACAAATACACCTGTTATCATACTCCTTTCCAAGAGACATTAAATAGATTTGAACTACAAAATGAGATAGCCGAATAGACTGAAATTAATAAGTTAGTTATTAAAATAAACTAAAAAGAACTAATTTACTCAAAATTTTACAACCATTAATTTTAGTAGCTTTTGATTCTATGGAAATTGAATAAGAAGAATAAAACATATAAGAACTGATTGCATCTTAGACATCCATTATTAATGTGAGAACTTAAGTTGACTTAGAATAATATTTCCAAAATATCAATATTAGATTGAAAAAAGAGTATTTGAAAAATAATCATCTACGTAATTGTTATTTGGACATATTTGAAAAAGACAGTATACAAAGAAAACAATGTTCAACTACTGAATTACTAATCAATTTGTTCAAGACATCTTATTCGGAATTTATGAATAAATAAATTGACAATATCGGAATTATTAAACTATTTATTGAAGACAATATTGATGCCTTCATTACTGGATCACTGATACCTCCCTAATAAGTTTGGCATGATTATAAAATATTAATTTTAGCCATTATAATTAAAATTATGAGAAGTAAATCTATTAGTTATATTAGTGAAAAGCAGTACAGGACAATTGATTTATGAATGTATGGTAGCTCAAATATATGCAAAATTAGGGTGCATTTTTTAAGATGAAGTCCCATATATTCCAGAGTTCAAAGATTATTTTGAATGGTATTTTTGGTCTGATGACAGAAATAAATATTTAGAAATAAATGAGCTTACAGAAGATTAATAACGTCAATTAAGAATAGTAAGTATTATAAGAAAATATTCCTTTTTGCTTTGGAGTTTGTTATGGATTGATCCGAATTAAATCTTAAGCATAAATCCAGATCTGCAATAATTTAGACAAGAATAGAAAATACCAGCTTATCGATATTTGAATAAGGATAGATAAATGTTTGCAATTCTAGTGTTTAAATTTGTTTAATGCAATACATTTGCCTTTGTTCCAGCACTTAATGCCTTATACGATGTTGTTTAAGATAAGAAAATATTGTTACCCATTTTCAATATGTTTTAAGATAAATTGAGCAATGATGGACTTTTAGAGAGTTTATTGGATGACTTAGGACCATTGAAGGAACTAGCCAAATATGAATTCTTTGTCTACCCTTAGGTTCATGATAAAGGATTAATAAGGATTGTTTAAGGGAAATTAAAATTACTTCTGGATGAGGGAAGCCAAACAGAAAATGATTTTTATGCAAAATTATTTTTAAACGATTAGAGACCTACATTCTATTAGGATTGATTTAAATAACAGTTAATATTTTAATTTTTGAATTTATTTTACGCTATGTTAAGTATGAATGCATCTCTATTTAAGCATAAAACTATTATGATTTGAGAGGAGGAGACAAGTTGAGCAATAACAATAGGTAGTTAGAGAGATATGAGAAATTAGAGAAGATTGGAGAAGGTAACTATTGATTTTAATAGTGTTTAGGAACTTATGGAGTTGTGTACAAAGCTCGTGATTCAGTGACCAAGGAATTGGTAGCATTGAAGAAAATCAAATTGGAAAACGAGGATGAAGGAGTGCCATCGACTGCAATGAGAGAGATTTCAATTTTAAAAGAACTCTAACCGCATCCAAACATAGTGGGTCTCAAAGAAGTCATTTATCAACCAAATGAGAAGAAGCTCTACTTAGTGTTTGAGTATGTGGAGATGGACTTCAAGAAATTCCTTGATTAGAACAAACACAATCTAACATTAAGCCAAATCAAAGTATTAATCGAATCAATTATAGCATTTTACATTCCAAATCCTAAATGGTCTCAATTATTGTCACTCTAGACGTATTATCCATAGAGATCTCAAGCCATAAAACATCCTCATTGATAAATCAACTGGAATCATCAAGTTGGCTGATTTTGGATTGGCCAGAGCTTTTGGAGTGCCTATCAAAACTTTAACACATGAAGTTGAAACCCTTTGGTATCGTGCACCAGAAATATTATTGTCATAAAAACAATACTCATTAGGAGTTGATATCTGGTCAGTCGGATGCATTCTCACAGAAATGGTTGAAAAGCATGGTTTATTTTGTGGAGACAGTGAAATCGATCAAATCTTTAAGATATTTCAATACCATGGAACCCCAACAGTATAGGATTGGCCAAACATAGCAGATCTTCCGGATTTCAAGCCCACATTCCCAAGATTCAGACCAACTCCTCCAGAGTAATTTTTCAAAAACTTTGAGAAGGTATGTCACATAAATAACAAATTTAGAATGGATTGGATCTAGTTACTAAAATGATAGCCCTTGATCCTGCTAAGAGAATCTATGTGAAAGAAGCAATGAAACATCCATTCTTTGATGACTTGAACAAGGAAGATTTAATTAAATACTTTCCCCCTGGCCAACAAAATCTAGCTATGCAATATGGAAAATGAAAATTAATTAAAGATAATATTAAAATAATCAATTGAATAAAGGCAGTCTAAAAATGCTGAGAGTGTTATTCTTAGATAATAAAATATTAGATTATTTAATATGAACACATATATTTTTATTTATTAGACCGTAGCACAGTATTCATGAAATATATTTTATCTGAAAATTATTAAATGAATTACTTATAAATTTCAATCTAAAATGATAAATATATAATATTATTTCAAAGATATGATTACTTGCCACTAAAATTGTATTCTCCTTTTATATGAGATATTACTTAGATTATACTCTGTGTTATCATCATTAACAAAATTTATAATACATGTTAAATAATGGTAAAAAGTGAAAATATAAATAAAAATAAATAAAATTATTTGTAAAGAGCAAAAGTATTTGAATATAATTTATTTTAAAAAAAATATCAATAATGACTTCCTCTGCTGTTAGTGATGTTGAAATATAGAAATAGGCATAATAATAATAAAATAATATACTTGCAATATTGAAATCTGGTAATGCAACAGTTGTGAATGAGAAATTGTAAAGATGCAAAGATTTTAAGGATGGTAAGGATATTGCAATTCCATTTTGCTACAAAGGTAAATATTAAATGATGAGAGTTTAGAAAACTCACCAAAGGAAGAGCTAGTACTAGAGCATGTTTAATAATTTCAAAAGCAGTTTCAATTACATTATGATGAGAAGAGAAATCTGTTTCTTTATCCCAAAAATGAGTGTGATTTGTACAAATTTATCTGCACAACAATTCGGCCTCAAAAAATCGGATATTTGGAGCTCTATAATTACGAATAGTGTGCGAGATATATGAGTTTTTTTATTGCTTATGAATAATTGGATCCTCCTGATTAATTCCCTAAGGTAATACCAAGTCCAACTAATGTTGCGAGATGGTAAAAGGGAGATTGCTTTGATTTGTCCATATTACTTTGCAGTGTTTTAATTGGAGTGGGTTATGATGCCTATTGTGTTTATGGAACAGCTCCAAGGTCAATTACAAGTAAAAATGAATCAGATCTTGATTACATCTTCATTAACAATGGAATAAAGGAGGACAGCGAAGACAAAGACAAGGATAATGATGAACTCAAAGACAATGAATTCGCTATTCTCCCAAAAGAGGAGATTATCTCTAAATATGACACTAAAATACAAAAGTAGAAGGAAGAATACGAAAAAGAGCAACGAAGAATAGCTTTAACTATAGACGATGATGAACCTGACCAAATGGGACAAGATTTTTATGCTGGAAGGAGAATTCATTGTTGGATTCTCTTGAAGGCAGGAAAGAGAGGAGTTGAAAGAAATCTCTTCATTGAACCCTCAACAGGAAGAATCTATTAGATTAATGATAGTCCCTTTCTATCTGTTGATGCTGTATTCAACAATAGGAACTTTTGGATTAATATGAAACTTGAATCAAAGGTTGCTGATTTAAATTTTGATGAAATGGATACTTCTATGAATTGGGAATATGTTATGCTCGACACTTTGGTTGAACAGGCATAATAAGATGATGAAGATTATAATTATGGTGAAGATCATAACCAATAATAAAAGCAAGTAGATCCACAATAATAACAATTGCAAGACATAGCTTAAATCTTAGATATGCCTCCACCATGGCCACCGAAAATCTTTATTGATAAAGAGTGCTTTCTCAAAGGAACTCCTTTAGGAGAGTCAACGGTCTTTTATAAGAAATGTAAAATAGACTCCTTTGCTCCTTACTCTCAAGAACAAGATGGACTCGTCTAGAGATTTACCATCTATCAGGATTACAAAAGATTGAAAATACAAGAAATAAGGTACTTTTACAAACATAGATCTGACAAATTAGTGTTGAAAAGGAGATTCCCTTACGAATTTAAAACTATTGAGGAGTATGAACCTGGTAATAAACCACAACGTAAGACTATTACTACAATTGACAGACAATTGAGAATCATTATTTATTACCCCACTAGAAATCATGATGGATTGATCAAAAGAATCGAAAAGATAGGAGAAAAGACTATTGAAGAATATGAAAACAGAGATGATCGTGTTATTTATCGATCTGTTAGATTTGATCCAAAAGATAAGAAGTTTGAATAAAGAGACTTAACACACAATGATAGATATATGGGTTAAGTCAAAATTACTAAAATGACTTAAAAATATGAATTGAGCGAACTCTATCCAGCTAGTGAATAACCATAGAAGGTTGTTATTGATTTGCAAAAGAATCTTATTAAGTAATTAGATTTGGTATTTTAGAGTCTACTATCATATGAATAAAGGAGAAATCAATCCATAATTCAAAGAGTTAAAAAGAGAGAATATGCATAGCTTGGGCAAATTGACTGAACCTGGAGTTGAAAAAAAAAATGAAGATGCTTTGGTATCATAAGAGAATTAACGCATTGCTAATCTAGGTAAATTATGTATAATATCTTTATTAAGAGAAGGAATGCTTAACGCACATCAAAAATTAGGAGGATGAAGTCAAAAAAGATGAGGAATAGCTTCGATCTTAAGATTTAAAGTTGGAGAAGACTCTTCATGATAAAGCTAGAGAAAGATATAAGGAAACCTTAAAGAAATCAGAAGAGGAAAAATAGAGAGAATAAGCTGATAAGGATTATTTGTATCCATATTTAGAAAAAAGAAAACTTTAAGGAAAGGAAGTTCTATCATACAATGAGGCTTTGGAAATACAAAAAGATGTCATGACCAAATTGAAGGAACGGTATCATATTTAAACTATTTCTAGTTTATTATCAAGAGCAGCTATCATTTAGAAAAAACTTGAAGAGGAAAGAGCAAAATTAGATTAAGCTGAATAAATGTAATAAAAGAAATCAGATCCTGATGATAACGAATATATTAACATTCAATTTAGAATAGATATTTTAGAATAAAGAGCTATTAGATTTGAATCTTAGGCTCTAGTTAAATATGAAGAAATGGATAGAAAATTAAAGGAAGATAAAAGATTGTCAGAACTAAAGAAGAAATGAATTAAGCTATAAATTCGCACACTAATTTATTTATTTCTTAATTATGAGATTATTATTTTAATAATATTCAGATATTATCATTTTTACCTTTCTTTTTATTTTGCTTAGTATTATTTTAAGGAATATTATTATTACTTTGATTAGCATTTTAATTTACATTTTAATTCTCTCTCTTGTGTTTTGATAATTAAATATTTTGTTATTATGATTTTTCTTACCCAGTTGATTACTATTATTATTACTTCAGATTATTTTGATTTTGCTTTTACTTTTTGTATTTAGTAGTATGCTCAATGTTAGCTTGAAAGGAAGAATTAGGAACTTTAGGCATTTCTTTTGAATTATTCAAAGAGTCTTAAAAGTAATCTAATGTATCCTTTAATAATAGATTACTTTCATTGCTTATCACTATATTATTATTAACTTATAAATTGTTTTTTTTATTATTAGCCTCTGATTTTTCTGCAAGTTCCTAATTTAATTTTTAATCATTTCTCATTTTATCCTGCAAAATGATATTAATATTTTTAACTTATTAATTTGTATCTTTAGTATGTGATATCAAATCATCACAATAAATATTGTCTATTCTTTAATTTAAGTCGATATTTTAAGCTAATTAAACTTAGTTTTTTTAATTTTTATCCAGCACTTTCTCTTTTTACTATGAAACACCTTAAATTATATCATCAAACATATTTTGCTCAATTGAATTATTTTGTTGTATTCCATCTATTTTCTATTTAGATTTGTTTTGATTTTATTAATTTTTTTTCTTTTTTCTTTTGTTTTTCTTTTTTTGGTTTCCTTAATTTTTTTCTTCTCTTTTTTCTGTTAAAGGTACATTGCTTTAAATTAAAATCTTAGGAGGAGATATATCTGGAAGATTAAGTTCTATTTTCTCCTATTCTTTTAGAGTCTTTTTAGTTTTCTTATCAGAATTTTGATAATTGTTCATTTTCTTATTTTTATTTTTTTCCTTGCAAATCTTACATGTGATATATGATTGATCATTTAAAACTTAACCAATATTTAACTCTTTAGGAATAATTACACTAAATCCATTTTATCGAATATTAGTCACTAAGTATTTGTTTGAGCATGTTTCAGATTGGAATTATTCACATGCGCAGGCATAAGAATTAGCTATCTATTCCGAAAGGTTCTTAAATAATAAAATTTGATTACTTATTCAAATGCATCAACTGTTGCTATAAACTTCTTTTGTTCGGTGCTAACGAAGAGGCGAACATACTTCCGTAGAGTTCCTTATAAATATTAGTTAGAAAATTAATTCATAGGATTTAATATACAAATATTATCAATAATTCTCCTTACAATATTAATCAAATTAAGTTTATCTAAAAAATGTATGAAATTTTTTGAAATGAATTAATAGTGTTCTATTTCTAAAATAATAATTTAGTATCTAAATATTCTAAAATAACTTCATTAGAAATTAATTAGTAAATGCATAATCATTGGATTTTAATAAATTGAAGAATTGCCTGAATGTTAATAATATTTATAATTTTCATCTAAATGTCCTTCCTATCGTTATTACAATTCTAATGAATTTGAAATAATCAATCATAGCCTTTCTTATTTCGAGATATTCTTCAGTCCTTATAATTAGAATAAATAAAATTATTATTCATAATTACAAATATTCAATTCAACACTTCTTATGAAAATGTTTAAAATCCAATTTATCGATGCTATAAAAACGTCTTAATTTCCTCAATAGTTCTCCAGTTCATGTAACCTAATTGATAAGCCAAAAGCTTCGAACTCTATTTTATTATTATTGTTTTTACTTTTGCTGGAAATTCTAACTCATCAATCTATTTAGCATTTTCTCTTGAACTATAGAGTTCATTTATTTATTCTACTTTAAAATCTTTTCTATTAGAAAATTCAGCCTATAGATCATTTCTCTACTTTAGAATACTTTTAATTTATGAAAAATTTTGAGTTTAATATCGAAACATATTATACATTCTATTGTACTAATTTGAACTACACTTTGTTATTTATTCATCTAATTTTTTGGCCATTTCTTATAAAGGATCATAATCTTAATTAATTTCGTATTTTTAACACAAATTTGTTAAAGTTTATAAAGAATCTTCAATATCTTTAATAAGTTTAGATACATCTGATAAACGTTGTGTTATTACTTTAAAAAGATCTTTAATTTTTTCATAAATTGGTTCTTCTTGTTATATGAAGGTTTCGAAATTATTTAATTTGATATCTGGTACGAATATAACAGTTCCTGTCATATTGAGAAGACTCTCAAATTTATTAGGCTTACTTAGTTTCTCTCCAAACTTTTTTAATTATTTAAATTGGGCTGGATCACTCAAACGAAGAAAATCTACAAAATATTTGCTGTTTCTAAAAAGTTCACTCTTTGCCAATTCATTCAAAAAGAACTCTAGAAGGATAGCCCTTTTTTGAGCTTTATTTTTTGTAGTTTTCTTTGCTTTTTTTTCTGAAAAACTTGGTATACCAACACCTGGGAATAGTTTCAAAAGTGTTTATTATAACCACTAAAATTCTTTATATCTTCTTTACACAGTGTATTCTTCTCCTGTTTTAACATTATATACAACATAATCCTTTTTAAAGAGTCCTCCTGCTTTCTTTTCAAAACTACATTAAATTATATTGATATACCCAGTTATTTTTATAGGCGGAACACCTTGAGCAAATATATTAAACCCCAATTTTTTACATTCTAATTTTGAACACTGAGAAAACGAATAAATTTCAGGGGCAGGCTTTATTGGCATCGTTTATTGTATTTCCTATAGTTTTTGAGCAGTAGGTGAAATTGCCAATGGCTTACCCATGTTAATAAGATCTAGCTTATCTGAGCCTCGTTAATTAATTTCCAATGTTTATAGTTGATGAATTTACTAATTTTGTTTTTGAGTTTATTAGAAAGGTTAATCATTTTTTTGCTCAACTTATTAACCTATCACAGGGGATTACCCTTCATCATCTAAGTCCAACAAGTTCCACATCTAGGGATCGCTTTTTATCTCTTTTTATGGAATGACTTAATCAAAGGCATTCCAACCTAGAATCAAATCATTAGCTGGTTAATTAAAATCAGTTGTAAAAAATTCAATCTTATATTAATTGACCAGCTGCACAATATCTTCAAAAGACCATTTATCAATGTCACTCTCTTATTTTATATTGATTCCTTACCTTCTCCTTTTATTTTTTCGCAAAACTCTTGAAAGTGATTAGGATCGATTCCTTTATCTAATATCTCCTCTTACAAGTAGGTTTCTTTTTAATGTCTTAGATTATTATTCATTTACAATTAAAATAATTTATACGATGTACAACAATATAATACCTAATTTAAGCAAAATATAATCGCGAACTAATTGAATAAAATAATTTAATTGAAAAAGATATTGTGAATAAAGTCTATGCCTTTCAATCATATTAAAGAATTAATTTTTATCTAAATTCTAAGCTTAAACACATTCCTTTAACTCAAAGTGATGAGAATAGAAACAATAAAACTAAATTACTATTTATTTGAAAAGATCATACGTATTTATGATGTTAACTCAAATGGTTTTTAATAATTTTGATTTCTATATATGATAAATACCAAATATATTTATAACATAAGAAAAATTATTTTAATTTATGAGCTTAATATTTATTATTTAATCATGAATTCATTCGTGTACTCTTTCAAGAATCCAAGCAGCGAATTTGTAGAATCGGCTAATTTTGTACAAAATAAAAGGCCAAACTAATTTTGTCTAAAGATTTTTAATTAGCAGTCATACGAAGATTTTAAATTGGAAGACTAATTATAATAACCTTTATAATAATAATCCTAAGATTAGTATCCTTAGCAAAGCATTAGTCAATACTTCCTGAACCCTTAACTGAGTTTAGAATTAAAGTCTAAATTGCCTTCTCTGGATAAATACATCAAGAAAAAGAAAATACATAAGAAGGCAAAGTAATAGACAGCTGCAATTAGAGATTACAAGAAAAATATCTGTAGAAATATTTTGAGACATGGTATTAAAGGAATAAATAACACATAAGCCCAACAGTTTTTACTCGAAAAGTTTAGAAATAGCAATCAGAAATTAATTGAATTTCAAAAGTTTTATTAATAAAATTTGGAAATCATATCAGGCTTTCGAGTCCTCAAAGATCATTTAATAATTAAAGGAGATGAACCTAAGGAAGAATAAGAACGAAAAAGAATTTTTCAATAATATCTCATCTGGTTTTTGTCCTCATAAGCAACAAAGTGCATATTACAATCAGAAGCAAATAACATTGCCGAATACGTTAAATACAAAAATGATGTTTTGTTATATTATGTCTAACAGCCTTCACAATGGTATTCTAATAAACCACTATGGAGATAAAAAGAATGAATTAATATGAATTTTAATTAATTAGTAATAATTTTAAAGTAATTTATTTCAATTTCCAAAAGTCCATCCAAGTCTCTCTTGTATATGCATAAGATCTCTTAAATTATTTTTATAAACAAATATATATTATAATGTAAAATTGTTGTTTTAGAGAAATTTATTTGAAATGGCAAAGCAAAATATTAATTATTATAATAAATTAGCTATCATTATTTATTACTATAATGAGATTGTCTCTTGAGTTAATCTCTGTATAACTGCAATTCTTATTCTTTGTGATTTAATAGTTAATTCAATCTTTCACATTCTCCCTAGAAAAGAGCTAACTTCCCTTCTAAATCTTTGATACTCTAATTTCCGAATTACGAATGACTTTGTCTTCTCAGGATATCAATTTCTTTGTTCCTATCATCAATAATTTTTCTTAGACTATTTGAAATCATATTAATATTAATTACTTAGCCATCTCTTGTGATTAATACTCACTATCTCTTACAACTCTTTCAAGCCTGTTAAACTTTTATTACAAAGCCTCAAAATCATCTTATTTAGATTTTAAACTCATCTCAGCCTTCTTTAAATCAGCCTATAAATTAACTAAAATGTATAAATAATTAATCTGTACATATTTATTATTCGTTAGTTCTTGATTTAGCTAAGTATGTTTGGGCATCTTAACTTTGAGACTCAAGTGATTGACATCTTTTTTGCCACTCATCTAATTGTTCTCTTAATCTATTCATTTCAACATGCATAATATTCTCGTTATCTTAAACAGATCTTCTCATTCTTTCTATTTCCATCTCCACATTCTATCTTGTTTTTAATTATGCTTCCAAACTTTAATATCTTTATCTCCATTAATCAATTTCCTAATTCAAATCTAAAATGGTTTTATTTAATCGATCAATCTCTTGCATCAATTAGTTGACTCTTCCAGTGTCTTCGAAATAAGTAACTTTTTCAGATGCAATATTCGATTATCTCAATCTAATGTTTTCTTGTTATAAATCATAAATTTGTCTCTCCAAAAATTAACACTTATCTAAATAAGCTTAAAATGTTAATACTTCTCCAAGGTTCTTCAATATCACTCCTTGACACTACCTTAACTGGTTTATCGAAGTGTTGGATTTCCTAATATATAGGCTAAGGCTAAATGACTTTCTATTAGACTGGAAGTGCAGCAGGATGCTATTACATTTATTGCTGCTTTGCTAATACTTGAATATCTGGAGATAATTAAAGCTAAACTCATAATAAATAGTACTTCTTGTGCATAAGCTCGAGCAGGAGCAGAACCGAATTAAAATGGCAATCCTGAAGATTATTCATTGGCTAATGGTTTTTATGAGAAGTTGTTGTATATATCAGCTGTGATTGTTTATGGAAATCTAAGTGGGTCATTCGAAGGTCTTGAATTGATTCCAAAGGCCTAATCTCTGTATGAACTCATATTAATTAAATAAAATAAAATAAAATTTATTATTGAAATAATTAATTTATATTCATAATAATACAAATAATTTTAAGTTATTTCACTCCATCCTATTATTAAAGAACAACCAAATTAATTCTATCTGTTAAGCAATTTAAATTCAACTCTTAATATTAAAAGCTTCATATATCTCAAGATTTTCTCCCAACTTCATTTTTTCAGATCTTTACCAAACTAAACAACTCATCTATATCACTTGAAACATCTCTTATGGTAATACAATATTTTATATTTTAAATTACATTTATGTAATCCAAAAGTAATTTACATATTGATATAAAACATTATTAATATGTTAATTGAAATATATTTGTATAATTTTTTAATTGATATTTCGCAATCATCATGACAAATAAGATGGCAAGACAAATAATCTAAATTTTTTAGAACTTATATAAAGGAATTTTTTTTATTAAAATTAGATAGTTTATATATGTACAATAAAGATGATCTGTTTTCATAATATATGAGTTATTCTTGAAACTTAATGTAATATGCATTTAGGAATAAGTAGAAAGGAACTATACTATTTTAATTAAGATAATATCATTGATGATTTGTAGATGTATTCTTAAATATAATTACGTTAAACTTCCAGATATCAAGTTGAAATTCATAATTAATATTATGTTAATAAATATATTTTTTAAATTAAAAAATTATTTGGATAAGATCTGAATACAATCTTCGGCTGAATTGGTAACATGATGTTTATTTAAATGAGTTATCTCCATATTTGTATTTAACAACTTAATTTACTTTGGATAACGAGTTTTCGAATTATTATTATTGTATTAAATAAATATTTCAAAAATGGATCCTTTTAATTTTATTGTTTTATATTATGATCGATTATAAGAGATGAAGATGTCGGAATGCTAAATTTATAATAGTTTAAGAAATCAGGATTTGAAATTAGGAGAATTCTTAATAATTCATGGAATTACATTTAAAGTGTTTTTTTTGAATCCTTTAGAGGGTTGCCTTTATTAAACTACAAGAATTTTATGCTACCCAAGTGACTTGTAAAAGAATGTAAGCTTAAAAAAAGTTCATTTTATGAATCTCTCGAATGAAAAAAGAGAGCTTATAACTCAACTTCCCTTAAATTTACATATTAGTAAAGATTAACAGGTAATTGTCAATGGAGCATTGATGCAAGCAATCAAGTGTGTTCCAAATGACGGAATTTTTACTCAAGAAACAGTAATTATATTTGAGATATTCAATAGTAATGGAAGTTCATTAATTGCTCAGAAAGCACAATCGAGGAGATATAGTTAGTAATGTAAAATTAAACAGATAACAGCAAACAAGAGATATTTAAAAAATACATTCAACCCTATTTTTTAGTTCCTCGATTTATAAAGGAAGGATCTAAGATAAAGATATAAGATATAGAGTTGATTATAAAAAAGAGTTAACCGAAAAAGGGACCCACTACACGCAACACCCAGATTTCTATTATTGATAATGAATAAACAATGTTTAAGTCTATGAATGAGGATGATGAATAAGCAGGATTGTATATGTAGATTAATACACTAAAGATCTTAGAGGTTAATACAGCATCTAGAAATCAATTTGTCTAAAAGAGAAAACAATTCTATGGAATAATGGAGAACTTTGCTTAATATGATGATAAAGAAAATTAAATTATCTTTTCTTCAAAAGATTTAAATAGTAAAGGCCAATCTATTAATGAGTTCCCTAACTTTCCCAACACTTTCCTCACTAATTTACATAAGGAGAATGAAGAAATAGAAATTGATCTTATGGATTTTGATGAATGCAATTTTGGAGCTGGATTGCATGAATAAAATATGAAATTGTCTTAAATGACGCTTCCAGTTTTGTTCAAAAATATCTTTTAAAAAAAGAAACATGGAGCAAATCGATAATCTCAATTGCAATAGCCTGAATAACCTAAGAGTGATGAGTCATTTCTTGATTAATCCTTTGAGTCTGATGCCAATGCTTAGCTCATTAGTGATGCATCATTTCTGATACAAGAAGATCAGCCTCATTTGGCAACTTTGCCTAGATACTTTGACGATATAGTTTTAGTATATTTATTTACTTATTCAATAGTTTAATTAGTAAAGATGGCTCCCTATAATAAATGATGGAATCAATAATAATTTTATTCAATAATTCCCTGAGAGGAAAATAGATTTAAATTGGATATAGAACAAAGGACAAAATATCAATGAGGACTTTTGTAAATGTATGATATGTTTAATGGATTATACTGATGAAGAAATTGTCAAAACTTTGCCATGCTGTAATAAATTTTCTATTTTATTTTAGTGCATTATTTTCATAATGAATGCATTGATTTCTGGCTAGCCAAAAGTATCAAATGTCCAATCTGTAAATATAGATGCGACGAATAAGTTAAGTTTTGATTTGTTATATTATTTCAATATGATTACAAATGTATATTAGAAGTAACCAAAAATAGTAATTTAATATTGTTTAACAATAATAATTAGAAGATCACATAATTATACAATCTTTGAAAATTGATATTCATATAAAATGATTAAAATTAATATTATTTTTTAGTAGAATATGTTCACATATATATGTTTTAGATCTATCAACATACTTTTCGATACAGACTATTATCAAGAATTTTGGCATCTTTAATATAAATATTTAATTATAATATAAAAGAAATATTTTTATAATTAATCAAATAAGATAATAATTATAAATAAGTGAATTTGGTATAATTTAATATATAAGATATAATTTCCCTCATTCCATTTTCCTACCAAAATATTGCAAAAATGAATAACTGATTAAATTAATGGAATTAAATCTAAGAAATCCATTAATTTTAACTATTATTTAGATAATAANTTAGAGGTTAATACAGCATCTAGAAATCAATTTGTCTAAAAGAGAAAACAATTCTATGGAATAATGGAGAACTTTGCTTAATATGATGATAAAGAAAATTAAATTATCTTTTCTTCAAAAGATTTAAATAGTAAAGGCCAATCTATTAATGAGTTCCCTAACTTTCCCAACACTTTCCTCACTAATTTACATAAGGAGAATGAAGAAATAGAAATTGATCTTATGGATTTTGATGAATGCAATTTTGGAGCTGGATTGCATGAATAAAATATGAAATTGTCTTAAATGACGCTTCCAGTTTTGTTCAAAAATATCTTTTAAAAAAAGAAACATGGAGCAAATCGATAATCTCAATTGCAATAGCCTGAATAACCTAAGAGTGATGAGTCATTTCTTGATTAATCCTTTGAGTCTGATGCCAATGCTTAGCTCATTAGTGATGCATCATTTCTGATACAAGAAGATCAGCCTCATTTGGCAACTTTGCCTAGATACTTTGACGATATAGTTTTAGTATATTTATTTACTTATTCAATAGTTTAATTAGTAAAGATGGCTCCCTATAATAAATGATGGAATCAATAATAATTTTATTCAATAATTCCCTGAGAGGAAAATAGATTTAAATTGGATATAGAACAAAGGACAAAATATCAATGAGGACTTTTGTAAATGTATGATATGTTTAATGGATTATACTGATGAAGAAATTGTCAAAACTTTGCCATGCTGTAATAAATTTTCTATTTTATTTTAGTGCATTATTTTCATAATGAATGCATTGATTTCTGGCTAGCCAAAAGTATCAAATGTCCAATCTGTAAATATAGATGCGACGAATAAGTTAAGTTTTGATTTGTTATATTATTTCAATATGATTACAAATGTATATTAGAAGTAACCAAAAATAGTAATTTAATATTGTTTAACAATAATAATTAGAAGATCACATAATTATACAATCTTTGAAAATTGATATTCATATAAAATGATTAAAATTAATATTATTTTTTAGTAGAATATGTTCACATATATATGTTTTAGATCTATCAACATACTTTTCGATACAGACTATTATCAAGAATTTTGGCATCTTTAATATAAATATTTAATTATAATATAAAAGAAATATTTTTATAATTAATCAAATAAGATAATAATTATAAATAAGTGAATTTGGTATAATTTAATATATAAGATATAATTTCCCTCATTCCATTTTCCTACCAAAATATTGCAAAAATGAATAACTGATTAAATTAATGGAATTAAATCTAAGAAATCCATTAATTTTAACTATTATTTAGATAATAAGACATGCCTTAAAATTACTATCAGATAGATGCGGTTAAATTCATCTTTTACATTGAAATCTGAAATGATAATAAATAATAGAATGTAGTACTTTTGAAATGAATTAAAATATATAATTTATATATAAAAATGAATAGAAGAAAGAGTCCAATCTACAAATCGCCAGGGTTAAGTCCAAATATCAAACCTGGGCTATTTTCTAATCCATCGGAATTGAATAAATTGAATAAATAGAAAACTGTGAAAGTTGACGAATCTTAATCGCCTGTGTTGAAAGAGAGCAAAGAAACAAAAATACCTCCGAAACTTCAAAAGAGTTATAGGTTTAATTATTTCTTATAATGTAGTGCCACTAAATTATTCAGCAACAATATTAAAGTGGCCAAATAATAGCCTGAGGAGAAGGATGATAAGATCATGGAAACCTTATAGAAATTGTTGAAGGAATTGATGGAATTCAATGAAAACATCGATTAAAGTCAAGTAACCAATATAGAGGAATGGTGCTGTGAAATTCTGGAGAAATTAAACTAGATTAAAGCAAATATAGAAAGTAATGAGAGTTTGATATTTTAGGAAAGGAAGATCATTCTGCTTGTGATGCTTTGATGTAATAGTAATATTGTTAATTTATATAGATAGAGAAATATTGACAAAGTTATTGAAAGAACTCTAGGAGGAAAAGAAGGAGCGATATAGAATTGAAGAGGAAGCCACCAATCTCATTACAGAATAAGAGATTGAAATAAATCGATTGGAGAAGGAGCTGAGATTTTTGGAAGAGAAACACTAATTATAATGATATTAAAAATATAATCTGTTAAAATTTATGTTGAGAGACGCTGGAGTGGAACAGACACATTAATTAATCGACAAAATAGAAATGAGAGTCAAAAACTTTCTCAAGACTCAATCTACCAAGCAAATATAACCATTGCAATTAAACAATTCAAATTTAGACTTTAATAATAGACACATATCGATGTATTCAAAAAAAGAGAAGGGAGACTCCAACATTTTCAGTCAATTAGAAAATATCCCACCATAGAAACAATTGACATAATGTTCAAGAACATCAGATTGCTAAATTCCATTATTGAAAGAAATCTAAGAGATTGATCAATCATATAAAATTGAAATCGATTAACTCAAAAATACAATTGTACAACTTAAATAAGTGATTGAAGAACTTAAGGAATGTGTTACTGGATTAACATAACAATTAGATTTCAAATAAAAGTAAACATTGTATTTACTTTAGAGAAGTTGATTAAATTAATAAAGAAAATGAAAATAATAAAATACTAGTGTAGACATTAAGGGATGAAAATTCTTATCTAACAAGAGAAATTTAATAGTTAATGAATGCATAAAATCCAGGCAATCCTAAAGTTAGTTCTTTAACACTTGAAGTTTAAGAGGAGAGAAAGAGAAGTGAAAAATTATAATTAGAAATAAGTGAAATCAAATCAAGAGTTGAAAAGTAGAGAGATTCAGCAAAAACAAATTCTGACTTCTAAATCATAGAAAAATTGGTTCATAAGTTAGAGGAGGCTCAGGAATAATAACAACGTTAAAATTAATAGTTTATGAAATACGTAATTTAATATTTGGAGAAATAATAAAATCAGTCATTGAGACCAAGCTCCACAATATTTTAGAGTAATCACAAAAAACAAAAGTCTAGTTTGAAGAAAAAATGATTTATTTGCATTAAAATAATTACATAATTTAATTTTTAAATGGCAGAAAGAGGTCATGCTTTAAAACAGGATATAAGCAAACTGGCTTGGGAAGAGACTGATTTTCCAATTGTTTGTAATAATTGTCTTGGGGAGAATCCCTACATTAGAATGGTAAAAATAAATGTTTAATCATTCTAAGCTCAAAGATAGATTTGGAAGGGAATGTAGAATCTGTGCAAGGCCATTCACAACCTTTAAATGGAAGCCTGGGAATAACTCAAGATAGAAATAAACTGAAGTTTGTTAGACATGTGGCAAAATTAAAAATATTTGCTAAGCTTGTTTTAAAGATTTAGAATTTAACATGGGATTATGCACAAGAGATAAATTTTTAGGAGATTAAAAAATTGAAATTCCTGAACATACAGCAAACAGAGACTATTGGGCAGAATAAGCTAATCGTCAGATCGAGAGATTAATTTTACCCTATGATAAGCAGTTGCCAATGCTTGATCAAATACTCAAAGAGCCAAGATTAGCAGATGTAAATAATCAATTAAATGATGGAAAATCAGAACCAGCTAATTAAATATATGCAGAACCATTAGAAAACCCTCAAGATATAGATCTATTATATAAGGAAAAGTTTGAAGCCAAAGGTTTGTTGCCACCTGATGATCCAAAAATCTGCAGTCTATATATTTCCCATATGACAGCCGATATCAAGGAATCAGATTTGAAGTAAATCAAATTTTTATAAGTAGACATCTATTTTCAAAGTATGGAAAACTAAATTCGATTAAAATAATGGAACATGGTCAAAGTTGTTTCATCAATTTTGCAAAAAGGAAAGACGCAGAAACTGCTGTCAATGCCTTATATAACAATATAATAATAAAGGATGTCATTTGTAAAATACAATGGGCTAGAGCTCCAAATAAAAAAGTTCCTATTAAAGGTATTTGTTTTATAATAATAACTAGATCTTATATAATCCTTGTAGCCAGAAGAGAACAATAAAGCTCATCCTCCTTAGGCTCCACCATAAAATATTGATAAGCGGTAGTAATCTGAAGATAAGTATTTTAGATATATAAATAATGTAGTTTATTAATAGGATTACTTAATACGCAAATGACATATCCTAATTAAAATCCATATTAAAAGGGAGGTGTAAATAATAAAGACATATGATAATATCATTCTATTATTGGTTATTTATGCAACAATTTTAATTATATTATCAAAATCAATATAAATATACAAATGAATGAAATTTGAATTATTAATTATTATTATATAAATGCAAGGGGCAAAATCAGTAAGAGCATCACACATCCTACTAAAATCTACACAATCAAGAAACCCATATGACAGAGTTAGAGACAAATAGATCACTAGGTACATTCTACATCTATGTATATTAGATCTGATGCTGATGCAGAGAAGGGAATCAGAGAAATCAGAGCATAGGTTGAGAACAATTTGAACTTATTTGCTAAAATAGCTTAAGAGAGAAGTGAAGTATATAAACAAATTAAAGAAATAATAGTGTTCTTCTTGTTAAAAGGGTGGAGACTTAGGAGATTTTACAAGGGGATAAATGTAAAAGTAGTTTGAAGATGTGGCATTTGCATTGAAAGTCGGAGAGTTGAGTCAACCAGTTAAAAGTGATTCAGGATGGCACATCATCCTTAGAACAGGTTGATGAAATAATTTTTTCAAAGTCATATATTAATAATGAAATTTATTATCTTCAATATACTAGTTTATTTTGTAGTTAGTGAGGTAGAAACAGTCTTTGAAGATGGAATTGAATGGACAAAAATGCCTATCGAGTTTGAAGAAGTCGAATAACCAATAGAGAATTTGTAAGGAGGCTAAGGCACTACAAATTACGGAAAAATTGATTATGGGATTACAGAGGAAATGGCCAAGATGTTTAAAACCTTAAACGATCCTCATTATGATGTGATAACTCGTCCCATTATTAAAGAGATTGGATTGGAATTCTTTGAAAGCCATTATAAGTCATTTTGCAATACAGAGTAATTCTTCGAGAGATTAATATATCAAGGAAGCAATGTTGAATTCAATACCATTAATATGATTGTATTTTATTAGTTCTTACATAGTACCATGTCAAAATGACTGTTAATGAGTTTATGGTTGAGTTTAGCCTTAAAAATTGGGACAGTGAAAAAAACGACTTCTAAATCAAGGAATTCACCAAGTGTGAAATTTATATAAGAGAATAAAAAAAATAAGACTTATGAAAATTATTTATATTTGTTTGAATAACTGAGATTTTCTATTTTAAATTCATTTTTGAAATGTTACAGATCTCAAATTATTGCAAGTGCAGCATATTTCATGTAGCACCTTTTATAATTTACTTTCGACTTCTCTCAGTTACTTATTTCTACTTACTCATGGGTCTATTGAGGAGTCTCTTTAATATACAATTTATTCCCTTGTTCTATAGGATTCTATCTAGATATAATTGTTAAAACTACATAAAAATAATTTTGACATCATTTTTGAGCATTTATTTCTTAAATTTAATTCATTAAATTATCAATGAATTCTGTAACTGCATCTCCTTGCATCAATCTAAAAATTATTTGAAAAATTCTAGTTTAAATATAATGCAAATGGAAATTACTATAAAAGAAAAGTAATAACTTTTTATTTTTTGGGAATAATGAGTCCTTCAAATTTATTTATTTCAGTTCTCACGTCTCAATCATGCAATCAGAATCAATTGATTTTAGAATTAATTGGTGTAGCTCGACAACTTAAAAATGAAAAAAGGTTCAAATTAAAAAATATCAAATTTTTAATCTCTTAACACTTCCTTTAAATTAATACCTTCAAATTGATATCTCATATATAATAATTATTTCACTTCTGAAACTTAGGAAAATCAAGATAAAAATGTGCTTGTTCATTTAATCCTATTATTGACATGATGTAGAATAAATAAAATAATTTTATCTAAAAAACAAATTAAGTTTAAATAATTAATTTTATTTATGATAAAATTGAACAATAAGGGTGATTTTACATACTTTTTTCCTTTACATTAATTATTTTTTGCATACCTTTTGAATATTCCACAAAATTAAGTACAACACATTGGATAAGTTCTGTTTGATTCCTTAATAAGTAAACTTTGTGAGATCTAATTACATTATAATATATATTATTTATAAAAACAATATAAAATGATATTCATGTTATCATAATGCTTTATATTTCAAGTCATTAACGCTTTATCAGGAACGGTTAACCCAATTTAATAGGGATATTAATACCAGTATTAAATGTTAGACTGGAATAATTCCTTATATTTCACAGTTGAATAAAAATATATTCCGGCTTCTTACTAATATTCAAGTTAATAATCAAATAGCATAAAATATTTTATCATATTTGCTATTTCTAGTGGACGAGTTACAGATGCGGAAGTTTAGAATGTATTTTTGCAATATTTAAAAATTGATGCATCTCTGAAGACATTAACACTTTATTTTGAAATACTAACACAGAAACAGAAGTACTTGTAGTAAGTTGGAGTCACTAATTTAAATTATGAGGGATTCTGGTATAGTTTGGAAATAAGAAATGATGCTCTGTAAAAATGCTTAAACATCACTTACTATCAAAATTCTAATAAGAATGTTATATTTCAAAAGATTTACTAAAACGAATATTTTGCTATTACTGATTATTTTTCATTTTATTTAGGGGAATCAAAAATAGTAAATAATATATTTAAAATATACATAGTCTAAATAATTAGGATATTATCAATTTTAAGGTGTTATTAAATTCCAATTGATAGCAAATACCACTAAGTTTAGTCCAACTGCTTAAAGTGCTTGTAGCTCAACATCTGGATATGCTATGAAAAGTTAATTTAATTTTACATCAGACTTTTATTATGAGCATACAATTAAGGACTTAATATATAAATCATATGGAGTAACCACTTGGGTGAAGATAGATGAAAACAAAGCCATAAGCAATAATTATATAAATGTTCTTCATATACAGTAGAATCCAAATTCAAAATATCAAAACTATATTGGAGGAAAATTGGCTTAAGTGACATATTTCATCAATTCAACAAAGTAGCTGATCTAGATATTCTACTAGACATTTACCTTTCCCTCCTTACCTTAATTGTCAAATACTGGTGATCCATTAGAAAAGAGTGTCATTTATGAGCTAGATAATTAATATTCACTTTTTAATTGGCATTATTTTTCATACTCATTTCGAAACAATTAGATTTATTTGAATTTAAATTTTGTTAAGCAGAATTACTAATTTATAAAGACAATTACAAGTGTCAATTAATTTTCTGATTTGATCCTTGTAGTTCATTTAGGAGGAACACCTACAAATAGAAGCAATGCAAGTGGATAGTTTAATCTAGCCTACTTTTACCCTTGTCTTAATTCCTATACTCCAAAATGCCATTATTCATGTTCTACATGCATAGGACCTCAATCGAATTAGTGTTTAAGTTGCACAACATCCTCTAATAGATAATTATCATTTGATTTCAAATGCATCTGCAAGCTTGGATATTTAGATTTGAACTTAAGTTCATGTTATTCGATTTCAACAGCAACAGTTCAAGATTAATTAGTACCTCTATCCACTTCTAAAGAATACGACTAGTAGGACCCTTAAATAATATGTAGTTTCGGTTATTTTAGATATGATGACAAATGTTATCAGTGGTAATTGTTTGATACATATTTGTTAGTCCTAAATTAAAAAAGCTGTACTTTTGTCCAGAATGCATCTAATACACAAACACATGGGTTTATAATCCGATTTGTACTAAAGATTATTAATAATATAATCAGAGTGAAAATAACACCTTTACTTAGGATATAATATCACCACTATCAATACTTTCATTAAATATTGAACCTTACACAGTTTATTTATTTAACCATGAGGAGCTTACGTTTTGTGCCTATTGCAATAGTCTATGTCTAAGTTATCCATATTCTTAAAGTTGCCAACAGAGTAATTATTATCATTTGCAAAAACAAATAATGGTGATTTGTTCATATGGGGCAGTGTTATAGGATGGAGAATGCAAATAATAATGCTCGGAAGAATGTTAAAAATGCGATTATATTAATAAGGAATTTGTCTGTTTGGATAAAGATCCAATATCAACTCCGACTCAAAGATGTTAGAATGTAGCTTCAAATGTCTGTAAACAATGCTATGATAATAATAATTACTTCTTAAACATGGAGTAGAATGATTGCTATCCATGTTCCATCCCTAATTGTAAATATTGCTTCTAATATTTTAAATCTGACTTAAGTTACAATTCAGTCTTTTAACATTAGCCATTTACATATGATCAAGAGGACTTAGCTGTAGCTTGTGCTTTATGTCTAAATGGCTATGCTTTTAGTTTTGTCTCAGGAAAATGTGAAATATAACCAAACATCTTGGGAGACTCATGTTCCAGTTATTACATAAATTAATAAGGGAAATCAACATGCTTGATTGACAAGGACTTCTCGCTTAGTAATACTGTGCAGGATTGCAGATAATATTTATCAATGTGCATCACTTGTACCAAAGTTCTTTAAAATACATATTATTGTCTTTAATGCGAATCTGGATATTATTTGCATGCGAATTATGGTGTTTGTATGTCCTGTATCGAATACAATCCATTATATTCAGAATGCGAATAAGTGCAAGTTTTTGAACCTTTATTTAAATTTGAATTGGCTCCTTTCTTTTTTAGTTTAACTAAATAACATCCTGGGTAATAAATTCTGGAAACTTTGAAAATTAAAGTTAAGTCATGTATCAGTACTTATGGTATGTTTAATGATATTATTTGTTAAAAAAGTGATTCAATAAATTGTGAATTTTATGATAGAGGATGCAGAACCTGTGCATCTACTAATGAAGGAACTAAAAGACTTACTATAATTAATTTGAAATGTTCCGACTGTCCTTATTTTTGTGAATATTGCAAGCCCCGTGAAATTCAGGACATATATTCCATAAATCCTTATACAAATATAACTGCTATACCTCCTGAGCTAACTTACAGATGCATTCAAAAGTCCAGTATTCACAAAAACGTATTTTTTGATAATCGTTTACAATTAGCCAGAATATGTTCTCCAGAAATGCCAAAATGCGAATTATATCACATCTAGGTATTCATTTTTAATTTATTTAGAAATTTACAACTTTAAAAAGCTTTTACTAAACTATTATATCATTAGCCCCATCTAATACATTGCAATATTATAATCTAAGAGGTAGTTCAGGATTTTCATTTTTTATCAACTCTAGCGCTACTTATTTAATTGATAACTCCTTTTTTTCTCTTTTTGATATCCAAAATAATTATATATCATAAGTTGTAAGTGCTAAATTTACAAAAATTACTTATTATTCATAAACAATTTCGTAGGCTTTAATTTTTGGAAAGCTCAGATTTCTAAATTTTTAGGAAATCGAGTTTATCCAAACTAGTATCCTTTTCAGTTTAACATAATCATCTAAATTAATTTTTGAATCACTTGGAGCCATAAATCTTTTATTTGAAAACTGTATTATTTAGGATTCAAACACAACATTTAGTTTTTATAATTAAATTTTCGACGTATCAATTTCATCAAGATCTTACTAAATTGCTGTCTAAAACCCTAATAGAATCAATTTTACTAATGTCCTAATTTCAAATATATCCCTATTAAACACAACATTTCTTAATTTAACAACTGTAAATAAATAAATTAATCATCTTGATTATGTTTATTTTTAAAATGTCACATTTTTTAATTGTTCATTTTCTTAAACTAATATTCTAAGTTTGTTAGATGTGAACCAATATAATTATATTTCTATAACCGAATTGAGCTTTATAGATTGTAATTTTAGCAACAGTTATTTTATTCATACATTCGGTTTGCAACTAAAAGGCAAATTTATAATTTAAGATTTAGTCATGAAGAATTGTTTGATGAGAAGTTCTGCTTTAATAACTATACCAGTTACTATAACTACTACAATTAGTGATTTGCATCTTTAAAGCGTTTAGTTTTATGATAGTGATTTTATCCAAGTATCTTCGTCAGCACTTATTTCAAACATTATTGTGAAGGATAGTAACTTTTCGAATTCCAAAATCATCCACAAAATCAAATCACTCATATCCTCTGCTAAGGAAGAATATCTTATAGAAAATCTAAAAATATTTGATTGCTATTATTAGGAATTCAACATAATATTAATACCTTAATACAGTATTGAAGATACTAGAGTAACATTGAGATCTATTGAAATTTCAACCCTTCATTCCCTTAATTATTATTTGAATCTGAATTATCCATTTTTTCAATTTTAAGTTTCTTAAATAATAATTGAAAATATTAAATTGATACGCTAAGCTGGATCTATAGATTTTGTCATTAAGGGTTGCGAGTATGTTTCCATCTCAGATGTTAAGATATTGTCAAATTTAATTAAGATTTCATCTGATTCAAGCGAACTAATACAATAAACTTTAAATACTATATTTAACATTGAAGCTTGGTAACTGAAATTAGAAAACATACTTGTGTAAAATTAATTAAGTGTTAATGTCATCTTTTTTTATTTTAACTTAATTAAATTACAAGATTCATAAGATGGCTATTTAAAGATCAAACATGTACAACTTGAAAATATTCAACTAATTAAACAGTAGTTCTCAGAAATCTCAACGATATTTTATATCACAAGTTTGATTGCTTAAAATATATCCATTTCTGATTCTTAATTTAATGGGATATTCCTTAATGAATTTGTATAAGATACTAAAATATCATCTGCTGCTATTGCTGTTATTGTTTCAGAATAAAGCAACTTAAAATTAGAAAATAATTAGATAAATGATGTTGTTGTTCTGAATTCAAGTAATTCAATCTTCTTAATTTAAACTTAATAAACTATCTTAGAAAATTTAATTAGTTTTAATGTAAATAATTTTTAATCTTACATCAATAAATATAAATAGAAATTATTAATACAATTTGAATTGATAAATGGTCAATTCCTAATTAACTCATAAGGAGGATTATTTAATTTCTTGACTTAAAAGTTAACTATATTATCTTGTCATTTTGAAAACAGTGTAGGATTGTGGGGAGGAGTCTTAAGCATCACAACTAAGTTTTTTGGATTCATTGATATTTCATAAACAATTTTCAGTACCTCGTCCACTAATTTTCATAAAAATCAAGATGGAAGAGGAGGAAGCATTTTCATTAATTCAGAAAACTCCTATTTAAATTTATCGATTAAAAATACTAAATTTTTGAATTCAACTAGTGGTTTAGAAGGAGGTGTCATTTATATCAAACCTACGCAATATCAATGTTATTTGAAATTATAAAATGTTACCTTTAAAGACGTTTTTGCTATTCATTACTCAGCTATATTTTTTTAAATAATTGAATCCAATTTTGATTAAATCTCCTCTATTGAATTATTTAATATAGAAATAGAAAATTAATTATTACAATTTATTTCCTTTTTAAAAGATTATTCTATAGATCTAAATGATTACAAAATAATTGAATAATCTGCAATGTTTTCTCTTAGGAATGTGTATAATATTATGTATTATTTTAAGCTTAGTTTACTTGAATGGTTTAAAAGTTAATGGATTTATCACTTAGCCTATCCTTTACATAACTTATATAAAATGCCTTTTTATGGATTAAGTAATTTTATATCATATCACATCGTTGTATAGTCCTTTACTCTATATTGAAAATATTTCATGTAAATATTTAAGCGTATGAATTTTAGAACATAAATCTGCACTCTTAATAAAATCAACTCTTGTTACTTCCTTTAATGAACTTGATCAAGCATAGATAAAAAAATATTCTTAAATTAAAAATATCAACTTGTCTACCAGAAATTTCTCATCCTTATTAGAAATAGTTCTTAATACAAATCTTACTTCAGCTTAAGTAGTTTCACTCAATATGCAGAATAACAATTGCAAAACTTGTTAATCTGGATTAATTAATATTAATAATAAATAAACAATCAAGAGGGTTAGATTGATAAATTTATACTTCTTTTAAAATTCATGTGGTTAAGGATCTTGTTTATCTTTAAACTCTTTAATTAGTGAAACTTTACACTTTATGTCCTAATCTTTATTTTGCTATAATTCTGCTCAAACAGGAGGTGCAATTTATTTATCCAACTTTAGATTGAAAATTCGCTAAACATTTTTTTTATCTAATATGGCTTCTGGTTCAGGAGGTGCCATCTACTATTAAACTTAAAATTCATCGCAATCACTGTAATTTAAACTTGTAAGTTTTGTAAACAATCAAGCCCAAATAGGAGGGGCTATTTATGATAAAAATAATTATAGTTTGGATTTCATATCTTTTTAATTAATTAATAACAAAGCTCAATATTTTGCCAATAATTTAGCTACTGAACCTACTCAGCTATAATTCCTAATTAATAATAAACCTACAATTAAAAAAAGTATAATGGTTGAAAATAAAACCACTTAGATTATTAGTTACTTAAATAATTCTAAACTAACAAAATTTATATATATGCCTAGTGGGGTTTCCTTAAACAATTATTAAAAATTTAATATGAAAACTAGTGCTTATACACTGTTAAATTATAATTACACTATTCAAGCTGTAAATTGTTTCAATGAATAAATTTATGATCTTAAATAGACTTTATGCTAATTAAATATCATTAAAATACAAAACAATAAGTCAAAAGAAATAAGTTTAAACTCTGAGATTAAAGAGTTGATATTTGATGAAGAGTAATAGAGATACGACCTAAAAGATCAGGTATTTACTTTAGATCCATATCAAGATGATAGTTTTTACTTATAAATTGATGCTTCCTGCAAATCTTTTTCAACTAAAGATTATAATTTAAGATTTTTTGTAAAAACTTACCATTGTTAAATTGGAGAGTATTTCGAGAACGATAGATGCTTAAAATGTGATAGCCTATAAGGATATTATTCAGTTGAAGTTAAAAGCACATAATGTACTAGAATGAACATTTAAATGATCAAAAGTACTACTGGAGCAATGATTGAATTATAACCTGGCTATTGGCGACCCTTCTTGAGATCAAATAAAATTGAGTAATGCAAAAAATATCCAAACAGATGTCTGGGAGGCTGGGATGTATCAGATAACACATGCTTTATTGGATCTTTTGGAGCTTTATGTGAGGAATGCGACTTATTTAATCTCAGAGGACAAGGCTCTTATCTAAACAATAAAGAAAGTGTCTGCCAGCCATGTGGTAAATTTAGTGTTTAGTTGATATTCATGGTTTTAGAGTCTATATGGATTATTCTATTAATAATTCTGACTGTCAGAAGTAATAACTTTTCAAACAAATAATTATTTAAGCTTAAATGCTTATACCGCCACTATTAAACTATCTATAAGCAAATGATGGATTAAACAAGCACCCTTATTAAAATGGCTAATAACAATTTTTAAATACTGTCATTAATTAGCACATTATAAATCAGCATTTTTTCTGGTCTATCAAACTTTGTAATATTTTTAGGAGATTCTACATATATAATAACGTATTAACTTGATTGCTCTATTCCCTCTATTGTAACAATTCAATACGAATATGCTCATTTTATAATAATTTTACTATTGCCATTATTTCATTTTGGCAGTTGTTGTTTCGTATTTCTAATCTTTCTTATCAAAAAATATGTGACATTTTCAAAATCATTTATATACTCTTCTATTATTTATATTTATTGTTTAAATTTACAAAACATTATGAAATGGTAATCTATATTAATATTATTGATATTAGGGGTGTATCCTTAATCACAAAACGATAATTATCTGGGATTGATTGGATCTAAGCTAATGTAGCTAGTAGATATGACACAGAGACACACAATTTATGGTCAAAAAGATTCATTTATCCAATTTTGATTTTATTGGGAGTCATAATTCCTGCGTTCCTATTTTTTTAAATGAGAAAAATAAGAAAATCTTTAGATGATAGGAATTCAATTTAGAAGTTCTCATTTTTATATAATGAATACACAGATAATTCATATTATTGGGAAATCATCAAGATGTTACAAAAGATATCAATAATATTAATAGTAAATTATTTTGAATAATCAATATTAATAAAGGGAATTTTAATGTTTCTTATAGTTTTAATTTACTATAAACTTTGCTTAGAAATTCAACCCTATAAATTGCAATCCATAAGCTAGATTGATTGTAAGATTTCGTTTATATTATCAATCACTCTTATTTGCAGTGTTTTATTATATGTGATATAATAGGAAGACCTATTTTATTTGAATTACGCAACACAACTTATAATAGTGTTTCTGATATACAAATAAACAGAATTTCTATTGAGGAGGATTTTGATAGTTTATGTCCAAAGACTAAACTTACAATTAGATAAGCTAAGGGTGTAAATTCTCATCAGATTCCCAAGAATATATATTTAATATGTGTGTCTAAGACCATACTTAATGTTAAGAAAGGATTAACAAGAGAGAATCTAATTGAGATTCAAAAAGATACGATAGTATATAAGAACTAAATAGAGATAAGTCAAAGAGAGGAACCTCTATTTGGGCCATACATAGAGAGAATCAAGTTTGATTGGATCATACCCTCCAACTTTTAATTCGAGTCGCCGTCTATATACTGGAGAGCATGGGCAAATATTAAAATCAAGTGAATGATATATTTTGTTTTTTGGGCTATTTGGATTATAAATAAATTAGATTATAAAAAAATCATTAATTACAATTAAGTATGAATATCGCAAATTAATTGATATAATAATAATAATTGTAATAAATAAAGAAATAAAAATTTCATTTAAAATCTATTATCGGCTTTGCTAAACATGGTCTCTTTATTCTTGATTGATGTATTGAGACTCTTTATGGTAAAGTGAGCGCTTACAATTAAAAATATGTTAAGAAATTTCTCTCCAAATTATTAACATTTAATTAACTTCTATCACAATAATATATATTGTAAATATATTAATTGGATATCTTTTATGAAGAATCTGATTATCTGAAATTTTTTATTACTATTCCAGAGCCGAATGTTCCTCCTTGAAAATTTATTAAATTGGAATTAAAAAAAAAACCCTCTCTTACTTTAATAATTTAGGAAATGTTCCAACATGTTGGAAATTAATCTTCCTTCGATACATAGTCTTCTAAAATTTCTTCATTTATGCCCATCATTCTAAGGAAATCAAAATTCATTTTTTTCTTAATTCCAACCAATTTCCCATCAACGAACAGAAGATTAAGACGTTCGTAGGGTTTATCAATATTTTCTTCAAATTAGATCCTAGCATTTTCAGTTATTGCTTCACAAGGTAATCGATTATAAAAATTCATCATTTCATCATCTTACAAATTATGACTCCCTTAAAATCCAGTATTTTGACTAAAAAATGATAAAGAATATTCAACGAATTCTTGATCATATTTCCCTTCTAAAATTTTACCCTTCATTAAAAATTTGTCGATAAATAATGCTCCTAATGATCGGCATGCATATCCATTTCTTTTTTATGATTAAACAGCTCTATATAAACATGTAACTTAGTATCTATTATCCCCTTGGTCTGCTTGATTGGGACGAGCTAAATATAAAGAATCGTAATTACATCTACCTGATATTAAAAACTAAGTTTTCTCTTTGGTTATGGGCTTATGCAAAATTTAAGAAGACTTTTTCTTCTAAAGTCCTGTTCTACATGAAGACGAAACCAAGGAATGAATTGAAGTCATAAGATGCAAATATTAAAAGGAATGATAAATACTTAAAACTGGCAATTATGAATGCCCTTTTAAAAGTCATAATTAATTACAAAATAATAGTTATTAGCTAAAGACAAGATTTGTAATTAATATATTATACAAATGATAAAATTTATAAATAAATACTTAATAATCGATATTAAAATTTACGATTCCCCAAACTATTCAGACTTAATAATTTTATTTGTGGCTCATTAATATTAACACGGCTACTTTTTCTCCAAAAAGTTTCTACTTTAAATCTAATTTTAAATATTTGGTTAATATTTGATGTTAGCCTATCCAAATGTATTTAAATAATTAATTACATTAATTCCTATTAGGTAAATAACTAATAGTTTCTTCACAAAATTTTGAAAGTTTTATCCCATAAGTTCATAGACAATTCAAATGTATTTGAATATTGCCACCTTACTTAAAGGTTTGATTTATTATTTTTTATTAATAAATATTAAATATTTAAATTATAGCATTAAATTAAAGTTAAAATCTATAATATGCTCTTTAACTCTCCATCTAATTTAATAACTAGTATATCTTCCTTACCAACTCCAACAACCTCCATTTTTCACCAACTCATCTTATACTATACTCCCTTCAGGAATGACATTGTCAACTAAAGATATATGTATGATATACTGTTTTTTTGAATTTTTTCTTTTATAATTTTAAGGGTTTGACTTTTTCACATTTATACTCTCTAAATAACATAAAATAGAATGTAACTCCCAAAGACCACATATCACTTAAACTATTAAAGGATTCTTATTTTATTATTAATGGAGACATGAAAACTGATGTACCACTAAAAATCTGAAATTTTCGGCTCTAATTAGATTGATCCATCACTTTAGCTAATCAAAAATCTGCAACTTTAACTTATCAATTATGTAACAATAAGATTTAGGGTTTTATGTCTCTATGAATAATCTTTTTGCTAACTAAATTTTTGAATGCTGAAGCTATTAATCTAAAGAACACAACCACATCTTCTTCCGAGAGCTTATGATACAAGATAAAATCATCCAAAGCTCCTTGATTACAGTATTCTGTACTAAATACATAAACTCTTCCTTCTTTTTTGCATCAATAAACCCTAAAATGTTTAAGTGATTTGTTTTTCTTAACACATTGATTTCTTGTAATAATGACACTATTAGTTCTGGAGATGCTTTTACAGGTATTTCTTTAATGGCTAAAATACTTGTTAATCCGCAGTTCCTTTTGACATAAAATCCCAATTAAACAGTACCACAATTTCCTTTGCTCAACTACTTCTAGATGTCTACATATATTTCTCAATCTAAAAGTAGTGAAATTTCATTATTATATATTATAATATCAATAATAAAAATATCAATCTCATAATTTAATAATCATCCTTTTTCTCTTATTTCCTTGTGGACAGGTACAAATAAATATGTAATTGGGCATAATCAAAGGTAAATATTTAATATCCAAAATAGAAGTAGTTGACAAGGTACCAATTGAACTCAAGTATTAAACTTTCTCTTCAAATAACTTAAAAATTGAGGATGTTTTTGTCTAATTTTAAGGCTATACTGTAAAACAGTTAGGATACTACAAAGAAAAATTAAATTATCTACATTATGAATTTATAAACATATAAATTAATCATTCAAAAATAAAATCATCCTAATTTTTACTTATATCTTATATCATTAAATTGAGAATGTCAAGATTGTATCCAGCAATTTTCTTCTCTTTCTTAAAATAGATTTGTAATTATGTTCTAATATTTATTACTTTCATCATAATTTCATGTGAATTGAATCCAAATCCATCAACCTTATTAAAGATATAAGTAATTAACTTATTAATGATGATGGGATACTATTTTAATGCTATATCTTGATTCATTTCGTCTATCAATGTTACCAAATGTTGATGATGTAGAAATTTCATAAGGGAGCTCAAATCTGAATTTTAGAGATGATCAAATAAATACTCAGTGACATTTTTATTGTAGAATAGATCTTCATTTGGAATTTCCCCTTAATCGATAGTTTCTCTATATTATTTAATCTTTTCCAAAATGTCCATTAATTATTCTGTTTCTAATAGTTTTTATTATCCAATCTACACTAAAGTTAAATCTTTTTTGACTTAATCTAAGCCTTAATCAAATCCAGTTTATTATTTATTTTTATTTTGTAATTCTTACATCAAAGATTCTTACAATCTCTTTTCCTCCTCTTCTGAAACAAAAATTTATTCTTTGGTTTGAACATATTTTCTAATGACTCCATTTCTTGTAGCTGAATAAAATAAATCTCCAATACACCCAACAACCATTGATTATATTCCAGCTAATGCTTCATTGAATTACAATATTAATTAATATGTATCTCCATCCCAATATTTAATGATATTGTCTTTGCATCCACTAAAGAAATAGTGAGTGTCATTTACTGTTTTTATTGAAATAACTTCCGCTGTATGAGCTTTAAGGGTTTTCTTACAATTTCCGAAATCAGTTGCCCATAATTTGATACTCTTATCTGCACCTGCTGATATTACAATTGTATCATCTGAAGTATACGCAAAAGTTAAAACGGGTAATGAATGCCCATATAATTCAAGATACAATTTATGAGAGTCACAGTAATAGATTGATACAATATTATTCATTTGGGCAAATGCATAATAATTTCCATCATATGAAAATTAAGCACTTCTAATATTTTCCTTTAAATAGATAGTATTAACCACTTGGAATTCCAAGCATTTTTATGTTTTATTAAAAAATAACTCAACAAAATTAACTTTCTTATCTATTTCAGTTGTCATTATCACTAAACCATTAAATGCCTTACAATTCTCATGGCATTCAATGCTGTTAATATTTGAATTATGAATTTTCTATTCAAAAACAATTTCATTTTGATTCATATCAACTAAATATAAGGTTCCTTATTCATCACCAACCATAAAATATTTATTTTTTGGCAAAATGCATAAAGAAGTTAAATTACTTGTATTAGTGAGACAGTTGATCTATTGAGCAGTTTCGTTATCAAATTAATAACATTTATTTGATGCGATTACTACCAATTTATGATCATTTTAAGTTAATTTGATTTATTTAATCTGTCCTGTAATCTATTAAATTACTACATTATTATTTTCATCCACATTATCATTATTCAATTCTTTGATTACTATTTAATTGTCTGATGTGAATATATATATTTTCAATTGGTTTTTAAATACTATTGCTTAAAAATATACAATCTTATTCAATTAAGATATGACAGTGCTATAAATTAAGGATTAACTAAAGTTTTCGGCTTTTTGTAACTTCTTTCCTTATTTGGATTTATAAACTTCAATTTTCTTTTCATTATCTAAAATATTTAAAACAGTTACTTAAAATCAACAATTTTTACTAAACGTATTGGCATTGGACTGCTCTAATGAAGGATTATCTTTTAATAATTCCATCATTATCAATCTGACACTTGCCTGAAATCAATTAACATGATTTAATAAGAACTTCATCAGAATTAGTGCAGATAAGTAAATAATTTTCATAAACGCATAAACAAGTGACTTCACTATGCATACTTGATAGAGTGGCTACAGAACATTCTAGATTCAAATCCCATATTTTCACTAGTCCATCTTTACTACCTGATACTATAAATTATTAAGTTATTGCAAGACTCTAATCTTCAAGGCTAATGATTTCCAAGGCAGTAATTTAATTTGAATGCCCTATCAATCTAAATTACAATTATTAATCTGCTAGATCCCAAACAATAATAGAAGTATCACAACTTCCACTTATTAGAACTGCTTCACTCAAAAATACCAATTAAGTGATTTCACTCTAATGGTTAAAAAATCTGCATTAAACTTCATTATCAATAAGATTATATATTATTATTTCACCATCATGATACCCTATTGCCAAAGTGTTATCTTTTATAGCAATTTTTGTAATTTTTATGTTCTTACCTTCAATTACTATTTATTAAATAATCTCTTGTGTCTTTATATTTAGCAAAAGCAAATATTAATCTACAATTGTATATGCGATATCGTTTATTATTACTCCTCCATTGTTGCCAATACTACCGAAAAGAGTCTCAAATTTATATCCAAAATAGGCTTTTACCATAAATAATTAATTAATTATTTTTAATGAATTTCAGAGAAATACTTAATAACATAAAAAAAAAGTTAAAAAATAATTAGCTTCATAATAAAGAGGAATGTGATCCTTAAGAATTGGTTAATTTGAATTTATTAGAGATTTACTTGAATTCTAAATGATTTAGATGGAATTTATATAACAGAGAGATGAGTAAACAAGGAAGTTAGTTAAGTATTTCAAATGAAAAGTTTTCACAATATGAAAATATTTAATTATTATTTATATTATTTTATTAATTAATATGGTATTGGCTAAGATAGCATTAGGAACAGCAGGTGCAGTGACTGTTGGATATTTAGTTGTTCCACCTTTTAATAGAAAGTTGGAAAGAAACGTTCTCAGACCAATTAGAAATTATAGAAGACACTTACAGTAAGAGGATTCATTTAAAACAGAAGTAAAGTGTGCCATATAATTTTCTTAGGAAGAATTCTATTAATTTTTAGGAAGCGTAGCATTAGGGACCTTGAAAATGTTTACAATCGAAAGCGATTGAATAATTATTACATATTAATATAAATTAAAGATAAAATTAAGTAGCTTATTGGCTAATTTTTGGAAGTTATTACTTATGCTATTCTTTTAATGTATTCGAATGTTGATAGATAAAATATTTGAAGAATTGAATAGTAATATAAATTATGTAGAAAATTGAATGAATATGTGGTTGATGTCAAAATTAATTATTCAGAAATCCAAATGAAGATCATCTGCTACTTCATACTATCTATGCTAACTTGACTTTAGATTTCTTTTCTATGGTTATTATTGTTTCTTCTTCTTTAAATCCTCTAAGACTTATTTCTCATAATAATTTGGTATATGTTGAAGATATATTTCTTCTTTTAATCTCAAATATCGTTCATCTTTTTCTTTATTTAATGCAGTTTTAGGAGCAAAGGTATTATATGCATTTCCAATAAAATTAATATTATTCTACTAGTAGTTGGTAGGTGTTCCTTAATTTTTAATCTAACTTTGCTGATGGACGATGTTGTGAGGATTTGAAGACTTTGAGGGTCTTTTAGGGATTTCTTATCGTTATTAATTAGTTCCAATGACATTCGAATTCTTCTTTTTCGGGATAAATTAATACTAATTTCCTATTGAAGGGTTTCTGGAATTTGGTTAATCTTGAATAGTTTTATGAAGTTGTTAAGGATTATTGTAAGAATGCCTAACGCTGATACTTTTGGATGAAATCTTTTATTAAAACATTTCTTTTGGATCATTCATATCAAATTATCTCATGTAATCAGTATTTTAATAGTCAATTTAATCAACTATTTTTTCTTCTGCAAATTCAACAGAATCGCTTTTAAGTTTTTAGTTCCTGTTAGGTTCAAATTCATGGTCTAGATCGTCTAACTATAAAAATATTTGCTTTTTATTTTTATTTCCATCCTTTCTTTGAGAAATCTCATTGTCATCATTTTCGAAGTGAATAAGGTCTACTGATTACTAATCCTCATTTTGATTATCTACCATTTGTTATTACTACTCTTCTAATTATTTAAGCCTTAATTCCTCTTCTTCTTATAACATTTTAAGCCTTAATTCCTCTTCTTCTTATAGCATTTTAAGCCTTTACTATTCTTCTTACTCCAATAATTAGATTCTTTTTTATTCTTCCTCCTATTTTAGTCTTAATTCTTCCTGTTGTTATTTTATTAAAAGCTCTTCCTGTAATCTTTACTTTTCCTACTCTTATTTTATTCTTAAGTCACGTTCTTCTTTTTCCTTTTTAATTTATTCATCTAGCTGTTTTTGTAATTCTAATTCTTTTTACTTGATTATTTTCAATTCCTCTTCTAATTTTATTTGTTCGAGTCTTTCCAGTTCCGCCTTGTTTTTTTTCTCAATTTCTAATTTTTCCAATTCTTATTCTCTTAATAATTTCTCTTGTAGTTGGAGTTAAAACTTAATTTTTTCTTACTTTTCCATTTCTAATTCCTTCTTTAATTCAAATTCTCTTTGCTCTTAAAGTGCTCGTTATCTTTGCTATTCTTCCAATTAAGATGCCCATACTCTTTCTTTTTCTTCCTTTTCTAATAAAATTTCTCTTTCTCTTCTTTAAGTTTCCTTTAGTATTTCTTCAGCCTTGATTCTTTCAGCTTCTTCTAGTTACTTCTTTTCATCTTCAATTCTTTATTTTTCCAATTATATTTGTAATAATTATTCCTGATACATTTCTTCTTTCTATTTTTGCTCCTGTCTTAATTACTCTAGTTTTAATTCTTCTTCTTTTTGAATCCTTAACTTTTCTTCCTCTAATTTTTACTTTAGTATATCTTCATCTTAAACTTAAATAGATTTATCAAAATCAATCTTATCAATTACAATTTCAATTGTTTTGTTTTTTTTAAATCTACTGCTTTTAGTAGCATTATTCTAAGGAGTATTTAATTAATTATTTTTAAAATTAAGATTATTACATTCTAACTCTGATGAGAAATCTAAATCCTATTGTGAATCAGTCTACAAAAACTTTGGTTGCAATTCTTCTGGATTTTGGAATTATAATACTTTATAATCATTAAAGAAATCTTTATCCTGAGATGTTTCATTCAGAGGATGCTAAAGTTATTCTTCAATCGAAGACAAATTCAGTGATTAATCATCTGGATTTTTAGTAACCTTTTTGTTTTGAATGAATTCTTCAAAGTCCTTTCTTTATTGGCTAGTTTGTGAGTCATTGTTTTGAGTTCTGAAAAAGGGTCCATCCTCAGGAGCAACACTATGTTTTTTACCAGGTATGATGACTTCAGAGTTATTTTTAATCAAAAATGATTTCTTTTAATTGTTAGTGGAATTAATCTTTTAGGGCTCATCTATTTATTAATTTTGAACTTCATCATTAAAATTGACCTCTCCTTATTCACCAGACTAATCTGCTGCCTATTGTTCTGATTGTCCAGCAATGAAAGATTGTCCTACAACGTAATTTAATGCTTAGAGTCCATTTTCTTTAAAGTAATCTTCGTTCTTCTAAGATTCCCAGATGATTGAAATAAAAATGATGAAAGTGACAATAATGCAATCGATGGTTGACACATACAACTAATCTTTCTCATCGTAATTATTTAAGATTATTGCTGAAGCCACAATCACAGGCAAAGTGATTAAGAAAATGCTCACCAAGGAAATTATATTGAAAATGAGAAATTTCTGGACATCCACAATGCAAGCTTTGAAGAAATAGAAGCCAAAGTATCTGGAGAAATAGATCTTGTTAATCTTAAACGTAGTTATTAGACCTATGAAGGATATCAATGCGTATGTTATTTTATTAACGTTTCTACTATTTAACCATTACTGAAAGTAGGGATCGTTATAGATTGTGCATCTAGATGATATCAAATGTATAAAATTGAGTAAATAATTAATTCCCAAAGCTCCCATAATAATATAGTTCTAGAGATTGAACAGTCCCCATTCCGAATAACTGAGGTATAGTAATACGCCCTGACTTCCCCATTCAAATAACCCTCCAATAGATGTTACAGCACCTGGAATAAATGTCTCAGGTTTAGTGATCCTGGCAACAATCACAGTGGTAATGAACACCAAGGTAAGGATAGTGCAAGGCATCGGGATGAATTTGTCCGTTTATATGCTCTCTAGAACTTGCACTGTGGAATTGCAAGCTTCATCACTTGAGTCAATAGTGCAAAGAATACAAGTACCAAGGGATTCATAATAGCCAGTTGGGCATGAAGATATGCAGTTGCCATCAAAGAAAATCTTATTAACTTGGCTCTAGAGACAAGTAATGCAAGCTGTAAGACTTGAACATGTAAGACAAGGTGAAATACATAGCTTACATTCGTTTGTAGTCGCATCTGCATAATAGCCATCGTCACAAGTACCAAGACATTTATTACCACTGAGGTAAGTTTCACTTTAACATGAGTAGCAGGTGTCAGCTGTTGTCTTACAAGATCTACAAGGTTGTCTACATGAGATACATACTCCATTTTCAGGGACTTGATTATTTGGACACTCTGTATTACAAGAATTGTTGTAAAAGAATAAGACGGGAATCTAATCCACGCAGCTTGAACAGGATGTACTTGAAGTACAGGTTTTACATGGAGTCACACATTGTAAACATTTATTGGATACTTGATCTCCATAATATCCCTCTTCACATTATTTCACGCATTGAGATTAAGCATTCAAATAAGTGGTGGAAACACAAGATAAACAATTGTCAGGAGATGTACCACATAATAAACAAGGAGCTCTACATCCCACACACGTTTTGTTCTCCTCAAATAAATTAGTAGGACATGATGATAAGCATTGGTTGTTGTACTATATCAAATTATCCTTGCATTTCACACAACTAATGTTGTCCACACAAGTCAAACATATGCTTAAACAGGAGTGGCATTATTTATCCTATTGATAATACCCATCTTCGCATTTTGAAACACAAGTAGATTTGAATAGGTATAAATCATTTTTGCAAGACAGACAACTGGTTTTATTAGAACAATTAGCACAAGGATCTTCACAAAGTTAGCACTGATATTATTAACTATCTTTGTAATAGCCATCACCACAATCAGTGACACACATATCTCTCAATAAATAGGTATTAGGATAGCATTCGCTGCATGTGTCAGGCGTAGTTGTACATTACTTACAAGGATTCCTGCATTGTACACATTGACCTTTCTCAGGAGCATAATCTTAGAGACAGGATGTGTTACATGAATTGTTGTAATAGTATAAAACAGGTATTTATGTTACACAACTTAAACATAATTTCTCTGATTTACAAGTCTTACAAGGAGCCTTACATTACACACATTTGTTTGTATTGATGTCACCATAATATTCGTCTGGACATTGTCCCAAACATTGATAATTATATAGGAATGTATTATTTACACAGCTGGTGCATCGATATTAATTGGACTCGCAAGTATTACATGAGAAATTGCATTATTGACACTTGCCATTCTAAGCAAAGTATTAATCTGGACATTTATCCAAACAATCATTTTAATAAAACAGTAAACCGTCAGCACATGTATCACAAGTGGTTCCGTTACTACAGGTTTTACATTTGGTTAGACAGTCTGTGCATTAGGATCCATTTAGAAAGGTACCATCCTTACATATAGATATACAAGCATTATTATACAGATAATAATTGGTTTTACATGTAATACAAAATGATGTTTGGTTTTGACAAGTTTAACAATTATTGGTGCAAGTGTCACATGTTTATTATTATGTGTTGGTGACAGTAATGTTTGCAGGACAAGTATCAATGCATGTTTACTAATACAAGTAGAAATTAGCGCTGCACACTGTACAAGTTGTACTATTAGAACAAGTGTCACAATTATTTATGCAATTTTAACATACTTATTAATTGTTGTAGTAAGTCTTTGGACATTAATCCAAGCATTTATTGTTTAAGAATTTATATGTTCCACTACATTCCAAACAAAACGAATTTACATCCTTACATTTCTTGCACTCTACATTACATTTTTTACAGGTAAATTCCCCACTTGTAACATAGTAACCATCCACACTATAACAATCAGTTACGCAGCTATTTGAATCACTCATGAAATAAATCTTAGATGAAACCAAACTGCTTCTAGTGCTATCATAACAACTACTACATTTAGTTAAGATAGATGTATCACAATCTTTACAGGGTAAATTACATTTATGATTATAAGTTCCAAGTTAACCAGTATCCATTTAATAATCCTAATTAATTTATACATTGTATGTATTAATTGAAAAATAAGTACTGATTGCAGCTGTGCTGGGGTTTTGCAAATTGGTTATTTTAAATGAGAAGCTTGATATTTTTGATCCAGAATAACCAGATATAATAATACTCTGAGAATTAATATTAATTGAAACATCACTCGGTAAGTTTTATATGTTTGATAAACTTGTGGGAGTTGTCTCAGTTGATTGAAATACTTTTATGTCTGTAGGAACATTTATAGCTATCTTAAAATTCTCACTCAATTAATTATTAACTTCAATGGTAAATAAGTAATTATCCAACTGATTTAAGTAACCATTCTCATATGTCTAAGTAAATGTTTTGATCGTGTTGGTCTAAGTATTGGTTATAGTCAATGAGTCTTTTAACTGACTCTGCTTTGTTAAATCATTTAATAAATTCTAAATTGTATATGCAGCAGATATTGTAACTGGTTTGAAAGATGAAGGATTAATTATTTGATTGACAGCAATCTTATAATCTATACTTTTTACAATAGATGAACAAGAGCTGCATAGCAATTGAATCTACAATTTTGAATTTGCAAAAGAGCAAGGTAGAGTTGTCTACAAAGGAGAAATTGATTGACACGATTATAGATCAATGGATAAATCACTTGGAATCTCAATTATGAGATATATTCCATTTACCTAGGTTACTTAAAAGTTGATATTTAAAGTATAAGCATTTTTTACTCCATTCGTCTAAGAAACCCTGGAAGAGAGAGTCAATGAAAAAGTGGACAAATGTAACATCTAAATGCTGCCGCCTTATCCGCTATCAATTAATAAATTCTAGTCATCATATGTTTTTATCGTAACTACATTACTAAGGAGTTATAAAGTGATTGGATTAGAGATGTAAGAAGTAATTTTTAATTTGATATTATTGTTGCTGGCAATGCTTGTCGATGTTATGATTTTAATAGTATTGGTGGCAGTTGAAGTACATGTACTGCTGATTCCATTTATTGTACAACTAGTAGGATTACCACTCATAGTAAAATCAGATGTAAACGTTACAACTATATATCCAAGTGCAGTAATTACATTAGTATTAATTAGATTTATTTCATAGTTATCTACTGTTCCAGTGATATAATCATCTACTTTAATTGATATTGAATTTGTATCCAAGGACCCTGATGTAAATGAAACCATTTAAAATGTAGTATGCTAATCCACTAAAAAGTCCTCAGTACTCTTTGAATAGTAAGATTGCACTGTAAAGGCGTTACTTATGTTAGCACTAAATTAATTTTTAATTTATTATATTTAAAATTTGATTTATGCAGAAGCCCCAATATTAGTTGAATATAATGATGAGATTATTAGTTTCTAACTAGAAACACTATATTAAGCATCATAAGCTTATGAGTTTATTTCATAGTTTTGAATCTTTGTAATTTAGGTTAAATCGAATTAATTAGGAAATAAAATAGTTATATATCCATCTTACAAGAGAGGATTTGCCAATGCTATAACAAAATCATAGGCAGATAATTAATTGATCACTTTATTCAAAGCAACAATTGAAACTGAACTAATTGCGCCATTTGATGCAGCTATAGTTAAGCTGGCTGTGCTTTTATCAATTATGTAAGATCCTCTATAAGTACTAATAGCAATTGGTGATGACGGTTTAATTGATGGAGGGGCATTAACATTTACAAATGTTAATAAAATATTAGAAAGAGTTGTAGAAAAATCCTTGGTTGACGTTATCGTGACTAATTAATCTGTGATTGTAAATCCTAATTGATTGATTGGGGAAGTAAAGAAATAGCTTCTTGAATCTCTTATTTAAATTAGATTAGTAGAACTAATTTTTATTTCTTTAGGAATCGTTATTTAAATAGTGTCTCCAGTTAGTATTTAACTATTTAGTTGAAATTACACATTTAATCTTTCTACTTAATTAACTATGTTCGTCCATGTCATACTACTGAGTACAACAACATTTGGAACCCATCCACTTATGGTTGATAATGAACATTCATCAATCAGTTTATTATTTGAGTTATATGTTTATAAAATGAAACTTCCATCAGGCGTTGTTGATGATGGCGAATTGACTCCATTAATTACTAGAGTAATCTAATATAATACATATCATACATTTGATCCGGTAAATCCAGTCCCTAAAGTTGACTTTATTTAAAAATTAGCTGAATCCTTTGTACAAGTAGTACCTGCAATTAAGATTTAATTTGCGTAGACTAAACAGGTAGTTGATCCTGGAATCATTTCTTTAGTAATCTTATCAATCTACCAATACCGAGTATACTTGACAATCAGGTAACTCTATTTTACTTTAATAATTTACTTCTATAGCTAAAGAGTTCTTTACAAACATTTATAATGAAATATCTGTGTTTGAACTATTTACTTTAAATTATTATCCATCACCTGAACAGGTCGCGACTCCTGGATTTATAGTTGGTTGAATTCCTCCATTAGGGCACTATTCTAATAAAGTACTCGTAGAACTCATAATTGATATCTAAATAGGACTATCATATTTCCCACTGTAAGTTGGATTCAAAACAGATTTTAATTCAATTGAAAATGCAAATCCATCTGTATTATCGTAATCTGATGATTTGTAATCTTTGACAAAGTAGCTATTCAAAATAACTCTTGTGCTTGTAGCATAATTACAACTTATTAAAACAGCCTATTCATTATAACACGTATAATCGCTATTGATGTTCCAAGGAAAATCAATTTGAATGTAATATGTTTTGTATAAATCAATGGGATGGACTATTGAATCCCCTGGTCTATTTATTTTAAATGAGTAATCTCCTTTCTAATTTATTTGTCCAGTTGTCTTCACTTCGCATGAGTAAAAGTTATCAACTCCTGAAACAAGTTTTATTAATACAAGGAATATTTGAATTGTCATGTTCAAAATAATTATAATATTTATTTATAATCAGAATCAAATGATCATTATTTAGACTCCCCTTCTCCGTTTTTGTGGTTATGATAATTTAACTAGAGCTACATAAGATCAACTGTATGGAGAATTTAATGTCTTTAAAAATTCAAAATGAATATGCAATAATATGGAATTATTGAACTCCACTTGCTTTTTCAAATTTAACGGCTGATTAAACCTCTCAAATCAATCTTAGAAATTGTTTTCATCATATATTCTAAATTATTTTTTATTAAAAAGAAAAAAGATGATGAATTTCACAATAAAATAGGAATTTAATAGAATATTATTTAATAGAATGAAAATCTGTTATCTTGAATAATGTCAGAATATCTCTTAATTTTTAATTCTATTCTTTAATTTCAATTTTTGAAAGCCTCCTTTGTATTGTTGACGTAGCATTTCAAATCCTTTTTTTTCATCTAATCTATTAATCATTAAAATAACTAAAATTTGTAATTCTTTTCCTGTTATATCCATGCAAAAATTGGTGTTGTTTCGTTGTTTATAATTTTAAGTTGGGATATGTTTATAAGACTAAAAAAATAAATAACTTTCCTTTTTTTTACAGATAATTCGCTAAATTAGTTGATAAAATGAATTTAAAAAAAATTTAACTGAACCACGTTCGATAAATGTATATCTGAGTTTTCGATTTTGATGGCTGATATTAATTAGCAACCCAAACTTGTTAATTATTAATGGGATACTTAATCAAATTAAATAAATAAATTTGGGATCAATATAGAAAATCTTTTGAAATTATTTTACAGCTCATTTTTTAAATCTCTTACTTATACTCAACAAAATTGATAATAGAAATATTTTATAATTTATTTTACTTGAATACACATAATGTAAATTGGGTTTATTATTTTTAATGATCATTTCCTACCATCAAATTATACCTTAATTTACAGTAGTAGATAATTAAACCTTGATACTATTTATGTTTTTCTTAAATCTTCTCAACCTTCTTTATCTTTTATCCAAACTTTATTTTGTTTTTATTTAATAAGTTTGCTTTGCCTAATTTGATTATTTTTTTTTCTAATTTTTCTGAATTTGTTTAGAAAAAATTCATTTTATGGCTCTTCCTAAGTTGTAATATTTTTCTATTTAATTGTGTTAATAAAATTTCTTCAAATTATCCTTTGTCAACCAAGAATCTTGATAAGAGTAACATATTTCATTATCTTCATTAAATGTTTATTGCATAATAATGAAGATTTTTGGTTGCACAATTTATTCCAATTCTTACTGAGAAGCTTATGAAACATTTAACCTTATCCAATATTTAAAAGTATAATGTGTTATCTAAAGAAAAATTTGAATACAAAACTAATATTTATTTCATTTGGAAAATCTTTGAGAATGAACACTTTTAATAAGTAATCCTAAGGCAATCCCTAAACCTTTTCAATTAAGACTTAATTAATCGAAAATTTCACCAAAGTATTTTACATAGCAAACATATATTTAAAATCCAAAACCATCAACAGAAATCTTAATTTACCATACCTTATATCTACCAAATTTAACATTAATTATTATTTCAAATACAACTATTATAGAAATTGATCAATATTGTTACAAAAAATGATTAAAGTTTAAAATATATCAAATTTTATTTTTTCTATAGAATAAAATCATATTACAAAAATCTAGAAATGATAACTCTGGCCATTTTTTATCTATAAAATGAATTACTGTATTCTCTCGTATTTAATATAGTAAGAAATTGCTTAATCTAGTTTCACCAGAGGTTCTCAAGAGAATGTCAGGGGAGTTGGTTACCATTAAATGTGAGCTGAATTACTAAAAGAACTCTTGTTTTGTTAATCCTTTTGGCATTGATTGAATAGCTTTTTCTAATTCATTCGTGAAATTATAAGAGAAACAAATGTTGAGTCTTAGAAAATATATATGTTCACTCTTACTTGTATTAAGAATATTTAGAACTATAGTTCTCAAGCTCCAATAATTTGGATTTCAGTTCTTGATCTTGTAAGATATCAAGATCTCCACAACATTTGATTCGAACTTGGTTTTTGTCTATAAAATTAAGATCATGTTGCAGATGGTGCATTTTTTATTTCATTAATTCCATGAGAAATTGTACTTCATCCATTTATCTATTATAATTCTCAATGCTGAAAGCAAATACACTTATTTCTTTAATTCCCAATTTTTAACTCCATTATAGTAAATTCAAGAAAGATTGATATCCTTAGATATGTCCCTCAGTTGGCTCCATTCTCCTTTGTTTAGCATATCGTCTACATCTAACCTATAAAATACCGATTACCATCCATAATCACACCTACGTGGTTTGGGATATTACCTAGTTTTAATAGATGAATGAAGGAACTTTGTACAATATTCATTTATTATCGTAATTAAATTTCAATTTAATTTATATGGATTATTCGTTCACAACATATATCTGTGTCATTTTTTGATTAACCCAAATTACATAATTTTAGGTTTATGATTTGAATGTTTGAAAATGGAGTTTTTCAAATAGGATTAGAAAAAGATTTCTCATTGAAAAGATAAAATAACTAATAATTATTAAATTATTTGTCATTAATTTTACTCCTGTTTTGGGTCTGATAACGATTCTGGCTCTCCTTGTTATTACGATTACTCATTTGATTTATAAAATGCTCTATCTTTTACTAATTCTGGATGCTTGAGTTTGATGTGTTAATTAAGAGAACCTTCAGCTCTATGTAAATGATAAATTTTATCTAAAATACCCGTATTTTTTTTGGCAATTTTCAACTGGACAAGTAAAATGTCTTTCTATTTCTTGTGCTGGTCTCCTCAATCTTTTCTTTCTCTCCTCTCCTGTTTCTTCCACATTTGAATTTAACTCCTGATTGCGACGCTAGAATTAAGGTAGTATTAAAAATTACTTCTAATTTGTTCAATTTATTGACTAGTTCATTCTTCTCATTCAAAAGTTCTTTTAACTAAAAATAAGTTCAAATTTTACTTGATTTGTTAGGACTACATTTGCAATATATAATCTCAGGTACTCGTTGTAGTATTCTAAATTTTGATCCTATTATGGGACTAAGATTTGAATATGAAAATACCTTATTGTTCATCCTATCCTCCAACATAATTTTAAAATCTCACAGGTTCATCACCCATCATATATTTTGGATTCTCCCCATCAGATCTAATCGAATTGAAAAATAATATTACTTAGCATTACTCATATTAATAATTTATTAAATATTTTTATTAATAATTAATATAACATAAATAAAATAAATATTTAAGAGTCAAATAAAATCATGTCTTGCACAAAAATATTGAAATGCGAATTGAATTTAAAGCTAAATATGTCTCCCTATAAAGAAATCAATTACTTTATAAAAGAGATAATTGAATGATGATAATGAATCAAATTAACCGATATATGGATCTATTTACACCAAAAAATAAAGTGAAATTACTGTGTCAATCACTTATATCACCTAAGCATGGCTCAGTATAATATATGTAGAATTTAATTAATGGGTCAATTATGTGAAAGAAAAAAGACTCAATTTGAAATAGGCTAATAGAACAGATTTTTGAATATTTTCTTTGATTACTTGGAATATTACTAGAGATTGTTCTACGAGAATAAATGTTTTTGCAATCCAATATTATGCTAATGATAAAATTTGATAAATTAGTAGATTTTGTTATCAAATAATGTAATCCACATCTACATAATATTTAATGATTTCTCTTTAATTTTGAAAAATATGGATATCAAGCATTGATACATTAATATAAAGTAACTGTAAATGTGGTATAAACTAATTGAATCATTAATTATAGTCTTTTTATAGGATTTGATAATATATTTTCAATTTTATTGAAGTTTTCATCCTAATAAATAACTCCATAGTAATATTATCATATTGCAAAAGGATTAAAAATGAGTAGAAGTAATTAATTGTTGTCAAATTGAGGTGGTAGAGATTATATCAACTTTAATTAAAGATAACTAATATTGTAATTAGGGTTTTTAAAGAAAAAAAATTGGATTGAAATGGAATTCATCGGTAATTGATTTTAGTAATGGAACAAATGATAATTAATTATTATTTTTGGAAATATGAAGATTTTACTATATTAATCTTGCTAAGGACATTCTGTTGCTGTCTAAATGATGACACGGTCTTTTGATACAAAATTAATACTATTTTGAATATAAATCATTCAAATAATAAATATTATCAAATTTTGGAGTGCAGATATCACATTCATTCAAAAAGCAAAGAATGGAATCACAAGGATGGATTCTATGAATATAGCAAGATCTAGAGAATTATTATCATTTTATAAATTTTCAAAATTTTAAATTAGTTCCTGAACACAAATTAAATTTAGTAAGCCAAATTAATAACAGAATTATAAACACATAAATAAAGGGTGATCAATAACTACTCTGATCTGTTGGATATGATGAAATATTATTGTTTGGAGGTTTGATGTAGAACAGAATAATAAAAGAAGGATATGTTCAGGGAAAAAATTATTGATCAGGTGTTATTACCATCACATAACAAATTATATAATAAATATTAATTATCGAATTCTTATGATTCGTAGAGATTCTGGCGAAATGTAATAACATGCTTTTAGCCAACCCTATTTATGCAAATCGACCAAAGAAATTCAAACATTCAGAAAAGAATATTAATTCTAAAAATTACCTTCTTTAGATTCTCCTTAGTCGAATAATTCTTGGTAAGTCAGGAAAGGAGGATCTGCTAAATGCATAGACACAGATAGAGTAAATTCAGCACTGAAATCACTTACACCTTAGCAGTAAAAGTAGAAAAAAAATTAAACAATATAAATTGAAGAGACCACTTAATTTGATCTTGGTTCGAGTAGAAATTTTCAAAGATTATTTACCGTTAAGAATCATAACAAATCAACTACTGGCAGTGTAAAAATTCAGAGAGATGATAATACAAATGTCATTACAAATCATGTTGTGTTAAGGAAATCACATTATCATTAGACCTAATAAATTTAATAATCATAATAATAGGCATAGTAACAACAATGTCCATTTTAATCTGGCAAATCCCTCAAAGACATCATATCATAATTCACAGATAAAAAGTATTAATTTAATTTTATATAGGACAAAAAATGGTATAACACGTCATAGTGAATTTGAAAAAATGGAAGGATTGGATGATTACACCAAAGAATTAGGCACCATCCTAAATGACGATGATCTGATCGGACCAATTCTGAGAGATGTTAGCGAAATGAAAGGAGTTGTTAAATAACTAATAGATTTAAGCAATGGTAATAAACTGGCTTATAATTTTGAAACCTTGAAACAATTGCATTCTACTCTAAATATAACCGATCAAATGTTCAATCGATTCAAATATCTCTATCTGAAATACTTAATTCAATTGAAGGTTAAAATAGATACAGTCTTTAAGTGTGCCTAAGCAGTTGAATTCTACAGAGGAGCCATTGTCTCTGAGGTAATTTTAATGTAATATCCAATAGTCTCGTTCTGTATAACATGTGAAAGACAATGTCAGATCTATTGCCAAAAATATGTATAGTCAGATTTTTGAAGACTTTTCGCTGAGCCCATTATTCAAAGGAACAAAATAAGAAGAATAAGCATTGAAATTCAGTAGGATATTTGGTTTTATTTTGGGATCTGCCGAATCTACAAATTATGTAATGGACTCTATGAGAGATTTTCATAAGAGTTTTGAAATTACTTCAGTGTAATACTCGATCTTTAAATATTACTTATCAGGTTCATTATCAAAACATACTCAAAAGGAAGTTATTTGGTATGTTTTAGAGTAGACTGATGCTTATAAAGCAGCTGTCATTAATTAAGATAGTATTAAAGATTTAGTATACAAACAATAAGGGTTTGATAATTTTACTAATGAATTTCTCAAATTATGTTAACAAGATTAATTTATCTGTAAAAACTTTATTCATAAAGTTGGATTTGATTCGTTTGTAGAACATACTAAGTACTTTTTACATTATGCTTTTAATAAATAAAATAACTGTTTTACTTTAGATGATCTGCAATCATTTCATTGTAAACATTCGATTAATATTAATTTATACTAAAGTATCAAAGATAAAATGATGCTCTTACTATCCAAATTGAATCCATAAAGAGTTATATTCTAAGACTTCGAAGAAGAATTCGATTTGATACTGCCTTACATAACAAATTAAAAATTGCCATGTGATATAGTAGGTGAGAGATTGTGTGAATTTATCCCTATAGTTTCAGATGAGTTGAAATCAAATGTAGAAATTAAGAACATCTTTGATAGTAATGATGCAAATGTGAATAAAGTTGTTTTAAAGAAATTTGAGTACTTATTATCAGGTAGAAAATATTTTAAGAGATCTGACATTCAAGCAATCCACTCAAGACTCAAGATAAGTGAACATATATTTGAGAGGTTTGTCCATCTTATCGAAAAAGCTATAAGACAGTATGATGCTTCATTAATGTGGATGATCGATGCAATAAAGCTTTGGAAATATATTATCATCACAGTATGAACATAAGATTTTTATGTTTTTAATTATAAGTTACAATTTTTATTTTTATTTTAACTATTGATTCACTTCATGATTCCAAATATTTGATAATTGGAAGATACAATAAGTACAATTATTATAGTAATTTAAACTATGATATCAAACAATTAATAATAAGTGTTATTTAATAATAAATATTCATTATTCAAATCTTTCAAGACTTTCCATATACATTCTATCTAAATTTTGGTTCAATTCCTCTAAATTTTATATTACTGATTATACTGATTAATCTTTGCCTTAAGGAGACTTCCTTAGCATGGATTAATTAGCAGATCTTGGCTAATATTTCTTACTTAAATCGCTTAACAAAGCAAAATTGGTTTAACTTTTAATTGCTGAATTTTTTGAAGGTTTTAACCAATCTGATTTTTATTTATCATAACTTTGTGAATTCAAAGATTCTTCATCATGAACAATCTAATTTAATATAATATTTTACATATGGCTTTAAGTTTGTGTTTTGTTCTTCTTGTAAAACTGATGATTATAAATGTTAAACACTTTGTATTAAATGATCCCTTTTTTACTGCAATTAATCAATTTGATCAACTAATAATTTAAATTCTTATCCTTTAACTTCTATTCCCTCTTGCAATTTTTACAATTAAATCTAAAAATTAATGATTTAATCATGTCCCTGATGCATCTGGTAATGAGTTTAAGTTGATAGTTCTGTAACCTTCTATTCAATTTATTTATTTAAGGATTGCAAATTAGATTATTATATTGTATACTCTTATTTAATGCTTTGCAATTCGATAGTGGCATCATCAACTTATTATTGTAATTTAGCTTTATCAATATTTAATTTTTTCAATTCCTTCTGCAATATATCGTAATCATTACCCAAAAAGTCCTTTTATTTTAATTAATCCTATATTTATTTTTCTGTATTGATTAACTGTTTTTCTATTTATAGCAATTCCTACTCTTTCTCTATAGTTAATTGCGTGACTTATTGTAAATTCTTTTTGCTCTTCAATAAATTATCTTGATTGACTTAGATCTAATACTCTAAATTATCTAATTCTGTCCTGAGTTTTTATGATTCCTTTTTGATTTACAAATTCTCATTCTTAGTCTATTTCATTTTCTCTTTTTCAATGTTTGATTCCTACATGATTTTATCATATTTTTACATTTCTTACTCTTTATCACTTATGGCACCATTTAATTATTTTAATACTTTATCAGCCTCTCTGCATAACTGCTCTGTACTTTTTAGTTTTGTATGACAAGTATCTAATTCTTCAAGTAATTATTTCATTTTGTTATGTTCATTTTGATATTTGATTTATAGATCCATGGTGTCTTACTCTTTTTTAGTGTGTTCAAATTGCAATTCCTCTATATCCTTACTTAATAATTCTTTTTATGAATTCAAATATTCTATATTATTCAAAGCCCTTTGTTGATCTTCTCTAATCTAAAAACTAACTTAATATTGATCCTATATTCTCTATTACAGCATTTCAATCTCTTCATTTAATAATCTTATGGATTCTTCTCTCTCCGCATTTGTATCTTTGAGTCTTTCCATTTCACTCTAAAGTTCTTAGACTTCTTCACACTAGAAGTTTAATTCAAATTATTACCAATTACTCCTATTATCTACCAAGTTTGGTGATCTCATCAGTTAAACACTTTCTAGCCTCATTTTATTTTGCTCTGAATATTTTAAAATCCTCATTTGACTTAGCGAATTGAACTTCAACTTATTAATGTTACATTTTAAGTTCTTCTTTCTATTGCATAATCTACTCAAATTACTCCTCCAATTCTTTACTTATTGTTTCTTTTTCTTGAAGCAATTATGCTTTTTTATTTTCATAATCTTTCCACTTCTCAGCTAATTATTGCGTTTCCAATTCAAAATCTTTGATAAATTAAGCCTTTATTACATTGAACTCTTCAATTTTCTTATATTTCTTTTCTGCTCTCCTAAATAATTTCTTTAAAAGAACAATTGATGATTCTATAGGTTTATCTTAAATTCCAATTGAATTTAGGGAATTCGTAGAAACTTTAGAATATAATTCTTAAATTTGATCATGAATCTAAGCAGCCACTTCCTATAGCACACTTTCTTAGGGTAACAATGGTATTCTGTCTAAAACTGTTTCTAGTAAATCCACTATGCTTTGCAAAACCTACTCTATGCTTCCCTACAAAGCCATTTCAAATAGAGATCTTTAACATTAAGTTAAATCTGTTTAAAGCACTGCTTGAAGTCTAACAAAAAGAGAGTTAATTCTATTTAATTATTCAGTTGGTAATTTTTCCCTTGGTTGTTACTTAAACGATTCAAGTTATTGTTTTAATTCCTTCAAAGCCTCATCTGTTTCTTAACGAATCTAGTAGTGCTCTTCTAACTAAGATTTAAGAGAAAGAAATGCTTTGTTAGTAACCTATCTGTCCGATTCATCCTCGCTATCAGAATCATTTTAATAGGTTTGAAGTAAACTAGAAGCTCTTTACATTTTATTCTCTATTTAGGCTATTTCAGCATCAATTTCTTGTTTTTTCAGTTGAACCAGTCTAATATTTTGGAGTATTTGTTAATGATCACTTGGAATTGGTTCTCCATACAATTACCTAGCAATTTCATGTTAATTAGAAATGACTTTATTGTCTAAGACTTAAAGGGTAGGAGTTAAAAAACAGAGATATTCTATGTAACTGAATGTTCTACAAAAAGGATTATCACTGATAGAAAGTATTTTCAAATTTAAAAGGGGTTTAAGGTTTAATAATTATAGAGGGTCTTTGATTTAATTTCTTGATAACTTTAGAGTTTCTAAAGTATGATTTGTTAAGCTAATCTCACTGATTTGATTGCCATTTAAATTCAAATTAATCAAAGATGGCAAAAACTCTAATCCTTGCATGGATTTGATAAAATTATCGGAGAGATTGAGTTCTTTAAGTGCTGGCAATCTCAAATTCTCTATTTTTGTTATATTATTATGACTAAGGTTCAATTCCTATAAGAGCAATAATTAATCTAAATTTTCTATTTTCTATATAAAATATTGTTATTACACTCAGTTTCATAGAACGCAAAGATAATTTTGATGTTTTAGTAGGTTCTTCCCCTTAACTTCTAATAAGTTGCTCTGTGATTTTGTTATGAGATACAAACATAAAATATAATTAAAAATTCAATTAAAAAGAACGTGGTTGAGTAATTCTTCAATATTGTTAGTTGGCTTCGTAACTATTAATCTTTAAGCTTTGGTGATATTTTGATTAAGCTAGTCCTTTTCAATAATTAATTAATGCATTTATTAAACCATATTAGAATTGCTTTTTTGGTTCTTTTTTAGTTTCTGCCTTAATTTGAGATGCTTTTCAATAATGGTTTCATTTCTCTTCTCCATTTTACTAGTATAATTATTAAGTAATTCTTATTATTTTTCTTATTTTTATTAACTTAAACTTTTTAGCTTCAATTGGATATCCAATAAGCGTTGTTTTGCTTTTGAATTGCTTGATGTTAGTTTTTCTTTAATATCCTAGGTCATTGCATTTTCGCGTTCTGATTAGAATAGAGATTTTGAAGTAAGATTTTATTGCACCTTGGTTATCTTTTTATCTTATTCTTCTTTCATTTTCTAGATAACATTTTGCATATTCGATTAATTCTACTAGGTCTAACTGGAAGTCCTTTGGTTTGATTTAACGATTTTGTTGATTACATTTTGCTATTGTTCTTCCTCTTATTTTTATACTAATTCTTTGCGACCTTGACTAGAAATGCCTTATTTAAAGTGTGTACTTCTTTACGACTTTTCCATTGTATTGAATTATAAGTTAGTTCTCCGCAATTCCTCTTGATCACTAATGTTCTTCTTTTTTTCTAGATGATAATCCAATATTTATTGTGTTTTTGATGACATCATGACTTTGAATTTAGTTTTAGATTCTTGTATGGATTTTTGGATAGGTTCAAATTTGGAATCGAAATCGAGACTCTTATTTAATCTATCATCCAAATCATCTTCTCTGGTTTACTTTAAGAGAGAGAGTCTCCGTTCAACAGTAGTGTTATGGGCTTTGGCTTTGTTAGAGATGGATTTCAGATTGTCCTCGACTGATTTAAAACTTTTGTCTGTGGTTCTTTATTATTATTATTTAATAAGCATTTCTGATTGATATAACTGCTTAAGGTCGTGATCGAAGATTCTTTTGAGAAAATTGAATTGCTTGGATTGTTTGGGAGTGGTGAATACTATTTTGATCGAAGGGCCAACAATTTCCCTTCTTCGATTCGCAAGATTTGAGAGATTATCTAAGATACGAGTAGAGGAAAAATCGAATTACCTTTCAAAAGTTGCAAATGATTCAGATACATGGCATCGACTTCATTGGTATATTGCAGAAATTCTGAGAGACTTCTTGTATGATAATTTACACATTGGTTTACTTGAGTTGACATTGTTGTTTGGTTAGGTTGAGTTCTTTCATGGCTTGTTGAGTGCGAGGGGATTCGAAGTTGAGACGCAGAGTAAGAGAATTGATTTCCTTCACTAGTTACTAGTCTGATTTAGAATCCATTTCTGTAAACAAAGTTTTCATATTAAAATATAATAATAACGGAATGATCGAATTCCGCACTCCAAAGTACATTTGTTTAAAAAAAATTGAACCTCCAGTCATCAGATACTAGCCTCGCACAATGTTTGTTAAAGTTTAGCATTTATTACAGACAAGAGGGAGTGTTGACACATCCTTGACTTTGAGTTAAACAGACGCAAAGATGCAGTCTCAGCAATCAGAAATCAGCAATCTCAGCACATTTTATTAAAGTTGTGATCAAGCCAAAGAGAACATACAACAACCAATTATTGATGTAGTACTCAAAAAAACTAATTCTTTTCATCTAAATTCCAAAATGAGAAGCAACAACAAAATCTCAAGAATCTCCAAGAATCAATTGATGGATGTGCTTCAGGAAATAACATCTCCCACTCAAACCAAGCGTAAATAGGTAATTTTAATTATTGTTATAAGGTTGTGAACAGAGAATGGGAGTATTCATATCGAAAACAATAAGGGAACAGTACCTTTTTCTAATCAATGGACTCTTCTAACGAGCAGGCCACAGCTTTGCCGAAATGCAGAAGTTTCAGTATGAAACAACAATCTACGCAACAAAAATCATAGCAATTGAAGGATATGATTGACAAAGCAATAAACAATACAAAAACTTTTGATGAGTATCTATTAAGTCTTGTGAGTGGGTGAATTAAATTTATTTTTTGTTCTACTTTTTAAATTAATATTATATTCAAAAACTCGTATTTTTATTCTAAAATTCTATAGATTGTAAGAAATAATTATATAGACATTTTTTCATTTTATCAAATATATTAAGATGAAAACTCAAATAACAATAAATAATTTTATTTTATAGATGCATTAGCAGGATAAATAATTTAAGACTGTGAAAGTGAAATCTAATTTTCATCAGTTTCAATTATTACCTAATCGCTAAATCCATAGATATAAAATTGAATTAACTAATTATTCTGACATTAATGCCCAAAATGCAATCACAATCTATAGACAAAAGTTAACAGAAAGTTTAATAACATTTTATTGCATAAATTTCAATATTTACTCTCCTGTCAAAATTGCAACATAAGTATTAGGAGGGTTGAATGAAGGCAATGAAGTTTAGAATGTTGCCACATTAAAATATGTTGAATCTATTGATAATGGAACTAAACTTCAATAAATATTAGCAAAAATAGTAAAGCAAATTATTAGCACACAATAAGGGATGGTATAGATTGGCAAAGACAAATTATTTTGGCCAAAAAAGTCTCACTCTTTTCATGAACATAAATTTGAGATTTGGGAAGGAGTACAAATAGTGCAAAAGCAATTCGGAGTCGTAATTGATTGTGCGTATAAAATATTGAGATAAAATACATTGCTTGATGATCTATTAATTACCAAAGAAGTGGATCGTTACGAAGGAATGATAGTGATGACCAAATACAATTAGAAATTTTATAAGGTTGATCTGATTGAAACTGGAATGTCTCCTAAAGATTTATTTATCACAGAGAATGGATAAGAAACGACCTTCAAAGAGTACTATAAACAAAGATACAATATTAAATTAACAGATAAACAGCCATTAATTAAAACTATGTTAAAACTCAAAGGTAAATAAGAAGAGAAAGTTATCTATCTGATTCCAGAATTGTGTTAATTGACTGGTTTGAATGACACTGTAAAGAATGTATAAGTTATTATGTAATATAGAATTTTTCAGTGATGAGGGATGTTGCCAAAATAACAAAACCAAATGCATATGACAGAATTGATTTATCAGAGAAATTCGCTAAATAAATAAATTCGACTGTCAAGAAAGGGACAAATGCCAACCTATTAGATACGTGGGGTTTGAAATTGAATAATGTATCTATGAATGTTGAAGCGAAAACTGTACTTCCAGGAACATTAATGATGGGTAATGATGATATTGATTTGTCCTCATAAAATCTGAACTTAGATCAGCAGACTCAGAAGAAGATGTATCAAATGCCAGATAAAAAGTTAGTATGGGTGCTTATCCATTATTATAAAGAAAGAGGACAGGAAGCCAAAAAACTGCTGTTAGAAAATATCAAATAAGCTATATCTGAATATTAATTTTATGGATTTTACTCTTAGCCAGTGATCAAATAACTCTAGGAAGAGAGAGAAAAAGCATTAATACAATTATGTGATGATTTAAAGTAGGAATGTGAATAAAAATAGCAGAACATAGAATTCATAATCTTTTTATTACCTGGATAGAAGAGAAATAGTCGTCTATATAGATGTGCTAAGTTTATATCCTTATAAAAAATAGCTTGTCCAAGTTAGGTTGTCTTAGAAGACACTTTAACTAAAAATACTCGCTCTATAGTTAATAAAATAATGGTTTAAATTTGTGCCAAATTGGGAGGAGTTCCATGGGCAATTGATAAATTACCTAGACTCTTTTAGTAATAGCATACAATGATATGTGCAGCTGAATGTTACGATAGATTACATCAAATTAAACATTTGGCCTTTTGTTCCACAGTTGATAAGAATATGACCAAATATCATAGTCAAATATTAAAAGGGGCTGATTACAAAGGAGACAATTTAAAGAAGTGTTTAATCTCTGCCATGGAAGTTTACAAAGAAAAAAATACTGTTTTTCCACAAATAGTAATAATTTACAGGGATGGTGTGTCAGATGGACAAATCCCTGTAGTTCTTGGAGATGAATTTCCTCAATATGATTAGGCAATCAAATTGATAAATCCTTAAAGTAAATTAATACTTGTTGTCTGCAATAAAAGAGTAGCCGGAAAGTTCTATCAGGCTGGACATAGACCTGATAATCCTGCTTCTGGAACTATTGTAGACAGCAAGGAGATTTGCGAAGGGTAATAACCGAATTTTTATTTGATCTCCTAAATTACCAGATAAGGTACTTCACAGCCTACTCTTTACAAGATATTGCATTCAGATTTACCTAATATCGAAGATGATATCAAAGTTCTTACATATAAATTATGTTGGCTGTATTATAACTTTGCTGGTCCAATAAAGATACCAGCTCCTGTTCGGTATGCACATTGTTTAAGTGAATTTATTGGTTCCAGATACTAAAGAAATGATAAGGATCCCTTCATTCCTGTCGAGGAATTAGTTAAAAAAGGAGTATTATTTTATATTTGAATAATTTAAATTTATATATTTTATTAGATGCTCATTCATCATCCAAATTAATTTGACTACCGAATTTGGCATATAACTTAGCTTTCAGATTATTCATCTATTTAAGTGTCTCCTCAATTTTCTTAGTATCCTCTTCAAATTATTTCTTGATATTTGTTACTTATTCATCAATCAATGATCTTGCCTATATTTATAAAGTGAAGTTCCTTACTTTTTCAACATTCACTCTAATGAAAGAATCACCAAATCTGTATGGAATTTTCTCATCATCCTCCATTAATTCCATTTCATCTTTACCATCTGACAAACGAGTTAATTCATCTTTTCGACTGCCCTATTTTTATCATTCTATACGCTTAATTCAATCGAATAAGTTCATGATATTGCAAATTTAATCTGCTAAAGGAGTTGATTTTCTATTAGTCTTGTCTATCCACTTCGATGTTGTCAGTACTTGTAAATTTCATTATTTATAATTTTAATGTGTTGAGTATTAATCAATTGCATAGCAAGCACCTTCAAAAAAATCAAAGGGTGGTTTACAAACGATAGAGGTTAATGTATATTTCATTTTAAGAACGCCTCCAAGATGACTAAATCAGATAAAGTCGTTCGCCATCTACAACTGCTCAAGCTCCAAGATATACCTGAAGCTGAGAGAGATATTCATAACCTTGATGGTATCTTCAATAAGTATTTGACATTCAAATACTATTAAATGATATTAGTACCTTAAAATTGGAGATACTGATTGATGAAAGAAGATTGCCATTGAGTATTAATAATACATAATTTTTATAATACATTCTTCAAATTTCATATTCTACTCCAATATTTGAATTTCATCTATGTTCTACAACAATTTTATCTTTATTTGGACACCAATTTTAATTATATTTAACTATTATATTTAAATTATATAACAATTAAATGCTCTAACCAATTAAATGGGCCTAGATTAGTAATCTAATATAAAATTTAAGCTAGATACTCCTTGTTGGATATTCAATGACTAAAAATTAATTCCTGGAGTTGTTCTTTAAGCGTCCCCTATTTTGATTAAAACTGCAGAAGGTAATATAGCAGATTCCAAAAATGTATATCAAAGAAGTTTGGATAATTTACAAGAACTTGAAGATTTAATTGATCTATCAATTTTAAATGAGGCTGAAGTTCTTAATGCATTACACATAAGGTTTTAACAAAAAAAATTTCAAATTTTTTGTGGATCATCTTTTCTCAGTATCAATCCAATTCAGAAGGAAAACTTTAAATCTTAACTACTTTAACAAGCTACACTAAATGTTTTCCATCAAATGATTGACCTACCATAATCAATTATTATTACTGGGGAATCAGGATCAGGTAAATCTGAAATTAGTAAACAAATTTAATTGTAACTATCTAAATTTGGAAATCTCCACACTAAATTATTGGCCTGCAATTAAATTATAGAAGCCTTTGGAAATGCCAAAACCCAGAGAAATTTCAATTCCTCACGTTATGGAAGATTTACTAAAATGCTTTTTGATAAAGAATAAAAGTTATGTGGTGTTCATATAACTGCTGTTTCCCTTGAAAAATCACGCATCTACAATGTACCACATGGAGAAAGTAATTTCAACATCTTTTATTAATTCTTGAATTATGGATAATTGTCAATATTTAATATCAATACAAATCAACAATAAACCTTGATACCAAATCCGTTGAATTCTAAATAACCTTAGTAATTGTCTTAAAAAGAGGCCTAACAATTCCAAGATACTCTTGATGCTCTCAAGCTATTCAATATCAATATAGATGTAGTTTTAGGAATATTGGCTTCTATAATTAAATTAGGTAACATTTAGTTTGAAGATCATGATAATAATTGCACTATTCAAGATTAGAAATCGATTCTGCAGATAAGTCATTTATTAGGAATTTCAGATAAAGAATTAGTTAGATGCTTATGTTACAAATAGAGATAAATGTCTAAAAATGAAGTCATCGATACTCCTTTAAGTAGAATAGAATGTATAAATTAACAATAAAATGTCATTAAACAACTATATGAAAGATTATTCGAATTCTTGATTGATTCCATTAATATTTAAATGGCCACATAAACAAATAAGTATCATATCAGCATCCTTGATTATTTTGGATTCGAATAAAATAGTTTTAATAGTTTTGAATAGCTGATAATCAATTATTCTTAAGAAAAGATACACCAATTTTATTTGTTTGATACATTTCAAGGAGATAACAAAGTCTTCCAATAGGAAGGTTTGACTAACAATCAAGGACCAACAAATCATATAAATAATATCCATATTTTAGAGAGTTTAGAAAGAGCTCCTTTGGGAATTTTGAATATCTTAGATGATAGTTGCGCAGTGGCAGGAACTGATGAAACATTTTTAACTAAAGTTAAGAATGCTTATGTGCACAATCAGATTATCACATATTCAAAATCTTCATCTTAACCGATATTTAGGATTCGTCATTTTATCAGAGAAGTGGAATATAATGTCATTGGATTTAGAATTAAAAATAAAGATGAGGTGAATAAATAGTTTTAAATTCTGCTATAAAAATCAAAGATTTAATATATATCGACAATATATTAGCAAATCATTACGTAAAAGTATGTAGGAACAGTGGCAAGGGCAGAATTATAAAATATTATTGGATCTCTAAAAGATTGCAATAACTATTTCATAAAATGCATAAAACCAAATGATTCATTAATACAAGACTAATTTAATCAATAATTGGTGCTAAATTAGATTAAGTATTCTTGTATAGTGGAATGCTTGTAAATGAGGAAGGAGGGCTATGCTTTCAGAAGAACTTATTAGCAATGTTACGCAGAGTATTTTGGAGTGAACTAATAGAAAAAAGTAGATTAGAAAACAGCTGTAATTAACTACATTAAGAGAAACTTTGCATTTACTGATGATTAGATTTTATTTGGTAGTCGAATGGTTTTCTTTAGATATCAATCTTATAGGATTATTTAATAAGAGATTAATAAACAGTAAAGTATAAAATAAAAGGCTGCTTCCAAATTATAGAATGCTTGGATTTGTTACAAAAACAAAATGATCTTTAGAGAATTTTAATGTAGAGTTATTTATATTTAATCTCATATTAGAGGATATTTATCAAGGTAAAGATATATTAGATTCATGCAGTCTATTGTTTTTATCTAATTCAAAATAAAAGAGTATTTAAAAAGGATAAGTTATAAAAGATATTTATAAGCATCAAAAGTAGTACAAACCTATTTTAAGAGAATATGTGCAATTAAATAAATGATTGTTGAAGAACAGTGTGTAATAAAAATATAGAGATTTGTAAGATAAAAGCAATAGTAATAAGACTAATAAGTTGAAAATGACATTAAAAAATTATTGATTAAAGTTACAGATTAAGCATGGAAAGTTATTGTTTATAGAGCTGCAACAAAAATTCAGAAAACATGGAAGGGTTACATAACACGCAAAAATAATGAAGATAATATCTAATCAATTAAATTGGCAGGGTTTTTAGTTACAGCCAATTAAGCTGCTATTATAATCTAAAAATATGTCAGAAGAAACTAATAAAGAAGATATTTCAAATCATTAAAAACAGCCACTGCTTACATTTAGGGATGGATTAGAAGCAAATGGTTATCTGATCTATTTCAGAGAATCAGATATGCTGCCATAGTAATTTAAAGAGGAGTGAGAAAGTATTTTAATTAATACAGATAATAAAAGAAGTATGAGGACATGATTTTGAAACCTTTGGAAAATGAATTGAACAGGATAAGAGAATAAGAATTCATGAATTTGCATGATAGCTATATTGAATCTGTTTTGGAAACTGAATAGGAAAATACTCCTGGAAAAAAGATTGATTTATTTAGTTAAGTAATAGATTTAGAAATATTGACAGATGTGAGTGAAATATATGATACTTTATGGACTTCCTTATATAAAAGATGCTTTAAAGAATGTTACGAAAAGTAGAATTACATTTCTACATATTCGATAGGAGAATGCCATGCATATGTAGGAACATTGCAAAATAAAGTCTATTCTTGGGGATTGAATGATTAATTATAGCAGGGATTGCTTAAATAAAATGCAAATAAAATTAATTAAATACAATTTTAATTCAAAGTCAAGTCAATTAAATCTGGAGCCAATCATGGGTTGATTTTAAGTTAAGACAATATTTTATATTCAACTGATGAAAAACAGTGTATTTTAAAGAATATTAAGTTGTTTTCAGTTTACAATGATGATAATGTGGCTGTTGATGAGAACAATTTAATTTATATATGGAAAAAGAAATAAAAAAAGCCAGCTGAATTAAAATCATGGACTACATTCATCAGAATGAGTTAAATATAATAAAAGATTTAAGTCCATCAAATATCACATGGTTTGCAATTCTTTATTGTATTATCCACTAATGGAATGATGTTCTCTATGGGTGAAAATACAGTTGGGGAACTAGGAATAAATAGAGGTCATTCGAAGAATGAATTAACTTTAATTGAATTGTCTGATAAAATCGCTGAAGTACATTGTGGAATGAAGCATACAATAGCCAAGTCCACTTTAGGGAAGGTTTACACTTGGGGTTGGGGTCAAATGGGACAATTAGGACATGGGAACCTTAAGGATGAAGCCTTTCCAAAGATGTTACCATTCGAATCAAAGGTTCTTTAGGTGATGGCTGGTCATAAACAGTCGATTGTAATATTGGACACAAAAAAGGTTTATTGGTGGGGGACTAATTCCTGCCTATAATACCAATAGAAACCAGTTGAATATATGACCAATTACCCAGCAGTTAGAGTATTAAGCAGTTGGAGTAGAACACTAAGTATTGTGTATATTACGTTCGCCAAAACTTATAAATGTATAGATGATAACATTAAGTTGAAAAATAAGATTATCAATTAGATGGTTAGCAAGTGGAGTGAGAATGATCTCTACTCTTTAGATCCTCCTTATTGTGACAATCTTGCTAATTATTTCAATCAAATGAAAAAACCTTAACAAAAATTAAATATAAAATTTGCCTCAAAAATTGAACATTAACAATTAGTTAAATAACTCTAGTAGTCTCCCTTTAATTTACTTGATGATGTCAAGGATTCAAGTTGTTTTTTTAGTTTCAAGAATGAGTCGAATATATAATTGCAAAGATAGTTATTGGAACATTCTGAAAACACAGATATTATCAATGCCAAATCTTATCATATCGATAATTCGAATAAGTAAATTTGATTATTATTTAGACTCAAATTGCTTAAGGCTGTGAAGAAATATCGAAATGATCCTTAATTATAGGAAATACTAAAATAATCTGAATTAAGTGATATATTATAATATATAAATTGATTAATTTAAGCAATCGAAATGAGGTATTCTTCATGGAATAATTAGTGAGGAAAACAAGTAAGAATAACAACTGGTCTTTTCTGTAATAGAAGAAGGCTACTTCGATCAATTGCTCAAGAGAGTACTCAGAAAAACCCAAGAACCCTAGCATCAAATATCATTGAAGGAAGCTTAAGCAATAGTGAACACAGCTTCGAGATCATCAGACTTGTAGTAAATTAAAGAATTGGGATTCAAAGATTTTGTTGGCTACTTGCAATCTATAAGGGATGTTTATATCGAGTATAGAAAATTTCAAAAACAAGTGCAAACCCCAGATATTCCTGATGATTTAGATGAAATGGTTTTAGGTTGTTACAATACAGTGCCTGCATATTTTTTTGATTAGCCGTTCCGATTCAACTATCAACTATTCTCATTGGGCAAGGATAAAATTAATCAGTATTTAGAGGAGATCAAGGATCATTTAGATGATGTAGAGATTACCCTATTCTTCTAAATTAATTCTCGCTTCGATAAGTTTCTTAGTGTAATATTAAATTTGAATGAGATGAATTAAATCATAGACCAGAATATTAAAAAAGTCAAGCGAATACGTGAAATATATAGTGTAACTAGAGAACATATGATAAAAAAGAGCACGGAAATCACAAAGAAGAAACAAGTATTAATTCTTATTGAGTTTAGACAATTGAAAAAGTTGAGAACATTTTATTCACTCTTAAACGTATTTAGTCGATTTAAAAGAGTTTCCTTACATTAACAGAACTTATCAATACTAAGAAATATTCCTAAGCAGTCTAATTGCTTAAAGTAAGTGAATAGACATATTAAACTATTAAATCAATAACAAGTTTAAAGTTCATACCTTAGAAACTGGAACTTCTACAAAAGAATCTATACACAACAATTTTGAATCATCTTCTATCAATAATGCTTACTCAAATGACATAATTATTAACACCAAACAAATAACTCATTAATTAATTGACTCATTAATTGAATGATCATGATGATTCTGTGCTTGCCAATTCTTATGTAAATGATAGTTGGTTTGAATAATAACAGTAATAAATCATATCTATAAATAAACAATCTGATGATAGTTTTATTAAAACTCTTTTATCCTCATCAGGCATTATTGATATGGGCGATAAAATATTTAAATAAAAGGTTCTGGAGGAATTGCAAGGATATTATTAGGAATTTCTCATTGCATTAAAGAATTTCTTCAATTAAGAGGATTCCTAATAATAAAGTAAATTCGATGAGTAATCTACGATGGAATAACTATCTTAATACATGGAAGAACAACCATTAAGCATCTTTATCAAAATTGTTTAATTCTTTTCTGAAAATTTAAAAAAGACAATTAATCTCTAAATTGCACTAGCTCAATCTATTGCCAAAAATGTATTAGATCAGCCCAAACATATGGAAATAATAGAAGAGCATTTTTCTATTCCTGTAGCAATGCTCAAATTTGCTAATGAAAAGGTTGCTTTATTGTTGTCATCTAAGAGGATTGCTTCTGAATCTTCAGTTAAAGATTTTATCGATCTACTGTAAATATATAAGTTTTGGGATTCATTTTTGTAATAAGAAATGTCTAGAATTAATGATGATTTACAAATCAACGATAAAATAATGTAAAAAATTAGAGGATAATATTAGAAATGTTCTATCAATCAATTAATTTATATGAGAAGTGCTTAGGAAAAGCAATATCTCTAAAATTTTCATAAAGAGAAGAAAACGCAATTGAATAAATATCTAGAGAATGAAACTTGGTTGGCATCAGATGTGTCTTTTGACAATTACGAAATAATTACTTATTTATTGGACCTAGAAGACTTGAAATAAGTTGAATAGTTAGATGAGAGTGTTCTTCTTAATAATAGTACTATGGCTGGGAAGAACCTATTGCCTTCCTACGTGAATAATTCACATTTCAAAATAATTAAAACTGAAATTATCATCTTAAAAGACAATTCCAAATATAAAGTAACACAAGCATTCCTATTTTTTTTATAAGCTATTAGTCAATATTTGCATTTATTTGAGTCATACTCAGTTATCAATTATGAATAAGCGTAAAAGTTGGTAGAATTAATAAAAAGTTATAATTCTTTAGCCACCTAATATATTTTGGGGGCAGGCGCTGTTCATTTTGGTAAAATATCGACAATTACAGCTAAGAATTTGGCAATATCATCAATATGTTTGAGACTCTTCCTATACTTGTTAGATCCCTTATCTAATAAATTATTTAAAGTAATTAAGTAAGCACATTATACTTATATATTAGCCAACAATAACAAACAGAGTTTACTAATCTACAATAAATCCAGAATGATTTTGCGACAATCAAGGTAGATTATGAAAATCATAATGCTGAAGTAATGGCCAAACTTACTACCATAGTGTAGGATAGATTTTATAAGCATTTCGAAGACATTGCCAAATTAGAGTGGAATGTAATATTGAAATATAAGCCTTTAGGACTCTTAAACAAAAATTACTGTTCCCACTAAGATGACTAATCAAATCTGTTAGAATACTCGGTCTCTTTATGTTGCCATTGAGGATATTATCACAAAGGAGGATCTTTGCAAGGTGTTTGGACATATTGTATCCATCCTCAATTCAGATTTTGTAAAGATATTCAAGTAGCTTAACATAACATCCAAGTAAGAATATTGTTGATCTTCTTAGAATTGGGTTTACGAGGATCAAAGAAGAGTTGGACTACTTTATGAATTCTTTAAAGGACATAGGACAGTTGCCTTAATTGTTGGCTGATTAATATAAAAATATTGAATCGGATATCACAACGGTGATAGAGAGTAAACAATAATGAATCCTTATGTTTTTATATATATTTAATATAGATCAATCAATAATATATTTAGAATTCAGAAAGGAGGTCAAAATCTATATTTAACATCTTCATCTGGCTTACACAAAAATATAATGCTTTGGAAATATAGTAAATAAAAATCAAAAGTCATTTTAACATTAATTTTAATGAATTAAAAAGAAACTTCTTCTGTCAATACATCTCACTAATAATAATAATCTCATTAAAACAAAGAAGAGAGTAAATTAAAAAGTCTATTGTAGGGTAGCTATGATTACATTCACAGAGAAACTGGAAAAATGATATAAAAAGTATCTTGATTTATTAAATCAATTAGAAACTCTATAAGAAAGCATTTCAACTTTTGGATAAGTTTGCTAGTCAGCGTAAAGATTTGGAATTGAGTGAGATGGTTATGTTGAATCGTAGGATAATTAATTGCATTAATAAAATCTTAAAAAAAGGATTGTTGAAACCTGACATAGAACAAGATAGACCAGAAGTTATGATCTTGATTACTCAAAGAGGAACCTAAGCAATATTCGATTTATACAAATACTTGAATCTCTACTTATAGAAAGTTATCCCAAATGAAATGAAAGGAGTTGTGTAATTAAATGAATTCAATTTTTAGTTTAGAAGACGTATCCCATTTAACAAGTTCGGATGAAGAAGCTTAAGAAAAAATCAAGGAACATGAAGTTACTGTTTTATTCTACAAGATTAACGAATATGAAAAGCCAAAAAAAGAGAGAACCAAAAAGTAGGCAAAAGAAGTCAACATTTATGAATAAGAAATATCAGAGTCAAGTCGTATAGCAAATATGATTGTCAAAACATTAAAACCATTGAATATATAATTTGAATTGGATTAATACTTCTACAATTTAATTGAATTGCTACTTATCTCAAATTTGGTTTTTAAAAAAGCTAATAAGCCTAAAGTCGCTTATTATTATTTGTTGGAAGCTCAAAGAATAGCAAAATAAATGCTTGACACTCCAAATCCAAATCTAGTCAATGCATGTGCTAAGGCAAAGGTTTATTTAGCAAATTATTATTATGAAATAAGTGAATATGAAGAATCATTAAAGGTTGCTGAAGAAGCAATAGTAATCTTATGTGGAGAAATGAGAATTAGAATAAATCAAGAGAAATTTACATAAAGAAAGTACAAAAACAGAGAAAGAAAAAGGATGAAGAGATGCGTTATAACAACTTTATCTGCCTTGGTTACTATGATGTGTAATTATGAAGCTTAGAATAATTATCATAGGATTGTAGAGTCATTAACAACGGCTAGTTGGTTAGCAGAAAAATATATCTAAGGGATAGATGAGTTTAAGAAACATATTATAAAATTGGCAAGTGAAGGGAAGCATAGAGTTGAGTAGAATCTCAAGGATTTAGCTGATTTGAGTTTTATAGCTGAGTCAACACTTGATTCAGAGTTAAATAAAGTCAAGAAAAAACATAGAGATTAAAAGGAATAATCAGAATCTTAATATCTTAAGAAATTTAACAATGATATGTATCATCTCTTTCAAATTAAACCTTTAAATAAATAATTGTATTTGAAAACATAGGTCAAACAAGAGCAGAAAATAAATAAATAATTTGATTAGAAAGTTATTGAGCAATCTTAACCCCATGGAACAGATGCTTCAATCGATATATTCGATAGTGACTCAAATAGCTAAGATAGCTTTTTTGATGGGAGTTTTTTTGCTCCTTCAATAGACAATTTATAATTTGATAATGATATCTTTGAAAAGAAAAGAACGCAATCAGTGGCAAAGAAGCCTATAACTAATAACAGAAAACTATTGAGACTAAATAGAAAATTGGGAAAATCGGTTGGTTTGATTAAAATAGGCTTTGAAAGACCCCTAGATCACAAGTCTAAAATTCTAACTACTAATTAGTATTTCAATGAATTTTCGAAGCCAAAAAAGTAGGAGGAGAAAAGCTTAAGCAATGTGGGCACATAATTAAAAAGACAATTAGAAAATATAGAATATAGAGAACATCCAGATAGGGATGAACATCATAAATAAGATTTGGATGTTTATGTTAATAAGATGGTTACTGGGAAGATTGAAACTAATGAATTTTAAGATTACAATGACATTTTAGGATAACTGTTTAGTTTAAGAAAGAAGGAGGACTTTGACAAGAAGGAGTTTAATTTTGGTAGAAAAATGCTCAATTTGAAAGCTAAGGAAGAGATCATGTTTTATTAGGTGCAATTCAACTCGCCACCAGTAAAAGTGGAGATAGATACAAAGGTTAGGGATTAAGCTCATATTATAGATGGTAAAGTAACAGCAGAGAAAGAGTTAAAGGAATTAAAAAGAAAGAAGATTGATAAGATGGTAGCAGGCAAAAAGATAGTATAAACTAATGTGAATATTGATCTGAAGGATGAAGAGGAGACTATTTACTTGAGAAAGGTATTGGAGAAAAGCAAGAAGAAGAAACTAAAAGATTTTATTTATAAACATCGGGAAGCCTTAGGTTTATCTAAGTTTTTTGCAAATTTGCATAGAGAATAAAAGGAAAAGGAAAGGATATAAAAATTAAAGTCAGCTTTTGAGAAGGAAACTTTAGTGGAAGTGCACGAAAATCAGAATGTATAGTAATAACAATAGTCTACTCGACATAGAAAAAATGTTAGAATTCTGGTATAAGAAATTGATAAAAAGCCTCTAAATCATCAAACTTCTCTTCAGCCCTCTTAGGGTAGAAATTCTCTACTTTTGTTAGATGATGTGAAGGCATAATCAACCAAAAATCTCACACAATAAAAATCAAGTTCAATGCCTAAGTCGATTTTAAAGAAGGCTCCTGAAACTTAAAAAAGTTCATAGGTGAGTCAATCTGTTACACATTTGGAGGCTCAAGGGACAGATTTGATATTATAATAGGAGAAACAACAAAAAGTGTAGAAACAGATAAGAGATCAAGTTGAAAAACAATAAAAGAAATCCCATCAAGTGATTGGTATGATAATAGATGGAGTGGAAAGGAAAATGGACATTGAGAATAAGGAACTTAGTAAGATGTTGTTCAAACAGAAGGGAGGATAGAAGTAATATATAGATGATGATGAGAAAACATTTTTGAAATTCACACCGAAATTTTCAGATATGAGCAGGTCAACTTATCTGATGTACATTAAAAAAGAGTTGGCTGAGAAATAATTGTTCAGTTTAGAAGATAGCTAACCTCCAAGAGTAGCGATGCCCAAGAAAAATCAATTGGCAGATATGGCTCAAATGTTTAAAGAATTAGGATAACATTTATGATTTTTTATAATAATATTTTATAATAAATGTGAATGGCAAAAGTATTATGCATTACGCAATTAATAATGACGGAATATCTTTGTTCGCAAATTAATAACACATCCGGTCTGCAATTAGATATTTATTTCAATTCAATGACATCATAAACACTATTGCTTACCTTGGGAGTATTGATGGTTTTGGGAGCCACAGCCTACATGAACTATGATAGCAACGTTAGCACTATAGATCACGGGTTCACAGCAGATTTTGCATCGTTTATAAAATCTTTTGATTCCAAATATGATTTCATCAGATCCGATATCACTTGGTCCACATATGGGTAAGCAATTGATCTATTATTCCTTCTAGAGGTGCCGAAACTAGACCAACCACTGCTCCATCCAAATATCCTATCGTTTTTATTCATGGAAACTCTGATATTGGAGCTGGTAATGGTGGAACTGTAGGATGGTAGACTGGATTCACATAACTTATTGAATATCTATAAACCAATGGAGGATACACAAAGGCTGATTTGTACGTAACAACTTGGGGTAATTTTTATAATAATAAATTTGTAGGTCCTGCCAATCCAAATTTGGCATCTTAAAACAGTCACAATGAAAAATATGTGATGACTACTAGACGTTTCATCGAAGGAGTCCTTGCTTATACCAAAGCCAGCAAAGTTATTGTCATTGGTCATTCAATGGGAGTCACTTTGGCAAGAGCTGCCATCATTGGTGGAACCTATTCAGAATCATTGCTAACTAAATTTACCGTTGGAAGTCCCATCACCAGTTCCATTGCTGCCTTCTTCGGATTAGCCGGTGCTAACTATGGATTAGTCGATTGCACTTATGCAACTGGATTACCCACATGCAGCACATACAATGGATTTTCACCATCATCACAAATGCTCTCTTCCTTGAACTCAAAAACTCGTAGAGAAGGTGCCAAAATTTATTCTTTCTGGTCTCCAAACGACGATATCATCAAGTACAACTGTATTGTGAACCAAAAAAACACTTGCATTGTGCCTGGAAGTGACGAATCAGTAATTCTATTGTTAATAACTTTAGTTCTAATAAAGTGGATACACACACTTTGATGTAAGAGATAAGTTTTCAGCTGACATACTTCGTCTCATATAGAAATTATGATTATTTTATATATTAATTAAATATAAGACTCAAATCTTTTTTAACAATAAGGGGGGTATTCTTACAAATATACTGCTAAAAAAGGGACCAACATCAATGACCCTGAGTATAACAATTTTTTAATTATGCAAATGAGACACATGAATAAAAGAGGTACAACATCATCATTTTCAGGTTTGTGATAGGGAGTGTGTCTGAATTACAAATAATTAATTTATTAATTGCTTTTCAATTACAATTACTTTAATCTAGGCACACCCCCTAACACAAACCACTTGCAAAATCCCATATATATTAATGTCTATTCTTAACTTATATAGATTGCCTTAAGCTTAAGTTATAGAAAAAGGGAACCTTCATTGAAATTGTCTATCCAACAAAATCATCGGATGAAGAAACTATCGTTAAGAAACGCATTGTCAGTAATTTTAATGTCAACCCAACCTTTTGGATCGCTTCAGAACAGGTTGTTCCACCTACTTTGGATTTTGAGACTCTTTTTAAGACCCCTTTTCCAGAATAGGCTATCAGACACAACGAAACCTTCGAAAAGCTCGAAGTGGTCACCAATACCAACTAAAAGATACTAATCGATGTTCCATCCAGACCTGCTGCCTATACTTTGGAAAAATTAAATTTGAAAGGGAAGCCAACCCTTGAGTAGTTGTTTTAAGCCATACCAAACTGCATGGATTACAAGGAAAGAGACAAACACTTCAAATAGGGAGGCTACAAACTCAATTATCAATCTGGTTACGCTCCAGTTGAGATCTAAAACAGACATAAGGATCCTGAAGATTACACCAAGAAATAACACTTCATTAGACAAAAACAATCACAAGCCAATTTGAATTTGAAAAGAACATGTGGAGTTTCGTATGTCAAGAAGAGTGAAAGTGAACAGAAGGATGTTAATCACATTTTTAAAAAGTACTGATTGAATTTTATTAAGACTTCCTCCACTTGTTTATTAGTGTTCATCAGGCTGTTAACCAATAGCTGGATATGATGAAGCCTTTGATAACCTGTTTTATAATCTTTTAAACGGAAAGAACTTGATTGTGTTTACACTTTTCAACTCCTAGGATGAAAGTGCCTTGAGAGAGTACCTACTATTTCCACACCTTAGAAATAAGATTTCAAGAGAAAGAGTCATGTTGGCTAGAAAATTCTTGAATTTATGGATGTTATTTTAAGATGCCTTATGTTTAGTGATTCACTATAACTATGACGAGTATAAATAATAATATAATTAATAGAAACTAATTATTAAGACCAATTTAATTGAATGAATCGGAGGATATCAAGTAATAATTAGTGGACTTTGTTTGTGAATCAGAGATTTCCATATGTTTATTATTCAAAAAAAGTGTATCAGGCAGAAAAGCATTCTTGAAAAGTGTTGGATTGTGGAATGAAGGAAACGACAACTCTTCTGTCTGCACAGAAACACAAAGAGAGGACATATAAACTAAATTTGTTATATCAGTTCCCAAAGTACCAATCAATAGCAATTCAACTCCCTAAAGTATATTCTAAGAATTTACTAATATTATCTAACAATAAGAAAATTATGTTTTAGAGGCCAGATCCTAAACCCAGGCTCCATAAACTCAATAACAAAGTCCTAATAATGAGAAATAAACCAAAAAGAAAAAGAGGGCAAAGATCTTATCATCAACTGATGTAAGAAAAGATGGAGGAGCCAGTGATTAATTGATAAATTATCTTATAAAAGAAGATGGAAATCATAATATTAACACTTGTAGTATAAGGATGGAGATGTATGTAGCAGAAGAGAAATGGAAATCAGCTAATGATCACAACAAGGATTTACTTAATGCTTTCATCAAGAGAGTTGAACATCATGTTACTAGTTCATACTTGATTAAAATGATGAATAAGAGATTTAAAGCCAACGAAAAGGGATAGGATTATATAATTAGAAGAAGTAATAAGATCTACGAAATCCCAACTGATAATGTGTAGATAAAGTAGAACAAAAAGTCAATTAATTGGACATCAAAATTCACACCAGAAAACTTTACAAATCTGTCATCATACAAATTAAGCAAGAAGTACTAGCCCATATCTCTAGACATCCTTAAAATGAAAGAATTAAGTTTTCTTAAATAACCATTATATTGTATAACAACTAGAGATAGTTTTGCATTCGACTTAATTACTAAGGTAACCAAAGTTAAATTAGGAGATAGATTAGTAGATAGGTATTATAATATATATATCAATTAGATTGGATTTCTTTTTTGAGCCCAACAATTGTCCATGCAATTTCAAATCATTTTTACCAATGTTCCCAGAATACTAAGTTGGAGCACATGCATATGTAGGTTATTTTACAAATGAAGAATTATTGAAGATGGAAAAAGACATTTATGAAATGGAATTAAAAGGATTCGATGGTAATACTAAATATTTATTTATTTAAAGGTCACTATTTACCTATGACTGCATAAATTTCACATGCTTAATCAAATCATCATTCAAGTGTACGTAGAACTAAATTCTTTTTTGGTTATAGATATATGTGGACTAAATGTTAATTAGCAGAACCACATTCAATGGTTGCTGCTGGTGTTAGAAGAGATGTATCAGCTCCTCCATTGTGGATGAGAAATCTCATTACTAAACTTGAAAATGATAATGTAGTACCTAAGAAGTTCATTAATTCTATTGCCTGTAATGTGTATCATGATGGAAAGGAAGGATTGGCATAACATTTTGATGATGCTGTTAGATTCAAACAACCAATCTTTACTATTAGAGTATTTTCAGATTGCAGATTGTCTTTTGGAAGTCAATTCTATGGATTTTGCAATGGAGCATTTGCTGTTCCTTTACCAAGAGGGTATCTATTAATTTTTATATTTTTAAGATGTATCCTATGTATGGAGGAAGGATCCTATGCTGCCAATGCTATCAAGCATTGTGTAAGACCTTGCGATATGACTGGAAAAAGTGCAGCCTTAATATTACGTTAAATGCATGATCAAGTTACTTAGGAAGCCATAAAGTATGATGAGTAAGTGGATTTGCCATGTCACATGTCTACTTTGTCAGTTGAAGATAATGCAGTTCCTTTTGGAGAGCAGAAGAGATTGGAAGCTGAATTACTAAGTTGATTATGAATAATAAATTACAATATTATTAAAAATATACTTTCAGTCTAAATCTTTGAGATTAATCTATTACTCAAATTCTAGGACTGATTTAACGTAAAATATTATTATTAGTTAAATTTGAGTCTTAATTTTATTATTGTTAAATTAAATTAAGAAAATGTTTCGAATTGCAGACAAAGTACAATCAATAACTTGTCCTATGCACAAAAAGGCCATCAAATATTTGAACATCGGATAGGGTTGTTCTATAGAATAGAGAATAGGATGCTCATCATGCATGGGGGCAAATTTTATTGACTTTGAATTAGCGGAAGAACTGCTTGATAAGTTGAATAATGGAAACAATGAGGACGATATGAAACAATAACTAAAGATCGACTTTATGCATACATTAAATCAATTTAGAAATTAAGTCAATAAAATACTAGATAACATGGAAAAACTAGTAGAATCTATGAATAGCAGTTCAGATAAACTGATAGAATGGCTAAATTAAATTAAAGGGGCTACTTAATTCAATATAGATGACCTAAAATAAATGGCTGTGAGACTAGGAATTTACATTGTCAAATAAGAAGATCAATTCTAGCCTAGAGTCAATGGATAATGGCAAAATTACATTAGTAAATATGCCCAAATTTTATAAAAAACAAGTCTTTTGCTTAATTAAAAAATACTTGAGAAAGAACTGAATCCAATTGATTAAACTGAAGTTGTAACCTAAGAAGAACCTAAAAAAAATTAAGAGTTTGTATCAAAAGAGAGCTTGTAAACAAAGTAAGACATTGGGTAAGAGATTTAACAGCCCTACGTTAATTAATAAATGGAAATTGAAGAATAAAAGAAGAAAATAGAATTCTTGGAAGGTTAAATTGAGAAATATCATAACTTATACAACAAGTTAAGATAATAAAATGAAAATAAAGAGGCAGCATTTGAAACACCAAAGGCTAATATGGTCATAAATAAGTTAGAGCCTGAAAAAAAAGAAGAATAATAATAATATGCAATATAAAAATAAGACAAAGATCAATTAAAGATTTAGAAATATTTAGATGAAAAAACTGTTAACCATCCTCTTTGGAAGGAATTTAACAATGAAATGGAACATATAAAGAACTAATTAAAATGGTTGGAATTTAAATATGTTGAATAATTATTTTAATTTAACTAATCAGCCCTCTAGGAAGAATAAAAAAAAGTATTGTATTTTAGCAAAAAAACATAAGAAAACTAAAACTTCTCTAAATTTTATCTAAATCAATTAATTGCATAATTGTAAACAATCAATAAATTGTTGCTTGATTCATAAACGATGTACAAAATGGATAACATTGTTGTTTCTAAGAATTACCAGGATGAATAAGACTTGAAAAAGAAAGTATAAGAAACTATAGATTATATCAGAAGCCACAAATAGCATTTAGATGTTTGTTAAGTCGAATTAAAATATGTTTAAGAACTTATGTCGATAAATGAGTTATCAAAATGCAATATGGTGAACAGCAGAGATTTACAAAAGTATTTTTAGAGACTTACTGACAAAAACAAATATGGGATATTTTATATTAACAATAATGTCTTACTTAAGAACTCCCGAAGTCTTCAATAAGTAATAATTAAAACTGTGTAAGACAATCAATTAAAAGACAATCTCCAAATAGATAAGGATTTTATATTGGTTAATAAATTCGTTTGGAAATTTATATCAACACTATACTTTAGCAGTGGCCCAGAAATCTTGCTCTAAGAAAATTGAATTTGTATATTAACTAATATATGCTTTGTTTCAAAATTATGTATCTTTATTAATTTTAAACCAAAATTATGAAATGTTAAGTATTAATAAGTGATTTTTAAGAGATGAAAATAGTTGTGAACATATATCTGTTGTTATTTTCATGCTATCAAATATATGATTTAAATTGGTGTACTCATTCAGAGTATATGCAAAATTAACCTTCATGTGGTATGATTTGAGATGACACAAAATCTTTGATATTAACTTTAAGAAAAAGAAGGAATTTGTGTAAATCTTGCATTGGAATAGATTTTCTAAATGATGATATACTAAATTATAATAAATATATATGCAATAATCTCATTTTTATTACGATATGTTCAAAATCATATCGTTACTATTTTAGTAGGATCTAATTAATAAATAAGAGAAGGATGATTTAAAATGTACTTAAATTTTTAACTTTAGTTATGGTACTCGAATCTCAATCGGAATTGATGTTTTAACTGCAGGCCATTTATCGTTCATCTTTAATGGATAAATAAGTGTATATGGTTCACGAAATAAAAAAATATGTGGAATCGCATAGACAAGGTTCTCCAAGAAATAGTTCACCAAAATCTTCAAGATATTTGGAAGCTTCTCGTATGTGGAGCATTTATGAAGAGAATGAGGAGGAAGAAAGAGATAACGAAATTAAACTGATTGGAATTCGCCGCTGACAATTGGTTTGTTCAAAAGTTGTGACTCTTTTTTGTTTATTAATTATTTATGGAGACTGAAACTCAATATCAAATTAGTCAAGAAGGTGTGTTTCTAATTATATCTTTAGATATCGAAATTCTGAATGATAAATATCGTCTGGTTTTTACATATCCCGCAGCAGCATTTGCTATATCCGCTGTAATCCTGGCATCCACTAGATTTTTGAGCTTCCCAAAATTCTTCAGAAACCCACTTGAAGTATGCATTCCAAACATTTAAATCAGTCTCCTGAAGGAAATGCTCTTTTCTACTAAAGACTGGCCAAAATGGCAAAACCACCTTTGCTATTATATGGAGCATGTGTCGGAGGAGCTATTGGGTTATTTCAATATGAACTAGCCAAGTATTAGATGTTTGTGAAGTACAAGACTTTAGTGAATACATATTTGGATGCTTGTGAGGCTGTCTATGTGAGTGAATTAAAAAAGAGTTAGGAAAAATGAATTTAATTAAAAAATGAGTACATTATCAATATCATTATAAGCACAACTCAATTACATATATTTAATAACTAATATATCTAGACATTGAAAGGAGGAGATTACACACAAATTGTCAAATAATATATTATTTTGTTTACCTTGAAATTTATAATAATATTAGTTTTAATGAGAATGGCTGTTAATCCATTATAAGTTTCTAGATCACTACCTCCAGCTCCTATGCCCGTAATGAACACTCCAGTGATGGTTGACAGAGGTAGACAGAAAGTAAATAACTATTAGTGGCAAGTTCGCATCATACTTCAACATTCAATAAAGAATCTCCTATAAATACACCCAATGAATAATAGCTGATAGAATTGGAAACCAGAATTCTTAATCTTGAATAAGATTCTTCTATTAAAATAAAATGCGAAAATTTGATCCAAGAAAATAAAAAACTCATGCAATAGGTTTCTCTCTAAACTGAGTCTGTAGCCAAATTCAAAGGAGAACTATCTCTTGCTAGGAAAGAAATCTCTAAGTAAAACGTTAAATTATCATCAAGACTTAAGAAAGTATTGGATTTAAAGGAAGAAGCCTTAACGGATATTAGAATTAAAAATCACACCAGAAATTTGTCTTAATCTGACAAATTGAAAAATGATAAACTGATCTAACAAAAAGAAATGATGGAATAGTAATATTTAAAAGAAAAACAATAATTATAAAATTAGATTTAACAACTTGAAGAACTGTTAGAATAATAATGTTCTCAACACTAAAACAATTAGCCTTCTCCTTATTTAGAATAAACATAACCAATAACTTCAAATCAATAAATAGACTATACTTAACCTTGTTAGTCAACATCTTAGTACACCAACATAAAATAAAGTGAATAATATTCAACTTCTTAAAATAGAAGGTCGTAAACACCTAATTAGGAAGGGGCATTGAATTCAATTATTTATAGACCTAATCACTAAGATAAATTATATCAAGTTCCAAGCAAAGGACTCACACATGAGAGTAGTTCGCCTAAATTCAATAATTAAAGTTTTCCATGTTTGAAATTCAATTCTATTCCCTAAGAAAGCTAAGATGTTAAGAATTAATTCGATTTAAAAAACAAATCTATAGACACAAAGGATTCTTTTAAAACCCATAATCAGTTGAAAGAGAATAATATGATACAAAGAAAATCTTTATCTTCGATAACAGAATTGAAACAATAAAATGGATAACATCAAAGCAAAGAAAATCAAATTAAATACTTCGAGAAAAACAGTATCTCATCTCCTAATTATTAATTCTCTAATACCTCTTAATTATTACAAGAATTAGAGCAACTTAAAAACGAGATAAATTCCTAAAAAAATACTATTTAAGAATCTCTTAATAAAATATCGTAACTTGAGTATGAGAAATCTACTGTTATTGAAAAAAATGAAAAACTTCTTCTAGAATTTCGCAATCAAGTTGAAGAGTTAAAAAAAAATGAGCATATTAAAAACAACATTCAAAATGATATTATAAAATTTGAAGAAGATCTCTAGTCTTAAAAAATACATTATGAATCTTGTATTTAGGATCAATAGCGTAAATATAACTTACTTGAATAGCAATTTTATGAAAGTAAAAGATTATTATAAGAAAAATTAAAGGAGTCTGCAAAATCAGAGCAAGATAATTAAAGCTAACAATTCAAGAAGCAATTAGAAGAGAAATAATTAGAAATTATAAATATTAGTCAAAAAGTTCTTAATTATAAAAATAAAAATGACCAGTACGAAATACAAATTAATCAAATGAAAAAATAGGAATTGGACTTGAATTAAGAAATTGAAAAAGTCAATTAATAATACCAATAAATTAAGAGATAATTTGATGATACTCTAAAAAACCTGAATGAAGCACAAAGTCAAATACAAATAATTCAATCTTAATATTAATCTGAATATTAATTAAGGGAAAGAATAGAATTAAATTATGCTATATTGTAAAAAGAATTTAGTTAATATAAAGAAAACTCTATAATATAAATTGAAGACTTGTAATCATTAGAAAAATATCGAAGCAATTCATAAAATATTGAAAATCTCTAAATATAGCAAGATTTATAATTAAAATAAAAAGTTATGCTGGGAAACAGCAATGGCTTTTAATAGCTAGACTAAGACATTACTAAACAGTTATAAAAAGCCAATAATACAATAAATGAATAGAATAAATAGATAATTTAGTTACAATAAACAAATTAAAAATTAGAAGAAGAGATTGGGGATTTCAAAAATAAATTTTCGAAGTAAACTTTAATATTAACCAAATTGAAATCAGATTAAAATTATAAATGTGATAAATGTAAATCGTTAAAATTAGATTTATCCGGAATTCTTATGGATGAGCAACAAATTCAAGATATGTATTATTAATAATAATAACTTGATTAAGTTATTCTCGAAAATGATTCCATTCCAATTATTTATGATTAAGTGAATACGGAAAGAAATCAATTAATGTAGAAATTGCATTAAAATAACTAAGATTTGGTCATTCAAAAATAATAAATTGATGAACTAATTTAAATAAATTAAGATTAGAATAATCAGATTTGTATTTTGAAGTCTTAATTATTATAGTTAGAGCTAATCACATAAAAGTAAAAAGAGTAGATAAATCAATACGAAAATGAGTTTAAGAAAGTTCTAAAAGATGAGAATGCATTGTTTTAATAAAAGTAAATCGATTAACGTGAATATAATGAAACAACCTCTACTAAAGGCTATAATCATTTAACTTTACTTATTAATTAATAGGTTAGATAAAGAGAATAAGATAATAAATATCTAAAGAAACCTAACAATTTAACTGCCTATGAAATACAAACTAGCAAAGATGACATTAATTCACTCCAAAAAAAAGTACAATAGTAAAGCGAAATAATTAAACAATTAAATTAATAGTTAGATAAAATTAATTTCTAGTATTAGAATCTTTTAATTGAATAATAATCGAGTAATCTTTAAATCGAATTGCAAAAGTCTGAATACGAGTAAATGAAAAAACATCTATAAACCACTATATCAAAATAAAAAACTTCTTTAGATGAGAAAGAGATAGAAATATAAAATATTAAATAATAAAAAGTAAGCTTAAGTGATATGAATTAACTCGAAATTGATAAAATTAATTAGTTATTAATTATGAGTTAAGAAAAGATAGAAAATTAAAAAAAAGAACTGCATAAAGATATGTAGAAAAATTAAGCAATATAATAAGCCAACAATCAATTGAGAAGCTAGTTAGAAAGAGTGCAAAGTGAAAATGCTGATTTACATGAGATTATTATAGAACTTTAAAAAGAAAATGTAAATCTAAGAGACAATAATTAAAAATTAACCTCAAAATTAGAAGAAAATATTTAGACAAAGGAATAAAATAGGGATAATATGGTCTTAAGAAGATAATCTATTACTATTAGTTAATAATGCGAAAATTTTTATTCTGAACAACCAAAACCTGGGTTTATAACATCTAAAAATAATAGAAAGATAGATGAAATTGAGAGGGAAAATTCAACATAGCAGAAAGAAATTTCGAAATTGAAACAAATGATAGGAGATTTGTCAAATAATCAAAATTATAACCCAGAAAGGAAATTGTCAAACAGTTCATAACATCTATCATAAAAGAAGCACCTTTTTGATCAAAATAGTATTAAATGTAAAAATAATTGATAGCTTATTGATAGCTTACTGATATTATATATATAAAATATAAATTTATAGTAATATATTTAATTGAAGAAGTTAAATAATTCTTTGTTGAAAAGTGAAAATTTAAGTATAAGAATCGGCTTTTAATTATTTTCAACCTTTTTATCAAAATATATTGTAGCTTTATAAATAAGAGAATGGGTAATAATGCTTAAATTAATGAGCACAGAAGTGATTAAATAATAATAATTTTGGTACTTTTTTATACATATTTTATCAATATGGTTTGCATTATCTAGCAAAATATACTGTGGCAAACAAAGATAAAGCTGGCACTCCCCGGCTATATATTATAATAATTATAAATTACAGAACCATTCTTTTGGCTGGATTCATTCTCTCAAATTTGATTTGTCTTGCAACATCTCCAGCTGGTTATCTCAAATATACGTATGAGATAGTGCATATGCCAGCAGATAAAACAGAAGCAATTGGTGAAATAAACTAGTGTTTAATTATTTCCTTATTACATTAGAATTAAAGAATTTTTGACTGAATGATAGGCATTCAGAATTAATCTTGAATTTATAAGAGTCGACTATCGTTTAATCGGTAGGAATGGAATATAATTCTCTAACTTCTGGAGTTACTGTAAGGAAATCAATATCCTAATTTGACATTATTTATATAAAATTATTAATATTTTATATTATTTGCTTATAAATGTATTGAGAACATTCTAATTATATTTTTAATTAAGCAACACTTTCCTACTTTCCAAAAATAATAGCATTTGAATATAATGAATCTACTCATATATAAATTATAACTGAATTTATAGATTCTACCATAAAAATATGATAGGTTTGAATAAAAAATTAAACTATGATAGTTTAAACTGAAAATTTCATGTTAAGTGCTTTTGATTTGTTCAATCAAAATTATTAATTGGTGCTTAAATTATAGGATGTATATTATAATTTTCCTTTAGCTTATTGTGAATCTTACTATTGTCTTATTAAATTTTAAATTAACTAATGAAATTGCTTCTTATATCTAATTTAGTTCTGATTGTTTATTCCATAGACAAATGTCTAGAGTATAGAACTTATTCAGATTGTATTCTGAGTAGTGACAGTCAATGTAATGAAATTTAATAAGTTAAAAGGTTTTTGGAATTAAGAGTATTGCGAATTCACTAAAAACTTATAACTAGGGTGTTCAAGGTTTTTAAATAAAATGGCATGTGTAAAATAGTTATCTAATTCCTTAAACGAGAGAGCCAGATGTACAAATAAATATATATAATTGAATAGGTATCTTTAAGAATGCTTGTTAGCCTGTTATTGAATTATCTGTGTTAACTTGCAATGATGCCATAACGAAGCATGCTTGCTTGGATATAACCAATATTGATCAATTATGTTATTGGGATCCATTAACATATTAATGTATGAAAGTAGCTAAAGAGAGTTATTAGAGCGACTTTTAGGATGTTTTGTATAGTGCATCTGTTTGTAGCAGAATTGAAAGTATTTATTAAAGAAAATTATTTAGACTATTTGGTAATTCATAGTTCGATAATTTGGGATGCTATCTCTTATACACCTGACTTCGTAACTGAGTCAGAGGCTATTTACAATTAGGATTTAGGATTGGGGATAGAAGAGAATGACCTTTCTTATGAAAAAGGTTAGCTAGTAAATAATTACGTTTATAATGTTTGTGATGAACCGAACTAAGTATCTTATTTTTAGTGGTATATTTTAAATGACCTTCAAGGAAAACAAATTAAAAACTGTAAGAGTATATCAATTATAATCTAATAGTAAAAATAAGCGACAGGAAGCGAGAGGGATGCATTGCAATTTAAATAACGGATGATGATGATTATAATTTATTATTTTCAAAAAAGAAGGAAACTGTGGGAGTGAATAAAATTTATTGCAGATATCAAGGAGGAATCTTTATTAATAATAGGTGCTTTTATTATGATGATATAACCATTCTAACAAATCCTTCGTTTTTACAAGGAAATTAAATAAATTGTTATTAATTAAACATTAAGGAATGCGCAGTTGTTACTGAAAATTGTTATCCAGTTATTAAAGATGGTTAAAACGAACAAATAATTACCTGTGTTGCCACTTAAAATTAATTGATAAGTGCTTAAGGATGTTTATCAAATGTTCAAGTGTATTAGACCTACAGAGATTGTATTTCAGATCCAAATCTAACGATTGGAATCTATTTGGATTTCGATATATCCCCACCAGCTTGTAGCTCTAAATGTTATGTACTTGAATAGAGTAATTGTGATCTCACATCTTGTAATTGGGCCAATTAAGGATAAGGATTTTATGGATGTACTCCTAAGTATGGTTGTGATCATCCAGGATTGAATTTAAATTACTGTAAGACTATGGCATAACTTTGTTAATGGGATGTGATAGAGAATCGTTGCTATTCGATCAAGTATTACTAACTTTTCAATCTAAAATGTTCGGAAGCCAATTGCAAATATTTATGTGGAAATATTAAGACATTTGGATAGGAGTGTATTTGGATTGATGAAGATTTAAAATGCCTGAATATCTTAAATGTTCCAGAGTTGAAAAAATTTGAATCCTTTCCCACAAAATATGTTGTGAATAGAGAACTTTGCATGAATTAAAAGGGAAAACATATATATAAGGATTTTATTTGTACTATTGATTCCAGTCCCATAAGTTGTGAAAGCGAAGACACAGGAAACTTTGGCAAAGAACTCTGTTTGGCAACTTAAAAATGTCATTGGAATGTTTAAACATAAGCATGTGAACAGGCAGTCTTAAAATCTTCTTGCGATTAGATGACTAGTGTTTCTCCTGATTGCTGTACTTAATTCAATGATTGCATTTATGATGTATCCAAAGCTAGTTGTGTGTCACTAACTTCTCAAATTTTTTGTACAACTCCTGGAATCTCTAAAAGTGCGTGTTTAGCTTTAAGCAATCAAAATTGCTAATGGGTTGGATCTTAATGCGTTGAAGTATTTCTATTCAGAGAACCTTGTTCATCTTATAGGTCTGTGACATAATCTGTGTGTGTTTTATAGGAAACCTAATTATGTAGATATAATAATGGAAATTGTGAGTTAGTTGAATCTCAACCTGATGATTGCTCAAATTTGCTGAACAAACTAGCTTGCTAGGCAAGTCAATATAGTTGTTATTTTAGGGACAGATGCTAAACATTTTACTCAATAGATCAATTATGCGAAGGCTACTTTCTGAGTCAATCTGCTTGTCTTGCTCTTGAAACACCAGGCTAATAATGTATTTGGTAGAATAATTAATGTAAGTACATTACAGAAAGGCTTAATTGCCTACAAACACAAAAAATAAATAAGTGGGGTTGCATTGGCATAGCAGCTGAAATTAAAGGCTATTTGAGTCCATAATATTATTGCGAATACAACGCATTCCTTAAAATTTGTGAAACTTCAACAAACACCATTTCAGGATGTGAATCAAATCCAAATGTTAATATTCATAGATGCAGTGCTTACTCCTCTGGTCAATGTATCTATAAGGATTTGAAATGCATGTCCATAGACTTAACTCATAAGTATTGGGATAGCTAACTTGATACTATAGATTGTGCTCAAGCTAGTTTGCAAATTTGTAGACTTGTCAGAGGAAAGATTTGCTAGAAGATCAATTAAACTTGGAATTCCTACTAGGATGTGAGATGCGGAGAAATTAAAACATCTCCAATTCCTTGTGGAGGTGCATAAGACTACATCCGTAGCTATGACTCTTTTGTTTTATAAGAAGCTGCAGGTTAATTCAATCCTTAAGTTTGTGCATAAATTCAAGGTTTGGATCTTACCCCATGTCTTTATGATTCAGCTACACAGAAATGTATTAAGGGATCATTATCTAGTCGTTTTTCATGTAATGCTTTGGGAATAAATAAATGGATATGTATGAGCTAAACATATGGTTAATGCGCATTTGTTAATTATGTATGCGTTGATGCCACTTTAAGAAATGAAGAGTGTGGTAATTTAAATAAATGGGCTTGCCTAAATTCAAGTCGAAATTGTGTCTAATAGTACGTCAAAGAAGATGAAGTTTGTCGCGACAGAAGAATTGATTTGACCTTAACATGTGATGTTTAAGATTATTAAAGTTGCTCATTAATAGATAATTGTTATGCTAATCAATTTAGTTGTTATAGTATATCCGCTTCATAAGTCTCACCAACAAGTTGCAATAGTCCATAAATTGGTAAGGCAGTATGTTATCAATCTAATATGTATTGTTAATTCTTTAACTCAAAGTGTTAAGTAATATCAAAAGATTTGTGTGAATACTCATTAACCATGGAGTAATGTGCAAATAATGTATATTACAACTGTGTTTTTATCAATAATAAATGCTATACACAAAATAAAGTCAATAAATGTGATATTTATGAATCAACAAATTATAAATTTTGTCGATAATTCCCAAATTGTAAATACAATTTTAATTTGCTGAACTGTGTTGACTTAACATTGCATAAAGGCATCTAGAATAATTTAATTAAATATAATACAATAGATTGTAGTGCATTTTTGAATTAATTTGATTGTTTGAGTTAATGGTAAGTAATATGTACTTATACTCAAGCATTAGGATGTCAGAGTACAAGTGATAATCCTAGTTAATGTCCTCATTTAATGTAATATAGTAAGATGATGTGTTAAAAATACGAAAATTGTGATTTCTAATTTGGATATTATTGTGTTGATATAACTTAGACTTTAAGTTGCTCTTAATTATCAAATTCATTGTGTTTATCTGATATTTCTGATTCTTTAGCCTGTTATTGGGATGGTACTAATTGCTAAGAAGTAACAACTTAGATTTGTTCAGATGTTCAATCTTATTAAACCAATTATTCTGGATGTTCTAAAATAAGCAATTAAGATACTTAGAAATGCATGTATTAATCTTCAACTCAGAAATGTAAAATATTAAAAGAAACTAATAATTGTTCTGATTTTACAACCAATATTGAATGTGCAATCAGAGCCAATGCATCTTGTTTATTAGCAAATCCTACCGCTTAAACTACCACTTGTAGTTCTTCTAGTGTTTTTAATGCTAATTTAAATTTATATGGATGTACTTAATTAACAGGAAATGCTTACTATTATGATATCTATAATTATCAATGTGCATAACTTACAGTAGCAAATTATGTCAATGTTCAAGGATGTTAATACTTAAATAAATAAAGTTGTATTGAAATTACAAGTATTATCTTAAATATATATTGTGGATGGATTGATAATTAATGTTAATAATTGATTGATCTAACTAAATTGAATGATTGTACTCTTTTAAATAAATACGCTTGCATAAATATAGAAAATTCAAATCTTGTTTGTTAATGGAATGTCGCATCGCATACTTGTACTTCCTCTATTCAAACTGCTTGTTACGTTCCTGCATCAATTCCAACTAATCCTGTATTTTTGTACTCATTAAGTTTATGTAGTAAGGGAGGTAATTCAAATGCATGTATGGCAAATTCATCAAATACAGGATGTGTTATATTTAATTATACAATTGAAGTTTGTGAAAATATGGGATTAAACAAAAAGGCTTGTGTGGAATAAACTACAGGATATTGTAAATGGGCTAATAATAAATGTTCAAATTCATAATTAGATAATTTGGATTGTAATTCAGATGTTAACAAAAATACTTGTTTAGCTATTAATGACAATTTATGTTAATGGAATGATTCAACTAAAACATGTTCTACTAAAACATTAACTAATTGTTCTGACGCAACCAATTACAATTAGTGTATGAATGTACCAAATTAATTTTGTTAATTTACCAATTAAATTTGTGTTTAGCTTGACAAAATTTCACAAGCTTGTAAACTTGGATATAATAAATATGCTTGCAAATATGTTGAAGGCGTGACATGTTAATTTTAAGATCTTAAGTGCACTGTCCTATTCTAGATTGACTCTTGGCAAAGATGCTCCAAATACGCATCTCAACCCCTCTGTTAATCAAATAATTGTGAATGGCAAGATTCAAAATGTATTTCACTAACAATATGTAATAATGTTACTCCTTCAATAATGGTTGATTATTTACCTTATAAGTTGAATCCTTGTGATAATTATTTACCTTAAGCATGCATTTAAATTTATAATAAATATGGATGCTTAAGTTCGAGTTTATATTGTTAATGGGATGATAGTTAAGGATGCACTTCGTATTCTACATATTTATCAGAAATTTAATGTCTAGAAACACTAAAAGTTAATAGGAATGTATGTGATAAATACGCTCCTAAGTTTTGTGAATTCAAAACAGATAGTTGTTCTCCTCGTATCACTGATTATTATTTTATTAAAAATCCTTATCAAACATTAGCAAGTACTGAAATAAGCCATTAAATTGAGACTCAAACTTGTGATTCCTATTTTACAATTTAAGATTGCATATTATCAACTGCATTTGAATGCTATTGGAATGGATCTTGCATATAAATTACTAATGAAACCTCTTTGGATGCTCAAAGTTTAAACATAAATGGCTGTAACAAGTTTAATTTACAATGGAGAGACAGACAATGCTTTAGATTCTCATCTATTTAAAATTTTAATGAATTTTTGGATAAAGAAATAACATCATGCGAAACAAAATTGATCTCTAAATAAACATGCTTAAACATAACAGCTTAACCTTGTTAATATGACAGCACTACTTTAACTTGCAAGAAGGTTTCTAGTTTAAACTAACCATGTTCATCCTATTCAAATGTAAACAAAAGAACATGCTAATTATTGACAAGATCTAGCTGCGATTTTAATGAGGTTGTAAATTCTTGCGTCACTGCCCAAACTGTTGTTACTGATTATAGTGGACTTTCTAAATCAGCATGTCTATCGCTTTCAGTTGCAGCCTATTGGGATGATTAATGCGTTCCTGTAACTGTTTTCGAATGCGATCAAAAATTTTAGAGTTCTTCAGCTGCTTGTGTTTTAGCAGAAACACCCTGTATTTATGATGACAAAAAATAAGCTTGCATTTCCTAATATAATATAAATGCCGTCTTTTGTGATACTCCAGGAGTGAGTAGTGAAACCTGTACATAAATAATCAGGGAACCTTGCATATTCAAGTTAAATAAATGTTAAAGGATACCATCATCTTACTCCTGTGACTAAGCACATTTAGTAAATGAAATGGCTTGCGCTTCACTCAATTAAGCATGTTCTTATGACTAATTGACAAAACAGTGTTAAGTAGTCTCCACCAGCTAAAAATGTTCTACATTAGGACTTTCAAAAAAAGCATGTTTGTACAATCCATCCTGTAAATTTAATAATGACTTGTTGAAATGTGAATGCTCACTTGTTGCATCTCCTTAAATCTGTAGTGATCTCTCAAAAGACAATTGCTAAAAAAATGCCAAATGCTACTTTGATTAAAATTTAAAGATTTGTAGAACAAAGCATTGTGAGGATCTAAATAAATCTGAATGTTTTGGCAAATTAAATAATCAAACATGCTATTATACTGGATATTCCTGTTAATCAGCACGAAAATGTGAAGATATCTTTAATTATAGCAGTTCCTAATGTGAAAATGTAATTTTTGATGGAGTGCCTTGTATAGGTACAAATAATAGATGTTTCACGTACAACAATTATCTAGAATATTGTTAAAATTCTGATTGTCAAAATAACTTCTGCAGTTATAATGAATAGAAGATTTGTTAAGTCAAAAAATGTTCTGAATTAAACAATTGCTATCAATTAGGTAATTATTGTTAGATTTTATCAAATGGAACTTGCGTAGAAAACTAAAGTTGCTAATAATTAGACTCTGAGATTTGTGATGGATTAACTATTCGTACTATGGACACATGCTCTCTTTAGAAGTACAATATTTATTTAAATGATGTGTTATGTACATCCTAAGTATGTGCTTTATATGGAATATCAGAATTGTGTGATGGGAATTAATATGGGAATTACGCTTGTGCATTGGTTGACCAAAAATGTTAGCCTTGCGAATAGATAAGGGATGCATGTCAATGTAACGAGAAGATTGAAATATGTTTGTGGGATGACAACACTTGTCGTTCTTTTTTATGCAAAGAATTGACACAGAAAGAATAATGTAATGCTATAAGTAGATGTCTTTGGAGCACTCTTAATAACTAATGTTTAATTCATTGTAGCAAAATTATAGATGAAGATGAATGTAATTCCAGAACCAATGAATGTTATTACGATGAAGCAACTAATTTATGCGAAACAGGAACTTTTAGTCCTCCAAGTCTTAGCATTACTATAGAAATATCAACAACATATTAAATGGTCCTGTTGATGATTCCAACATTCTTTCTTGCTGTATTTTGATTTATCTGAATTAATAAATTTAAGTTAATTGTTTTACATGTATCAACCATATAGAGATTAATATTCAGAATAATTATTATATCATTAAAAAGCGTTTATCCAATCAATTCTATAAATATTTGTGGCTAATTCATTTTAATTCTTAATTTTGATTGACCCCAAAAATAACGGAATGCTTTCAATCCTACATTTTTTCAAGAAGCATGAGTCTATATGGATGAGAAAGTAAAATTTAAAAAACGGATGCCATTAAATCCATTTTTAATATCTTAAATATACATAGTTTATTTAATCAAAATTAAAAGTGACTTTATATATTTTCATTTCCAAATTTCAACTTTAACATTATTTTATTGTTTTATGACTCATTCATATAGGTTTGTACTAATTGTATTCCTAATCCTATTTTCTTTATTACAAGTGCAATGTGCTGATAGATGCATAGAATATAGAACTTATGATGATTGCATTAGAAGTATAGATGACCAATGTATTTATATTTTATATAATTAATAGGCATTTGGGACTCTGATGCTTGTAATTTTACAAAAAACTTAGAACTTGGTTGTTCTGAGTTGTTAAACAAGAAGGCCTGTAATAAATAATTGGCTTATGCCTCAGGAGAATTAGCCAAATGTATGCAATAAATGTTTTCTCTTAGGCATTTTTATATCGAAGTGTTAACCAATATAGGATTTGAGTTAAGTCAATTGTTAGGACAGTCTTTCTAAACATGGATGCATGTCCATTCAAAAAACATCGGAGCTTTGTGAATGGAATGAAAACACATACAGTTGTGATTATGTTTCTCAAATGGATAATTTGAAAGACTTTTAGAATAAATTATATAGTGCATCTGTTTGTGGAAGGATCGAAAGTATGTTTTGAATCTAATTAGATTATCTCATAATACACCATACGTTATTGTGGACACTAACCCAGTATAAACCAAATTTCGTTTTAGAATCAGAGCGCCTTTACAGGAAAGACTTAGGCTTGTAAGTAGAAGCTGATAGCAAAGTATATGAAACAGGAACTTTAAAAAATAATTTCGTAAGCTCTGGTGGTTACTTTCAATGGTATGAATTAGGTCAGCCACTTGGAAGTGGATTAAGCAATTGTATAAAATAATTTTAACATAGTGAAAATTAGTGACAGAGAACGGGAAGGCTGTATAGCATTAGAGATAGTCGATGACAATGATTATTAAATGCTATTCTCTACCAAAATTCAGGAAGTAGGTGTTAACCATATTTATTGCAGATATATTAAAGGAATATTTACTCATTAAAAATGCCTTTTAATATCTCAAGAATTATAATTATAGGACTAACAATTCCTAACTGCAAATGAGATCTTTTGTAGATATGTAGATAGGAATAGGTGTTCGTACATCAACCTAAATTGTCTTCCCTAAACCTTGAACTCTGATGGACTAGAAAAAGAATTCAGTTGTATTGAAGGCTTAAACACACAAAAGACTACTTGCGTTGCAGAAGCCTTGGACACTTTTAGAAGGTGCAAAGGCTTATCTGGAAATGAAGGATGCTATTTGAATACTTTAGTCTCTCCTCCTGTTTGTAGCCAAGAATGCATTGTAAGTCAATAAAGTCTGTGTAATAGTGATAATTGTAATTGGACTCAAGAATCAAATGAATTTATTGGGTGTGTTCCCAAATTTGGATGCAAATAGCCAGGAGTTAATTAATACTATTGTGTGAATATGAGACTTTTATGTTCTTGGGACGACACGAATAAATAATGCACATAACTATAAGACTACTAACTTAATATTCTTGATTGCAATGCTGTCATTTCAAAATTCTCATGTGGATCAATACGAAAAATGGGACAAGAATGTATTTGGCTAGATAATGAGGGAAAATGTATTAATGTCTTATCGGATTAGAAATTAAAACTATTTTAATCCTTCCCAAAAACAATGGTTGTAAATAGACAATTATGCATGTATTCAACGGGTTAGAGAAAGTATACTAATATGATATGTGATTAATATTAAACAGATAAAACCTGTGAAACTGAAGATAGCAGTTCTTTTAATTACGAATTATGTTTAAACACTCCAAAATGCTAATGGGATGTTTTATTTGAAGTTTGCAAGGTTCTAGTTCCTCAAACTAGTTGTGATGCTTTAATCAATGTTTCAGCTTCAGCATGTGCGTAGTTTATGAATTGTAAATACAATTAGTAAACAAAGAGTTGTCAATCATAATCCACTAATCTAACATGCGATGATCAAGGAATAAAAAAAGAAATCTGTCTTGGTTTATCTGATCAACCATGCAAATGGAGTAATGGAGTTTGTTCCTAAGTGACATCATTTAATCAATATTGCACATCTTACAATAATGTCTCTTAAAAAGTGTGTGTATTATAATCAACTGAGAAATGCCAATTCCTTACAAACAAATGCATTTTAGTAGCAGTTGCTCCAACCACTTGTTAAACTTATTTTAATAAATATGCATGCTAATTCAGCACAGAGGCTTGTTATTTTGCTGGAGATTCATGCTAAACCTTATCAGCCACTAAATATGAGACTTTGACTTGCGAAGGTTTTTATCTTAGTAAAAAGGCATGCCAATAGATTATAAATACTAATGAAAAGTGTTCATGGGATGGAGAAAAATGTGTTTATTTTAAATCTACATAACGTTATAATTGTTTGGCTAACACATCACTTAGTCAGGCAGGTTGCATTAGTATTATTTCTCCTGTTCCAAGACAATCTCTAGATGAATACTATTGTGCTTATAAATTTCCAGATAGGTTATGTGCTTCTATTACCTCTTCTGCAACTGTTGCATCTTGTGGAAATGCTAATTTATTATTAAATCGATAAACCTGTTCATAGTTGACAAGTGGAAATTGTATATTTGTTGATTAGTAGTGCAAAAGTGAACCTTCAGATGCAACATCAAATCGATATTGGAATTATCATTTGAAGACAATTACTTGTGACTAAGCCAACAAAAACACTTGTAAGAAAGTGTAAAACAGAATCTGTTAACTTAATTCTAACTTTTGCTTTGTCGTAATTGACCCTAAGCTTATATGCTCATTTCCAGTGAATATTTCAACCTATAATCCAATTTAATATTGTGCTAATTCAGTTTATAGTGATAACACCTATGCCACTAAAGTTCGATGTAAGATTAATAGTGCTCAGACTGATTGTGAGGTGCCATCAAATACTAACTATTACAGTTGTGATGAACCAGGAATCAATATTAATATCTGTTTTGAGGCTACCTATGGTTAATGTGCTTTCATTAATGGAAAATGCACTTCTGATCTCAGTAATGTAACTTCGTGCAATTAACTCAATAAGTAAGCTTGTTTAAATATGAATATGGAATGTGGTTATTTTAATAATGTTTGTACTTAAAATAACACTTCAACAAAATGTCCTGCTGCAATAACAAATTATTCATGGTATCTGTGTTCAAGCACAGTGAATTGTTATGGAATATTAAATGGTTGCAAGCAAATGACAACTACTATTAATCTAAAATGTGACACTCCTGGAGTTGGAAAAACAGTCTGTGAGAAATCTTTATAAAATTGCTCCTTCACAAATGGTGTTTGCAAGAACATTTCAAAGAAAATATGCGAATATGAGTTTACCAAAGAAGATTGTATCAATAATCTTTATTATAACTGTGTTTATGATGAAGGATAATGCTATACCTAAAATTTAACTGTTAAATGTGATAAATATGAATATACGAATTATAAATTTTGTAGGTAGTTTCCATACTGTCAATACATCAATAATTAATGCAAGGATTTCAGTTTACTTAGTCAAATTGAAAATGATAAAATAAATTATACAACAGGTTGTACTACATTTTTAAATTAATTTGATTGTTTAAATTAATGGTAAGTAATATGTACATTTGTTAAAGGTCAAGGATGCAAAAGTACAAGTGATAATCCTAGTTAATGTCCTCATTTAATGTAATATAGTAAGATGATGTGTTAAAAATACGAAAATTGTGATTTCTAATTTGGATATTATTGTGTTGATACAACTTAGACTTTAAGTTGCTCTTAATTATCAAATTCATTGTGTTTATCTGATATTTCTGATTCTTTAGCCTGTTATTGGGATGGTACTAATTGCTAAGAAGTAACAACTTAGATTTGTTCAGATGTTCAATCTTATTAAACCAATTATTCTGGATGTTCTAAAATAAGCAATTAAGATACTTAGAAATGCATGTATTAATCTTCAACTCAGAAATGTAAAATATTAAAAGAAACTAATAATTGTTCTGATTTTACAACCAATATTGAATGTGCAATCAGAGCCAATGCATCTTGTTTATTAGCAAATCCTACCGCTTAAACTACAACTTGTAGTTCTTCTAGTGTTTTTAATGCTAATTTAAATTTATATGGATGTACTTAATTAACAGGAAATGCTTACTATTATGATATCTATAATTATCAATGTGCATAACTTACAGTAGCAAATTATGTCAATGTTCAAGGATGTTAATACTTAAATAAATAGAGTTGTATTGAAATAACAAGTGATATTTTAAATATATATTGTGGATGGATTGATAATTAATGTTAATAATTGATTGATCTAACTAAATTAAATGATTGTACTCTTTTAAATAAATACGCTTGCATAAATATAGAAAATTCAAATCTTGTTTGTTAATGGAACGTCGCATCGCATACTTGTACTTCCTCTATTCAAACTGCTTGTTACGTTCCTGCATCAATTCCAGCTAATCCTACAGTTTTATACTCAATAAGTTTATGTAGTAAAGGAGGTAATTCAAATGCATGTATGGCAAATTCATCAAATACAGGATGTGTTACATTTAATTATACAATTGAAATTTGTGAAACTATGGGATTAAACAAAAAGGCTTGTGTGGAATAAACTACAGGATATTGTAAATGGGCTAATAATAAATGTTCAAATTCATAATTAGATAATTTGGATTGTAATTCAGATGTTAACAAAAATACTTGTTTAGCTATTAATGACAATTTATGTTAATGGAATGATTCAACTAAAACATGTTCTACTAAAACATTAACTAATTGTTCTGATGCAACCAATTACAATTAGTGTATGAATGTACCAAATTAATTTTGTTAATACACTGATTCATGTAAAAGTTTTGAAACTATTCCTAAGATTTGTTAATAGGGATTTAATAAGTATAGCTGTCAGAATGTAACAGAATAGATATGTTAATTCAGCAATAACTAATGTTCAATCCTAACCACATTTGATTCAAGGAAAGAATGCTCTAAACAATTAAGTGAACAAAATTGCAAAGCTTCACCATTTCATTGTATTTGGTAAAGCACAAAATGTATCTTTAAGGATACTAGTTGTTACAAAAAGAACTCTGATAACACTGACTGTTATAACTTTGAATACCCTTGTAGTTTAACTAGTTGTACTCCTACAAAACCTCTTTCTTGTGTTTAGATCTATAATAGAATAGCTTGTCTAGATTCTGATTTCTTTTGTTATTGGGATAATACAAAAGGATGCTAGAATTTTTATTCAACATAAAGCAATATCAATTGTGGAACTATGACTCAATAAATTAATAGAAAAGTTTGTCAATATTATGCCTCTTAAAATTGTGAATATAGAAATTATGTTTGCACTTCAAATTTGTCAGATGTATTCTATGAACTTAATCCTAATTATATCATTTAATCAAGTTTAGTGACAGTATAATCAAATTGTTCTGAGAACTTAACAGAGTTCGATTGTGTTACTTCAACATAATTGAAATGCTATTGGAATACAGATTGTAAATCTATAGAAGAATAAACAGTTTCATGCACTTCGAAATTAAATCTCCCAGCTTGTTAAGAAAAAGACTGTTTGTGGAGACAAAGAAAATGCATTTCTAAATTGGGCTATGTCTTTTAACCAAATCCTATATTAGATGAATAAGTGACGGATTGTACAACTCGATATATATCCAAAGCTACTTGTTTAAATATACCAGATGTATCTTGTACCTATGATGAAACTAATAACTAATGCGACAATGTTACGTTCGATAATGCTAAAGCTTGTTCAGATTATTAATTAGTTAACAAAAAAACATGTTAAATGGTTCCAACTAAGTCATGTATTTATGATTCGGACTCATTAACATGTCAGGATTTTAATGGAACCATTACTGATATTGATACATTATCAAAACCTGCTTGTTTGTCACTTAACTAAGCTGCATACTGGGACAATGGGTGTCATTTAACTAGTAGTTTTTAATGCGATTAAGTTTTTGAAGTCACTTAAGCAACTTGTAAACTTGTAAAAACATCTTGTATTTATAATCAAGAATTAAAAAAATGTACTTCAGAATTCAATATTAACTCCTTGTTTTGTGATTCACCAGGCTTAAGTCAATCTGCATGCACATCAATTCTTAGAGAACCTTGTATATTTATTGATGGCTAATGTTAATTATTACCTTCTAATTATACATGTGAACAAGCTAGAAATGTTAATGAATTAGGATGTGCTTCATTACAGGATTCTTGCTCTTACGATATTCTTAATAAAAAATGCAAGACTGTGACTAGTTCATAAGTATGTTAAATTTCTGGACTCTCAAAATCTGCATGTTAATTAAATTCCTCTTGTATTTTTAATTCAGATTTTATGTAATGCTAATGTAATGTGGTTGCAACAGCCAATATTTGTGCAAACAAGAATTAAATTTAGTGTGTTTAGGAATAATTATGTATGTTCGATAATAAATATAATTCTTGCAGAAGAGTACGTTGTGAAGACTTAGGTTAGAGTGAATGTAAGAATTCTAAACTAAATATGGTTTGCTTTTTAAATAATGGTGTTTGCCAAAGTGCAAGTTAATGCGAAGATATTATAAATGTTGACCATTCAATTTGCAGCTAAATTGAATTTGAATCTGGAGAGAAATGTATTGGTATTAATTCTAGATGTTTGAATGAAAAAAACTACGATCTTTATTGTTAATTATCGGATTGTTCTAGTAAATTCTGTAAGAAATCTAATATTTGTGAAGCATTAAAATGTTCTGACTTGACTAATTGTAATTAATTAGGAAATAAATGCGTATTGTCAGGTGATAAATGTGTAGAGAATATAAGTTGTTAATAATTAAGTTCATCTTAATGTATTCAACTTCAATTGTATAACGCATAAACATGTGTAATTCAACAATAGAACATTTATCAGGATGAGTTTATTTGTACATCTTAAGTTTGCGCCCTATTTGGATCTTCTAATCTTTGTAATGGAAATTAATTCAACAATTTTACTTGCCTACTGAAAGATTCTCAATGTTTACCTTGTGAATTTATTGTGGATCCATGTACTTGTTCCTAAGCAAAGAACATTTGCGAATGGAAAAAAAATGGCTGCGCATCAGTATCCTGCACTTCCTTTTTAACCACAGAAATCTGTAATGATATAACAAGATGTTCATGGAGTTCCTATTATGGTAGTTGCCAATTACATTGCAATTTAGTAATTTCTTAAGAAGATTGTAATGCTAGACAAGATGAATGTTATTATGATTTAGCAAATAATGTGTGCCAAGTGGGAACTTATAATTCTCCTGATTTAAGCGTTAATATTAAAATATCGACAATAAGTGAATTAATAATTGTAGCTGCCAATGCAATATTGATATTTTATTTTATTTGAAAATCCATTTATGATTTATTTTTTGACATTATTTATCAAACATATTCAATTGATACTTCAAATAAATAATAAAATGTAAATATCAATTAGGGAAAACTTAATTAAGAATCTATAAGTCTCCACAAAAATATTACATTTCTATTTACAAGAGCCAAATTTTAAGAATCCATCAATAAATAAATTAAACATCAATAGTTTTAAATGAAATAAACTAATACTAACATATATCTTGTTAACATGATTTAATCTATTGATGAGAGTTATATTAAAAGTCTGTTTTATATTGTTATAGAAAATACTCCTAAATAAAAAAATAAAAAAATAAGTTTTAATAGTTTAAGAAATTTCATATACTACTTTTCTTTGATATATGTTTTTAATTACAAAATACATTATATTCCTTGCTTGAGAAATCAAAATTAAACTACTTCTTACTATTTACTTGCAGTGTGTTTCTATAAGATGATAAATTATTTGAAATTTAATTTTTTAATATTTTTCAATATACAATGATGAATAAAAATAAATCAGTGACTCTGATTATTAGATCCGGAGAATATTTTATTTATAACTCGAAAGAATTTGATTTCTTTAACATTAGTTATTGTCCTGAATTCGATCCTAATGATTTTTTTGCTGCAGCTCGACTCTTGTATTAAATGTCATATTCAACCGAAATTAAAAATCTAGAATAATATGTGGAGATATTGTATAAGAATGAATATAGAGAGTTGCTTAAGGTTGTTATACAAGGAGAAATAATCAAATCAACCAAGGATGAAAAAATTATTTTGATTGACTTTTCTTTAGATTTAGGATTTAAATCAGATATTGTACCTCATATATTATCAGGAAAAGAAAAATAATAGTAGGAGAGAAAAAGATTTGCTTTAGTTATTACAGAGCCATAATATTATGATAAATATGTAAATATTATGGAGGCTTTGCATTTAGGGATCTATAAAGAAGTAAATGAAGACTGGGAAGTTTATTTAGTATTATTTTTTGTAATTTTAGGCAATAGAAAATTAATATCCAGATTTAGAAAACTTACATGGTATCGTCATTACAGGTTCAACTAGTACAGCATTCGACATGTCAGAGAATTGGAAAGAGCCCTTGGTTAATTTCTTAAGAGAAGCTGATAAACGCTAAATAAAAATGGTTGGAATATGTTTTGGGCATTAAATTTTGGCTCATTGTTTAGGAGGAGAAGCAAGGAAAATGACATTTGTACCTCATATGTAAGTTGGGAGGTTATCTTTACTAACAGGTTTGAACTTTGGAGAATTTCAAATAAAAAATCTTAATGTATACTAAATTCACGGAGATTATGTTTTTGAACTCCCAAAAAACTCTGAGTTATTATTGAGTGCTCCTCATTGTTAGAATTATGCTTTTAAAAGCAATCATTTATTAGGATTATAATTTCATCCAGAATTTAATCCAATTATTTTGATTTATTTTTTTTGGGATTTAAATAATGAAAATTTGAAAGAAACTTATTTAAAAGAATGCTATGAAAGCTTTAAAAAAGGAGAAGACCATTAATTAGCAATTTGGGCCTATATATTAAATTTTTTGAAAAATTAATGAGATTATTAATCGTGATTTATGAATTAATCTAATTTTATTAATATTCGAGTATATATATATATATTTATATCATTACTTTCATCATAATATTATAAAATCATATTTGGAATAAAATAAAATTGATTAAATCTTAAATATAAGACAAAATCATCAAAAAACTCTCTTGATCATTGCAATAAACTTTATTTAATGGAAGCGAGACTAAATATTAGAATCTTTAATTAAAATGTAATAATCAGATTTTATTTTTGCTTAACCTAAACATAACTCTAAACGCTATAATGTAATAAATTATTTAAAGAGATCAGAATTTAAGTTTAAATTAATTATCAAGCAATTTTTATTATTAAACTATTAAAAATATATCCAAAGCAGGTTGTGAAGATCTTATTATTAATGGGTTTAATTTAATAAGTAATTAAGTTTGGATTGACAATTATAAGGTTTTAAACTTTTATCCATTTATTTATTTATTTAAATCTGAGTAATATCTATATAGAGAATGAATAAAATATATAAATAATTAGAATTTAATGAAAAATAGCAAATTTAAAGTTTATACATAAAATTTCTAAGATAATCACTTTTAAAATAGACTCTCTTGAATGCGAGATAGAAAAGATTTTCTAGTTTTTATTTATTCTGGTGCAGTACGCTTGGCTGTTTAGTCTATAGATTTTAATATGGAATAGTTCTTTTCTTTTATAAACTTGGATATTTAAGATTATTCTATTTATGGTTCACGATTGGTAGTAGGAGCCTTCTATAGATTTAATTCATAATCTGATACCAAGGCTTTAAGATTCTATATATGTTAATGTTTTAATAATTTACCATCAATTCTCCTTCATTGTGCATTGATTTCTATTTTATGATTTAATGCATCTAAACTCTGATTTTCTATTCAATATCTTAAGATCCTTAAATAAGTAATCTAGCAGAATTGACCCCTTCTAAATGTTCTTATTCTTTGGAAATACCTGAAGTAATTTTCATAATATTTTAATTCGTTGCTATTTTTTGATGTGTGTATTTTTGAAACTTTAACAATTTTTTACCCACAATGAAATCAGATTAGCAAACCTTATCTAGTTCTTCTTAGGATGATATTTGTTATCTTAATGATTTTAGAGATTTGATCTAAACTTCATTATCAAAGGAGGAAAGCACTTTTTATTGATAATAGAGATCCAATTCCTTTTTTGCTTTTAGAGAAGAAAACGATTCAATTTCTCTCTTTGGAAATCTCTTTAAAATCATATCTATATCAGATGTAAATTTTAATGAATTAGTTTTAGTGTGAAAGAGTGTAGCACTTGACTTGTGAGAATGTTGAGGTGATTGATGTGCAGAAGGTAATTTACTTAGTTTGACCTCATCTACAGAATTGAATGTTTTGCATTTCTCATGTTGACGAGGTGTATGAATATTTGATTGGATTGTTGTTTCTTATTCTGTAAGTCGAGATTAATGTTATTTTTTATAATTTATATCCTCTTGTTATGAAAGTATAGAATACAGTTGAATATTTACCTCCTTATTAAATTTCTTATAGAACCTATCATTTGTATCTGTCCAATAATCATTTTATTATGTGTTATCCTAATTTATGTTGGATTAAGGAAATATAGGAGCAAGTACTTAATTTATTTCCTTAATTTCTATCATAAATGTTCTATACTAAAAGTTCATGATAATATATATTACTTAATTTTGTTGTAAACGATACTATTCCTCTAAAATGGTTGTTAATCCTTAATTATCAATTAATTCTGATAACCAAAGTGCCACTCTAAAAGCTTCGAACAATTTATTATAGTCTGACTGCAATTCATAAACAAATGTCATGATATATAAGGTTGTTATAATCCAAGTGATCACCTTTGAATACTTATCAGATAGTTTTTTCAAATGAAAATCTTCAGCTATGATATCAGCAAGTAAACTTTAGCATTGTCCAATGGCCTCTTTATAGTAGAATATTGCAGAATCAAATAATTTAAATTGGCAATGGAGATGCCCAACCTACAAATAGTATTGAAACTTTGTTTTATTAAATCGAGCATCCTAATAATATATCTCCGGTTTCCAAAATAACATGCAACGAACATCTTCATGGAATTTAGATAATTAGTAAATTAATAGGTGAATTTAAGAGATTCGATAAAGTATTTCTTTTAGATAAAATATTTCTATAAAATAAGGTATAATTTAGTACTATATTCGGTTGCTTAATTCTCCAGCAATTCAAAGTAAAACATAATAAATTACTATAACTTTCTCAATAAATGCAATTAGTTTTCATGCCTAAATCCATCCCTTGATTGAGATGAGAGAATTTTGATTAGGCAAACTATTCCTCTTCTTAATAATTGCAAACGAATGCGCCACCCTGTTTACATAATCAAAGATCTTTCAAATTCTTTATTTATTCGTTAAAAAGCAATCCTGTACTTGCCAGAACCTTGGGATTGAGATTTATAATACGAATTGTTTGAGTTATTTCAATAATTTGGTTTTGGAAATGGTTTTCTTGTATAATTGTTAACTGCTTGGCATGACTCCTCATTATATTAAATAATAATCATTTATAATGTAGAGAATATTTCAATATTGATGTAATTAATCAAAGATGTTTAAAATGGTCGTAGTCACTTTTCTAAACTTCCTTATATATGCCATATATTTTGAATATTCAATTTACTTTATTTTGCATATTTTTGGTCAACTGTTTCAATTTAGAATAATAAACTATTGAGCATTTCATAAATCGAAAAAAATATGTGTTCATAAATACTGAAAATGAATTTTACATGATTAATATCCTAACTTAACATCACTCTTTAGTACCGTCATATTTTGAGTATTCTATGCATTATGATCTTTAAAGATTCAATTAATGATATAAGGTAATATCCTTAATTATTTATAATATTTTTATAATCAATTAAAATAATGTCAACCAATTTTTTTTAAATATTAAATTATGATATTAATATTGATATTGTCAATATTTGGTTGGGTACTGTATTAATTGTTTTGCCAAGATACCCTCCTTGCTCAAATTTTATCTTTTCTAACTCTAAATTCAATGATTACATCCTCAATATAGTATATTTTTTAATATTAAATTATAAATTAGAATCTATAGTCTTAAATTTTAGAATTTACTTTTATAAGATAACATAACATTAAAAATATCTCAACTTAGAAAACACTTTTAATTCTATTACTATCATAGTTTGATAATTTTAATTAACATGTATACAACGATACATTTCCATAAAAACGCATTTATTATTATTTCCCAATTTACAATATGACTCTGTAAATTAGATATTATCTGTTTATTTATGATATTTTTAGTGTTTTATAGTTTTTTAATTAATTTTTAATGCTATCCATTCGGGCATAGAGAATGAAGAAGATTATGTAAGTTCAAGGGGAAGTTGGACAGCATAAAGGTTACACAGCTATAAAAATAGCTGGAAATGCTCATGAATTGATTCGAAAAAATAAATCAGCCACAGATAATATTAGTGAACTAGCTATACAAGATGTGACTAAGAAATTGTTGAATGATTAATTCAATTAAATCTAGAGTTATGACATAGCCAGGGGAGAAGAAAAGCCTGGTCAATCATTTAAGTCGATGCATAGTATGTACGACTTGTAAACATTGAAAATTACGAAATTGTATAAGAAAAAGGAAAGGAATGACATTGAGAAACAAATCAGAAATAAATTAGCAAAAGATCCTGAAAAACAACTCTTACTCTCAGAAATATATGAATAATTGGAAGATAATTCAGATGGAGAGGTCCTAAAAAAGAAACAAAAAAATAGAGAAGAATCTTTGGCTACTTAGTAAGAAGAGTATGACGAAGCACAAGATTAAACAGCTGATCTTGCACAATGGACTAAAAGGTTAAAAGATCAAAAGAAAAAAGAGGAAAGCAAAAAAGAAGATATCAGTACTAATATTGTTTCATTAAGAAACAAATAAAGAGCATCAACTGAAATTAAGAAGCCTATTTCATTCTAGCAATCAATGAGGTAATTCCCTCTTGATAGACAAAACTCAATATTAAATTCAGTCTCTCCTTCCAACACTCCTAAGTCCTACAAGGATGTTATGAAGAATGCTGTTTAAAAAGTTAAATAACTAAAGAGCTTAAATGAAGATCTAAGTGTAGAACGCTCTGTAGAGCAATATATCCAAAAAGCTTCAGCTGTCGCTTTAAGCGAATTGAAGGAAATAGGGGAACTTAATGTAGATGAAGAAAAAGGATTGACTGCTAATTTTGATTTCACTAGTGAAGGCGTATTAAGAATGTATAATACTTTGGTTAAAGTCTAGATATCTTAATTTAAATCAGAAGCTGAAAAAGCAAAGTTTTATAAAAAATAAACACAACTCATAGTAAATAAACTAACCTTAAAGATTAAGCAAAATTATATCACAATAGATGCAAGGGTAGTAACCTAAGAAAAATTAAGATTAGAAACACATGAATTACATGAAAAAATACTATAAATTAATTAATTAACAGATCAATTAGTTTAAGAAATTAGCGATTTATCAAATCCTAAATCTTAAGGTAGTCTCTAATTGAGTAAATCCAGAATGTCTCTAGTAAATTAATTTATGAGTCAATAAAATAAATAAAAAGAACTAGAATAAGACATCTAAATTCTTAGGGACAGCAAAAAGGCATATAAATAAAAGATATTATTTAATAAAAAGAGTTTAGATTAAATTGATAAGGATATTCATAATTAAAAAAAAGAAAATAAAAATTTGTAGAAGTGTTTAGTGAGTTTTTATTTTTAAGTATTAAAAAATGGATAGGATGTTAGAACTACAGGAATCGCATGGATTATTTCCAAATTAAGTTCTTTAAGTGAAAAATGTCATCATTAATCTATGCCAGAATATCTGGATTAAAAGGCTAAGGAATACTTGCTTCAAGTACTTATTAATTACATATAAGAAAGCAACTATGTTATCGGATATCGAAAAGCTAGAAAAAGAACTGAGCTAATCGTTTAAGCAATATAAATAAGAATAATCCCTCGATAATAGTTTAGCAATTATGTAATAGAGTTTATCTTAAACTGATTCTTTGGATGCCTCGTTTTTACCTTCAATCTTTCCTTTTGATAGCCATAAACTATCTTCAATTGACTTACATCTAGCGCGACAAGAGGCAGCTTTAACTTCTAGGAACAATTACTAATTGGAAAAATTAGGACCTATTTAAGATGGATTGTCTAATGAAGATATCCAAAATTTGGAAAACATGTTGGTCAAGTTGAACTTTAAAAATTAGCCTATTAATAATGGCACATTAATTTACAAAGAAACTCAAAAAAGAATCAAATAGTAGATCAAGTAAAAGGCACATACAGAGTCTCAAAATAATGATTAATCTACTGTTATAAAAGAATAAGCTATTCATTCTTATGATAAATGCAATACATAATTAAATAAAATTAAGTTGAAAGTAAAATTTTAATATATATTTAAAGCTCTAACATCTAGAGGATGAACAAATTATTCGAATAGTGAAAGAATTTGATTATAAAAACTATGCTAAAAGATTCAGTATAGATCCAATAACTGTGATATCATGTCTTGTTGGAGGAACTAGATGTGATAGGGAAATTGTTAAATACGGAATTAAAAAGACCCACCTTGAATGAAATAGTATACTTATTGTTTATTTTTATATATCTCAGTAATTTTCTTTACTTATTTGAACATATTTTGGTTTTGCATCTGATCTACTTGTATTAAATTGTTACGACTTCTAAAATTATTATTGGGGTGACTTATTCAATGGCTACTATAGACATTATAATTACAAGATATAGTATGTTTTATCTAAGTGGAGATTTATTAAATTGATTCGACTACCTTATAGGTGATTTTTAATTATTCAAATGACATTGGTAGAATGGTATCATGTTATTAATTTTATCTCTGTATTTATCAATAAATTCCTTAAGCATCTACCATGAAGGCCTTTCTTATTCATCAAGCAATAGTAACTATTTAATGAACTCAATCAAAATTTAAGAAAATCCCATCTACTTAATTCGAATAAACTTTTATTCCAAAATATCAGTCAAAACAATGCCCTCAACATAATCAAAGCAATCATAGACTTCTTCCAATAAGATTACACTTAAAACGGTCAGTCCTAATGAATATATATCACTCTTGTATGGATCATGGGTAGGTGACATGATTAGATCTTTATATTATTTCAATAGAATGGGAGAAAGATATGATTTATCCTAGCTTTATATCATTTTTTAATATCCATTAAGTCCATCATTCAACATACTACATTCAGATAATTTAATGCAACCATTCTCATCTAAGTAAAGAGTAGATGGTTTAATATCTCCATGAAATACATTTCTTTCCGATAAATATGTACACGGGTCAATAATTTACTGTAGTAGAATCCAAATATGTCCTTCTTTATAAGGTCTATTATTATGCTTTCTTACAGTAATCTCATTTGTTAGGTTTTCTTGATAATATTAGATAATAATGGCTATCTGACTCTGATCTGAGCATACTTTAATTTGATCCTACTTGTGTACTGCAAGTATTTTTAGTAGATTGTTTTATTCAAATGAGTTTCTTTATTTGAGATGAGCAACTAAATTAGACAATTCTTTATCACTCTTAGTGAAGTATTTCTTGAGACATATTTATTCATTGGTCTATTTTGTAATTTGATTTTACTTAAATGTGGGTAAACAATTTAATTTTTCCAAATTAAGGATGTGTAGCCTCCCTTTCTTGTGAGTATTACAAAAGAAATTATTTGAACTCTTAAGTTTTTTCATTACTACTTTATTCTTATCCCATTAACGATAAAAAAAATATTTATAAAATCAATTCCATAAATCCTCTACAGATTTTTGTTTTTATTTTTTATATGGTGGAGGATTAAGCTAACTATTAGATTTGCTTGGTTTAATCATTAATTTATTTATAATCTCCTATTGCTTGAGATTGGAAGTTTCTTATTGAATTTTAAGAAGTGCCTTCTTTGGACTTGCTTCTTTTTCCGAAAGTATCTTTTGGAGCTTCTGTAGTTCTTGGGCAACAGTGGCAAGTGAGTTTCCATTAGCAGGTTTTGTGAGTTAATTCAGTATCAAATCAACAGATTCTAATTATGAGAGAGATAAGGATACTTTTAGCTTATTCTGTGGTGGTATCATTTTCATATTTCTGAATCTATTCCTGTAATGAAAGCAACTCCTTTTTCTATCTTTCTTACTCCATTCTGCTAATCTTTAAATCAAGTTCCAATTTTTTGTTGATATCAATTTAATTTTTTAGTTCATATTAGGTGACTGCTTCAGAAGAATGATGATAAGAACCTTGTTAAGGGAGTGTTTAAATATAACTATTTGATGAAGGATCAGCAACTAGAATCATTTTTGAGGATGGCATTTCAGCTAATAATAACTGTTATTTTGCATTATTAATAATAGAATTGGCTGGTAAATCTAAATTCATTGGGATTTCAACTTCTTTTTATTTAAGAAGTTCCACCAATTATTGTATTCTAGACTCTTTCGTCTGATTGATATCTTCTAGTTCTTTTTGCAGTTTATCATAGGCATCAAGTTCCTCCTATAATTGCAGTATTGTTTCATCTCTTTCATTCAATCTATTAGTTAAGGCGATCATTATATCTCTCTATTTTAATAACAATTATTTATATTTGTCTGTTTGAGCCTTATCCTCTTCAATGTTCTACCTCTCTTTTTCCAATTCTTGTAATCTCTCTTGATATTATTACCTTATTAACTTCTACTGTTTTTCTAGAGCATTCTAAAACTAAGGTGTTTCTTCAATCTTCTACCCTCCAACAAGCATTTGTGAATTCAAGGCTGATATCTTTTCTTCCAATTACTTTCTCATTTCTCTCTCCTACACCAGATCTCTATTTCTTTATTCATATGCACTCATCACTTCTTGCTTATCTTCTAGAGCCTTTTATCGTTCTTTTTCTAATTCAGCCACCATTGAATCAATTGGCATTTTGCTTCTTTCATCCAATTCTTATTTTAATTTCTAGATTTCTAATTAATATTTTCTAAGCAAAGCTCCTTGATCTTGATCTTAATTAACCATAGGTGTATTTCTGATATTTTTAGCTCTGTTTGCAAATTTCAATGTTGATAGAGATTCATTGAATGCTTCGATAGCTGGTGATATCATTGCCATAAATGTGGTTTTGCAATTACCTCCCAGTGAGTCTTCTAATAATCTAGTGATTTTAGAATCTCTATAAGGAATATGTGATTTTGGTTATTTTAATTCAGTCAAGGCAGCAATGACATTTCCTAATGCAGATAGGGATTGATTAATCTTTTTAGACTCTTCTAATCTGATACCAGTTGCTCCAGTGACTCTAACTCTTTCACTACCTGCCAAATCTACTAGATTTAGTTTTCCAACTCTTGCCCTTTTTCCTTCTGGTGTTTCTTCAATTTATTCAACTGTAATGATAAAAACTGCATGACTTCTTGATGATGTGTCGTTCATTCTAGTGCTTGCTGTTACTCTCTTGGCATTACCTCTTCTCATCAATTGATATATTTCTGGAGGAGAACGTACTGCCCATTCCGATAGATTCTCAACAAACACTCCTCTTTTCTTATCTTCTCTGATATTCAATTACTAATGATCAGGTCTTAGAAGATCGCTTATAGACTCATTGTAAATTTATAAATACGATGCTCTCACCATAAAGGTTGTCATTGAATTAGATTTCATCTATATATGTGTGAAGATGTTATGCAATGATCTTGGGATGATACCCAATTAATCAGAGTTTGGGGTAAATGAGAATCCGTGCATCGTGTATGTTTTTCCAGTTCCTGTTTGTCCGTATGCCATAATGGTTGAGTTATATCCCTTTTGAATACTTATTCATTTCATACTTAAAGTGTCGAATCTACTGACAAAGCAGCTGTGGTTTCATAGACTTCCACTTAGGTGCTTTCTTAATCATATACATAATCAAATGTAAATTAATGAATGGTGTAATTCGCTGGATTTTATACAAATGCTTCTAATTCCTCGTCAGGTACTAACTCGATTGCATGATAATCGAAAATGCAAAGTTATTGATTATCTGGAGCCACTTGGACCTTTTCAAATTATCAATCATGACTTTACAGTTGATATGAATTTGCCATCCTTAATCTCTCTTGCCATTGGAGGACGAACTCTAATTACAACTCTAAGATTTTCATTTGAACCTTCTTTCTCTCTCTATTTCATTAATTTTAATGTTGTATTTACTTTTAAACATAGCTTTTGCAAATATACTAGATAATGTTTTTGCTAACTTTGATGCCCCATATGTCCACATCCCAAATGATTTTCATGTTGTTTTTGCCACATAAAGAACCAGTAGTCCAAATACATTGAGTGTAGATTATTCTACAAAATTGGCAAGTTCTCACATTATATTATCAGTCGACAAAATTGGAGAAGTCGCCAATGCTTACATCAATCTTACTACAAATAAGGTATACTTAAATTATTATCATTCATTTCCACCTCAACTGAAATGTTAAATATTCAATGGTCCAAACCTTTCCAATAAATTATAGCTGCAATCTGGAAATAATGCATTTATCTTGGAGCCTGATGTTGTCTTCCATTTGATGAGTCTCTATATGGGAACTGGAGACGATGACCTAGCAAGATTTGAATTAAGCTCACTTTTATAAGGAAAAAACAAAGCATATGCATTATTTGATAAATAAGGAAATCTAGATTCTATAGAAATAGATTTGGAAAATAAGAGATAAATCAAATTCTATGTAATCGAAGACTTAGTGGAAAAGAAGTTTGTTAAAGAGGAATTCCAAGTGCCTTGGGATTGTTAAGAATCAGATGTAAATTTGAGTGAGATTATTGAAAAATTGATGTTATTATTAAAGTGAAATAAAATGAATATGAGTACAAAAACAATGAAATCTCTATAGCAAAGCACTTATAAACATCAAATATTGTCTGATGTATTCTCTGATATCAACTTCTATAAATATCGCAGTCAGTCAAATACTGATTAGTACACTCCCCTCAAGGGATTTCAGATTGTCAAATTAAGAGGTCCTTCTCGATTATCAGTTTAACAATCTTAATAATCTATTAAGACTGTTAAAAGCATTAAAAAAAGAAATAATTCTCAAAGCAATGTCAGATTTGATCTCTTCAAACATGTCATGGAAATGGATGATAGTGAAATGCATGAAAAACTTATCAATCTTTTTGAAATCGACCTTAAAATGCGTAAGAACTTGGAAATCAACAGAATGATAGTGCAGGACAAATAATAATCCTCAGCCTAAATCGATGAGATCTATTAAGAGATTTTATTGATGTTAAGCAACACCATCGAAAGAATACATCAATATATCAATGCCAACAATCTCGAACGCTCAAACTTGAAAAAGGCACATCGTAGAACTGCCGTCGAAATAGAGCACCAAATGCAAGAGTTCATCAATATGATGTTAACTGCTATTGCCAAAAGAGATATGACTTTGGCAAGACTAATTGAAAATGCTTGGAAATTGATATCTGTTGCAATAGAGATGATATTACAAAATGGAAAGGCAGAATAAGAATATATTCAATAAGAAGTATTAAATGAATTATAATAAGAAGTTGTGCAATTAAAATAATAGAATGAAGATATCTATCATAAATACATGGAAGTCTCTGAATTAAACAATAAATTAACTCATTAACACAAACAAGAAATCAATAATCTAACATATTAATTGAATATGGCAAAAGTTGAATTTAATGATTATAAATAAAATCAAGAGGCTTTGAGTACTCTAGAAAATGCCACTGGAAGTCTCAAGGATGTAGAACTCAATCTCAAAGACACTCATAAGATATTGAATAAAATCGAGGAGAATATTAGTAATAGAGATACCTAACTATATTAGACATTAAAGTCTGTTGTCTAATAACATAAGATGGACAAGGATAGTCAAATGAACAAGGCATAGAAGTTGATTAATAGATATTAACTGAAATCATTAAATACTAAACAGTGTATAATAGCATCAGAATATTTCAATCATCCTTTTGTTTAGTATTTGGATATTAACTTTGAGTACATTTAGCAAGATGAAAAGTGCATATAATAATTGCTTATAGATTGGTTTAATTAGGAGTGTATGAAACCTTAATTTGGTTCTCATCCAGCTTAATAGAGATTGGAATAAATAAGTACTTATGAAAGGAGAAGCAATGCTGAAAGTTTTATTCATTTTTTAATAAAAAATGATAACCTAAATCAATTACAAAATTGCATTGCTTATATAAGTTAAAACTTAGAGATGGGTGATCTAAATTAATTAAACAAAGTAGAAAAATTCAATAGATAATTCTGTATATTTTTTGGTGCTATATTTCAATTTGACATTACCAATATTGAAATTGATTTGTTGACTTATGATCGGATAAGATTTTTGTATTCAGGTCTTGTATAGGCAAATTAAGAGGAACAATTTCAAAATTAAAATAAATTCTTATGGTACAATTTTGTTGTTTAAAATCTGGGGGATTTATGTGCTTCAATATTTCTGGATTATTCAGAAAAAGTATCCAATTCACAATAAACAATTATTTAAATCTTAGTCTATATTATGTAATGTGAAAGTGATAAGAGAAAGCATCACATAAAGAAACTAATTGAGGACTTCAAGAGTGTGGATATTGAATTGAATTTATAAAGAGAAAGAATGTAAAAATTTGTCAAAGAATTATGCTCATTTTACAACTATCAATATAATGAATTGCATGTAATTCAATATGCCTAGGCTTTATTTGATCGCTATATTCGAGTTTATCAAACTGGAAGAAAAAGAAATGGTTTAGAAATCGGAGAGTGGATTAGCTTTATTTAGGAATTATAGCAAATTATGAATAAGTTGATATTGATCAAACCTCATCTCCATCATCAAATCTTTATGCTTGAAGATCTTCAATATGTAAACAAGGAGTTTTAAGTGCATACTCGAACTACATAGATCGAAAGAAGGGAATCCCAAATAAGAAAAAAATGAATAAACTATTTAATCAATTAAAAATATAATATTACATTCATTTCATTTTTTTAAACTTTTAGTTTTTGAAATAATAATATCCACTACTTAATAATCCTATTAGAAGAGCAAATCCACTTGCCACTTAAATGATAGAAATGCTATCAAATGATTTTAATTATTAAATTTGGATATCCGAATACCCAAATGATCTAAAAAATAATAAAATGATCTTACTGGGAATGTAGAATTTCTCCAATTTTAGAAATTTATGTCCAGATTGAAATATTTTCCTCTAAAATTATAAATGGGATAAGCTAGAGGGTTGAAAATTAGCAAGAGTGTTCAATTATTAAGAAATCAACTATGCTCAATCTCCTTTTCTCAATTTACTCTTCTGCCTATTATTCATCGTAAATGCTAATCACATAAGTCTTAGAATTTATTGTTGTTATTCTCGGTGATATATTATTCAATTATTCTTCTAAGATTTTCTAATTTACATAGATAATTAGCTACTTTCTTGTTTTTAGTAACAATAGCTATATGAAAAACTCTTCTCTTAATGATTTTTTAGACAGAACCCCATGAATCTTTTTTATTTTGCTCTGTGAAAGCATCTTAAATTTTAATATCAATTCCAATATAGGTTAGTAATTTATAAGTATCTCTGTAATTAAAAAAAGAGAATGCACTAAAATAGGATTTCAAAAGTACTTCCACAAAGCCAACCATTAATTTAAATCAATATCTTGTGATTGAGGATGATATTATTAGGGAAGAGGAAAACTAGTTTGATAAGTTACAGGATAGAATATACTTCCAAATTAATTTTGAGTAAAAGTAGAAACATTCAGGTCAAAAATTAATTTTAGTTTTTCTAAAGTAAAATCACTTAATTCCACTGTTTACCCAGCTTCTTAATCTATTAATAATCTAGAATTTCTATTAAATTAAATACTCCTCCTGAAAAATAGAATCATCAATTGTTAAATCATCTTTATAATTAAAAAAACGAAGGATAGTCCAACTAATTTAAATCTTCGTCAATTCTATTCCTCTCTTTTGTAGAACCATGAAGCCTTGCAAAGTAATAAAGGTTTTTTTATTTGAATCATCTTTCAATTCCTCTTCGATCATATCCTTAATTCCTGCAATATCGCTTTTATTTAGTTGCCTTTTAAACACTTTCTTTTAAAATTGTTCTAATTCTTAATCACTCCATACACCATCTCCATCTTCATCGCAAATTCGAAAAATACGAGTCAATGCTTTTTTGAAGCCTTCTGTAATTTATTTGTTTACTAAACTATACAAAGGAGACAAAGGGTATAAATAAGATCTTTAGGCACAATTAATTGCATCCTAAACACCCTAAAACTTAATTGAGGAGCATTCTATTCCTATTTCAACTTTCTATGTTATATAAATTTATTACACTGAAATCCTTTACCAATTGTTTAATGAATTTAAAAACTCTGCAATATTCTCTACCATCCTCAAGATTGATCAAATCAAGTTTATTACCTACTATTATGATTGGCTATTGAAACTCCTTTTCTTTCAATTCCTTGAGCCAGAAATTCTATAATCTCTCACATGAAGCATCATCATCAATTGAGTACATTAAGAGTATGACATCTGCCATTTTCACTTATTCTGGAATTTAGTTGGGTAGACATTTCGTATCAATCAAAGTTGTATTGCATTCTGGATGATTGAACATCTCTGGAGGTAATTGAATAGGCATATGTTGATCAATATGAGTATTCATATTAAAGCTTTCATTAATTAGAGCTGAAATGAATGTAGATTTGCCAACTCCACCTAGGGTTAACGATTAAATAAAATATCAATACTATCACCAATTACAACGACTTTAAAATTCCTTTTCTTCATTTTAGTAATTATCTATTTATAAATTTTATTTTATGAATTTGGAATACCCATGGGATGTGTAGAAGATTAAATTTAAGAATATTTAGGTTTTTCGCAGTCATTAAAAAGAGGTATTTGATAACATAAAGAATCTAGAAATACATACTAATTGGCAATCATACGCTATCATAACAATTTTGCATTCTACATTTAAATATTCTTAAAGGACCAGATCTTCATCAGAAAGAACTCAAACAATACATTTAGGAGGAAGAACGTTAGTTTGAGACACTTGAGGATGCAAAATAATACCTATAAAAATATAATTTAACCTATCTTTATACAGTGTCAGGAATAATAGGGTTCATAAAATTAATATAAGGATATTATGTAATGTTCATAAAGAGGCGTAAATCTATTGCAAAATTGGGTAAACACACAATTTTCACAATTGAAGAAAGATAAATAGTGGAATTATTTGATGGGCCATATTCATAAATTGAATCGAAGTATAAGAAATTACTTTAGGACTATGATCTAGAAATTGGATTCTATAGTAGTTATACTTACGATGTTACAAGTTCTTTATCAAAAAACATCATTCCATCTGAAGATGTTCAAAATAAGAATCAAAAATATCATCAAATTGGATCATATCGAAATTTATTTATGTGGAATCATTATCTATTAGCAGAATTTGATAAAATTATTAAAGATAAGAGGTGGGTGATTCCCATTATTCATGGTTATTGTGAATAAAGTACAATTAAAACAGTTGCTAATTATTTTAGCATTACTTTATTAGCTAGAAGATCTACAAGGCATGCTGGTGCTCGTTATTTAACTAGAGGCATCAATGAATAAGGGTATGTTGCTAATTTTGTGGAAACAGAACAAATTGTGATTGAATTAGACAAATCAACACGTTAAAGACCTGCTTGCTCCTCATTCATATAAATCAGAGGTTCTGCTCCTGTTTACTGGTATCAAGAGCCAAAAATGTATTTATTTAAATTACCGATTAAAATACCTTAAAGTGATCCTTACTTATATGCAACTAAAAAACATATTTGTGACTTGATTTCCTCTTATGGTAGATAAATCTATATGGTTAATTTGGTTAAGTAGAATGAGCATAACAAAAGAGAATAAGTATTAGCTGAAGAATATTTTTCAGCCATCAACACTGTTAAGGAGGAAATGTAGAATCAAACAGAAATAGAAATTGGATATTTGGGATTTGATATGAAAGCATAATTAAAACAGGATAAAGAAGAGTTTGTCAACAAGTGTTATTCATTAGCATATTATTGTATTATGAAAACAGGAGTATTTCTATTTGTAAAAGAACCTAAATGTAATGAGAATGTTATTATCGAAATCTAAAATGGAGTTGTAAGATCTAATTGTGTCGATTGTCTAGATAGAACAAATGCATTTTAATAATTGATAGGTGAAATGGCACTTGGAATTTAATTGGCTAAAATTAATCAGAGTAGTTTGAAATTTAATTTGCTTTTATTAAATGAATCCATCCTACAAGAATTTAGAGAGATGTATGAACAATTAGGTGACTTTGTTTCATAATAATATGGCAGCTCATTAGCACATAAATAAAACATTGGTTAGAAATCTAAACGAATAGAATTGTTCACTTCATTGAAAAGACATTATAATAATAATATTGAAGATCCTTAAAAATAAAATCAAATAGATTTATTTTTAGGAATTCATCGTCCTTCTCCAGAGGGACCCTTTATTGGAGAAAATATTACTATATGTCTGTTTCCTGACACAAAATATTTATAATAGTTCACTCAACATAAATAATGGTGGGTTAATCCTTAGATGGAATTTCTGTAGAAATCTTTAATCGATGAGATAAGCAGAAGATGCAAAGAAGCTAGCTAATAAGCTAAGAAAGATAATAAAGCAAAAATAGAGAGAAAATAAACAACTTTTAATTTTGATATTATTGAGAAAATGAAGCATAAAGCAAATTAAAAACTAAAAGCAAAGAATGTTTTTATTTTATAATCCCCCTACACAAAGTTGAGAGAAAAACCATCCAATTATGTATCTAAACCTTTTAATTTAGAAGAAAAATTGAAAAAACCTTATTATGATGTTATTTAAATTTTTGAACCTGAATAATTAGGTGATTCTCCTTGTGAATCCCGTTAGTCTTCCCCACAGTAAAATACCTAAAATTTTAAAACTCGATACTCACTTCTAAAAGGAAATGAAATTCTTGAAATTGAAAAATACACAAGAATAAAAACATTCGACGAATTAACAGATGAGGCGAATTAAATAAGAAAATATTTAAAATACAATCTATCATCAGATGAGGAAGACAAGTTAAGAAGCAACTTAAAAAGATATCTGATTGGAGAATAACCTAAAGATTAAGTTGCTCCAATAGATAAAAACTTAGATGTTTAAAAATCATATAGCGAAGTGAAGTAGTCCATTACTAATTCAGAAGCTGTCTAAGATGTATCCACATAGCAGGCAAAAAAGATACCTGTTGAATAGAAATCAGTCAAATTTTTAGAATCTTTATTAAAAAAAAATTTTGCCTAATCTTAAAAGTTAAAAATTAATAAAATATGAATAATATGTGTATATAATTAAACAACTAAGAATTTCTATCACTCTAAACTCCTCCTAAAAACTTTATTCCTATCAGAGAATAATGAGAATTTCTTTTAGGATCTCATTATAAGAATATAATCTGATAATATAATGACTTTAGGCAAGATTAAATTTTGGAAATTGAAAAAATTAGGAACTAATAGATGAATATTTTAATATCTTCTTATTTTCTTTAAATCCAAAGTTTCCTCTTCAATTATTCTTTCAAATACTTAGAAATTATCAAGTTTTGCTTAATTGTTTCTTCATCCACCAAAGAAGAATTTCAAACTACATTTAAGAACTGAATTTTATTTTGACTAATCTTTATAAGCATTAAAAGTATTCTATTTGATCATAATGATTAATAGCTTAGAAAAGACAAATTGAAAAGTTTTTGATTTATCATTAAACAATTATAAAATATATAGACCTATATATAGTCATATTTTAATATTGAAATAAATCCAGGGATTTTATTTATTTTCAATAATTTTTTAGAGAAGAAATAACAATAAGAATACTATGTTTCATAAATCATCATAAGAAGTTCATTTATATTAAAGAACAATAGATTTATATTTAACGATTTAAAAATAATTCTGCTTATAGAGTCTTATGCAAAAACGATTAAATACTATGTATTAAAATATTTATTTAAATGGGAAATGTATGTTAAGCGACACAAGTCAACATAACTCCAGAAATTAGTGATGAATCTGCAAGATCTCAAAGAATCATGGAAACAAGTCATAGAGCTATTTTTAAGGAGATTTATAAAAAGGAGAAGGCCGAAATTCCTGAGTTATCATATTCATCGCCACCACGTACTTATCTTCCTCTTCTTAACTTGGATTTAATTGAACCAGATCAATTCTTCCCTTAAATTAAATCAAGTAGAAGAACTTTGAGTTTTGTTAATGAAAAAACTTAAAGACAGATAGTTAAGAGCCGAACTCCTTCACACAAACCTGGTCCAGAAGCTATGTCAATCACAAAATAACCAATCAAATCTTCTCTCAAATCGATAAATTCTAAGATAAGCAGCTCTAATAAAAGTTAAAAGTCAGTTAGATGGGGTAGTGATTTAAGTGTTTTCCTTAACTTAACTCACTATCAAAATTAATAGATATGAAATTACTTTTATATATATGTATATAAAATGGATGAAACTAGTAGGCTTTCTATTGTTTCTTATCAAAAGTCATAGTTATAAAAAGAAAAAGATTAAAATCCCATTATCATTAAGCTTTATATATATGGAAGAAGATGTTGTATATCTTAAAATGAATTTGTAACAAAAGCAATTCCATTCATTTTTGACTAAAAATATACTTATTTAGTCAAAGTATGCTTGCTTATGTATTTTGATGAAAGGAGATTTTAGGTCGATTATTTAGATATATTTCGTTAAAGGAAATCTAATATTTAAAATGCATCCTTTAAACAAACAAATCCTCACAGAAAATTTAAACACCAATTAATAAAATAATTACCAATTATAACAAATGATGATTAAAAAAATGCAGGCTTTATAAAATTAGTATGCAATTTTAATGCTAACACAAAGGTTTCTAATTTAGTCTCAAAAATATTTACATAAAAAATGTTTGAAAAAATAAAATAAATCTTGAGAACTCAAATTATAAAAACTGGAGAGAAATTTTAAGAAATTATGGTATTCCTTAATATTGTTAAATCAACTCTATTTATATAATATTTGGTCTGTTTAGTCAATTATTTTCATGATGACTTCACTAAATCAAAAAATCTTAACTTCTCAACTGTTTTAGTTTCTGGATTTAAAATTAGTATATTGTTGATATACAAATAGAATAGACATATAATCAATTAATTACATTACTAACCAAAATTTGGCTTTTACAAGTTATGCAATTGAGAAAAACAATAAAATTTAAGATGGCTTAAGTTTAAATAATCAATTTTTAGTTTTAAGTGATTTTTTAATAGGATAGAATGCATAAGGCAAGTTAAATGATTTTCAGATATAGGCCAAAAATAAATAGGAAATAATATAAAGAAGATTCATTTTTGAGAATAGAATTAATTCTAATTCTCAAATTTAAGAGATCCTTTAAATAAAGCAAAACTAGTCTAGAAATTTTCATTGCTAAAAACAACCCTTAATGTATTTGATTCACAAGTAATGCAATGGACAAGCACTCAGATTATCCTTTGTTATTTTAATCTTCATTCTAGAAATAAAGATTTGTTGCAATTCAGATCAAACAACATAAGGGGTTTTTTGGGTTTAATTAATGAATTAATATATCTAATTGAATAGTATGCTTTGATTAAAAAGTTAATATGAATATACTTATTTTATTATTTTACAATGTCCTAGCAAACCGTTTTCAAGACTCAAAGTCATAGACAAGCAGTTTCAACTCCAAACAGCAATACATATTTTCTTAATTCGTAAAGAAAATTAAAGTAGGCTCTAAATGTATTTTAAGCTTCTTTACAACAAGCACTCTTTAATCAATATCATATATCCACACAAGTTAAGTATTAAATTAAACTCCAACCCAACATGAGATCAGACAAGTTAAAAAGGAATAAAATCAGATCTAAGCCATACCAGCTTCTTTCATGGAACTTTATGATGAATTTGAGAATAATTACAAAATTGTTTAGAAGATTAAAACTGATCTCAATATCTCAATTGATATGAAGTCAAATGATTAAGTTCAATAGCCTTTAGTCAGATCCTAAAATTCAATTAGGAATCCCTCTTAGGCTGAAACAAAAATTGCAAATTTATAGTTCTGTGATATTGATTAAGAGTTGAATCAGAGGCTGCATATAAATCGCTTTAAATTTTATTACTTCCGAGCTTCAATATCGAAATAATAATCTCCTTTATTACTTACAATTTAATTTGAAAATCAAATAAATTCTGCATAATACAAATTATATCTTTCTACTTAGCATGAATTTCCTACTAAATTTAATGCAGAACACAATCTCACCTCAAATTTTTGTAAGATCTATACTAGTGGTCATGAGAGCACATTTCAAGAAAACTATTTATATATTACCTTCTATACCGAAATTGATGTCGTTGTAAAAATAAAGATAACATTTGGTCGAGTCTAATAAAGCAAATCACCCAAAAAGTAAATAATAAAAAAAGAATATCCAAAATTTCCTGGTTTAATAACAAACATAAAAATTGATCTAATAAAAAGGAATCTTGATACAAGTTCATTTTAATTGACACGGAGAACAGATCTATTGGCTGGATTACTAGTAAATAATTAATTAACTATATTAAATAGACTGAAAGAGAATAGAAAAGAAAATAGGTTATATTAAAAAAGTAGGAGATCGATTGTGAATAAAAGATAAAGTTGAAGACATAATATAGTGCATAAATGTTAAGAAACGATTATAGATTATTTGAAAAGATTTATAAGTTAAAGCTAAATAAAAAGATCTAGGGAGAGTTGTTTTGGGCTCAACTTGTAAATTTAATCTAGTTTTGTGCTGAGCTTAAAACCAAATTAATAGTAAGAGAGTTTTCAATATGTTTAGTAATTTAAAGCTCAGATGAGTGTTAAGGCAAATGGAAGAATAAAGGCTTTGAAGTGTGGATTAAATTTATTGATTTACATTAGAAAGTTTGGACCCACTCCTGAGAGAAGATCTTTTTGCAAAAGCCTGTTAGCAGTTCAAATGTTTACTGCTTAAATTAGATTCCCAAGAAAAAGGAAAGCTGAAGCAATTGCTACTTCTTTTATAAGGGAATGTATTTCCATTATACATTTAGGGCATAGACTACTCAAGACTAGACATTATGGTAATAATTCATAAATGTTAATTTAGTAATTATTTTGTAGAACAAGTTCAGATTCTTCTAAAGATAGAAAAAAAAATATTATGAGGAATTCTGGCAATTAGTGATGCTCAACTACAAAGAAATCGTTAGGAGTTTAACTCAAAGTAATCAAAGATCTAGGAGTAGGAGTTAAAAATAAATTTATGCTTATCAAATAGATAATCAGATGATGCAGTTCCAGATTGATAATTATTATTAAAGGCAAAAGTTGATATGGTTGGGATTTATACGGCAAAAGATCCATGACAAACAACTGGATCTGTATTTAAATGATAGGAAAAGCGATGAGATTAGAAAGGCCTTGATTAAGTTCCAAGAACCTAAACTGTTCCAACTGCCCCAAATTAATGAAGTAGCTGAGATAATTGAGCTTTATGCAAAAAATAAAAAAATGATTTGAGAATATGATGATATATTAAATATGATAAACTCAGATTAAATGAGAAAGTCAAGTTCCCAAAGTGCTGCTTTAAGCACAATGTAGAATCAAAGATTTTACTGCGGGTAAAAATTAAAGAGCCCCAATAAGGAATTCCTAAAAAGCAATCGAAGTTAAGTTTCAGTCTCAGAATAGTAAGACAGTAAGTCCAGAGTGAATACATTATTTGAAAAAATTAAAGCTTAAAATGCTAATATACACAGATCAGAGAACAACCTTTTTTTAAAAGTGGAAGGAGCAATCTTAGAATTGTATAATTAATACGAGCAAAATTATTAAGGACTTGGATCACTTGGCAGAATTAAGACTGTTTAAGAAAATTTATCAGTGGAATTCAAAAAATAAAATGATTAACTAATAAAGACATTTGATGGTTTAAAGTTATCAGACTTAGACTAAAATGGAGTTAATCAAATTTAAATTGATAGATACTAATTTTATTATTTCAGGTTAAGAATATTAGAAAAGCCTACACCAATTCACATTCACTTACAACTACCAGAATCATTGTCATTTTTATTATTTAAATTGATGCTGTCTGTTAAAATTGAATTCCCAACTAAATTCAATGCAGATTAAATAATCTAAAGTAATTATGCAAAAGTCTATTCAAGTAATCCTCAAGCACATTATTTTAAAGAAGAATTTCTATATCTAACCTTTTATTCTCATATTGATTTTATCTTGAAGATATCAGTGCATTTTGGATAATTTAATACTGAAAAAACCCCCTCTCATTAAAATAATTCAAGATCACCCAAATTTAAGATGGTCCTAAGCGAAAACGCAAAGCTTATCTAGACTCCAGATAGAAGAAGGGAGAAGAAGGGGTTCTCTCAAATCAAATCGAACATCTATTAATCATCTATCGAAAAAGAAACAGAATGCAGTAGAGTTTAAACAGAAAATTCAGATAAAAGAAAATTCATTAAAATACAACCAGTTTAGTCTAAATTAAGCACACTATTAACAATGATAGGCAAGGAATTTTAAGGTATGACAAAAGAGGAGAGATTAAAAAAGATTGAAGAGCACTAAAACTAAAAAAGAAAAGAATAGCAATAAGATTACCTAAATAAATAAAAAACATTCTTGTAGGAATTAGAAAAAAGAAAACTACAAATAGAACAACATTCCAAAATAAAAAGACAAAAAATTGAATTAGTATAACAAAATAAAAAAAATTACTAGACTGAAAGATAATAATCTATAAGGACTAGATTGCTTCTATAGGAGTAAATATCTTAATTTAGAGAGATAGAACGTTCTTTTAGTATTAGAAAAGCTTATGCATATAAGATATCTTTAAGTTGGGGTAGAATTATAAAGTATATCCTTTTTATTGATACATTGTATAATGTGATAAAAGTATTTAATCCATTTAAATATTTTAGGAGAGCAAAAGAAAATCTTAAGTTTAGGCAAGAGGCAAATTACTGGTTTGGACTATTAAGACTAAAGCATTAATTTCAGCAAAGGAATATGGTTTTTCAACTAAGGAAAGGACAATAACTAAATCTTGTATTGCTTTGAAAATGATAGCCATCAATTTAAGGAAAAAGATTAAACTAAAATCTCATTTAATTTTGACTAAATATCTTCTATAAATGAGATTGGCAGTCACTATTGTTTCTTAACATGACAAGACTTTAAAAAAAAGTAAAAGCAGCTTTTTATTTTTAGTAATTTAGATCCAAAGGAATTTTAGAAGTTTGAAACAAAAGAAATTGACTTTCAGAGATAAATTCGTCAAACTAGTAAAAGATAATATTAATTAAACTATTGATGAACTCTAAAGATAACAAGGGAAAAAAACCTTTTATGATATCAACGATAAACCTGTATAGTAAATGGATATGTATAATAATATGATGTGATTATTTAAGTATCTGCATAAATTAGTTGATTGACGACCACTCAAAATAGAAAAAGTAGATATGGTATGAATATATTAATAACAAATTCTTTGAAAAGGATTTCCATAAAGTATCAATAAAAAAAATAATTAGAAAATGAAAGATTTTGCAATCAATTTGAAAGAACCTTAATTGTATGAACTTCCTAAAAGAAAGGAATTGATATAAATAATTGAGAAATACGGTAAGATTAAAAAATTACTCTGATTATATATATATAATTAATGATAAAAAATAGATTACTTTAAAGAAGTTCTTCTAAACTAACTCAATCTTAAACATCTTTAATGAACTAATCGATAACTATGTAATCGACTATTCAATATTTTTAGAATTAACAGTATGAAAAGATAGTCATCAATTCTTTCATTGGATAAGCAGACTGAGGAGAATGGCACAGCAAAACTAATGAAAAGGATTTCTTAGAAATAGACTCATGGAAGTATGGATGATATTTCAAGACTACTGCCTTTAAATGATAATCTGATAAATGTTTATAATCATTTTGAAGATAACTTTAGAGTTGTTAGAGAATCAGAAAAATTCCATTGTGAGGCACCTTCAACAGGTAAATAGGAGATTATTTAAATTAATCCTTCTAATATCTTGAAAGTTGCTGATGGTTTACATTTATGCGATTTAAATCCTGAGAAGCTAAATCGAATATAGATATGCAGATTTAGATTCTATTACTTTAGAGCCAGAGTGAAAAACAAATTGAACCCTCTACAAATTTATTTTACATTCTCAGATAAAATAACAAATCACATTTACAAAGTGTTTTTATCAACAACTGTTGAATTTCCAACAAAATTTAATTGTGAATAATCAACCTCCAGTAGATCAATCAAAGTGAAAACTAAATCAGGCACTAAATTTTTTATTGAGGATTTTATATACATGACATTATATTCTGAATCAGACTTTATTATTGGCATGCATTTAGTTTTTGGAGAATTCCATAATTCAATTTTGAGTGCAAAGTAATAAGAACCCTCCAGATACTACAAATTCTGGGATGAAGATAAAAAAAGCATGTCACCAAAGAAAGATAAAATCCTTCAAAATTTAGATTAATCTCGATATAAAAGCACTTAGAAACTCAAAGATTTTTTAAGGGGAGCAGGTATTAATAAAATTATATAAAATGTAGAGGTAAGTGCAAAAAAGATAATAACAGTAGTGCAAAGAGGAAAGTAGATTGAAAAAGAGAGATAAGAAGAAAGAAGCATTAAAATGTTAGTAAAATCATAAATTCAAGAGTTTCGCAAAGTTGAAAAGAGTATTTTATAATAAAAATTCGATAAATAACAATAATGTTAATCATGGCAATAAATGATTTAATTAATCACAATGTGTGGATAGATTTATAATATTTTACATGTAATGATTCTAAATAATTTAGGAAAGGAAAAGAAGGCTTAGAATTTAAGCAAAAGCTAAGTTGATAGTGTTAAGATTGAAAGCTAAATTATTCATAGAAGTCAAATAATTTGGATAAAATCCATTTGACAGATGCAGTAATAAATCTTTGCTTTTATTAAAAACTATGAGTATGCATTTGTAAGAACAATCTAAAAAAAGAGCATAAAAAATCGCGACTAATTTCCTGAAAAAAACACTCATTTTTTAAACTGCATTGATTGCTCATCATAAAATGGTGTCTAAAGGTATGATATTTATAATGTAGTAAGAATAATTGTTAAGGTTTTTAAAGCTAAAAAGTTTTAGAAGCGTGCTTTTAAGGATAGATTTTGGAGATTGATTAGAAATTATTTTAATGAAAACAATGGCTCATAACTCTTTGCCACGGCTTAAGTCAAAGTAATTCAAATCGATAAGCCACTCATGTCGAAAATAATCGAATAATATATTCATAATAGGAAATTATTATGGTCGTAATAATATCAATAAAATAAAAATGGAGATGAAAAAGTAACTCCAATTCCCTAAGTAAGTATATATTAATTGCCAAATGATAAAGAGTTAAAATAGATAATGAAGGAATATTATTAAGTTTCGAAGAAAAGCAACTGATAAAAGAATTATTTATAGAAAATGAATATTTTTCTACTGAATTAAAATAAATGAATATATAAATAAAATTCTAATTTCTGAATTCCTAAAAAAACTACTATTTATTCAGAAGTAAGAATCCTTCGAAATATTAATATTATGAATAACACATCTATTCTTTTCAAGCCTTTGAAGGTTGGAGAATTAAATCTTCCAAACAGGATCATTATGGCTGCAATGACTAGAATGAGGTGCGACAATGACACTAAGGTTCCTAATAATATAGTGGCAGATTATTATTCATAAAGGGCTTCTTCTGGGTTGATTTTAACCGAATGCACCTTAGTAAGTTAGAGATCTAATGCATTCCCAGGATGTGCTGGCATTTTAAATGAAGAATAAGTTGAAGGATGGAAAAAAGTTATCGATGCTGTACATAAGAAGAATGGAAGAATTGCTCTACAGATTTGGCATAGTGGAAGAGCAACTCATTCCAATTTATAGGGTGGTCTAATTCCATGGGCACCATCTCCAATCGCTATAAATGGAGTTAATTATGCTGTCAAATAACCACATGAAGTACCTCATGAGATGACAACAGAAGACATCAAATTAGTGATATAACAATTCAAAGAAGGTGCTTATAGAGCCAAAAAGGCTGGATTTGATGCAGTAGAATTACATGGAGCAAATGGTTACATAGTAGATTAGTTTTTAAGAAGTCATTCAAATAGAAGAAATGATGAGTATGGTGGATCAGTGGAAAATAGATCTAGATTTTGTTTAGAAATTATTGATGAATTAGTTCAAGTTTTTGGTAAAGGAAGAGTAGGAATTAAAGTAAGTCCAGTTGGGAGATATAATGACATGTTTGATGAAGATCCTGTTAAGCTTTACACTTATTTATTCAAGGAATTAGATAAAAGATAAATTGCATTTATTGAAATCATGAATAGCAAAGATGAAGAGAACTGCTATGGTTTTGGTCACCCAGCCTCTGAAAAATAAGTGCCTAATCTATTACAATAATTGAGACCATCTTTTAAGGGTGTTATTATTGGAAATGTTGGATTGACAGCTTAAACAGCAGCCTAAGGCATAGAATAAGGATTATTTGATGCAGCCAGCTTTGGTACTCTATATATCGGAAGTAATATATTATTTTAATTATTAGATCCTGATTTAGTAGAGAGATTCAAGGATAATTTGAAATTATCTGATTCTGATCCAAAGAAATATTTTGGTGGAAATCATGAAGGCTACTCTGATTACCCACCTTATTAAGGATGATATTGAATAATCATTATTATATCGTAAATATCAAAATATAAATAAGTTTTATATATCATCTTATTATTATTAATCAAATTGAAATAGTTTCTTTTGAAATTTAATTAATACTAGATTTTTTTGATGAATTTATATTCAGATTTAAAATAAATCATTATTAGGTCAACTTATATTAATAATAGATAAGTGCATAATTTAAAAGAGTTTATGACGTATTTTAATTACTCAAAAACAGAACAATTATCCTTAGCATAAAGCAGTTCAAAGATAGACTATAAAATATAGCTTACTCAAATTCTCAAGAATTTATTCATAATCCTATGACTTCTCCCCTTTTTTTGCTTGAAACACTCAGTTTGATATTGCTTAATTTTTTTTTTCCTTAAACGAAATTTTATATTTTCTAAATTCGTAATAATCTCTCATTAAATTCAATAGAATTAAGAAATAATAATTAGATTTATAAAAATATTATATAGCTTTAAATTTTTATATTTTGTTAAAATCAAGCATACTTTTTGGTTTCTTCTCGAGCTATAAAATTAAATTTTTCTCTATCGTGTTTATACAATTTCTCTGCTTAACCGTTTAAATTGTCAATCTTGAATTCTATAAACTTTTTTTATATTCTTTGTAAAATATTACCAACAGTGTCGTTTGGCTACCATTCATTTTCCTAATATTGCGATTTCAATATACACAATAGTATTGCATTTTCATATTCCCCTTTTCAGTTACACAAGGATGAAAAACTTTTGTCGTAAAATATACCCAAGGACATTTAAAAGGATAATTTTCAGGAAAATCTATATCTAATTTAAACTTTCCTCCTTCATATGGACTTCCTTCTGGTCCTTCAACAATAGCATGCCAACTTGAAATGTCACATTATTTTTGTTACATTAATCGATTATTGGGATCAACACTAACAGAAATACCAGGTAAAGGATTTTTTGTTTATAAGGCTTCTAATTCTTTCTAGATTCTATTTTACATATCAATAAATAAAATAAATGATCATTTAATCTTAATTAAATATTGGAAGAATTATAGTATTCTATTTAGCAATAGTGTTATATTTGACATAAAGATGTAAATTTTATATTATTTGTTTAAAATTACAAATCACAAAAAAGGAAATATTATAATTGTACATAATTAAAAATCTTTTTCAAAATTATCGCAAGTACAACTAAACAACCAGTGATAATTATTTTTTGTCTGGTTGATAGTTATTAGCTCTATTTTAAAGAAAGTAATTATTAAAATCAAACTTGTCTGGAACCTTTAATTGAAATCAAAAAAAATGTATTAACAAGTTTTGAGAATTCAGAAACTTTGGATATAAAACTAAATTTAAAAATATTCCTTTACATTAATGGGCAAAACAAAAATATTGATTAAATATCATTTAAAATTATGTATTTGAAATTATAGAAGACAGTATTAAATCATAATTGATATCGTTACTCATTTCTTTGTTAACTTCATCTTTTGATATATATCTAAGTATATTATACTTTTACAGCTGCTTCGGCTTTCTATGGCCTTTTTGCCATTCTGAAAAATTTCCTTTTCAAATTGAATGGTAGTATCAACACTTTCCTTTTATCCTTAATTAGACTGAGCTTTATTATCTTTTTTGGATTCAAATACTCGCATCCACAACAAAAAGACTTCTTTTCATAGCTTCAGACAAAGAGAAAAAATAGAATATTATATCTTTCTTTTAGCAAAACCTATATTGATAAATATGCTATATTCATCATTCTGAATAAATCTTGATATATATCAACATGATTGATGATTAAGGAGTATCATTGTATATATTGGTTAAACATTCACAATAGAATATTATTAGTAGATGTAAATAGAATACTTTTTTACCGAAATTTTTGATATATCTTATATAAAGATGTAAAATAGAATAAATCATTAGTTTATAGGATATATTCTATTTGTTCATCCAGTCCATACTTTGGTGCCTTTGCTTTTGTTTGAGATACTCTAAATTTAGTGAAAATCAGATTGCTTAAAATACTATTATTAATTTTTAATTATTAATGTCTCTCCATCTTAATGGATGACTTTTTATAGATATGTTTGATTCTTAAATTAGGTATAGATGCTCAAATGAAGTGAATTTTTGCCTTTAACTTTGACTTTGTTTAAAAATGAAAGCATGGTTTCAGATGATTAAGCCACTAAGGGGCTTTGGAATGATATTTTACAATTTTACAAATGCTTATCAAGTTGTTTAAACTCTATGATTTTATAGTTAATGATCAGTTGATTTGTCTTGCTTTTATAGCTAGCATGTTTTTAAAATAGATAAAGTTTATCAAATTTGTATGCTGAAACGTATGGCTTAAACGAGACAAGAATGCGATTCAATAATATTTCGGTTTAAGGATAAACTTTTTCACTTGAATTTCGAACCAATGATGCCAAACAATATGTCAGCAATCGATCTGTCATTACTATGATGAAAAGATCACCCTTAAGATCGACCGATACAATTTTTTAGAAATTCTGCAGTTCTATACTTTCCTTCATTTAACTTTTTATTTCCAACAAGCCTTGATCAATTGAATCAAATTTTTCTTTGATTTCTTTACTGTCAGCAATATGGATTTCTAATTCGCTAGTAAAATCGTTGATTCTTGTGATAATAAACTTTTGATGGTCTTAGTGATAGAGGACAGTCTCAGAAAAGTCGAAAATCTTAAGTCTTTAGTTTGAAACAAGCATGTAATTAGTGAAGAATTTGAACCTGGCATATTTAAAGGAATCTAGTTCATCGACGGCTTTATAGATTTTGGCAGCTGAATCCACTATTTAAATATTCATTTATTTTAAAAAGAATAAAGATAATCATTGATAAGGGTCTTAATAAGAAATTTCGAGACTCTTAATGAATTATAATGATTTTTATAATACTTCTTTTTTTACATGCAAATTCATAAGGATCCTCATTCTATAGTTAAGAATAAGCAGGAGGCAAGAATTAAGGACTTCAATCCCCTTCAAATGTATTTTTATACGATGATGAGCAACTTCGATACTTTACAAGCATCACTTTGATATCTAGCTTCAATGGGGTGGAGAAAGATGGGAAATATAAAATCGCTCTTGATGTAGATCTGCCATTTATATTCATAACAGAATTGAACAATTCTCTGCACTTTACTAAGCTCATACCCACAGACGATTAGATTGAATTAATAATCTCCTACATCAAACCAAAATTCAAAGAAATTGAGGATTGTTGGGGAAATATTTTCTATGTGTTAAATAGTAGTCTGTGGATAAACGAATATATAGGGTTGGATGTCTCCTTCTTTTACTACACTGGATATGGTGCCATTGATTTTAGATAATCGACTATGTTGGATGGTTATATCGGATTGGGGAAATATCCTCTAGTGGAGAAAGGCAACTTCAATTACATTATGAATCTAACTCATCAACATTTGATAAGCCATCCATCTTACTCATTGTATTTTGGCAATCAGGAAGGATTTATCGATTCTGTTATCACTTTGGGGAATTATTAAGAGTCGTTTAAATAAAATGGAACAGAATTTCAATAGCTAAAAGCGATTGCTGGATGCAATCAAACGTGGTGTTTTCGAGTAAATCAAATCTCGCTTTATAAAAATGACACAATAATATACAGTTCAAGCAATCACAAGCCTTACACTTCGTTTATTAGTTCAACTTATGAGTTTATTTACATGCCTAGAGAAATAGCAGAGGCCATTAAATTTCATATTCAAAAGAATGATAACATAGACTGTGACTTCATTAATTATCCAATTCAAAATAGAAACAACACCATTCTCATCTGTTCTACGAAGTTATAAATATCTATACCTCAAAATTTCCCTATAGTTGAGTTCGTTGTTTTATAGCATTCTTAAAAGATCACTTTGACTTTCAATCCTCAGCAGTACATCCAAAAATGTCTTGATGATGTGGAGACGTACGAATTTAAATGTTTGACATACTTTGCCATATATGATAAAAAAATAGACTAATATAAACCCAACTTTGACATTGTTTTTGGATTGCCCTTCCTTAGAGTCTATTATACATATTATGATTTACAGAATTCAACTATATGTATAATTAAATATTTAATTAGTGTTTTCGCAGGCATATTAATTTGATGACATACCTTTAATTTCTAGATTTTGGTATTATAGTTTTTTGGCTCTCTTAATTTGTTGGGCTCTCGTCATGATGAGTTGCGGAATCTTCTTCAAAGAACAGATGGATCAGATGATTGTCTTCGTCATCAACATCTTGAAATACATTCAAGGAGATCAGCAAGCCAGATAACAAGTATTGAGAAATTATTTAGGAGATGATTGAAAACCAAATTTCTGCTTACGTCATGACTATATCATCAATTTTATATTAAACATTTACGTCACCATTAAATAATAATATGAATAAAATATTTATATCCCTCTTCTTAATACTCTCACTCTTTATTTCGACTTCATAATCATTGGAATCTCCTAAACGTGAAATTTAGGATCCCTTTACTCATGGCGCAATCTAATAAATTTTGAGAAAAGCCTTTGCAGACAACAATTGCCCACCGGAACAATCAAAAACTTATTGCTCAGGTAGTTAGCCATGCTGCAAGGTTGGAAACAGGTATGGATGCTGTCCCTATTCATTTGGTGTGTGTTGTGGAGACGGTACCTGTGTACCAAGTGGGGGAAGATGTTGAAGAAGAAATAATCAGTTTTCCATTAATTTTGAATTAATTATCTGTATTTTAGTTAAAATCAATTCTGAATATTTTGTTTTTCTAGCCCCTAATAATAATAATTTATTTAAATGGAAAATCTCAATTTTCTAATAGATTTGATTTACTTATTCACTTTTATATGCTCTCCAAACTAACTAGATATTCACGTGTATACAATTTTAAATAAAAAATTTAATCAAAATGGCTAGGAAAATTATGAACTATCACATCTTATCCCGTCGGATAGTTTAATTAACAAATCCTTTAACTTTATCTTTGTGATTGGCTTTTCAACCCCAAATGATATTCCAGCGTCCTTGAATTATTCAATTATTTCTGATGTTAATTAATGTCCAGAACATGCTATTATTGTAACATTTTTATCCAATTTACGAATACGATTTGATGCCTCTAAACCAAGCATAAGGGGCATTTCCAAATCCATAAATATTAGTTAATACGGAATGTTCTCTCTCATTCTTACATTCACTTTCTCTATGGATATTATCCCATTCATAGCCGAATCTGAGCTTATTCCACATGATTCCAACAAATACTGCAAGGCTAAAATATTAAACTCATTGTCATCAACTATTAGAATAGGCGCATGTTGTTAAGTACAATCATTCCATTTTTATAATAAGCATTAAATCAAACGACCTTAAATTTATGATCTATTTGATAGATTCCTTTCTGACTCATTCCTATGTCTCAGAGTGACCTAATAATTTAATGAATTGGTCATAAAGTTAAAAACCTTAAGATTCTTTTTTGAAATCATTTTTTTGCTGCTTTCTCTCATTGGAATAGCTATTGAGACTGTAGGTGATCTCTATTACGTGATATTTTACAAGATTTTAAAATCTAATGACGATGGTATCTATTAAGCTAATTGATGAGATATCTAAGAATCTGAAATATCTTCTTGAGCTGACTCTTCATTTTTTATTTCAAAAGTAAATTTAGACCCGTTTCCATATTCTGACAAAACCTAAATTCCTGACGAATGATCTGAAGAAAGTAATTTAGCTAATTCGTTGCTAATCATTAGACCCAATCCTATACCAAATGGATTAGCCTTTTAATTTTCTTTATCATTCACTTTAGAGAATTCTTGAAATAGTTATTTAAGATTTTCCTTTTTAATGCCCAATCCAGAGTCCTACACAGAAATAATAATTGAATGAACTTTTTATTCATTTAAAATGCATTCAATTAAAATGGACCCTTTTGGCTATGTATATTTTACAGCATTGCTCAATAAATTCATGATAATTTATCTAATACGTAGCTTATCTGATGTTATTTTTAGTGGCAACTTTGAATCGTAATTAAATGTAATATTTAGTCCTTTTTTTTCTTTTAATAAATCAAAAAGTGAAATTGTCTTCTCAATCAACTTGGGTAAATTAAATTTATGACATACAATTCTTATTGATTTATTTTAAATCTAGGCAGCATCCAAAATATCATTGATTAAATTTAAAAGTAAATGGCAAGAATTTAATGAAGGCTTTAAGAATTTTTGGAATAATGCAGGATCTATTAATTCTTATAAGCACAATTGCATATTGATGATTGCATTCAAAGGGTTTCTCATGTCATGTGATACTTTGTGAAGGGTTTTAATCATTGTTTAAACTTAAGCCTATGATTATTAAGATTGCAGTTTGCTTGATTCAATGTTGTTTATTTTAGGTTTGATAATCAATATAAATTATTAGTTTTCAATATTTAGTTTTTAAATACTAAGATAATAAAGCGAACTATTGGTTGGCTCTAAAATTAATTTTTATTCTAATTTGAGAATTTTCTTTTTTAATTAATCAATTATATCGCTAATCAATTAAGGGTTTCTTGTTGTAATATTTTCGTAACAGTTAGATTATCTAACAAAATTGTAAGTTTAATCTCTTGGTGTAAATATTCTACTCTAATTCTGTTCAGACATACCCATAACCTACTCTTTTAAAATCGAATAAAAAAATTTAGATTCATAAATTGGATTGTATTCCATATCCAATATGCAAAATTCTTCAGACGATATTTAAGTTAATAGACCTTTCATATTCGTAAATTGTTCACTTTCATTTTTCCTATAAATTTAAAGAATCAAATAGAAATTCACTATCGTTCTCAAAATCTCAACTGTTATATCAGAAACCTCTCCGAAACAAATAAATGTAATACAAGTCAAAAAGAAAAATAATGATATTAATTTTGAATGTTATTCATTCAGTTGAATAATCAAAGCAATTTCTATCCCAGTATAAATTTACCATTATGGCATCACTAAATAGCTAGCTCCTATTACCACTATGCCTTTAATCAAGCTCAATATTATCAAGATTAAGTTAAATCTCTTTTAACAAATGTATTCTAAACAAAATATAATCAAATGAAAGCCTGCTAAGGCCAAGCCAATGATTAAAAAGCTATCGTCACCTTTAAAGTATGACTGCATGTGAATTATTAAGGCATCTATCATCAAAAAGAACTAGAGAACCCTTCCTTTATTTAGTGCTTTACAAAGGGTGATCATTATATATATATAATTTAATTAGAATTAAGAATAATTATTTGTTATTTGCATATTTAAAGATGAAATAAATAAGTAATAATATATTTTTAAATACAATATTTATTTTTTCAACTACATTATTGATATTAGTTGATACAATAGAAGCATGGTTTTTAAAATAATTTGATATTTTTTTAAGGATCTTAATTTTATAAAACAAATGGGTTTTTAAAAACAATAATGATGTTTTGATATCATGGAAAGGATTCTGACTATATTTTAAAATTGATTATCTGCTTTAAATAATAACCCTCTAAAATTTGATCAATCAAGAAGTTATAAGTGGTTCTATTTTTAGTTTAAAACTTATTTTTCTGAGCTAACTAATTAATTTAAAATTAATTTATTAATATAAATAGTTTATATTACTATTAAATTTTATGTAATTGCAGCATAATTTACCATTTTATTTACCTATATTTTTCAATTTCATTCTTAAGTTTCCTTAGTTTTAATTTAAACAAAAAAATAATCATATATTATTTTTAATATATATTAACAATCAATTCTTCTTTGCTTGTCTTTTTATAATAAATCTATTCAATTTTGAAAAAAATTTTTCTTGGCCATACATTAAATCTGGCTGTGATTTTGCTGGTAAGTCCATTATTTACATGAACCTATCAAGTTTACCCACTAAAAAGGCATTGATGTAAATTTATAATTTTTTGAAAGTCCAATTAATATCGGTAACTGTCTTAATATCAGAAAATACGTTCACAACAATCAATTACACCTAAATAAAGTGAAATAGATACTTATTAAAATTATTTGATATATTCTTCAATTTAATGTAATTAGAATAATCCATTCTTGAACAATAAGGGAACTGCCAATACTAAGAATTTAGTGTTTTCGTTTAATTTTATGTTGTTTGATAAAATCTCTTTAAGGTGTACACATTAAAGTTGATCGATTTCGTATTTATCTTATTGAATGCATTTTTCAAGCATAAACAATGTTTATTTAAAGCATGATTTAACAATTTTATATATTTGTTTTTCACTAACTAATTTGCCTACCTAGAAATTTTATGTGATATAAAGAAAATCTTGTTTCATATTTTCTTCAGGAAAGAATAACTGCTTAAATGAGGCATTCGGATTTGAAAAGTCTACTTTAGTTCGATTCCTCATGAATCCATCAATTGAATATAACAAGTCTCCAAAGTAAAGGAGAGTATTTAATTTTTCTCTGAGCAATCCATTTTGTCTAGCCATGTTTTTCAAATGGTTTACTATGAAAGCAACAGAAACGTGATTAGATCTGTGTCCAGGGATAATTAAATCAGCTTGACTCATCAAAGGGGATATGAAGTTCTCAAATGATCTTTTTACAAATTTAGTATATTAGAAAAGCACATTTTCGACGGTTCTTCCTCTCTCCTTGACATCCCTTAGAATACGACGACATAAACGAATATCATCTAGAGTTAGGATTAGTAAATACCATCACAATGTATAAATATTTTATAAGACATTAACTCTCTAATTCTTTCATCATAAAGTGCCATAATGCCCTCAAAAACTATAACTTGAGCAGGTAGTACTACTTAGCATTAGTCTAATCTTTTATGATTCACAAAACAATATATTGGAACTGAAGCTGGTCTTCCTGACAATAATGTAGAAATAACTTCATAGGCATTATCAAAATCCAATGAATCTGGATGATCAAAGTTATATTAAGATATGTCAATAAACTATTTGTCTACTCCTTTATAAAATGAATCACAAGAAAGAATAGTCATGTCAACATCAGAATCATATTGGATTTCTCTTTTGATGGTTTCGCAAAGCGTGGTTTTTCCAGCTGCTGATCCTCCTGTAACGCCTACAAGAATACGTTGAGGTTCGTACTCAGAGTACTTCATTTAATATGAACACTACTTTTCTGGGGTTGATTGGTGATTTCATTATCATAGGATCAGAAATCATGAGTTAAATTTTTAATTAAGTTTAATTTTATTTTCTTTAAGAAGTCACTATGAAAGAATATAGTATCAATCCTTAAAACCATAATTATATTTATAAAATTTAAATTTCTCATCTCATTAGAAAAGTTGGTCAACATTTCAAATTCATCTTTGTAAGAAGACTGTATATAATTCGTAACTATTCTCAAAATTAAAAAATAGATAAAACAATAAATTTTGCTTTATGAACAATTCGAATTGCTAAATAAAAGTAAACAAATTTAAGCATAGGAATAAAAGATGTCAGAGTGTTAAGAAAATAAAATTTAACTACTAAAACTATTAACAAAGAATAGCAAATTAAAAAAACAGTTGTTGTTGATTAAAAAATTCATAACATTTGATCCAAGGTTTAGCAGAGTAATTTAAATTGCTGTTCTTCCTCTAAATCTTCTCGATCAAAAATTAGTTGTTTTTAATCAGCATCGTATTTTTTAAGTAGAGATTAATTCTATACTTTAGTAATTTTCGTGCTTTCAGAAGTATTGTTAAAGAAATTATTGGTATTTTTTTAACTTTTCTCTCTACATAAAAATTGATTATTATTTTGAATCCGAAACTTAGTCTTAACTATTAAATATTTATCGTACAGATGGAGTAATTGGATTAAAAATTGGTTAACTTTTTTCTCTACTAAATTGTCTAGTAATTGGTGCTTTGGGAAGTGGTTTGCGAACAAAATTAAATTAGGATTAGGTCGAGGACATCATTGATCTTAAATATAATTATATATTAATTATTATCAATAGGATAATTGAAAATTATTATACTATGTATGTGGATGAAAACATTATTAGAAATCATTTTTCATTGAGATCACCATCAATAGTAAACGAAATTGTAATAAACCAAAGATAGTTCTTGTAATTCTTCATTATAAAATTCAATTTATCTAAATATTTGATTGGTATTGATTTTTTATTCAATTCAATTTCTGTTATCAATAATTATATCCTTTTAGTTTCATGTTTATTAGTAAGATAGGGGTATTCAAATGAGTATTTAAAAAAATTAACAACTTTTAACTATATTATTAAAAGTAGTTCTTCTTTAAACTTAATAGAATGTATATATATCTTTATAAAATACAGTTTTAAATATCCTTATACATGATAATAATAATAAAACTTTGAAGCTACAATACTAAATGAGTTATGTAATTTAAATTAAGTCAAAAGATTTTATTAATTGCAATTTGATTTGTCTTAGTTATCAAGATTTTAAAATTAATTGAGTGGAAATTAAGAATTAGAATTGAAAATATTGCTTTAAAATTATTAAATAAAATTTTAATATTTCTCTTAAAATATTGATAATTTAATTATAAACATATATGAGCTTCGGGTATGAAAATTAGATTTATCGAGTAGAGTGTACTCATAATTTCAAACATTTGGTTAATCTCAAGAATTGGAAAACATTTTAAAAAACAATAACCCAACTTTGGAAGAATTGTTGGAAAGAGACAATTTCTTATTTGACATTAAAGCTGGAGCTATGAATGCATTTACTGAGTTGTAATAAAAAGTATTAGTATAAGTGTTTGGAAATAACCTGAGAATTTGGAAAAGATGATTCACTACATTGCGATTACAAATGAGTAGATGGATGACAATGAGAAAAGTCGAAAATTTCCTTACATCATAAGTGAAATATTTGCCTTAGAAAATACAAAATTGTTTGATTTATTATTCTTAAGACATCGAAATGAATCCCAATCCTCATTATTAAGCAACGAAAGACTGGTTTTAATTAGAATCTAAATTAGACTACTATTGAAGATGACATTTTACCGGAGTATCAAATGCATCATGAGGATCAATGCAAAGAGGAGGAAGATTATAATGGAGGAGGAATATCTGGAACATCAAGTTAGTATATGCGAATATCATAGTCTAGTGCGCATCCTTCAAATCCAAGTCAGGAATGCATCTGAATGAAAATGTTAGGTTGAATATATTAAATTCATTTTTCAAATACCTAGAGTCTCCAAACATTAACGATACATCTATGGGGTATTATGCTAAGATATTAAAGCCTGTAGCTAGTAAATATGGAGGAGAAGTAATACTACATCCTACACTTTTTTAGTTTTGGGATCACATCGTTGTCAACAACAACATAATAAGTGATTTACTCCAGCATATCAACCATTATTAAATTGTAGAAATTGTGGTTAAACTATTAATTTTAGATTACAAGATTAATGATAATATATACATCAACCAAAAATGTTATGTATTCATTCAACATAAGCATAGAAGAATTATAGAAAACAGCTTTTGGAAGAGATGATACACCAAATGGATAAGTTTTCCGATAACATCACTGTATAGATTTAACAATATCCCTCATAGATGATAGCAGACATCTCTTAAATATTTGATTTGCTATTGGATTAAGGAATTCAGCAAAAGTTATATGAGCCATTGAGAGAATTGTTTGACAATGTTTTAAAACCTTATTACTTTTTTAAAATTGCTGTAAAAACAATCAATAAATATAGAAAAAAACTGGAGTGCTCACAGTTTATAAAGTATTCTCTAAAATCCTATTATTTATTTAAGTCAATTCCCTATAAGGTAATCAAATCATCATGTATTTAGATTAGAAAACTTCTGATTTATTATAGATAATCTAATAAATCAATCCACTAATTAACACTAACTTGTAAGATTAAGAAAACTTTGGACTCAAGAACCTATGCCTTGTTTAAGCTCTCGATATTTGCGATAAGTAACTAAATTCAATAGATCAATAGATTGAACAACCCATTGTTATTTGAGTCCATGTTTTAAGCACAACTCTATTAAAGTTTAATAGAGTATGCCCTTAAGTATCAATGGAACAATTAACTCCAAATCTATGTGACCTCGATCTTGGAATCGAGAATATAGGATGAGAAATATTGTCAAAGAATCCTAAAGGAGACCGACATTTTGAATCAAATTAAAAAAAATCTAATTGATCAACCTACTAATTCAAATTTCAAATGTAGCCATGGATACAATGGCTTCCTAAAAAGAGTTGGCTATAAAATATTATAGAAGCAAACAGCAAGCAAAAAAATTAATTTACTACTATAGGAGTGTAATAATTAATATGATTAATTAGAATATGGGTAGACAATAGAAGCTCTTTAGGGATTATAGGAGCTTGAATAGACGTATTTGTGCGATGTAGACCCTAAAACACACATGCAAAAAGCTCCTCCGGAATTCAGTATTGATAGATAAATTGAAATGCTTCTAGATTCCCTAAAGGAAAAAGAAGATCAACTTACAAAACCGGAATAATAATGAATCTATGAATTAAAAAAATAAATTCATAAAACTCTAACTAATAATCACAATTATCATAATAAATTGGATTGAATATTTAAATGAAATGATATAGTGTCGATATCTAAATTGTTTTTATTTAATTAGAATAATTAACATAGATTCAAAATTCTAAGAAGAAAATGTATGCAAAAAGGATTCCTAATTAGTATTAAAAGGCAATCGAATTTAAATATAAATAAATTAATTCAGATATGTTTTTGAGGAATAGATTTCATTCTCTTCGTAAATTGGCTTAATTTTGCACAGCTGAGAGTGTCTCAGGAAAGAAAGCTCCTGCAACATCAACCTAATAAACCAAAGTTGAAAGAAATTTCTAATTACAATTCTCTAAGTCAGCATTAGTGGATTTTGGAGAATTGCCAACAGGCGAAATTCCTGAAGCCTTAAAATACGACAGACCACAAGGTATGTGTGATTATTATAAATTAGCTTTAACTCAATTGGATACTGGCCTTAGAGTAGTGTCTGAATAATACAGTTCTCCACTAGCTTCAATTACAGTAGCTGTGAAAGCAGGATCAAGATTTGAAACTTTGGAAAGCTCAGGTGTTTCAAATTTCATCTCAAAATTAAACTTAAGAGTATGAATACATATATATATTAGGGAACAACAACAAGATCAAGAGAATAAGTCGAAGCAGAAATTGATTACTTGGGAGGAGCATTAAAAGTTAAATAGGGCAGAGAATTATAGACTTACACTCTCACTTTCTTGCCATCCGAATTGGAGAGAGCAGTCAACTTTTTAGGAGACATTTTGACAAATTCATTATATTCACCAGCTTAAATTGAAGCAGAAAGAGAAGGAATCTATAGAGAATCAGTTAGCATCAATGATTAATACAGAGTTGTAGCTGAAGCTGCTCATTATACAAATTATAGAGATCATTATTTGGGCTAACCAACAGCAGGAATTAGAGATAACATTCCAAATGTTACAGAAGAATAAATTAGATAATTCCACAAGGCTAATTTCGTTGCACCAAATGTAGTAGTCTCTGCTGCTGGTAATGTTAATCATGAAGACTTGGTCTCTGCAGTCAATAAGGCATTCAAAGGATTAGGCACATCTGTACCAACTGAAGTACCAAATTCAGAAAAACCATATGCCACACCATCCATTATGGTATTAACATTTTATTAATGGTGTAGTTAATGAAAGATGACGAATTAACAAATTTGAATGTTGGTGTTTTCTTCGATGCTCCAGGATGGAATCACCCTGATGTTTTTGCTCTCCATTATTTCTAAAGACTTATTGGTGATTATAGAGCTGACAAACACACAGGATTCCATTTGAATGCTCCAAGCAGATAATACAACACTATGCATTCACTTCTCGGTGGATTACCAGATGTCACATACTAAAGATGCGTTTATTATGCATATTCAGACACTGGTCTTTTTGGAAATTATTTGATTGGCAATGAAGTCTTTGCAACATAAATGGCATATGTCAGTCAAATGGTTTTATCTGATTATGCTTCATCTGTAGGTTAAGTTGAAGTTTTTAGAGCTAGAGCCAAAGTGTTCAACGAATTATTAAGTTAAGAAAGTTCAGCCAAATAATCAAGAGAAATTGCTTAATAAGTTTTGTATCTATATTTCAGTAAGATTTAGCTATTGGGGAAGAAGAGTGCCAAGAAGTGAATTTGCTAGAAGAATCTCTGCTCTTGATGCTGGTCATTTGACTAGAGTTGCTACAAGACACTTCTGGGATAAGGTAATCATACTGTTTAAATAAATAATAGGATATTTCTGTTGTCGTATGGGGACCTACTCACTTGTTAGATGCTGTTGCACATTATAATAGATCATGGAAGAGAAGCACATTAGGTGGATATGCTTAACCATACTATGAGGGTTGATTCATTAAATAATAAATATAAAGTTTATTCAATTATTTTTAACTCTTGTTTTCTCTTTGTTATTAATTCTGAATAGTTGTATTGGATTTTTGAATTTACTAGAATTACTAAATGAATTTACTTATCAATTGAACCTATTTTCAATATACTAAATTTATCATCAAGACATGGACTCTCATCCTCATTCATTTAATTTTGACTATTTACTGTAAAATCCATAATCGAGGGATTGTTCACTAATCCTAACTAGTATTCAATTATAGATTTGTAGCAATTAGGTTTGACATCCAAACTTAATTTGTGCTTAACTTTGTTCTTCTCTTAAGCTGAAGTACTTCTATCAGGTTGTTTGGGAACTTCAGCTTCATTATGAAATGATCCATATCTTAGATTCCTCTAATATGCTATGAGACAACTCAAATCAGGTTGGACATCACTATACTATAAATTGGATTCATTATATGAACTAAAGCTCTTGTTTTTAAGATTCATTCTACTATCACATAATAGTAGATTATTAGAATTATTATTAATTAAAGATTGTCGTCCATTAGATTCTCTCTTTGATTATCCGGTGTCATCGTATTCTTCACTTAACTTTTTTTTATTTGGCGTATAGATTTATTGAATCAAATAGGATTAATCAACGATTTTAATGGACTGCTACTTCTTGGGTGATGCAGATCCTGACTTTTTCTCATAGTTATTTTCATCATACCAATCAAATCGGCACTCAATCTGTTATTAAATGGAGACTCTTCTAAATAATTATTAAAAATATCTAAATAATTATTCAATTTAACATTTACCTATAGTCTGGTTTTTCGCGATAACTCATTTTCTTAACTAAATCAATAAACCTCATAAATTCAGTTGGAATATCTTAACATAATTCTTGAGAAGTAATTCTCATTTTCAACAATCCTACCATTTTTACTTTCTCATCCTCGTTCTTATAACTAATGCTCTACCATGGTAAACTTCCCCTTAATAAAAATCTCTATATGAATATTACAAATACATTAACATATATCCCAAAGATTCTAGGTCATCCTTCCTTGATAATTCCTGGCCCTTGTGAGCTGCTATGCTGGCATATCTGGATGTTCCCAAAAAAGGTTTGTTTTCCTTGAAAGTACTTATATGTTAATTGAGTTGATATACATATGTTTGTCATCTTTATCTTTGAATTGCTTCGCTATGCCATAATCTACAAGATAAATAAGATTCCGCTCTCTTTCCTTACCAGCCAATATGTTTTCAGGCTTTATGTCTCTATGAATTACACCCCTTTCTTGAATTCAATAAATACTTGCTATGAATGGCTTCTAGAATAGTCAACATCTAATCAGCAATGCCCAAAACGCATGCCAAACTAAAGCGCTTTCTTTATCTTAGATAGTGTGTTAAATCTCTTCCTAATAATTGGATTACCATCACATTATTTCCTTTTTCTTTTCCAGCCCATTTCAATTTGGGAACTTGTGGAGTCCCATGCAAATTCCTTAATATTTAAACCTAAATATAGAATATTTTTGACTCTACTTCTCTGTCCAAACTAAATAAATCATCAATTTCTTGTTTTTCTACTTTAATTGCCACTTGATCTGAAGTTCTTAAATCAATTCCTTGATATACAACTCCAAATGAACCTGAAGAGATCTTCTTCTGAATCGCATATTAATTATTGAAGACATTTTAAGAGGCTACAGCCATATTAAATATTATATATATATATTGAATACTTATTTCTATACTTTGTAAGCTAATTGTTCTGAAAAGGCTTATTTGTGTTAAATTTTATACTATATTTATCTACTTAGATATAATAAATCATCATCCAGTTAAGGTGAGAATGGCTTAAACGGTGTCGTTATCGGATTTTCTAAGTGCTTCCACAGCTTTACTTCTATCACACTTGCAATGTTCCATAACCATTTTGATTGACTCAGGAGGAATACCTTCATCGCTGACTTATTCTGGGTTTTGTGTCTATTATTATTATTATTCTTCGACTTATTTGGTACTACATTTTAGAGATTAAATTATTACACTTGTTAAGCCAAATTATCAGCTTCCTTCTTTCCAATTTGACTTTGTGGGTCATTTACTTTAGCTTCTCCAAAAACGATGTAGGAATTGTCAACGTTTGCTGATTTTAATACTTCTGGGTTGTCAATGTAAAGAAGGAGTTGCTTTCCTCTTTTAATTGTAACTCTGGTGATTCCAGCCACTGGCTTCATTCCTAATTTGAGCATAGCCTTTTTGAATTTCTTCTCTCCTCTGTTGGCCTTCTTTTCTTTATCATCTCCTCCTTAATTATCGTGATCGTGTCCATCATCTGAATGGTCGTGGTCGTGATCGTGGTCGTGATCATGATGATGCTCTTAGGTTTACTCCTTCTCTTCTTTTATTTCAATTTCTTTTTCTTCAGCCATTTAATATTTTTTTAATTTAAATTTCAATCTTGATTAAATATTTCAAATGAACATGAATTTACAAATAATATTTATTGTTGTTATTAAAATCACATTACTTATTATTATATTGTACTATTGAAATACTAAAGTCTTGACGAAATCAAATCTCCTACTAGTTGCAAATACTCATCCTAATTAATGACAGATTATTTGTAACAGCAAAATAGATTCAACTATTTACTCTAAATCAGTTCGAAAAACTATTAATTATAAGTAACTCACTATAATTATTTGATGTATAAAAACAAAGATTAGATTCTCTTGGTAAAAATATTGAAAAACAAATATCAGCCTTCTCAAAACATAATAAAATATTATAGAAATATTCATTGATTATGTTCCTCGCAAAGCATGATTAGATGCAATACGCTGGTGTAATTAAATTTAGAACTAGTGGAAGAGCAAACCAGTCGATGCTTTAACCTATGGATCATATATGTTCAAATTCAGATCCTGAAAATTAAATCCAAAGATTCATTTGTTTTTTTTGATTCTATAATGCTACTTATTCAAATGAAAACAGAGGAGCAGAATTTATGAGAGTTTTACCAAGAAGTTTATGAAGAATATGGTTAAATGATAAATCTAGATAAGCTTTTGATGGATGAAAGAATAACTTGACCATTAGCTAGAGAAGCTTAAGGCATCTTCACTGATGTAAATTGGCTAGATGCCATTTAATAAGCAGTTAAAGGAGAAGAAATTTTAGGAGTCATTGGATATTTTCTGACTTCGAATCTATTGTAGCCTTAAAAGATTTATTAAATAGATTTAGTAATAATAATTTTGAAAATTGGGGGGGGATTGGTGAACCATAACTAGATGCTGATTTCTGAGCTAATTTTTAACTAAATTCAAGAATCAGTTGAAGAAGCTGATGTTGTTTTATTAGTAGGTTTGCATTTCAGATTACTACTTTTAAACATCTAATTGAGGTCAATTATTTATCTAGACTTAGATTATTTATCTGACTAATGCAATTTCTACATAATCTGTTGCTATGGCTAAATACTCTATAGCTGTTAATCTTCATAAATTAAGAACATTTAAATAATTAAGAAAATATTAATTATCCATAGAATTTATATAAATAACATTTTATCTCAACCTATTTTTTTGCTTGCTGGACTTAAATTAGATCTTTGAGTGTTATAGACTTCGAAAATTCCTTTAGGGTTATTTTTTAAGGGGCTATTGATTCGAGCAGTTTATGAACCGCCTTACTTTATTTTGGCAGAAGATTTCAAATCTTCAATATAAATATTAACTATATTATTTTAGTTGATATTGTATACACCACCTCCCTTTTTAGATGACCCTTGAACATTAATGTTATTTGTAATTCTTAATGGATCTTTTGAATTATCCTGTCGTAGAGGTTATTTTGGAGGAGATGCTTTATAAGTTCCCACTGCATCTTGAGATTTAGTTCTATAATGTAGCAATTATGAATTCAATATTGGTCCTTGCACATTGTTAGTGTTAACAATTTGTTTCTTCTTAACTTCAGAGTACTTTACCTACAGATTCCTCAGTGTTGCTAATGCATATTGAGTGAATTTCTATGGAACCTTTTATCTAAAATTAGATTATATTCTACATATTTTTAGAGGAAGACTTCTGCTAATTTTTGTCGCCTACATTATAAACACTTTATCTTTGAATTCTATCTGTTGCTAATGGTTGCTTACCTAAGATTATTAATGTACATGTTTGATACTCTTATAATCATCATCATATTTTTATAATTGGGAGGCCACTCTGGTTCTTCTACAATGGGTTATCAATATATATTTACAAGAAATTAACTTAATATGATTGCAACTCAGGAGGTTGCTTTTATGTTGAATTTTATCTACTTGGTAATCTGAATTAGCAATCAGTTGAATTGAAATTTGCACTGACTTTCCTTTACGAATTTGACTTTTGACCATAATTTAGTTTTTGTTATTGATACTATGATTGTTATTATTTTTAAACAAAACTAGCAAATCCTTCAATTTATGAGTACACCTTTTATATGGTTTGTAATTATGATGAATTCCTTATAGGGGATTAATCCTAATTAGATCTTTTGGTTTATTCGCCTGCTTTAATAGAGTTTTCAGCTTTTATGGAAGATACCTCTCCTTGATTGACAAATTACAATCTATTGATATTGATCTTATCAAAACTGCCTTAATAGCTTATTTAATGAGTTGTTTTTGAGTCTAAAATTTAGGCTTTAGAGTTTTAATTAGTTTGTGGTTTATTATTGACGAGATAATTTTATTTAAGATTCTTGTTGATCGTTGAAAGATCTTGAGACCTTAAGAGAAAACTATTGCTTTGATCGATAGACAATAAGCCAGAAATTTATCCGAGATAATCATATTTTTATCCAATTTATTATACGAATTCACGTAATTATACACTACTAGAGATGTCAACTTTTTTTTAGAGATAGGAATTTGTATCTAATTTCAAATCCTTGAGAAGATGTTTTAATTAACCCACAGTCACATCTTCATCACTGTGTTGTTATTTCTTCTTCTTCTCCTTTTTTTATGATTGTTACTAGATTTTTAGATATTAAACTTACTATATCTTCATCTGGGATATTCAATTTCCTTTTGATATTTGCATATTCTATTCTTCGTTTCTTTTCGTGGAACTTGTTAATCGTGATGTAGACCTTCTGCATAAAGAGTCGCGGGATGTCCTTGTGATATTTGTAGTATTCTAACAATGCTTTAATTTTAGAAGTTGATTCCTTTTTAGCGTAAGATCTTTTAATAGATTAATTGGTACCTCTTCAAATATTCTTCTTCCTCTACTATACATTCCAAATCCCTATAAAATACAACTGCTGGAGTAGATTCCTCATCAATTATATCATTAATGTCCTTTGAATAATAGTAGTTTTGAGATGAAGAATATTTAGCAAATAACGCCTTATTAAGGAGAGGAGCATAGGTTTCAACCTTCTTACTTTTGAATTTCTAACAAAAGACACAAGACGATTGTCCCTGACTGTTTGGCCTATAGAAAAGATTAGATCAAAAATTTACGGCGAACATAATGATGAAAACCGCTTTCTCACTGATATCGGATTAGATACTGATTATTTACTATTTGATCTTGACGTTTTTCCTCCTGACACCTATTTTTTGGTAGACATTTTCTCTTTATGTTCCTTAATAAGTTAATAAATAAAATGTAAATAAATAATATTGTATAATACTAAATGCTTCACTATTTTGTTTCTTGTGCTTGTTTTCTCTAATCCTTGGCTCCAAAAAATTTAGTTTTGCTCCATACTATCTGAGTTTTCTATATTATTTTTAGGTTCTGAATTCTGTTGAAATAACTGTGCCATTTCGAAGTTCTTTATAATATAGTTACCTGTTAAATCAGATATTTCTAATTACTCTGGATTAGTTTTTTATGTGACTGATTATGCAACAAGTTCATTAGATTGTTTTTACAATTTCATTTTTTGGTGTGCCTGCCAGTGATTGATGAGAAATACAAATAAACTACATTGGCATCTTTTCATATTATTTAATTTAAATCTTCGTAATTAGATATATTCTTCTTCTATGATCAATTAAAATAATAATGGATTTAGTAAATGTTGCATTTAATCTTGTTCTTTTAATTCAGTTTATGATTATCCTCTTCTGAAAACTATTGGATTTTATCGTTTCTCAATTATTATTAACTAATTCAACTAGTCTTGATGATGAGACTATTATTATTTATATGTCATAAAATATCCATTAGGCAAATGCTGTTCTTCTATTTTATTTACTTCTTTCGCACCAGTTTAATTATTAAATATCTAACAAATTAAGCTCAAGGCTTGTGAATTGGGATGTTGGTATTTTATTTTTTCATTAGTGAAAAATTAAAAAATAAAATAGGTGGATATGCAAAATTTTATATAAAAGACTTAAATAAGTCATATATATAATTTATCACGAAATTTATTTTGCTTCATAGCTAAGTTAAGTGTCTCATAGACTTTCTAAAATGGTAGACAAAATTAGTTACCTGACAAATGTCTTAGTCTTTTCTTAAGGAGCCTAATTTAAATTTGGTGTTGATTCTCTCTGTTGCTATTCTTGTGCCAATTCCTCAAAAGTTTATAAGTCAGTGATCGAATTGTGAAATGAGAGTTTCATTTTTTTCATGTTGTTCTCATCAATTTCTTCGACTAACTTGGGCTTAAACATTAAATATGAGCGAGCCATCTTAGATGATGATTCTTTTTAAGTGGGTTAATCAGGAATATAGGCAAACTAAGTTTACTTTCTACTCTTAATCAATAATAGCTCACATCACATCTTGTTAACTCTTCTACTGTATTTTAGGTTTCTATTCTCTTGGAGTTGGTACTGTATATACTTTTTTGATCATTATCCTAAATTTATACAAACCTTAAATATATTAATGATTACTGCTTATAAATTTCTTATCAATATAATTCAATATGGAATTAGCTCCTTCTACACAAAATGTCTATCATCAATGAAATGCCTCACAGTTCCAATATACTATTTTGTAAACAAAACCAAACAACTATTAGTCAATTAAATCCTCACTGTTTGATTATTTTCTTAAACTGCCAATTCCTCTATTCATTTTTTTTGGATTGCAATAATCTCGAATCTGGCAATGAACTCCATTTACAACTATGCTCCTACTGATATTATATTTAAATACAATTTTATTTCAAATATGCAGCCAAATCAATCAGAAAATTTTAGAACTGAACAAGATAATTGTAACATCTCTCAGTTTACCTTATGATAGGCAATCATACTTTACAAGGATAATCTGGCAGATCGTTATTAGATAGTGGATCAAGATAAAAGCAATAAACCATTGCGAAAATCAAAAAGGCTCTACAGAGCAATAAAGAAACCTTGCGAACATTGAGAGCTACAGATTTAGTTTCAGATAATCCAAAATTGTACATAACTGAAATTCATACTCTTTTATAGAAATCGCACAGGCCAATCCCAAATTAAATTGTCACATTATGGTCCTCAATACACAGGCAAACCTCCTAAGAACAAGAAAAACAAAGATGAGAGTCCTTTTCTCCTGGATTCGTAATCAGTAGTTGAAATTGATGGGTTTAGTAATTAAGCTTGGAAGAACTACCCTCTAGAGATTTTGATGATAATTTTAAGATTTATTAGTTTCATAACTAAATCTAACTTTGCTACTAGTTTCAGACTCATAAATAGGAATGTTTTTGACATCATTGGTGACAAGTCAGCCTATTTTAGATATTATTTATTTAATGATTATTTCAAATATGAAGTATTGTTGTAAATTAATTTAAGAAACCAAGTCCATATGAAAAAATGAAATACTAATTAAATCAATAAGTATTTGTCCCACTTAGAAAGCTCAAGGTTTATAATTATTTAAACAAAAACAAATTAATACTGCGTCCAGAGTCAATAATCGCAATAGCTTGGAATATTTACATATTGACAATTTTGAACATGAACGTACTTTATGTGAGTGCCAGAGTGGCATTTAAATTTGACACTAGTAATTCACTGGATGATATTTTTCAATAATTTAGATGGGTGTTATTTGATGTACTCCCTTCCTATTCTTTTATTTTGGAGATCCTAATAAAGTTCAACACCTGCTATTACTATAAGGGAACTGTGATAGAAAATAGGTACCTCATAGCCAAAAACTATATAAGAACATGTATCTCTATATTGTGATAATATCTTTAGCCTTTTTTTTTGATATTTTTGTGATCATCCCCTTCTTCTTAAGTCTTAGATTTTAAGTGGACTATTTGGATTTGGTCCTTATTCTAAAAGTCTTTTAGATTACTAAATTTAGTGGAAATTTGTTTGACAGACTTGAACTCACATCGAGTTAAATAGCCATATTCGATTTGGTTAAATTAGGATACACTATTTTGGCAGTAGCTCATTTTTGTGCTTGTCTATGGTTTTTAGTCGGTACAACAGGAAGTGATTAGAACACTTGGGTTATAAAAAATGAATTGCAAGATGAACCTTGGCATGCATAATATTTAACATCCTTCTACTTTAGTATAGTAACCATGACAACTATTGGGTATGGTGATATAACTCCATAGAATTTAAGAGAAAGGATATTCACAATTGGAATGACTGTGGCTGCTGTTGGTATTTTTGGATACTCAATTGGTAACATTAATAACATTTATGCTGATTGGAGTAGAAAGACATATGAATTTAGACAAAATATGAATGATTTAAAGAAATATATGAGATTAAAGGGACTTGATAAACACCTGGCTGAAAAGATTAGAAAGTATTTTGAATACGTTTGGTGTGATGCAGAAGAAGAAAATGATAGAGAAGCCTTTAGATTTGCAGAATAAATTCCAGCCTAATTATTGGAGGAGATGAAGATAGATATCAATATGAAAATTGTTAAGAAGATTAAATTTTTGACTGAAAATTTTAGTGATTAATTTTTAATATAATTGTCCAAAAATTTGATTGAAGAGAAATTTGCACCTGAACAAATTATATTTAAAGTACTTATTTCATATATGTATATCATAGTAAGATGAGGTAAGTGATTATCTATACATACTTCAAAAAGGAGAAGTATAATTTTATGTTACACTGAAAAATAAATAAGAATCATAAAAAGTATTGGAATCATATTCAGGAGATTCGTAGCCTTTTGGAGTTTTGGAGTTCTTTTAGTAGTAGAATTATTAAGTATCTTGCAAATCCACCTAATTCACATATTTACTTAAAATTCATAGAAATTAAGTCATTGATTTATTACAATAGAATTCCAAAGATTACGTATTAATGATTGTTATACTAGTCTACATTTTGTTAAATGAGAGATTAAGTTGCCTTCTCAAATGCCTAAGCAATAGTTGATGTTTCATGTCGAGCATGCAATAAAACATCTCATGTAATTAAAGAATGCCCATTGGTTTGTGGATACCCAAACAGATCAAAGGTTCTTTTGAATTACAGAAGAAATGTTCCATCTGATAGAAGTGTATATAGACGAACTTTGAATAGGAGGGTTGATACCTTATTAGAATCTCATGATGTTAAGAACAGTATATTATTGTTTATATGCAAAAACAAATTGATTGAAGAACTTTAATATAAAACTGGTATCAATTGAAAGTAAATTTATAGACGATGAAGAGTAGGAGGAATCAGAAGAAGAAAGTTTAAACTCTTTTAAAGTAGGCTACAAGTTGACTATTACACAATAAATTGAATCAAAAAGACCATTATCCTTTTAGGGGTGTAATGATGCTTTACAAGATGAAGAATTAGTAAATTTAATATATATCATTACAAAGCAAGACAAAATTAAGGAAATTGTTAAATATTTCAAAAAAAAATAATTAAATGATGCATCTTCAGAGTTAAAATAAGGAAATAAGTTGGAAGGTGACAAGACCATGAATTTTAATTCATTAATGAAAGGGTCCGACACTCAAAATTTGTACTTCCTTAAATTATTATTAAGCCCTTAAGATTAAGTCTAGTAGGACTCAAATAGAAGAGGATCGAGAACAACCCAACCCAAAGCTCGAAACTTATTTGATATTGTTGTCCAAGGATCATTTTTATCTCCTCAAATTAAATTGCCATCATATGAATAATAGGCATATGAAGATGAATATGGGAAAAAAAGAGGATAGTATGTAGAGTTATTTGAAGAGTTTGAAAGATTTAAAAATTTTGATAACTATCTAAAACATAACAATCTGGCAGCAATCATCAGAAGAAGAGAGAGAAAAAATAAATATATATGAATTGGTGTATTTCATCAAGCAACTTCATCTATTTAATTGAAAATACATGTTTTTTAATGATAAATCAATCGTTTTTCGTTTTATCTACTTTTTTTTAGGGTGGTTTTTGTTATGGCACTTTCTTAGGCTTTATTAATGCATCAATTAAAGCAAAACAAAATGCTAAATAAAATAAGGCTCCTTATATCGTTTGCTCTCCTCCAAGTCTTTCAGATTTATATAACACATGATTATAATTAATTGCTGCATAAACTATTAATGCTGGAATTGAAAGTACATAGAGTAAACCAATTCTTTCATAATGATTAAATGTACCTATTCATTGTTATAAATGAGCAAGCCACCAATATATATCCAAGAATCAATCTCATCTATAAATAAACATCCACATTATTAAGTATTGAGTTTTCTAATCTTGCTGTTTCTCTTATTGTCCTTTCAAATCGTTCCTAATATTACTTTGTAAATTACTTGTCCCCAAGGATCGTATAGTAGGCTCATTCCAATTATTCCTAACCCAAATCCTATTAATAGGGATGATAACCTTTGCATAGATTTTATTTTAATTAATATCCTTAATTGTCGTATAAATCACTAGTACAAATTAAAAAATTAGTATTTAGTATTATGAAATAAAGATTTGAATAGAAAAGTTTAGAAGTAAATAGCTATATGTAAATTATATATAGAAAATAAGATATATTAGTTTGAACCTATAATTGATATATTTAAAAAAGCATACAAACTTAGATAAACTTGATGATGTAGGAAAAATGAAATTATAATTTGAAATTTAGCTATTTGAATAGAATTGGAGATTTCCTTTTAGTCTGAAATTGATAAATATAAATAGATATTTATAAATTGAAAATAGCTAAAATTAAATAAATATCCCTTAAATACAATAAATGATTGATCACTTTTATTTATTATGAAAAATAGTAGTAATTTGATTACTCAAAGATTATAATTTCTTATAATTATCCACCAAATGGTTGTCAGAGTCCATTAGCCAATCTTCATCAAAAATAAGAGTTTAATTAGGTTTTTATTTAATTTTTGGCTTCTTCAAATAATCTGGCAATGTTTTGACCCTTAAATCTTAATTTTGCTAGAATTCTTCTGGAATGATGTATTCAGTATCTTCACTTATCTCGTCTCTTGATAATTGGTTGATACCATCAAAATTAACCATCGGACTACTTTGCCCACTTTGATCTCTTCCAAATTAAAAGAGATTCTAATTATTAGTTTCTTTAATTAGAGATGGACAAAAGGTTCTTCTTTTATTTTAATTATTATTTTCTTATTTAATGTTGCTATAGAATGGTAAAAATGATTACATTAATTAATTAGATTAATATTTATCTATCTAGATGTGATCATCAAATTATATTGTTCCATAACGAGAATAGATTTCTGTCTAAGCAGTATTTTGGATATCCCAATCATAAATTGAATCAATTGTTATCTTGGCATTTTTAGCAGCTTATTAAAATAATCTAATAATTGATTTATAATCTGGCTATGTGACATATGTAAGCTTACGTAAATATCTATATTTATATATATGCTATAAAAGTACTCGTATATTTTTCTTAGTTCTTCAGGTAAATTCTTAAACAAATCAGTAGTCTGTTTTTATTTAATATCACCAACTTTTTGTATCTTTTAGTCGCTTGGAATATGCTTGATGTTTTGCCATGGCAATTTACTGAAACAATGAAAATCTTCATTTTTACCCTAAATAAAAGTACAGCAAGATGTAAATTAAAGATTCCAAATCGTCCTTTCTTCCTAACTCGTTCCCTTTATGAGCTGCTATCGAAGCATATCTAGAGGTTCCAATAAAGGGTTATCTGTCTTTGAAAGGTCTAATTATATTATTATATTACAAATGCGCTCCGTTTTTACGTAGAAAGGTCTTACTTATACCGTAGTCTATAATGTAAAACTTGTTGTTTTCATCAATCATAATATTTTCTGGTTTCAAATCTCTATGTAATACTCCTTTTTAATGAATATCTTCCAAAACTTCAACTAATTTAATCCCTATCTATAAAATAGTTTTGAGGCTAAATTTCTTTTATTGTTTCATCAAGGAGGATAGATCTTTAGAAAGTAGCTGCAAAACCAAAACATTAAAGTCATCCTCTTTGCCAGAGTAAAGCAATTAAGGCACTCCCGAAACCCCTTCTAATTTCTGAATTATGTCTACTTCTTTTTCTATTGATCTGATATGTTAATTTTCTGGTTTTTCAATTTTAATTGCCACTTATTATCCTGTTTTTTGATCAAAACCAAGCATCACAAATCCAAATGCTCCTGATGCAATTTTTCGTGATAATATATATTGATTATTTATTCTCAGAGATTTCATTTAAATTATTCTTAATTATCAATATTATATTAAAGAAAATGGATTTATCTAAATGCGTTGACAAATAACTCAAAGATGAATAATCTTTTTACTAGACAAACAATTATTACTTTTAAAATATCATTATTAAATAGTTAATAAGTTTAATGAAGATATTATTGATAAATAAGTATTCATATGTCATTTTCATGAAATCTAAAGTCCAATTTCAATGTATTGATAATTTGATCAAAATTTCTAAGTTTACAGAAATATATACTTTTCAATAAATTAGGAAGAATGAGTCAGCTATTTCTCAAATCTGCTATCATATAACTTTGTCACACTTTCTTTTATTTTCGCTAATTATAAGATTAAATTTCTTTAATCTTCTTCAGGGTTCTTTTTAGTAATAACTTTGTTTATAGCCTAATTCGTTTTTCCTTGTCTAGATTTCTCTAGCAAGGAACTTTATTGTAGCTTTTATGAAGGAGTTTATGGTACTTATTTTAATTAATACATATACCATCTTAGAATGGATCTTAGAAGGACTTTGTGTTGCTTTTTTAAACAGTTTTTTTTTAAGTCAAAGGTGTTTGTGGTACTTGAACTTAGGATTTTGTAGTTTAAGGACGACTATTGTTGTTGTTAGTATTATAAGTGTTATTATTACTATTTGTTTTTTTGGTTTAAATTTGGTTATTGCTTGTTTAAATCTGCTAAGCTGATTATTAAATTTTTTTTTATCCTGCTTGTTTAGTTGCGTTAGGAAATTTTCCATTTACTCTAACATTATTGGCAGCCTATACGACTTTTATTTTATTGGCATCTTATTCAGTAACCAAATTCTCTTCTTCTTCTATGACTAAATGAGTATATTTAGGAATCTATTGATCAATCTCTTATTTATCTACAAAAAGTTGCATAGAAATCTATATACTTATTGAATTTTGTGACTGTATGCTTTAAGGAAGCTATATGGATTGCTTTTATTATTTCCATAATTGAGAAAGATTGTCAACATTCTAATTTTACTTTTTAAGATTCAAAACTAGTCTATAATACATTGGAAATACATTTCTCTACTGATTAAGAGTCTTTCTATTATTCACTATTTCTAGTGCTTCGGAAATCGTTTGTCAATGAGGGAGTATACTATCTATCCGATGAAAGATTACGAGATCTGTATGATGGGCATTGTAGTTTTCCTTTTAAAGATTCTAATTCTTCCAATTAAGTAATATGCCTATCATTCAATTAAATACTCATTTATTATTAAATTTAGTATATTAATATAATTAAAGGGTATAATCATTAAAATAGAAATTATTAAACTGCCAATTAACAATCGATAATTGCAATAAAGTTAATTTGTCAATACAGAATTGGTATACACTAAATTTGATTGATCTGCAAATAGAGACTAAATATGTAGAATTTAAAAAAACCAATATAGAAGTCCAAATTTAAGTGTTTGAATATTTGAATAAAAGTACTTAGAATCGAGCATTTTGTTCTTTATTTGTTTATAATATTTAATAGAATGATTTGAAATTGTTTACATTGTTTATTAATTTTATAATTTTTTTTTGCTACATTGTGAGATAAAATTTGACTTAAGTTCTAGTTGATCCTTATGAAATAATGAAGTTAATTCTAAGTCTATAAAATTATTTATTTCAGAGCCTTCACTAGAATGAACACATAGATTAGATTAATAAGACCTCCAGTTCCAAAATTTAATTTAAATGTATTTGAAACCAGCAATCTTCATATTATTCCAATTGAGAAATAAATAAAAGATTCCAAATGTAATCCGACTTCTTTAGATAATAACAATTCTGATACTTCATCTTGGAGCAGCCAGGAATGTAATTTTGATAGAAAAAAACTATCAGCAATTGTTGAAGAAATGAAAAACGTAATATCTATTTTGGGGTTGAATGAAGATTTATTAAAAATTGCTATACAACTGTTTTAACCTCAATTGTTGTCTGAACTAAAATAAAAAAAATACACACCCATCGCTATAGCAATTGCTGGCTTAATTTCTGTCATAAAATTAACGTGCATCCCTATTACTCAAAAAAAAATTTTTGCTAAAATTTCAGTTTCAAAATATTTAATTAAAAAAATATTGCTCAAGATCCGAAACAATAACAAATTTGAGTCTGTTGTTTAAGTTTTTATTAAAATCATCTCATATAATTTGGGATTTAATGAAAGATTCATTAAATTCTCTGTTCAAGTTTTTAAGAAAATTCAATAGAATAATTTAATTCAAAAAGAACGTGAGAATGTAATTGCAGCTGCAATAGTCAAGTATAGTGGAGACATTATTTTTGTTCATAGGGGTGGGATCATACCCTCAGTGATTGCTCAATAAGCAAAATGCAGTGTTGGTACATTTAGGATGTTTTACAAAAAGATATATGAAAACTTCTCATTTTCAAGTAAAAACTGATTGTTTAATCATGATTTCATTAAGTTTATTTATATTTTCTATTTAAATATATCAATCAATCACTTTCATGGCATAATTTTAAAAACTTATTGTACTTAATGATTTTTTCATATTTAATAGGTGGGCCAATATTAATATTAGAATTAGGAAGGGAAAACTAATTTATAAAATAAAAGTACAGCAACATCTATGAAGTAGGAGTCTTCAGTATCTACAAGTGAATCCCCAATAATAAATTGTAATGTAGATTTCTAATATTTAATTTAATCTTACTTTTGAATTTAAATAGCTCAGATGGTTTTATAACTCTGTAAACGTATTGTATTCATAAAGAGGCTTATAAATGTAATCGATATTTATTCTTTCGTTATTCATCTGATTTATCTACTACTCACTCAATTCAGGATTTGTTTATAAAGTCAACACTTCACAATGCTTCTTTGCCTTTTCAATATTTGAATATAATCTTCTACTTCCTAATTTAACTTTAGAGTCTTTAAATTTATTAGTAATTTTAGTCCACCCCACAATGTCGGAATGATGAATAGGATCCTCCAAGTAAACTATATTGGGTTTTTCTTGGCATAATTTGAAGTAATAATCTATCAATTAATCTGCATCTAATAATTTCTTTGGGTTGTCTAAGTCGTATTTCTTTTCTTCAGGAACATAAAATAATTCAGCCAACCAAACCAAACCAAGCTAAACTTAATCCTTCAATTAAGCTGCATCTATTGCTTATTCTATGATCTTCAGATTATCTGGAATTGTATCACCAGGACATATAAAGGTTCCATCTTAATAATATTAAAGACCGGCTTCTCCTTTTTTTCCTGAAATAATAGTTTTTTTGACATTATTAACAACATTCTAAATCTTTTGCACTGCTCCTTCTCCATCGCAGATTAGCAAAAACTTGTAAATTTTACACTTAGAACCCACTACTTTACTGCCTTATAATAGATTAAGAAAAATCTTAGGGGTTTTAGTTTCTTAGGTGTTAAATTATTAGCAAAGTAATTTTGATAAACTTTAATTCATAAAGTGAGCATGCAAAGGAAGTAAACTAAAAGAAATTTATTGAATAACGTTAATACGATTCTAGAATAGATGAGATTGCATACTGGATGTTCAGTAAGATATTTCATTAAAGTATCATCAACCTATTTTTAATCCTTTGATTTCTTTCCTCTTAATGAGAGAGAAACCTTTTCTATTTCTTAGATTGCTTACTTCATGTTTTTCTATTCGTCGTCACTTAAATTTAACATTAATCATACTAAAATATCTCTTATTCTGAGAAAGCCTAAGAAAAGTAAAGTGGGGAATTGAAATGAAGTTTCTGGTTTTTGAATTAGACTGTGAATATCAATTGGATAGTTGACTTTAACTCATTGTTTAAGACTTCTAAACCAGAAATTTGATCTAATTCAATCACAGGAGTTGATAACTGAATCTAAAATAATAAGTTACTTTTCCAAAATATTGAGAAAATGTTGTGTATGGATCAGCTGGCTTTTGTGAAAGGATTGTGTTGACTGCATCCTTAATGATATCCTCAATTTTGTATTGTTCGATGTATGCCTTCACTTCTGGAGGAATGTATGGCGATTTAGACATTTAATAAATATAATTATAATCTAATCAAAATCTCTTGCCACTTGATCCGAATGGAGATGGAAATTCTTGTTATTATTTTTGTTTCGGTTTTGATTATGTGAACGATTAATCAACCTCATAACTACCAACTCCAGGAATATTCAGGAATTTATCTTCTCTTTTGCTATATTTATCAAGTGTAATAACTCCAATGGCTTTTGATTTTGTCTTAATATCATAAGCACCTACACTAGGACCTGCATCTTACTGTTATTAACTAAATCTCTTGGCAGTTGAAGAGAAGCACTAGAATTTCCAAGGTATCTTTTCTATCTTTATGGAGGAATCATTAAACTCATTGTAATATGCCCCAGGAGGAGGTACAGGTCTATCCTTCATTTTTTCTCTTTGTTATGCCAACTCCAAACTGTCAGAAGGAAATAAAGAAAATATATTCCTGTGTGCTCAATAGTAAAAATGAGTAATCATACTTTTGGGTTTTCTTCTTTTGGGCAATCCAGCCATAGGAGTTTGAGCTCTTGAATTGTAATATCCTTAGATTTGCAATTAAGCTGATTATTCAATTGAATTTTCTAATTCTGTATTTTGTTTCTGATAGACTATCTTGAGTCTCTTGCCTTTTTATCTAAGGGGCAAACTCTCGAAATTATTAATTGAAATTTCTGCATTTTATGAGTAACTGAAGCTCCTTCTTTCTGGTTTTTTATATTTCTATTCAAGCTTCAGCCTTTCACCTGGTTTGGCATACGCTGATAATTGATGACTTGCTAAAGAAACTCTCGGCAAATTGTTCGCGTTGTTTTAAGGACTTACATTTTATCTAGTATTTATGTTTCTAGCCAAGGATTTTGAAAAATCAATGCCTTTAGCATTTTATTATTAGTTAATTTCGTAATGGCCAACAGGAGGGTTGTAAGTAGGCTGAAAACAAATCCTATCACTTTTTGAAAACATTATTATTTTATTATAATAAATGTTAGGTTTTATATTACTTTTACTAGTTTAAGCTCAAATTAGGAAATATGATTGGATCAACAATTACTTCGCATTACAATGCACATGTTTAAATGAATGCTGCATATATGGGTCATTTATTTTAAAAAACGACAAAGTTATGAATACAAACTTCGTATAGATAGATGCTAAATTATAAGGATCAGGATGTACTTAATATACTGTTGAAGATGTATTCTCAATTATTTTACAACTAGGTCATTTGTACTCTAGAATCCCCTACTGATGTTCAAACTACATTGAGTTGTCCACTTTAAGGTTGGGAATGGTCGGTCTCTAGGGATAGCAATACTGGATCAATATATTGGACTGATAACAATAATTGCCAAGGAGTATGGAACGTGATCGATTTATCTGCCAATTCAGTGGTTTATATATTCAGCCCTATTATTGTGCTTGGAACAATCATATATTATATGTTATGATTTCATAATACATAGTTTTCAAGCTATTTATTGCACTTTGTTAAATTATATATTTTATAATTCTTATACCCTTCTTCAATTAACAATTCTGAAAATGATATATAGTTACAGCAATATTGATAATAGCTTAGTAAATATAAAGAATATAATAATATAGAGCAAATAAATACAAATATTTTACAATAAAATTTATGTCTGAAATAGAGCAGCTAACTAAATAAAAAGAAGAAATTGAAGCCAGTTAGACAACTCTCAAAATTTGGTGTTCTTTGAAAAAGAATTTAACCTAAAAATTTAAGAATCCTTCTGAAGCTTTTAAAGCATTAAAAAAAGAAGGAAAGGAAACATTATCAGTAGAAGATTTTGCAGAATTTTCAAAAGGATTAGATTTGTAAACATTAACCTTATATTTAGAACAACTGTATTTAAAGATACAACTCTTAACGAGGAAAACTTCATCAAATGTTGGGAACAATGGGAATATTAAGCAAATTAAAATGAACATAGATTATAAATGATTGAGGAAAAGTTGGAATTATTAAATATTTTGGAACAAAAAGATAAAGATGGCATTAAATAATTAGAAGCTTAGAAGAATAAAAAAATATTAAATATTATCCAAAATTGTGATAATTTGGATTAATTATAAGAAAAGTTGGATACTTTAGTTTAAGGAGGTTAATAATAACAAAAAGAAAAAACCGATATCATCTAAAATGAATCTGAGTGTTTCAATAAAATTTTATAAAAGAAATCTGAAATCAAGGCATCTGAATTATCCATTAGCAAATTACAATAAAAATAAAATCCTGAAGCATCTGAGGATAGCTAAATCTAAAACAAGAAAAAGAAAGTCAGCTATTTAGATGGTTCCACTAATGCCTTATAAAAAAGCAAAATCAATTTGAATATACCCAATTCCCAATTACAAACTAGTAGATTATCCGCAGCCAATTAAAACAAATAATCCTTTATATATGAGTCTTAAGTCTAGATATCTCCTACAAAAGGATAACAGTTTCTCAAGAATCCAACAGTTACTTAATAGTAATAATTGAAGAGTCCAAATGAAGAGAGAGAAAGCGAAAGAAGATCTCATAAATCAAATAGAATGAGAGGAGATCTATAATCATATATTTCAGAACTATTTCACAATGAGAGAGAATAATCTTTAAGACAGGAACCAAGATTTACTAGAGAAATCGATAGACCATCATATTCCAGTGATCAAAGAGGACTTTCTGGATTCCCAAATTTTAGAAAATACTTCAAAAATCAGTAATAACAAAGAGAACCTTAATAATCAGAACCTGAATCTACTAATATATCCAAAAGACTCTAAAACATTAGGTATTCAAAACAATTAAATAAGATACAAATTAGATGATTTTTAGAACCAGAAACTAACTCAATATAGAACTAAACCGTAACCACTTTAGGATTGGAGTCCAGAGAAACCCATTAGACTCTCTTAACAAAAACCTAAATAAGGAAGCAGGAAATCTAGTCCATAATACACTCCTGGAAATACGCATAGACTAAATCTTGATAAGCTAAGACAAGAAAAGCAATAGAGTTAAGGTTCGGGATAATAATAACAAAATGGAGCTGAATCAGGCTTTTTGAGTATGGAATAATTGAATCAAACCTTGAAAGGAGAACCATAGGCTAATGCTTGATATATTATGAATAGACGATACAAGATAATAACAATAACATTAAAATTATATAGTTTCTTGTTTTGATTAATATTATGCTGTTCTTTTTTAGCTGAATATGTTTTCAATATTCATATGTCTTATTTCCAATATAGAAATCCTTTAAGAATTCGCTCTTGCCTTTAAGCTTTTAATTTTCCAAGTAAGAGTATCCTGCATCAGATCTGTTTTGATTAGAAAAATATTGGAATAAATGATCTCTATTCAACATATGCCATTCTGCTTGGTAGAGTAATTCATAGCCACGATACACCTATATTTGTAGAAATGCAACATACCCATCTATCAACAGCATCTGGATCCCTTAAGTATGCTCTCTTTCTGATTACATTAGCAACATTAAGCATTGCCTATTATGAATTGCAGGTGACTTCCATATCGTGAATTCTTAATAAAAATGGAATAAGTCGACACACTTTCCTATAGAATCTCAACACTTTGAAATGGGCTTAAATAATGTTTTTAGAAGGTCTTCCAGTTGTTAAACCTTCAAAGATTTCAGTCCCTCTCATTGTTATGTTATTGCCACCATATTACTATTTTATTATACACAATTTACCTTTCCTCTAGCACCATGTGTACCAATTTCTGGGAAGAGATTCAAATTGCTTTGAAAGTTTTAATTTTAATTCATTTATTTATATTATCTTAAGAAAAAAGCAAATTTATTAACATATGAATATATTACTCAAATATCTAACATCGATTCTCTTTTTGCTGAGACTCTAAAATTAATTCTTGCACAATTCAATAAATTTTGTGATTATTAGAATGAACATTCGAATGTGTATTGGTCATCACTTAGGCCAACTGACTGGATCTTAATCATCTACTGATTTTTCAATTTGTTATTTGTTAAACAGAATATTGATATTAAAATTTATATTAATAAAATGGAAAATAATTAAGAAGGAAATAATCATAATGAAACTGAAGAAGAACATTAATAAAATGAACTTTAAGAAACTGAAAAAAATGGTTAATAATAAAACACCAATCCCAAGCAATAAGAAAATTCTCCTTAAAAATAAAATAAGGAGTAGCAAAATAATAAATAGCAATACGAAAGTAATCCTGAAGTCGAAGAGTAATATGATGAGGAGGACATAGATGCTAATTCATTGACTCCTAGAATGAAGGAAGCATGCAAAAGAGAAGGATTTAAAAAGGAAGACTTAATATAGAAAGGCAAAGACCTGATTAGATTTATGCTGAAATAAAAAGATCCATCAGGTAATGAACTTTGATTTTCTAAAGGCTAATTGGCAAACGAGGATGTTATATCTATGGTATTCGATCATTTTGAGGAAAAACGCCGACAGAAGATATAAGTTGTACGTCAGATGAGACAAAAAATCTTGTAGGAGGAATCGCAAGGACTATGGCCGAGTCAGATGTCTAACTCTAGTGTCTTCAGGAGCACTTCATCTTTAGCTGAAAAACGAGAGAAACTGTTGAGCAGTATTCGCAAAAGGTAAGAATTAGAAATAGAAAAAATAATTAATTCAGAATGGAAAATGGAAGAGCTGGCTAGAAATAATGCTGAAAAAGAAAAAAGAATTCAAGAAAAAGAAAAATAAAGGGAATTGAAAGCCTAATGGTTAAAAGAGCAAGCAGAAAAAAAGAGATTATAACAAGAAGAGGAAAGAAGGAAGAAGGAAGAAGAAGAAAAGAGAATTTAATTAGAATTAGAAGAGCAATACAGAATTAAAGATTAAAAAAGGAAATAAAGAGAAGAAGAATTAGAAAAAAGGAGAAAGGAGGAAAATAAATTTAAGGAAGAATAAAGAATAGAAAAATAAAAAAAAATTTAATAAGATAGAGAATAATTCTTATAACGTTAATAAGAAATTTAAGATATTAGATTAAAGGAGTTATAAGAGAAAGATTTAAGAAGGTCATAAAAATTTGAAGAAGAAAGAATAAAAAGGACAGAGAGAGCAGAACAAGAGAGATTGGAGTAAGAGGCTAAATTAGAATAGGTTAGAAAATTAAATGAAGAATAATTAAATAAAAAGAGGTTAGATTATGAAGAGAAACAAAAATTTGTTGAATAACAAAGACAATTATTTGAATCATAATAGCAAGAATATAAAAAGTTGAAAGAAAAGGAAGGAGAAATGAAATAAGAAGAAATAAACAAGGTTATTAAATAAAATGAAGAATAAATGAGAAAAAAAGTTTTAGATTATGAAAAAAAACAATAAGAATTGTAATTAAAAAAGAAAAAGTTAGAAGAAGAATAAAAATTATTATAAATAGAAAAATAGAAACAATATTACTAGAAAGAAAGAAAGATTCAAGATGTCTTAATAAGAAATGAATAATAAGCTGAATAACACAAAAAAGAATTACTAAAAAAATTAGATTAAGCTAAAGTTAAATGCGAAAAAATTGAAAAGGAGAAATAAGAAGAATTAACAAGAAAATTAGCTTTTGCTTTTATTAAAGAATTAGATAAATAAGATAATTTACAAAGACGTGAATAATTAGACGAACTCAGAAAAGAATAACTTGAATAAAGAATTAAACAAGATTTGATTAAAAGCTAGTAAATTTAATTAGAGAAAGAGCATTTAATTAAAATGAGTGAATAATTAAGAAAAGAGGCAGAAGAAAAGAGGCAATAGTAACTGTTAGAAATAGAAAAAGAAAAAAAGAAGAAACATTCAATGAATTCTCACCGAATTGTTACAGATATGAGTAAATCTAAATTATCGAATCGTGGAGGTGAAGAATGAATATTAAACATTAAATCATCATAATTAATATATGTTAATTTTAGTTGTAAATAGATATTATACCAATTATGGTAATAAAATCCTTTTTATTTTAGTTTATTAATTTATTGGACCCATCAGGATTAATTACTTAAATGGATCATTAATAAATCTATTTTACATACTCAACTTGAAAGAGCATAATAAACAATATTTAAGTTTTTAATATAGAAAGTCATAACTTTTTCTCAAATTTGGATCATAGACTATGCATTTGAATTATATCCTTTTTAAAATTATTAAATATCTAATAAATTTATTTTAATTTGATGATTTAACATCAACTTTACTAATTATAAATTCTCTAATCATTCTTCTTAATATAATCTGCTATTAACAATGCAGTGTTTAATATAATTTTCAATGTAAATTCATCTATTTTCAAATAAGAAAGGGATATTTTAATGATAGATTGTATTAAAAGCATGGAAGAATGTAATTTTGAGAATCTACCAAAAATGTAGAAAATGGATAAGATTAGTATAAAAACTAAAATAAAAACAAAACTTCTGGCAATTTACTATGAGTTTTAATTATGAGAGTTTGACAACTAGGAGATTGCTATTGTTTTAAGAGCAATATTAAAATTCTTAAAAAAATTAATGAATCGTTAAACTAGTTAGCTCTCCCATAATTCCTCGACTTAATTATTCTATTCACAATATTTAAAGCAATAATAAATAAGTCCGATTGCTGAAAGATTTAGTGGGGATGAAGTTTCTGAGCTTAGAATGAAAGTTGATTAACTTACGAAATAATTAGAGTTCAAGGAAAAGATGATAAGTGAGATGAGGGCTCATTAAAAACTATTGATGAATCGCTTGCCTGAACCGAAGCAATTTCAATAAGATAATTTTACAGAGAGATTAAAAGAATTTGAATAAAAAATGAAAGAGAAGGAGGTGTAATTTCAAAATTAATTGATTGAAAATAGTTTGCTGATGAAAGAAAACTAGAGTTTAAAACAGGAGATTACACGCTTAGAAAACTGTATCAAAGATCCCTCAATACCAAAGTTCGTTAATTCAATAGTTGATCTGGTAATTCAATGCCATCCGATAAATCATTTTCCTGGCTCGAAACCGGATTTGAGACAATGCTGGAGATGGCTGAAAAAGATTCTTAATGATTACATACAACTAAAGTAGCAAAAGCATTGATTATTTTATTAATATTATGAATAAAGATGGACTTGAAACTAAATTGAATTTTCTCTAATAGGAAGTAAGATAACTTCAGGAAGAAAACAAAGAACTTCGATAATTACTCCAACTAAATAAGGAAGTAATTAAAATTCAAAAAGATTGTACATTTAATTCTGTACTTTTTGAAACCATATTTTAAGCAACCAAGCACAAATAATAGTAGAAAGGAGGATATCTACACCAAATAATGTGAAAACAATTCTGAAAGAGGCTTCTAATCATTGTTTTCGCAATTGTACGAAGAAAATAATTAATTATATGCTCTTAATGAAGTAATTGCAAAATAAAGAGATGAAGCAAGAAGCTAAGTAAATGTTGTAGTTGATTTAAGGCTTTAATATTTGAGCAAATTTGTGAGGATTCAAATCAACGCAATATGGAACTTCAATTGGAGAGACAGAATCAATTGTTAGATTTATAAAGAAAATTAAATGAAAAAGATTAACAATTGATTTGTTTGACTGAGAAGCTGTTTGAGTTTCAGAGCAAAAAGAAGATCAAACAAAAGATAGTATAGAATTCCAAATATTAGTTTAAAGATGGTATCCCCAACTGAAGATGTCTTTGCAGTACTGAATCAAATAGAGCAGATGAGAATGTTGATAGGCTAATTGATAAAGGAGAATAAGTAACTAAGGGACGAGAAAAATAAGATACAAATTCTGATTGATGTTATGTAGAAGTAAGCACAAAGAAACAAATCAGATTATACACCTCCAATCCTTTCTCCAGATAGAAGCAACGATGAAAGTCCTAAAATTCAATAGATTAAAGAAAATAAACAAATATCCGGCGCTAAAGTTGATGATTCAAGTTACGTTGAAATATTGCCAGCGAAAGTGAACATTTAATTTTAAAAAAACTCTAACATGTCCGTACCAAAGTTAGATTTGGCAAAGGCTTAAAAATTACAATAGTTAAATATACAAAAGCAGGAGGAGATTGAAGAGAAAGAGGAGATAGAAATCAAAGCATTTAAACTTTAACAGTAAGTTAAAAACAATTAGCAGAAGGCTTAAACTCCATCTGCTGGCAACGCTTTGAACATGTTTGCTAGTCCAAACAAATTATGTGTCTAATTGAATTAGTTGAGTGACTAAAACAAAGCATTATAAAAAGAATTGGCTTAATGTCGATAGAAATTATAGGATGAAATTCTGCTCTCAAAAACTTTGGAAGATCAAGTGAGTGAATTGGAGAGGAGAATAACAGATTTAGAAAGTGTTAATGAAATCTTAATCCATTCTCAAACTAAATATGAACAAAAATGGTAAAAGATACACTTATAATACATCACTTACAAAGAATATTTTGAAGCTCATGATTAAGTGTATGAAAGTGCAAGAGATAACAGATAAACTCTGTAAACTATGATGAGTCTGCCTATGTCGGCTAAGCATAGAAAATCGAATGTGTCTCAAAATCTTAGGGAGATTGCCTACACTCTTTACAATAAATGCAAGATAGAGGAAAGACTCAAACAGATGGAATTTAAAAATGTATCAAACAAGAAGAGATCATCATCACTTTGATATTTTTCAAATTATTATAATTATGAGAAAAAACTAAACCACATTAAAAACCAGACCTACTCGAGCCATCTCACAAGTAGTTATATTGTCATTCTCTTAGGCCAAAGATCCAAAAGAATCTTAATTTCCCATTATTGAATAGAAACAAAATAAACCTTCTTCCGTCATGAGAAGTTCAAAAAAATCATTAGACTTTAATCGTCTCATTAAAAATCCAAAATTAAATGATAGCAAGTTGGAGGAGGCTTTGGAAGCAGATTTGGGTTTAAAAAGAATGGAATTGAAAGATGTCAAGCCTTAAAAGAATTCCCCTCAAAAAGCTAATTTACAATTGTCATCAGAAAGTAGTTATGCTGAAGGTGAATAGAGAGCATCCACTCCACCAAGAAAAAATCGCAAGGAAGGACAAGAATTTAATGTCAGGTCAGAATGTAATAAGATCATTTAACTTAAGCTTTCGCAACCTTAGAACCTATGCATCATGCTGAGGAAACATTAGCAGAAAATCTTAGAATCTTCATTAAAATTTATGAAATCATGTATTCCCTCTTAAATTCAATGAAAAAAGTAAGAGTTTGAAACTAATAAAGTAAGAATACTACTCTAGAACTAATAAATTAAATCAATTAATACATGGAATTGACTGAAGATACTGGATTTTAATATCTGGAAGAATTACTACAAGAACATGTCAAGTAAATTAGATAAATATTGCTAATCTTACGAGTTGGAGTAAATCTATTTATATTTTAGATTGTCGTTTTGGTGAATTGTTTTTTTGATCTACATTTCTATTTAAGTAGTATTAGTAATATTAAGAGTATATTACTCTACAATATCTAAAATTTAAGTCACCTCTCTGATATTTTATTAGAAAAACTGAAAGATAAGCCTGAATACACTCTTTATTTGTAGTTGTATTCATAATTATAATTTAACATAAACAAGAAAAACAATATTTCTAAAAAGCATGAATACTGGACGTACATCAAATAAAATATAGAATTATTATAAAATCTTTATAAATCACTAACCAAAGGCTAGAGAGACCTCTATTAATTTTTAATAATCTTCCTAAGGAGTATATAAAATTATACAATAAAGGAATCATTAAGAAATCTACAAGAATTCATTTCATTTTACTTCACAATCTAACAAAGCTATTAGGGCTTATTGGGAATACCATTGATTTGTGTGGCTCCCTAGCCCTACCTTCCTTATGCAAATCCAAAAACATATACTCTGGTTTTAGATATGGATGAAACTTTAATACATTTTACTGATTAGACAGGACACTTTTTAATTCGTCCTTTTACTCATCAATTCTTACAAGAAATGAACTAATTTTATGAGTTAGTTGTATTCACAGCCGGTTTGCCTGATTATGCAAATTGGGTTTTAGATCAGGTTGATAGAAACAAAAACATATCATATCGGTTATTTAGATAGCATGCTTTGCAATATTCTAATTAATTTATAAAAGATCTTTCCAGATTGGGAAGAGATCTTTCAAAATGCATAATTGTTGATAATGTTCCTGACAATTTTCAAAATCAACCAGAAAATGGAATATTTATAAAGACATGGTACAGTGATTAAAACGATACTGCATTGGCTGAATTAGGTCCAATTTTGAAATCGATTGTTATGAAAAAAGCTGAAGATGTTCGTTTGGCCTTGAAGGAAGTACGAAAAATGTTGACTTAAAGTATTTAACTACCTCCATTGTAGGGGTGATATATTTTGTAAATACAATTTTGATTTATATTTATAATTTTATTTAACAGACACATGCAATAATCAGATTAAGTGGAAGTAGAATATCGAATAGAAATGTTGACAAGTGAATTAGAGAGATCCTCTTAAACTCTATAATAGAAGAGCATAGAGTGTGAAGAATGGAGACTCAAGAGTTTAGGATTAGAATAAAAGATAAAAGAGCTACAAGCACATATTGGATCTTAAAATCAATAATATGAAGATCTAGCAGAAAATTTAAAATAGAAAGCAATTGAAGTTGAAGACTTAAGAAGTAAGTACAATAGAGTCCAATTCATCACAATAAAAGGATACGAAGAGAAAATGGAATAATTGGTAGGAGAAATAGAAAAATTGAATTAACTTTTAATGTAAAAAGCGTAGGATTGCGAAAGTAGTAGGTAGTAAGTGATGACTAAGATATAAGAATTATAGGAGGAAAGATAGAAATGCTTTCATTTAGATAGCTTTATAAAACAGATTAAATCTGAAAAATTGGAAGCACTTCACTTTCTAAACGAAAAGAATAAAGAATTAGAGGAATTGAAGGAACGATTTAGAGAGGCAGATTAATATAGATAAAAGAGTGAGATCCTAGAAAATGATATTGAAACAATTAGAGTTAATTATATGAACATATTTAATTAAAAATTGGAAGAAATTGAAGCATTATAGTCTCAAATAGACACATAAAGATTAATCAATGAAAATACAATAAGGATATCAGAGGAAAAATATGCATAACAAATTTAAATAGAAAGGGTGAATTTATAGAGATAAATTAAAGAGACTGTGGCTACTTCGATTGTGTAAATGGAAAACTAGGTGGCTACTCTTAACAATCTATTGGAAGCTAAATAAAATGAAATAGATAAATTGAAATTACAAAGACATAATATAGAAACAGAGAAAATGAATTCAATGCTTATTGATAAGAACATCAAATTGTAAGATTAGTAGATTAAATTGCAATAATTAGAAAGGTAACTCTACGAGAAGACTAATACGTTGGATTAATTGACATAATAGATACAGAATGGTTAATTGATTCCAGCAACTTCTTAGAGTTTATTAGAACGATCTTATAAATAATTACAAGATGATATGCATAAATAAAATATAGAAATGACTCTGTTACATTAAAGATGTTTGGAACTATAGGAGGACGTGTAAAAGAAGGCAAATATGAAAGCTAATTATGAGGGATAGATTAATACTTTATTGATAGAAATAGCTAATTTAAAGAGGGATGTATATAATAAATCAAGGATTAATTCCTAACATAGTGATAATTAAAGATTGATTTAAATTGAGAATGAGAAGAGAGCAATTAAATAAAAATATGAACAAGATTTGAAAATAGCTGAAGATAAAATTAGATATTTGCTGAGTATTGTAGATCCGAGAGTCTTAGAGTAATAATTATAATACAGAGGAGCTTTAAATCCCAATCCTGTATTGCAGTAGATAATTGAAGAAAGTTCAAGTAGAATTGCTTAGAGTAACATTTACTATCATGAAGATTCAGATGTCTTAAATGATGAAGTTCGTTGATTAATATGTACTTTCATTATTATTTCACCCTTTTTTGTTAAGTTCTTTATACAATTTCTTGGGAAGCTTATCTTTTGTCTTCCCCCTTCTGAAATTTTTGCATCCAATTAGCACCCTATGGTTAAAAATCAGCATCATCTTGGTATTAGTTTTGAGATTATATGGGTTTAGCCTTTCCTCTTTGAGGAGCCTTCACATCTCTATAGTTAACTCCCTCTTCCAATTAGTGAACTCTTTTCTCTAAAAATGATTTATTAGTAATTCCGAATTCAGCATCTTATCCCTCTCCTATAATAATTGAATAATATATGAATACCTAAAGCATCATATCTAATACATAATGCTGTTTTTGCAGCTAATGTTCTAGAGACCTTTCCTTTCAATTTAGCAGGAGCACTTCCTACTAAACTAGCTTAGAAGATCAAACCATATTTGGGAGTATTATGTTTTGTTCTAATAGCCTTAAATAATGCTTTTTCAGCTCCCAAAATTTAAACGGTAGAAGCTGGATATTTAGCTAAGTTTACAAGTGAGCCTGCATGTGAAATCAATCGAGCACCCACTAATTCACCTACCATTGTAGTCAGATTAGGAGCGATAGCTTGCATTCTATTTTTTAGATATTCAGATAATTAGGATCTATAATCAGTTAATTCAATGACTTAATCTGCAAGACAAAGAATGAATTTTTCATCTTCTACTGTGATTTCTGTACCAAATGATACTTCTGCTGCTTATTTTACATCTGCTTCGAGATTCTCAGGTAAAATACCAGAGAGATCTGTAGAACTGGTCTTAATTCTCATTCCAATGGCTTTGACTACTTTTGCATATATTAAATTGTCAGTTATGATTTTACCAAGTTCTGGAAAATGCCAACCAAACCATTCTCTCAATCTCATCATATAGTTATTAATTTCTTTGTCTAAATCATCAAGCAAGGCAATTGCTTGTATAATCATGGTATCAACTTTCTCAGTAGAGAACTTGAGTTTATATCTGGATAATCCATGTGCTAAACCCAGAGTCATATTCTTAAGTTCTGATTCACTTAGTCCTTCGATAAGGTTAGTTAATTAGGATCTAATTCCTCTGAATAATTGCTCAGTCACAGGAGTCTGGATGCAATTTAATCCTAATTGTTCTTGAAGTTATTTGGCCAGTTTTTTGTCTTGGACTGTATAGTTTAATAAATTTCACTGTACCTGCTATTTAATCCTGAACTTCTTGCGAGATTACATTCTTCTCCAGGAATTTACTAAGCTTCTTTGGGATTTTTCCATTGATCAACTTGCTGGTAGCCACGAGAGCTTCTTAGGTATCTTTGAATTATTGGAAAGCAAAAGGTGTGACCCTGGTTAATTTATCAATAGAATTGCTTACAATTTTTTGGCTTGCTTTTCATTCTACAAATAATCATAGATGTTGTCTATTTTATTAAGGGCCTTGGTATTGGCAACTTGGAATAGGGCGAATCCAGCTGGAGTCTCTATTAATATTAACATATTTAAATATTTATAAATCGGTGTCCATATATTAATTATTTATTATGGATAGTGACAATAATAAACGTTTCAATTTTGAACAACTTTCACAAGGGTAGCTCAAAGGACGGCTTTATAAAAACATTAATCGTTATGATCCTAATGAACGAAAACTCACTTAATAGCTCTCGGTAATCTCCTTGCCTTCTTTGGTGCCTAAGGTTTCTAAATAAAGATTAGAGCCCACAACCTAAACTCACTCAGCCTTAGGGGTAACCATACAAAATGGCAGAATTTTACTTGATCGATCAGGACATCAATCTACAAAAAGTAAATGATGATTTAATAAATAAAGACCTTAGAAGTGACATTCTAATACAAGATTAGCTCAAGAAACCCAAGAATTTATCACCACTCGGTCATAGATTATTAAGTGATCACGGAATGAGCATTTTAGACGATGTGCAAAACCCTAATTCGACCATTAATGATTCTATCATTGGATTGCTGTAACAACCTGAAAAAAAGAAGGAGACCCAGATGATTAAGAAGGCACTCAGAAAACCTAAGAAGAAGCAGCAATAGTAATCCTACTTGTCACCCATGGATTTTATCTATTTGATAAGAACTGATCCAGAAATGGCAGATGAGTTCTGTTATTTAAATAAAAGAGATCATGCCTATGATTATTAAATAGTTGAATTCGAAGACAGAAACCCAAAGGAATACATGACTATTAGTGCAAGGGGAATCACATATTTCTAAAATGATGAGATTACATTTTTAACAATTGAGGAGTGGCAAAGAGAAGCTAAATTATATTAAGATCTTTAGAAAATAGACTTTTTTAGGAAATACAAATTATGGAAGAACTTCTTCTTGTGGAAGAGATTAATGAGGAAGAACATTCTTGCCAAAAATCAGGATTTAATGATATCCAACATGTTTTCAACTGACAAACAATTAAGAATCACCTTATTAGAAGTTCGTCGGATATGTTAATAAATGGCGTAAGATATTAGATTCTTAGATACCTCAACTACAGTTCCTTAGACCCACGAAAACTTTAAATAATTGTAAGACAAACATTTAATGTCAATCATGGATATTAAATTTGATGCATATGAACAATAGATTAAATAAATAATAGTAGAATGCTGTTAGAAATCGTTAGTCAATTTTAAGGAAATACATCGTATTCCTCTTCATGAAGATGATAATGAAGAGAGAGCACCATTATTAGTGGGAGATGAATCAGGAAAAGATATGCCATACACAACTGAAGCTACAATAAGAACACATTATAAAAGATTAAGAAAATTTGTGAAATATGTTGATTACATAATCATAGATGCCAAATTATAGATGATGCAGAATTCAGTGGAACACATTGTCAAATAGATTCGTGAATTCAACGAGCAATATAAGGAGAGTTCAGGAGTGAAGAGGAAAGGATATTATGGCAAAGGTTAACCCTAATGTTGGATAATTATTGAGGCAGTTGGAAAGTAGGAAGATATCGTTTTTAATCCTGTTAGAGAATAATTATTCAGAATATTCGAAAGTGTTGTCACCAATAGTGTTATTCGTATCACAACTAGACATAGGGAAATGTTATCTATGCCAGAATTATAATAGTATATTCAAGACGAAAGCAATTAACAATCAGAAAAAGTAGATGTCAAGGCAATTATCAATGGAAGCGAGAATTTCCAAGTTTTATGTAGTCAAATGAGGAAGGAATTAGAAATTGCATTTGATTATTTAGAATAATATGCTGAAAAGTTGAAACCATTCATGAAATGGTATGTTGAGAACACAGGAGTCAATATTGAAAAGTAATTTGCTGACAAGGAAGTTGAAGAATATAGAAATGCCATTAACTAATATAAGGATCAAGATCAATAATTTTAAGATATAGAACCTACACAAGAGATTGGT